CACGTTGAAATATCCCCTGGATGGCTTGGATATCACCTTTTTTTTTTGCTTTTTTTTTTTTCTCTTTTCTTTTATCATCTTTTCCTATGTTTCAAAATATCCTCTCAATGTCTTTTCCAGACAGAATCTGGCAGGCGGGACCAAAAAAACCCGGAAAAATGGAAGTCGAATGGGTTCGACCGAGGGGGAAAAAGAAGATTGAATTGATGTCTTGACGGCTGTGTATGTATGTTTAGCGCATGAGGCTCTGATTATTTGAATTTATTATCTATTGTCCATTGTTCCATGACATCATTTATTGGACCACTTGACGTTAGTTTGACTTCAAGCGTAGTCTAGATGTAGGCAGGCCGACGCGTGGCAAGGGATGATTTCAGCGCGCTTAAGGCTGAATGAACCAGGGACCGGCGCCTGTCCCAGGCAGCGACTACAAAGTCAGACAGTCAGGCAGAGAGCAGAGAAGAGGGCGGAAAGACTGGAAGCGAAATTCGATCTCCAACTGGAACCGTTTCGCTACCTGCAAGTGCCGACTGCCTGCCCTGATTGGCCCTCCGGTCCTTCCGCCCGCTTTTCTGCTCTTCCCCCTGGTTCGGTCCTTCTCTTCCTTCGCTTCTCGCTCCTCGACATCCTCGACATCCATGTTGCGTTCGATTTATCTTCCGTCCGTCTCTGTGAGTCCAAATGGCAGCGTATCGCGCATGATGACTGTTCATCCCCCTGGATATCATTATGAAACTTCCGTCGATTATCGCACTTTGCCAACTGTGAATTCGCATCCCGTCAACGGAGATCTTCCCAGGAAAGATCGGTGATCGCAGAGGACAGGGGCAAAATTTTCGGACACCCCGAGCATTTCGGCAATAGAAACTTGGGCGTGAAACTCGACTTCCATGTGAACATTGATATTTGATAGCATTCCGCCGTTTCCGACTGATATCAAAACCTCCGCGATACCCCACTACATCTACCCCCCTCCTCCTGTGGCGACCCTCCCGGATCACCCCTAAATAAACATGGAGGCACCTTCGAGCCTCCCCCAGCCCGAGGATGGCCATGTTCAAGGCGAGATGGTCATCCGTCCTCGTGCAGACGATAGCAATGAAGTTGTGTCGACCTCGAATCCCCCGTCCCTTCCGGGCACCTCGTCGCAGGCCCCGCAGAAGCTGCAACTGGCTTCCCGTAGCAGCCATATGGGTAGAAAACAACTCATCTCTAACGCCAAAGTCGCCATCCCTCGGCAGCGAACCTCGTCAACCAATCCTCGGTATCCTCGTCGTGTGCCTTTGGCGTGTGAGACATGTAGGCAGCGGAAGACAAAATGCAGTGGCGACACCCCGGTTTGCCGCCAGTGCAGGGAGTTGAGGGTCGAGTGCAAATACCCGGTTTCCTGGAGGGAACGTACGAAGGGGTTAGTGCTATTGCTTTGCTCAATATTCTTCAACTGAGCGCTGGCTGACGGACCGCACAGGCAATTGGATAAGTTGGAGATGAAAACGCAAGAATACGAGAATCTACTGAAAGAGATTGGGAATATTGTCGATGGCCGGACCGCGGAGCGGATCCGTAACACACTGGACAAGGTGGGTATCCCTGTTTGTCTTAATGACTACGCCACATCTGGATCAATGATCCCTCGTTGAGTCGCTGGCTGACATGTGTGTAGTGGTCGGCGAGGGACGATAGTACATCTAGCTCACAGAGCAATTCACTCACCCCCCAGGACGAAGACCAAGAGCTGGACGATGTGAGCAGCGTGTCATCTATTGGGTCGTTGGAGGCGATCGACCGTGTCGAAGAAGACTTAAATCGAACGCCTAGTTCCAGGGCAACTGGCTATATGGGGAAGAACTCTGAGATCACCTGGATGCAGCGACTGCGGAAAGAGGCCGAGTCACGATCTCGCCGGCAACCAGGGGCGTTTGAAGCCGAGCATGACGGTGAATTCGCCTTGCACGCGATGAACTACCACCTAGACGATATGGACGTCTCTGTACCTGGTCCCGTTCAGGCCTACTGGATGCCGCCACGACCGCTGGCCGACAAGCTGTTCGAGGACTACCTGGACACCATCCACCCGTTCTTTCCCATCATCAGCCGTTCGCTCTTCCGCACCCAATACAACATATTTTATGATAGTGCCGCCCGACCTGGAGACAAATGGCTGGCTATTCTGAACATGATTTTTGCCATTGCTTCAAAACATGCCCATCTTACGCAGGCCCCGTGGCGTGGCCAAGAAAAAGATCATCTGGTGTATCTGACTCGGGCTCGCATTCTAAGTATGGATGGGAATACGCTCTTTAGTCATCCTGATCTACAACAAGTTCAGGTCGAAGGCCTGGTCGCTTTCTACCTGTTGTCAACAGATCAGATTAATAGGTAATCCCCCACCGTTGAATCTTCTTCAATTCCATAGCTTTCCATTTGGTCATCTCCCTTTCCCCGCCCATTCTAGCTTAAATTTCCCCAATTACCCCCAGCTAACGATTTCCTCAGAGCTTGGAGAATTGCGGCGTTGGCCGTTCGTTCGTCCATATCTCTTGGCCTTAACATGAAGAATACGAGCCAAGGCACGGCGAATATATCCAAAGAGGCGCGCTACAAAGTTTGGTGGTGTCTCTACACGTTTGAACACATGCTTGGAATCATGACCGGCCGAGCCTCGTGCATTTCCGATGGGATTTGCACAACACCCCTGCCACTTCCGTTTGAGGAGAATGAATTACGGGATCCGTCGGCGGCAAAACTTCTCGGTGATCTTACCTTGCGACAAGAATATGTGGATGCGGCTCTGGCGAGCTCCTGTGTACGACAAGTGCCGCTCAATCCACTTGGGGGAAGAGACGCTCGGCACACCGATAAGATTCGGGATTCCACTTGGCTCAGAAGCCAGCCACCTAGTAAGGCCCTGATCTTTCTCTACTACGTTGACCTCGCGGTCATTGTACAAGAGATCGTCAACAGGGTCTATTCTCTGGATTCCACCATGGTGCCCTGGAGCCATATTGAGAACCGCATGGGCGAGCTTCGATCCCGGGTCGACCTTTGGCAATCGAGTCTGCCCGAAGCGTTCGATTTCACGCGTTTCGCGCAGAAGGACGACGAAGATTTAGATGTACTCCGTGGGAAGCTCTTTTTAGCGTTCCACTTCTACAGCGCACGGATCACTCTAGGCCGTCCGTGTCTCTGCCGCCGCGACGCACGGCAGCAGGCACCCCACGAAAAGTCGACTTTCAGTCACGATATGGCGATTGTTACCCTTGAGTCAGCTCATATGATGCTTGGTCTGATCCCGGATATGCCCGACGCCCTTCGACTCTATAAGATATGTCCCTGGTGGTGTATTTTGCACTATCTCATGCAGGCAGTAACGGTCCTTCTTCTCGAGCTTTCCTTTGGCTGCATTCATGTGCCGGCAGATGAGCACAGAATCTTGCTCGCATCAAAGAAGGGTGTCAGGTGGCTTTTCGCCATGGCGCAGTTTAGCCTGCCCTCGCGACGTGCTTGGGAACTCTGCATCGGCAACCTACGACGCATCGCCATAGGCATGAACTACGATCTGACTGATATGCCTTCGTCCGACGACGAACTCGAATCCTACCGGGAGTCCGTTAATAACGAGAAAGTCGACATGAGCCAAGCTACCATGACTTCCATGCCTCCCCCGACGAATGTAAATACTTCTGCCTCGGGCGAGCAGCCCATGGTTTCCGCGCCATCCCAAGCACCAGTGGGATACTCTCAGAATCAAAACGATTCGACTGTGGATCTAAGAGTTACTATGCCGCCTTCGAACGCGTATCTGTTCTCCGGATCAGACATTTATTTCCCGTACGATCCTATCAGCAGCGAATTCATCCGGTCGTTCTTCCCCGCCTCAAACGACGAGGAGTCATGGCACCAGTAAGCTTATTTTAATTATTATTCACATACACGTACTTGTTATCCCTTTCCCTTTCCCCTCCTTCAATTCTCTTATAATTTCATTTCCCGTCCTCTTATTCCATTTTCCATTCTATCCTATCTGTATCGTGTTTGCCTCTGTTTTATTGCCTTCTGATTCATTCTGCGATTTGTTTTTTTCATGCTTTATACCTTCGGGCAAAATTCGATACATTTACCCCTTTTTTTTTTCTTTTTTTTTTTTTTTTTCTACTTGCCTTCATCATTATTCTTATCTTGATTTCTTTTTCATTTCTTGCACTCTTTATCACCTTTTCAAGGCGTCCTTTTTTCAAATTCAAACTCTTTACACTGGTGGATGGGATGGGTCTTTGGGCTGGACTAGCTTAGGTACTTTTTTCTTTTTCTTTTTCTTTTTTCTTTTTCACTCAAATACTACTGTGGGTACATACAAAGGATACATTACAGATGGCGGAGAAACCGGAGTTTTTTATAAAAAGTTTCGGTTGGAGCATTTGTGTCCGGGGGAGGTTCTTTTCGATTTTGTTTATTTGTTTTTCCTTTATCCACTGTCCTTGGTGATGGTCATGTTTGATATATAGATGGTTGGGTGGATGGGTAGGCGATTCTGCTGCAAGAATATGAAATGTTCCTTGTCCATTCATTTGGTTTTTGTAATGTAAATGTTGATATAAAGGATGAATATATTATCTATTTATAATACAGTTAGGTAGAATGTAACCAACGTCACACGAATTTCTGATAAGAACGCCCGAGTCATATATACAGTATTCGGCCATGGTGAGAGATATATACCAGGATCATGATTCAGATCGAAAACGGGCAAAAGGTATATAATAGGGAGGTGGGTAAAAATATGAACATGTGTCTATCCATCTTTTTGCGCAATAGCCAATGAACTCCTTCAATGCAAACGGGATAGAAAGGTAGAGCAAGAATTGGAGGTGATGAATAGTGCCAGATCCTACCAATCCAAGTCAGATAAGAATGCCCAGAACAGGGCCCCGATAAGATAATGTACATATATATGCAAGGCATAGAAGGCCCGTAGAAGAAGAGAGAGAAAAAGAATGGTCTTAAAGAGTATTCGTATTAGCAGCCGCCACCCTCTTCATTCTCTGTTTGCGCTTCTCGCTCAGCTCCTTCAGTCCCCTTTTGCGCCTCCTGCTCAGTTCATTTCTTCTTCGCTGCATCAGGCCGCCGAGCTCGCGGTTGATCTTGCGGGAGCGAAGACCAAACAAGGATTTGAATTTCCTGGCGCAGAATTCGAGGATAGCGGTCGCGGGGTTTGTGCTTGAGGTTGTAGATACAGACTGCAAGGATGATGGCGGGGACGGAACAGAACAATGCTGCGTCCTCTCCCCGACGACACGGGTGGATTCAAAGTCGTTGTATTCTTTGACAGCAGCCTGGGCGATGATACGCACTGTGCTCGGGTCCGGGACGGTTGTCTTCTGTTGAATTTCGCGGAAGTAGGCCGAGTCGAAGTGCGGGTCACCCATGGCGGGGTTGCGTTCTTCGCGCAGGTATAAGCGGGAGATGCCGCCTTCATGGCGACGGCGGTCGGTGGGTGATCGGATGTCGAGGCACCATTGCTGCCACAGATGTTGGCCGGCTGCACTGCCCTGGGTATCAACAAGAGCGGAGAGAAGGAGATAGAAGGCGGAGCGGGGGATGTAGGGGATTTGAGAGTCTGCTGTCGGTGTGTATTGAAGGGTGGCATCGGCGGCGACGTCGTGGAGAGCGCCAGGAATGGAGAGGAAGACTCGATGGAGACTGTAGAGGAACTCGCTCTGGGAACTGGTTTTGAGCCTGGCGCGCGATTCGTTGAATTCTCCGTTGAGGATCCGGAGGAGAATCGGTTTGGCTTGAGCGAGACTCGTTTCATGGAGTTCCTTCTCTGTAGGATCCAATGATTGTTGCTGCTGAATGGCATGATCTAACCTGATGATTTCAGCGGCGAGTGCAGTCACATTGCTGTGGCTCCAAGATTTCAGTCGGAAGTCACGGAGATACTCTAGCATGAAGACCACAGAGTCCCACTGACCCATCGAAATCCGGAAATTCAGTAGAGCTCGCAGCGTGTTTGTGGACAGGGGGGGCTGCGAGAGAGACTGCACCACGATGTCACACAATTGGGTGTTCTTGGTGGCAGTGGCGAACCGAATGATGGACGGCGCCAGAGCCTGGTTACCATATAACTTTAAAGGAATTGGAGGACCATCGAGGTCATCCGACAACAGGAGCCATTCCCCAAAGCTAAATGCACGCGACGTCGTAACCACATCAAGAAGCCGCGCCAGAGTGAGGACCGATAGTTGTGGCATTGACGTGTCAAGTGGTAGAAGGGAAACAAGCTCGCTGAAGTTCAGGACAGAAACATTATCGGAATCTGGTGAGTTGTCCTGCGAGAAGAACTCGTCGATGCGATTCATCTTGCTGGTGTCAATCACTCTCTGGAGCCATTCGACCGCATTAATGGCGTCTCCACACAGTCCCCGTGAAGAGTAAGAGCGGATGTTGTGCTCGATGAGCCCGGCCATAGCCCAGCTCTCGTCGTATATTCGTGACGGCTCTAGCCACTTCAATTCCTCCTCATCAACGGTCTCAAGATCAAGATTCCATGGCGGTACCACATGGGGGGTGATACGGAGGACTTTCTCAAAAGCTTCCGGGTCTACCTCCTGGCCGAGGCCTACGGATTCAACGACACGAACAACAAACCGATTGGATTCCATGTTGGTTGGCAGGAGATCTCCGGATGTCGCTGCCGAGGCCATCGCAAAATTGAGGGAGGAGGCCTGTTCTAGAAGCATCTTTATCGAGACGCCTCGGAAGCCCAGACCGAGATAGATATCATTGGGCACATTATCGAGCAATGCTGTGGCTACCTCAAGGCTGACCGTTCGCTTGCCCAGGCCGTTGAAAGGTGGAGGTGTAACACGCTTCCGTAGCGATGGCGTACGCTTCTCGGTAGGGGAATGGCGCCAGGACTCTTCTTGGTCGATAGACGTTTTCCATGCCGCTTCCGGGCGCTGGAGAAGAGGTCTCCAGCTTTCAAACTTCCACGCCAGGTCCCCTGTGCGTTGTTTCATTTGGTTGACGAGCCACACTCCTTCTTTGATATGTCCGTGTTCGACACAACACCACAAGATAAACTCCAACCAGATCTCAGGTCCAAGTTCGCGAATGCCCATTTTGAAGGGAAGGTACGGAGAATCCTCGCCAGCGGCGGCAGCCCGAGCAGCCACCTCTGCCTCGTGCATCAGCCAAGCGGCATCCGACAGAACGTTCATGATATGGGTCGAGAGGAGGTGCATTCCAGGTGGTCGAAAGACAGTTTGGTGGGAGGTGGGAGGAACATATTTGTACACTCGATCAGGAACGGCTCCAGAATGGTGCAAACGTGCAAGCGTTCGGAACACATAAGACATCGCCAGTTTCGACTCATTTGGCGCAGCGTCAGCTGCAACCAGGACAATAGAGCCCAAGCTTTGCCACACTTCCGCCATGATCCGGGTCGAATGATCTTCTGCGAATGATCTTTCGGTGAAAGCGTCCAAGGTTGTCCATTCGGAGACCTGCGAGGGCTCAGATAACGAGTCGATCTGCGGAGCCGAGTCTGCACTTTGATCAGTAAGCTGGTCCAGCGATAAACCAGTTCCACGACTCCAGCTGTAATCAGAGAGATCTCGATGGGGAACCGCAACCGCATTGAGTGTATCCGCAGCATCGAGCAGTCGATCCAATAAATGATACACTGCAAACCAGTTATTCAGCCGGAATCCCAAATGAGCCAAGAGGTCTAGGTCTGCCAGAGACCTTGCATTGGACAACAAATTATTTAAGTAGACTGTTTGCCCAAACGACTCGGGGGTTGAAGTAGTTGTTGTAGCCGTCAGTGTAGTATCCGCGTCGGCGTCTTGCGAGGGTTTCCGTAACGAGTGCGGTAGATATTGCTCCAGCAACTTCATCCAGGCCTCCGGATCACCCTGCTGTTCCTGGGGAACGGGGCTTTCCCTCCTATCCACCGTGTTATAAATTTCGAGTAACCGGCGATCAAACGGAGGTGGCCGAGAGCCGACGGAATACTGGCGACCCCATTGTCGCCTTCCCGGGGAGGGTCTCCAGGTCCGGAGCCCCGAGTGCAGCGGAGCACCGAATATGCGACGCGAGAGAGACAAGACCGAGGGGCGTAAGGGAGGAGCTGGGTACAGGCACCTTTTCATGACACGACGGAGGATCTAGCGGGAGCGACCTGTAGGCGGAGGAAATCCAAATCTCGATGTGACCGGCGGAGAGATGGTCTGTGGCGCATGTCTAAATCTTCGATCGATAACCCATTTCTCGGGGCAGTAGTGAAAGGAAGTCGGGAGCCGTAGAAGGCCAGCGCGAATAGTGGGGAGAACAGAAGTCTGCAGATGCACTTCTTTTTTCTCTTTCTTTCTCTCTCTTCGCCGCTTCCTCTTTTGCATCGCCGCGCGGGATGAGTCAGCTGCCCGGGCCCCTGCCAATCAGCGGCCGGCGGTTTCCACGAGGGCACGTGACCGCTTGGCCGCTTTTCTACTTCTTCTACGGAGTACTTCTACTTCTTCTACTCCTTCTACTCCGTACGTAAATTACAATATGACCGTGTCAAGTTCAACCCCGTCTCGTTGCGCTGCTAGATACATACATGGTGACTCGGTCACCTCAAATGAACGACTGATCCAGCAGCTATCTAGTACCCATGCCTAACCACCAGAGGCCATCCTGACAACTGGCGAATATCATAACCCCATCTTACGCACGGAGTTGACGGGCGTGAACGCGCTTGATCGGGAAGTTCGGGCTTCCATGCGGAGGAGCATCGGAAGGAGGAGTGGGAGTTGGCCAGGGAATATGGCTCGAGCTGGGAGGGTAGCTGCCCGTGGGACGGGGCACACCCGGGGGCCATGGGGTCGACGAAGGAGGCCCCGTAGGAGATGGGATCGGGGTGCTCGACTCCTGGAGAATATGATGAGCTGGGGATGTTGGTCCGCGCATTAGGTATTACTCACCATAGGCAGGATGTGGTAGACACCATTGTTCTGAGCCACGACCGGGGCAACGAGGAGAGCGGTTGCCGCTCCAAGGATGGTAAAAACCTTCATTCTGGTGGGTGTTGGATGGGACTTGAAAAAAACGATGGACTTGACGTCGCGAATGAAAGAAAGAACTGTGCACAGCACCCTCGAGGAAGACAGATTAAGATACAGAGGTAGAGATAGAATCAGGATCAGATTGCACCATGGAGAAGGGTGCTTATATATCCATGCGAGACAACCTGCGTTACATCTACGGCACGTCTGTTGTCCCTTCTCTTGCGTGAGTCCGACGTGTGTTGATTCCAGAGGACGATCTGGATCAACAGGACGACACCTCCATTAGGCAACCAGTCGCAAAAAGTCCTATCTGTGTACGGAGTAATGGACGGATCAATTTTCCACGCCTCCCAATCGGGACGGACCTGAAGCGCTCCGGTCCTAAATGGGCGAGGATTGGGGAAAGAGAAAAAAGAAAAAGAAAAGATCGATATCTGGTCAGACATCCAGGCCTTGATGATGAGTCGGGCATGACCGGTCCCTGGCGTCTGATAGTGCAACATCGCCAATCAATAATGGTGGATGGAGGGTGCCCCCAGTCGCCGGGCCGAAATAAGCCATGATAGACTGCCGATCGGGGCGACTAGTCAATGTAGAACTGTCAACAAAGAGACGTCCGATGAGCCAAGGGCGGCTGGAGAATGAAGATCCCCGCCGGACTGCTTCAATTGACCTGGGTCGCAGGAACATGTGAGAGCATTGGGTGCGGCTGGCGTGATAGGGCCGCCGGGTAAACCCATCTTTGTTGCGACTGGCATCATCCATTCATCCCGTGTGCGTTGCCGATCAGGATGGTCGGCGTCAACTCATGAGAGATGGAAAAAGGTCGACAGGGACTTGTCCCGTCGGACAAAAAGCAGGGGCACCCGAGATAACGGCGACGATCGGCCTCCCCGATCATTCTTACTCCAATCAGCGGCCGTTAACCTGACACATCCTCATCACGGCGCGCCTCGGTGGGCCAATCTGAACTGGAGGCTTGGATCTAGTGTCAATAGCTGAAACAGCGCCTGGAGAGCTAGAACGGGCCATGTTTTTGACTGTCAGCGACACGATGGTGGACGAATATCCAAAAGGGGATGATGGAGAGACCAAGAGACCAAGTCAAAAAACCAATTATTAAGCCCGGAGATTCTATGTACAAGACAGTCGGACACAGGCCACCAATGAACAATCGAGATCATAAACAAAGAAGCCCAAAAGGTATCGAGAACACGCATAATAATCACAGCAAACCCCGACCAGAAAAACAAAAGGTAAACAAGTGTATCGCTACACGTATCCCCAACACAAGCCAACAAAAAGAAAAGAGAAATCAATCAAAACCCAACAAAACAGGAATTTGCCCTGAACTCCCCGCGGTGATCGTCAATCATGATACGAGTATGTCGAGCCCACCATGCAACCTCACTGCTCCTCAATGAACCGATCATCGTCGTCCATTGGCATGTCTCCACCAAGCTCCTGCTCGACTTCGTCCACCACGAAACTTTCGTAATCCTCGAGACCTTTTTGAACATGAACCTTGAATCGAATCACGTCGTTCAGCATGCTTTCCACGTTCGTATGTAGCTCCTCCCGCAATGCGTTGGCTCGTAGAGTGAGCTGTTCATATTCGATGTTGGTGTTCATCTCGCGCTGCTCCATCAATTGGACGCTCTCGCTTAGCGTAGCCCGCATTTTGGCCAGTTCCTTCTCCATTTTCTCGATCTGGGCGTCCGAGGCTAGCTTCTGTGTGGTGGTGATTTCCTTGGTGCGCTCGAATTCCTCTTCAGCTGCGCGTCGCTTATGCTCCAAGGCCTCGACCTCGCTTCGCTTTTCATCCATGGCCTCCTTGATGTTGTCTAAGAGGTTGCGTCGGTCTAGGTCGGCGTCAATGGCGTTCTTGCGTCGCTCGTTGATCTCCTTTCTGAGCACCTGGAGGCTGCTGCGGACCGAGCCCCGTAGATCCAAGTTGAGGAGGTGTGCCGGGTGATACCCAGTGAATGGTTCTGCAAGGAGTCTGTCTTCCTCGGGCGAGATCCGGTTGGGCGCCCCGCCGATCTGCGACGTAGAGAAGTTACTTTCGTTGACATTGAGACTGAGTTCGTAGTCCTGTCCTTTGGCATTGACCGCGGACACGGGAATCAGACTGGTCTGGTAGCCCAGCGTGTTGTAAGCCTTGACAATCTCCTCCAGGTCCTCAAGCTTCTTGCTCGCATCTCCCTCCTTCGCCATGACGCGCGTGTGTGTTTCTTCAAGACGGCTGACCGTGTCGTCAAGACTCTTCTGCAATCGCTCGCGCTCGGTATTCATGCGATCAATGTCCTGGATGGTGATTCCCTGTCTGTCAACACTCGCTTGGAGGCCTGATCGTTCCTCCTCGGCCGCAAGTAGTTCCGTCTCGGTCTTCTTGAGCTCGTCATCCAGAAACTTGATGCGAGTCTCGTATTTCTCAATCTTGCCCTGAACGTTCTGGTTGTAATCCTCAAACTTTCGCTTGTCGTCCTCCAAGATCCGAAAATGCTTGTCGAGTTTAGCCATATCAGGTGCGTTCTTTTCCATCTCCTCGATCTGATCACGCAGGGCCCGATTTTCGGCCTCGAGGACCTGCATCTCCTGCACGTACTTCTCATTACCCCTTTCAAACTCCTGCGCCATAATCTCGACGTGAGGCTCAAGGCGTTTTTCGGCTGTCTCGTCATCTTCGTCTTCCCCACCTTGCAACCAATCGGTGTAAGCGCCCGTGAGAAAACGGAAAATAATACGGTCCCCAGAGACATCCACTCCCATCTCTGCACATGCCTCATCGTACTCCCCAGAATCAAACCTCTGCATCATCTGTGCTACCTGCATCAACCAATGCAGCATACCGAGGAAGGTAGGCCAATTCTGACCTCCCACAGCCGCAATCTGGGACTTCGTGATGCCTTTTTCGTAGGGGTAGCGCAGCTGCTTGAGGATAGGTGGGACCTCAGAATCCATGCTTTTCTGGAACCGGTACCCGGGATCAATGCGATGATACAGCCATTGGAAGATATAGTTGAAATCCTTCTGAGTGGGGGACCGGAGGGTGTTTTGGCCTAGGGAATGCTTCATTTCCAGCTCAAAGTTGTTATGGGTCAAATATTCCAGCAGCTCCTGCCCAATCCGAGCCTGGAACGATCTGTCCCTGAGAGGTCGCGGATCTCGGGGGACACCGGCGGCAGAGGGGACTTGGGTGAAAAAGGACTGGGAGCCCATTGCGCCTCCGACAGACGGTCGCGAGAAGACGCTGCTCCTTCGCTGAAGGCTTTGCGATGATGGATTGGAAGACATGGGGGCCGGGGCGTAGCTCTGACGGCCGGCGCTGGCTCCTTGGAAGATATTGCTTGAGACCGAACGTCTGACGGACGAGAGACCGGCATCAGCGCCAAATCCTCCGGACGAAGAGCGCTTGAAGTTAGGTTGCTGTGGGCGAGTGGCAGAGTTCATCAGCGACATGCGCGTGTGCTGCCCAGTGTACGGAGGGTTTAAGGCGCCGATAGAACTGGTGCGTTTCATGGCCGACGACGGTTGAGGGAGAGCAGAGTAATTCTGGACGCTACCCAGAGTCTGTGCCATTGATTAAGTTAGTTGAAGTTACCTCGTTTTCATTCCTGACTGCGCAATGAAAATGCCAAGAGGTCTATTGGCCGTCGCATGAATGAAGTTTGAGAGGGGAGGAGGGGGGTCTGCATACTTCTCGGGGGCGCCTGATACTGAATAAACCTGTGTCCTGAGACATGATGAAAAGATAGCCGCCACTGCGGCTTAGAACAGATTTGTTGACTCAAGAGCTTTACGGAGGCGTTGGTCAAGCGATTAACAAGAATGTGTGAAGAACGAGACTGCAGCGAGCAGCGAGCAGAGAATGGCAGACGGAGAAAAAACGGGCAGCACAACAAGACGGACGGCCGATGTAAACAAGACATGCCACTTCGACCGGAGGCAGCAGGCGGTGGGGAGATCCGGAACAACGCGGCGCCCGGTCGGGAATCACGAGACTCTGGGGAACCTCCGCCGTCCGGTAATGTATTGTCCGTAATTACGGCCAGCGACTTCCCGAGGTCCATCGCTCGCTGCCGATGAGCCTCTCCTCTCTATCTCTCCGACCTCCTCCTCCCTGCTTCTCCCTCCTCCTCCTGCTTCTTCTCGACCTTTTTGGATCCCCCCCATCAAAGCTCCCCCGAGTGTGGACTGCCCAACACCAGAGAGCCTTGGTCATCCTTCCATCATGGCTCGTGAGGAGCTGATCTCCTCTGCTGTAAGTTGAGCACGAATCTGGGTTATACTGTTTCCGGAATCGGAGCTGACCAAATCCCTCGATCTCCAGGTTACTTGTGCGTGTTGACAACGCCCTTGACTCTACTAACGGCTGCTGGAACAATGCCGATTCTAACATTTTTGCAGTCCTGCAGGATCCGGCGGTAGCCTCGTCGCCGGTCGAGAAGAAAGTCGCATTCCTTCAGTCGAAGAACTTAACGAAAGAGGAGGTCGATCTTGCCTTATCTCGCGCCGGCGAAGACCCTTCGGCGGTAGCAGCAGTGACCGCACCATCCTCGTCTACTGGTTATCAATCTCCTTCACCTCAATCTGTCTATCGACCGCCTCCCCCTCCCCAAGGATATGGGTATCCCCCGTATGGTCAATGGCAACCACCCCCAGAGTGAGTACGTCCATTTTCACTGTGCGACAGAGATAAGATTTGTCGAATTAACGCGGAACCGCAGGCCTCCCAAGAGGGACTGGCGAGACTGGTTTATCATGGCGACGGTGATGGGTGGTGTAGGTTACGGAATGTACACGGTTGCGAAGGTCAGTAGTCGCCTACGGTTGGTTCGCTTGATGGTTGAAGCTAACTCGCGCACAGCGCTACATCACGCCGTTGATCGCGCCGCCAACCCCGCCACAATTGGAGCAGGACAAGGAAAATATCGACGAACAGTTCTCTCGTGCATTCACTTTGATTGAACAACTCTCTACCGATACTGCAGCCCTGAAGACGGCGGAAGAAACTCGCACGGAGCGCCTGGATACTGCATTGCGGGAGGTGGAGAACCTTGTGGCAGACCTGAAGACCTCATCGCGGCGAAGGGATGACGAAACTCGTCGCATTAGTGATGAAGTCAAGTCCTTGAAGGATGCTATCCCTAAGGCTATGGAAGGGGCCCGCGAGGGCAACGAGAATCGTCTGAAGGAACTGGGTACCGAGGTGAAGAGCTTGAAGGTTCTTTTGGGCAACCGACTTGGCGGTGCTGGATCTAGTTCTCCTGTCGCCGGAAAGCCTGTCGGCACATCCTTGCCTACTGCTTCTCGACCCTTGGAGGAATCGACTCCCACGACCCCTGCTGCCGCCGCTGCCCCTGCCACTGCAAACGGTGCTTCCGCTATTCCAGTTGCACAGGAACCTCAGCCCTCGACTGGGGCAGCACCAGCGGCCTCGACGCCAAGCACTCCTTCCGCGGGTGGCAACCCCTTGTCCCAGTTCAACCGATCGGCTTCTATCCCGGCCTGGCAGATGGCTGCTGCTAACCGCTCCAAAACTGCATCCCCCGCAAGCCCTGCCACTCCTGCAACCAATGCAGGAGATTCTTCTAGCAGCACGACCGGTGAGCAGCAGGGTGCTCCGGCTAGCTAAAGAGATCGCAAATCATCACTATAACTTCAATTTTAACGCCCATTGCATGTAGAAACTTCTTTTCTGTTGTCTTCTGTCGCTTATTCACTACCCTGTATTTATGACGAATTCAACGGAGTCCGAGACGACGGTCTAATTAGGATAAGGAATACAAGAAAGAACTGTTTGGATTTACAAAACGATCCTCTATAGCTCACTCTCGTTACACTCCCCAATTAATTAGTTACTAGTTACTAGTACGGATAGTTAGTGATAGTCGGGAATCACATGAATCGAGGTACCGCCCGAGAGAGAGAGAAAGGCTTGGCATTGACACCCTTCGGTACTTCCGCGACGTCATTTTTTCTCTTCCCCCTTCTCGACCATAAACCGTCAAATAAACAGAATACCCCCCAACATGCCATCACCCGACCGTTCTACGCACAGACATCCCCGCCATCACCCAAGGTCGACGTCCCCACCCCGATCTCGTTCTCGATCGCGCTCGCGCTCACGCTCCCCCGATCAATCAGACAACAAACATCGCTCCGATAGACATCGAAGACACCACCACCACCACCGTCACCACGGAGATAGCCATAACTATAGCGACAGCCATAGCCATTCTCATCGGGATCGCGACCACAGAAGTCATCGACACAGTCGCCACCATGGCCACGAGCATAGCCATCGCTCGCGACGCTCCGAGCGGCCGTCTTCGTCATCGCATGCGCCTGCGCCTGCGCCTCCTGCGCCCGTGATCCTGCCCATGCAGGCGCGCGAGCTCTCGAAGCGCGATCTACCCGTATACGAGCCGATGTTTGCTATGTACCTGGACATTCAGAAGGGGATTATACTAGAGGATCTCAGTGAGGAGGAGCTGAAGGGGCGGTGGAAGAGCTTTATGGGGAAATGGTAAGAGGCTGGCTTTTTATTTTATTTTATTACTATCCTTTTCTTTGAGGGGGACAGCCTGGATAGCGAGAAAACTGGATTGTTAAAATGGATGGGAAAAGCTAATGGATGGTGGTTTAGGAACCGTGGTCTTCTTGCAGAAGGCTGGTATGACCCGTCTACGTTAGAGAAGGCTCGTCGCGAAGCCGAATCTCACCCCCCTGTGCCGTCTAAGCCCGGACAGTTCCGTGGCTCACCGGACTATGAGAACCCCCATGATGAAGCTACGGGAATCAACTCGAACGTGAGAGTACAGGGCGACGCAGCTGAGGACGAAGATGAGGATGATGATTACGGTCCCGGTCTTCCAACCAGATACGGAGTGACGTTGACGGGACAGCAGCATTCGGGACCGGCAATCCCAACAATGCAGGACTTGGATTTGCGAAATGGTATTTCTTTACTCCTTAGTAGGTCATTGGTTTTAAGCTAGTTTGCTAATATGCTGCGATGTGCTAGAAATGGCGGTTGAGGATGCTATTGAAGCGCGGCAAGATGCACAGAAGTATCGCCGTGCAGAACTGCAGTCGCATAAATCCGAAGTGCGACAGATGGAGGACGAGGTGGCTCCACGCGCTGAGCCGGGAACACACGAGCGGCGCATGGAGAAACGTAGAGAGACAGCGGCTGCTAATCGAGATTTTGCACAAAATCGGCGAGGGGGGTCGCCTGTCGATGCTGCTCCCGAGGAAGAGTTGATGGGGTCTGGCGCTGATGATCTAGAAGCGATGAAGAAAGCGCAGGAGAGGGATCAACGTAAAAAGAATGAGCGTGAAATTAGGAGGGAAGAAATATTGCGAGCGAGAGCAGCTGAGCGAGAGGAAAGATTACAGCAATATCGACGCAAGGAAGATGAAACCATTGGGTGGCTCAAAACGCTGGCTAAGCAGAGGTTTGGTTAAACAATTCGCACAATCTCCATAGCAAATATCTCGACTGAAACTTAAATATTTCCTCTGCTTTTCACCTTCAGTGAGTACCCTTCTTCCCTCCCGCAAACGAGCCCCGACTACAGATATAATGATCTGGGATTTCATTCAGCGGTGAACCTTCAACGCGATGCGATGTGTAAGAACTGAAAAGCTAGACCTGTAGAAGAATTTATGGCAGTGTTGCATTCTTCTGATCAACATCGTCGCAGTACTGAGAACCCCCTGGAGCCATCCATGTTAGACTAGGCCGAGAATTGGTACTGACCAGGATCGAAATTCATATCAGTAGGTTCACTTTCAGTGAGTTTTCTGCGCACCACTGGTCTGTACTTTGATCGTCTGGCCCTCTTTCGAGGCCTCCTCGGGTACGCCAATACGACACCATTGTCTACCTGCTGGAGGACAGGGGTGCTCACAATGTCACCTGTTTCCCCATCCGTTGTCTCGTAATAGGTAACTTTACCATCCACGGGAGAAACCAAAGCCTCAGATGTTGTCGGTGTGAGGATAGCCTGCTGCAGATTCTCCTTGCAAACTTCGTCGGGCTCCTGGAACTGCTTTGGAATTAAAGCATATTGATCCTCCAGAATAGGGTATTGTGCATCTCCGCTTGTTTCTGCAGAAGATCGATGTGAGATCGGAATAAACTCCGGCGCATCGGGCTTCCAGATCGTCCTCTGTAGCGACGAGGAGTCTGTAAAGAGCCTTTCATGAGGCCCCATAGCAAAACGAGTGTTTTTCTGTTCTTGCAAATGCTGCATATTGTTCATCTCACCAGGTTCATTTGAGAACCACTTGTTCATAGTCAGCATCGATGAATCGGTAGGAGTCTTCGTCCTGACTTGGGAAGACCAAAGGCTGGCGTAATAACCATTTGCTGACAATAGTGAGGCGTGGTCCCCTTGCTCGATTAGTCTACCATGGTGTAGAACCAAGATTTTGTCTGCTTCTTTTATTGCAGAGAGACGACTACTATCGCGAATATTAGCTGCTGAAAACAGGACACGGGATTTCCTAATGGCACTCACGAGACTTTGAAGGTGATCTTCACCGCGCAAAGCTTTTTGAGGCTTTGTAGAACGACTGATTCAGCATGGCGGTCTAAACTGTTTGTTGCTTCGTCAAGAAATACAATTTTTGGATTTTTGATTATTACTCGGGCAACTGCAAGACGTTGTTGCTCGCCGAAGGATAGTTTGACGCCATTTCCCCCGAGCAGTGTTTGATATCCCCCGGGGAGCGAATTGAAGAGTTCATGAAGTCCCACTTCTTTGCATGCATCGTATACTTGCCCTTCGCTAGCGAGAACGTTGGCATACCTCATGTTATTCATGACAGTGTCGTGGAGAATGATCGTTTCCTGAGATACAATGCCAACACTGGTACGTAAGCTCTCCAACGTCACATCTCGAATGTTTTGTCCGTCAATGGCGATGATGCCCTGGTGTGGATCATACATGCGTACAAGCAATTTAGATAGGGTTGATTTGCCGCTTCCTGATGGCCCAACGAGAGCTATTGTTTGGCCAATTTGTGCCTCAAAACTGACGTGACTCAACACACGTTTTTCTCCATTGTAGGAGAAGCTAACATCTCGAAACTCGAGATTCTCCGGGTTCCCTATCAGTGGCTTCGCATCCTTCTGATTGCGTATGGCCGGCTCAACTTTCAGTCGTGCTACTAAGTCACATGCGTTGAGAATACCTAGGGCTGAATCCCGGATGGTGCTGGGAAGAAGTTGAAGATGATTAGAGAGTCGGGCCCAGTAGAATACCAACATCACGAAACTCCCAACCGACTTGTTTTCCCAGGCTATCTCATATGCGGCAAGAAGAAATAGTCCGATGGAGCTGACGTACAACAAGCACGACCGGGCAAAAGAATCCAGGAAAGTACCCAGAGAGAACGCTATTGACGAGTGCATGAGATCTGCGAGAGCCGAGCGGTAGCGTAGCTGTTCGTGCTGGATGCGGTTGAAGTAAACCACAGTCGGCCAGTTGGAAGTTGCCTCGTACAGACATTTATGCTCGGCTTCCATATCACGAATTAGGTGTTCCTGTCTGCTCAAAAGTCTCGGTAGCATCTCGCTTGACACCCACAAGACGGCAAGAAAGATTGTGCTGAAGATCATCGCCATGTACATTCCAAACATCCCTGAGAGCACTGCCAAGGCTACCAAGGCATCGATGAGGGTTGGAATGACGTGAAAAATGTATGAACGAACAAAATGACGAACACCTATTACCTGACTGACCGTCTCCCAAAGACTTGTTGCATTTGTTTTGTCATGGAAGTCGCCTGATGATGACATGATCTTATCGAAAGTAGTCGCACCAATCCTGAAGCAAAAGTGCTCCTCGAGAGGAGACCACAAGCACCTGCATAACTGAGGGATACCTCCACTAGATTCGAGGAGCCAGAGACCTGCGAATACGATTATCTCTCTGTATGGGATTGTACCTGTAGAAAGTCATGGCAATCAGCATGGAATAATTGGTATTTTCAGGTTTCACCGGGGATATCTTTCTCAATTGCTTGGGGCAAAAACTTACCAGGGTTCATCAAAAAGGAATCAATCGCGAGTCCCAGTTTCCAGGGCACAAAAAAGATCAAAGCCCTCTCTATCACCATGAGAATGACCAGTATGCCACACAGCAACTGTAAAAGAGGCTTATTTTGCGGCCAGAAGAAGGGTACGAGAAACTGAACCGACGTCAATAATGGTTAGCAGTGATGATCAACAGACTGAGCAGTATTGGGCTTACGCCGGTTTTTCTCAAATACGAGTCGGTTCCACTCTCGACATCATTGACCTGCGGAGAATAAGAGGGTCGATTCCAGGAAATTGCACCGTACTGGGCGTCTCCCCGTGCATTGGGGTTATTGTTCCGGCGCGAGGGATCGTCGCTAAGCAAAGGTGACGTTTCACTATGCTGGCGCCTGGAGGATAACAAAGGCCCGATCAAAACAGTAACGAGGAGAGATAGTATTGTCAAGCGGAATCCACGGACAATTGTGATGATGGTTGCGTATGGGTCGTTTATCGATTGCAAAGGCGGAGCCCCCAATACGAAAAAGAAGACCTCTCCGACGCAGTATAAAATGGAACATCCGGCAAGCGAAAGGTATGGCGAGACCCGGGGACCCGAGAGCTCAAACAAGAGCGAGAACCAGATAAAACTCGAGTTTGCGTCATATGCCTTTCATTATCTGTTTGTTAGTGAGCATCGTTGAATCCAAACCAGGAGAGCCTCACGAATCTATCACGAGATATAGTCGCGGCCTTTGAGATAGATAAATGAAGAAGGAAAATAGCACTCAAGACCTAATACCAGTCAGTTACCATATCATAGTACTCGTATGTCATCGAAAGGAGGGGGTACATAGGTGATGCAAATGATGCACGCGAAACATAGACTAATTCGCCGGAAGAGCCTGTCATCACCACGCTGGCGATGACCCAGGGCCAAAGCAATACAAGCTGAGGTAACATAATAAACAGCAGCAGTTGGTGGCAAAAACCAACGGACTGCTACGATGGCGTTTGGTCCGAGAGTATCCGAGTTGACCGTATTGGAGACAGCCATGTTGATGAGCATCAATTCTTATCAACCTTGCTCGAATCGGGGCAGCTTCTTATCTCCAGAGTAGTGACTTCAAAGTACCTATGTATTCAACGAAAAGTATGTATCGATCAAGGGAATCCAGATGATTGATAGTAAGGCGGGAGGGAAATAACAGGGAGCCTGCTGGTCCCCGATATTGTCGGGGAAGGAGGGAAGGAAGGAAAGAAGGAAGGAACCCCCCCAGCATCCTTATGTGGAATGAACAACTGTTGTACATAGTCTAAGCCCGATATGACACCCTCTAATTTAACTTTTATGCATCGATTCCAAGTATAAGAACGCCGGCTGCGTCTGAAGAGAGAAGACACAGAACAAAAGAAGAAAGAAAAAAAAAACGAAGATCAGACCTGCCTCTATAGAATAACTAGAACTTCCTTCCGAGATCAACATTAGCGACCAGTTTCATATGTTCAGTACCCTCAGCGGCCGATTCGTCCACTCCAAAAAAGGGTTTGACGGCAACGTCCACCGTCTCTTCGAAGAGACGGCCCACAACGGCCTCTTTCAGGTCTTCTCCTGTTTGAGCAAAGTCGGGATAGGCGTTCACTTCAAGGAGCCATGCAGTTCCCTGTTTGTCGACCAGGAAGTCCAGGCCGTACAGTTCAAACGCGTTGGGAAGGGTCTGGAAATGAATCATCATTCCCCTGGCGGCAGCTTCGAAAACTTCACCCGTCACGGCACAGATTTGGTCAAAGACCTTTGACTTCCAATCGTCCCCGAGCCCCGGGACATAGTGATCTAGCTGCCAGAATCGACGAACGCTCTCTTTGTTGGCACTACCGCCCTCCTGGAAACATGTGTTTGTAAGATGTCGTGCAAGATCCGTCACCTCATCCTCATCCTCCCATGGGGGACAGTATGGTTTTGCCGCGAACAGCGCGAGCATTTCATCGAAGACGTAGACCTTCAAGGCGCCCACAGCAAGGACATACGTGCGGATGTGAAACTTTCGCTGAGACGAGGAAGGGAGAAGCAAAGGCGGATCGATGTACGGCTGGGCGATGAAATGGCGCAACTGGGATGTAACCACTCCGTTACCACCATCATCCTCATCATCCTGCTCCTCTTCAGGCCGCTCTGATCCACTCTCTGCATCTGATTCGTCGACTTCCCATTCTTCGAATATCTCTTGCAACTGTTCTTCGCTGTTGAAGAGACGGATTCCTTGGCCACGATCACTCATGCCGGGTTTTAGGATCCACCACTCCTTCTCCGATGCCGGTCTCTCTTCGTTCTTCTCCAAGCTGTCCCGCAGCTCGTACGCCTCCAGTAGCGCATCATCAAGAAATTCCGCGTAGTCCAGCTCAAAATCATATCCTAATTTGACATGTTTTCCTAAGATACTGTCTGGGTGCTTCGTGATCCAGGTGGTCACCGTGTTGGATAGATAATGCTTGCGGATTAATGCCTTGCGAATGATATAAGCATTGGCCAGAGACGTGGAGGAATTGAACATGACATGCTCAAAATCAAGGCGTTCGTATTCACGATACTGGAACACGGGCGTTGAAGTAGATGGTAGATCTGACAACGAAGATATAGCTTTATAGCGGGTTTCGCCGAGCCGACGTCGTAGTGCTTGTTCCATCAGACTTTGGACATATGGATCATCACTGTCCACAATAGAATGTAATGCAGGCTCATCATTATCGGGTCTACACGATTTAGGTCTATCAGAATTTCGGCCATCCAAAGAAAGATAAACCATAGACAACAAAACCGGAGAAAAGACTGCAAACGAGGGGGTGTGAAGCAACGCGCTGAATCAAATCGACTATAATAGGCACTCGAAATAGGAAAGGAGGGGTAAATTCAGATCAGGACGCAATAAACAAGTATTGGGATGTCACATATCGTCGTATAGATTCGTTCGCCAAAAAGTCCACTCACAGCTTAATCTCTCCTTGAAATCCGGGCGCGTGCATGAAGTTGACCTTCAAGGGTGTGACGCTAATTTGAATTAGTGACACGAAGCAATTGATAATCCGTGGGGTCTTAACGAACCTTGTCATTCCCTCCTTGACCGTCCAACCGTCATTACCCGGCTTGCTGTCTTCGACGCTCTTGTAGACATCGGAGAAGTTTGGTGCCCATTGGAAATGCTTGTGTTGGATCTGAGACCTCCGTGCGGGAGCACCATCGGCAAGTTGTGCCTTAGATGTACCTCCCTGATTCCGCACCTCCTGCTCGCGTAAATTGGGATTTTTGTCGGACACGGCGGCTTCCACCGCCTGGAAACAACTCCCCGATTTCCACCGATTGTCGAGCATCTCGGTATAGAAGATTTTATTTTCACTGACTCCAGGCTCCAGTGGTACATTAACAGAGTAAAGGTCCACGCCATCCGCCCAGTTCTTAGCGAGGTATTCGATCAATCGAACCGAGTGGCCGGACGCTTCGGCAATCACAACCGGATCATGGTCTCGGGAACTGAAAGCGTAAGATAGAGCCACCGCGCGTTTTCCACAGGCAGCTGCCTCCATAGCACCACCGATTGTGCCACTCGACATGGCGAACAGTGAGGTTGTGTTCCGGCCGTAGTTCGGGCCTGAAACCACGAGATCCACCGGCCCCCGATCCTGGAAATAATGGTAGAGACCGATCTGGACGCAACTGGCCGGGGTTGAGTCTATCAAGACCCATTCGTCGCCGTCATGGTCTTTCTCGTCCTCACTGTAGCACCGAGGCAACGCGTGTGTAGTTCCATCGTCTTGATGGAGTGTGCCCGGTCGGAAGTAGGTAGGCTTCACCGAAGCACCGATCAAATGAGCCTTGCCGATCCAAGATCGCTGTTGGTGTGGCAGAACCACCGAGACCACATGCCCGGCCGATTGTAGCGTGTGGACGAGAGAATGGACGTAGGGAGACGACTGGTTCGACGGGGGGCCGTCGTCGTTAACCACCTACGTGTGGAATTGTCAGCGAATGGATTCGCCCATGATAGCTGCGCCATGAGACGCAATCCGAATAGTACCTACAAGGATATGCATTGAGAAGGGTAGACAGAATCACTGCCAAGGAAAGAATGGAGAGGAAAGTCAAGTCGGGGAGGAGGGGAAGGAAGAGGAAAAGAAATCGGAAGTTCCCCCCCGCCTTTTTTCCCCTCCGGCGGGTCCACTCGCTGTTATCGATAGTCTCTCCTCCGGGGCTCTCTGCTTGCTCTCTACGTTTTCTACACACCCATGGATGGTTCATTCTATACTTGCGATCCCTTTCCATTGCAGCGGGACTGGTATGCGCTTCATCGGAGATCAGATCAGATCAATTCGTTGAGTTTGGGGTATCCTAAATCATTACATTGATCATCTCCAGCCATGCCACGCGAATTACTAGTGGAAATCGTCATCCCCGTACAAATGGCGTCTTCGTCGTTGAACCCCCTGCGCCCTCGAACTCTCCAATCCGGACCCGGCTCCGGACGCTCGGTTCTCTGATGATCCGTCGCTTTCATCGTCGGCCTGATACTCCTTCTCTTTTTTAATACTCCGCTCGGGTTGGTCGTGGGATGTATCCAGAGAGCTCCCCAACGGCGACGTCGACTCCTCAAGGGGCTCCTGCTTGATCCGGGTGTCGTCGCGATCCTCCTTCTTCGCTGCCACCTTATTGTCTTCACCAATGTTGGCAAGGGTAGCCAGTGTAAGCCACATGATCGTTGCAGAGACCATGGAGATGCTCCAAAACATAAAGGTAAAAACAAAGAACGATGTGATTTTCCAATTGTACATCAGCCACCTATCGTTCAGTCAGTACTGTCAATCGACATTGGGGCCAGTGGAGCAATACCGCATTCCAGTAAACCTAGCCCTAAATGCCACTTTTGCCTTGTACACCTGCATTTGCTGTTGACTATGGATCTCCAAACGAAGACTTTCTGGAATGCTGCGCCGTCCCCGAGCGAACTGCACTCGTTCCATCATAGGTACCTGCAGCTTTTCGGATTCCCGTTGCCAGCCCAGCACATAGAAGGGCATAAACGACAGCTTGCTGGCAGTGTCTATCAAAGGTGACGAATACGTCAGGATGGCAGGTCGACGGGATCGCAAAGAAGAGTCGGTGGACGCGTTCGCACTGTCCAGAATGGGTGATGAAGGATTCGGGATTAATGTCAAGTCGAGCATAAAGTTTCCGGTATCAAGATTGGAAGGGGTGCGCGGCAATTCCAGCTCAACGCTGACGTCGTACTGTTGAAGGGAGATGAGCCCGGAACCGAGAGAAGTCGTACCCCAAGGATGTCCATCGCTGCCAAGTTGTGTTAGTCCATCTGATGAGGACGCGGGCATGTGCGCCTTCATCACTTACCCAAATTGTAGATGTACCACGCGTTCCAAGTCGACCTGCGGAATGATTCTATAGTAGAATATGCCGTACGCAAATATTGAAATGAGGGCCATGCAAATAGCGGAAAGAAACAGGAGCAGCGTCCCCAGGTATGCCTTTTGCGCCCGCTTCGAAATCAAGGGCCGAATAAATGCGGCCGACGTGCCCTATGCGTGTTTGGGTTTTGCGCCGATCAGCATTCTGCTTCCGAGCAATGGGGTTGTAAGGTTCTTACAAAAGCCTTGGATATGAAGGTTGTTTCTTCATTGGCTTCGCCATCAGATTGCCCCTGTTTCGTATCCATGGCGAGGCCAGTCGAGGTTGATTCCCAGGCTGGGGAGAAGGAAGAGTGTTGGCAGAGAGCGGGACGAAGACAACAGACAAAGCGGGTCGCGTCGACGTCACTTGGCAGCCTCAGGCCAGCACCCCCGACAGCCTCGGCATCTCTGTTACTACTGTACTACACAAATTCGTAATCTCTAGAAGGTCATTTCACTGAACAAAACTCATTATACCCCCGTTTTTATAGCTTATCGTTACAGAAGTCACCACACCCGTGGTACTAAAATATAGATAGAGAGAAACAAAGAAAAAAACATGCTACAAGAGAAAACACGAATAGCAAAGAGAAAAAGATATAGGTTCCATGTAGGCCAAAACCATGCTGACACGTCCTAATATGCATATCCCTCCCAGAAACCCAACCGAGAAATGGCAATAAAATAAGAAAGAAAGCAGAACCCAGCACTCTGAATGATGAAAGAAAAAAAGAAGAGGAAACATTCCTAACATACACCGTAACATAGCACCATGGACGGGGCGCTGCTTGTCATAAGCGGCATCTGCAAATACCGCAAGAGCATTCATCTCCGCCAAATGCAATTCATCGAGGCATGATCAAGTAAATCATATTAATAAGAGTGAAAGAACGAGAGATGGTGAAAGTAATAGACGCCGTCGGGACTTAAGATAGCGCCCTGGGGCTCTGCTGCTGAATATGCTGCAGGAGGGCGTCGAACAGACGACCGATCTGAAGGACACGCATTAGTAACTGATCAATTCAACACAGGGACTGGAACAAGATGGAACTCACCTCAGGCGCAGCCTGGATAAAGGGGAGGCGGAAGAAGGTATAGCTTCGGTTTTGAAGCAGCTCCTGCAGCGTAATAATCAGTCCCCAAGGGTGAGGGCGATGGACGATCAACCGTTCGAGAAGAACTCGGATGATTTGTTGGCGGATGTCGGATTCATCCTGTTCCGAGTTATCCGCACCAAAGAGACGAAGGATAGCAAAACTAAAGAAGTAGGTGTGGCTGTTGGGATATCGCAGCTGGTTGGCCATGGCGCTAAGAAGGTAATAGCGCGCTTCCGGCCGGAGAATCTTCGCCAGCGTCTCCAGAAGCGCGGAGTGCGCTGAATTATCAAATGCCGCGCGGGTGTTGCCTTTCGGTGCGTTGGCGGAGACGGCGCCCTGACCGATGTATAGCACCAGCGCGTTCACGAGCACGACATTGACGTTAACCGGGGCATAGAAAAGGCCAGTCTCTTTGCTGCTGGGGTCATAGATCGCGTCACATATCTGTTGGACAATGGATTCCGAAGTGCTGGAGCTCTGCAGAGCACAGTCTACAACACTTTTGATGTTGGCCTGCTCCAAAGGAGCAGCGGTGTCGCCGGCAATCCGTGGGGCTTCGCGCATCTCTTCCAGACGTTCAACTTTCAACCCCTCTCTAAAAGGATCAGGGAGCTTATGGAAAGATGATGGGTAGGCGCTCAGGACAAGGTTCCGCAGCTGAGCACAGTGGGCGGGAATGACGTTGCAGAACTCGAAATGATTCTCCGCCACAAACTCGGGAAAGTCATGATGCAGGATGAGTAAGACACGAAGCACCCCCTTATACAGATCCTTAGCGACATATGAAATGCTGGCCGGTTTGAGCTGCTCGCCAATGTACGAGAGAAGAGCTTGCATGATTTCACAGTAAGGGCCCCAACCCGCTCGGTCCGGCATATTCAGCATGCCAGACATGAAGAATCTGTGAGACACCAAGGAGAGCCATCCATAGACAAACGCAGGGCAGTATTTGGGCTCAAGAGACAAAAGCTTGTTGGCCAAGGCGAACATCATTTCCTGGTGCTGGTCACTCTGTTGAAGACCATTCATGGAGTATTCGCATAAGATGCTGGAGAAGAGTCTGAAGAACACACGCTGGTTGAAAGCTTCTCCCCGCATAACGTGGTGGTGGTTAAGGACGAGGACAAGTAGCGACAGGATCGAGTTGAAGTATACCGCCTTATTAGTCTTCGGAGAAACCTCGTTATCGCTCTGGAACTTAACGAGCAAGATGACCAATTTGCCAAGAGCATCGATGTAAAGGAAGGCTTCGTCGAGGCTGCCATTGGGGTTCTGCGATTCATGCTCGAACATGGCGACGGAGATGTCAATGCTGAGACGGAAGAAAAGGGCTGAATCCTCTTGGTTGTCCATGACCTGTCTCTGGTGAATATCTTTTAGGAACGAGTAGTAAGTGCGGTCAACGGCACCCGGGGCTTTATAGATCCCAATCCATTCAGTGAAGATGTATTCCATTTGGTCACGTTTGGCCATTGCCTTATCGGTGAGGAAAGGGTTGGCAACCTCGGGGATTCCAGATTCACGCAACTTGCGAATGATTTCATTGGCGGTTGAAAGGCTGGAGTCCTCCGCAAGCCATTGGCTCATTGCTTCAAGACTGCCCGAGAAATCAGATCTCAGGGCAGAGGGCTCCTCACTAAAGAGCACTCGGTCCATAAGACTAGCAAGCAAGTCGAGGGAGCCCGTGGACCTTTGAAGGATGAGTCTGGTAAGAATCATATCGACACGTCGAATATCCAACAGACCGGCGTCGATGAGAGCAACAGAGACCGGAACGTTAAACATATGTTCGTCTTCCACTTCAGACAGTACAGTCCACGTATAACGGGCAACTAGGGTGGACATATCGCATAATTTTGCGAGAAGGTGCACGAGGACTTCAACTTCTAGCGTAGCCTGACTTTGTGCGTACAAGGCTGTGCAGATCTTAAGGGAAGTCAATCTCGCCAGTTCTTCACCGTTTGGAGAGGCAACAATAGAGCGCAATGCCTGGTTGTATTCTTGCAGGACGGCACTGTCTCTGCCGAGATCTCGGACGCGTTCTTCGGTTGCAACCCGAGCTGCCTGTTGAAGTTCTGCCACGATATTCTCAACCTTTTCGCGTGGATTCTGCGAATCCAGAAATCCGTTGAGTTGAGACGGTGCGCCGACGATGCCGGACTGCTGTAGCCGAGCATCCTGTTGCGCCTGGGGCGTGCGGTGCGGTACAGCAGGTTGCTCCGCTGGAGTCGAAAGGTTAGGAATCGGAGGGGGGTAAGGCTCTGGAAGAACATCTTGAAGTTGTCGGCTGGAATCAGTGGACACATTTTGTGCATGGGCTGTCCCCGTCCCTCGAGATTGGCGTGCAAAATCCTCATATATAGCCAGCTGTTCCTTGTTAAGTCCACCCGGTGCTTGGCGATAAGGCTCAGGAATGAATAAGCCCCAGCGATTCATGGATGGGTCGATGAACGGCTCATTAGGACGAGCCGCACGATGGCGCCGACGGGCTTCTAGTTGCGGCTCGATTACCTTTTCGATCTCGGGGAATGACTTCTCCTCTGCTGCTTTCTCGACGATACCGCAGGCGGCATCGAGGTTGTCGTTGACACACATCAAAATCAAACCCTCAGGCATGGGCTGGTCTGAATACTCTTGCTGAATCATTCGAATGTAGTTGGTCATACTAACTTTAAGAGGCTCCTTGCAAGTTACAAGAGCTAAGCTTCCAGCAAGTTGCCTGACCATGATGCCAGCTGCATGACGAACCTTCTCCTCGTCCGGCTCCATGGCAAAGTCCTTTGAGACGAGTTGAACGGTGGAGATCGAAGCGATGGTCACGGACCGTTCCACCACAGGTGTGATGATCTCTGCAATAGCACGCTCCACGGCGGTGTGAACAATTTGCCGAAGAACATTCGCATCGACCATGCTGCTTGCCGATGACGGCAGAACAAGAATCTTATCAAGGCTCGGAAGTGTTGACAAGATCGCAGCAGGCGACAGCCTCTCGTTTCGGATACCTTGATTGATGCCAGTAAGAGGCATATCTTCAAAAGTTTCAAGGCCATCCGGAATATTTGCCGTCGAGAGGGCGTCTTCAATGTGCGCTGAACGGTCCCGAATGATCACTGAGGGTTCGATCACTTTGTGGTCAAGGTCAAGGTCTTTGCACAAAACCTCAATTTCAAACTTGAGATTTAATTTCAATTCCGCAAAATGATAGAGTTCCATCAACAGAGCCAGAACATCCATCAACCAAGGGTTTGGGGGATTAAAAACGGTGGATTTCGTAGCCTGTACCAACACCTTACAAGTAAACGGGATGACGATAGTCAGACGTTGGCTGTCGAATCCTTCTAGCAGGAGTCCCTTGAAGTAGACATTCTTATGCTTGACAGGCTTGTCCTTGGCAATGGTCAAGGATCCAAGCCAAGATCCGAGGTTTTTCAAATGACCACGTTCAGTCGAAGAATTTAGCGTCGCCTCCGAATTGAGCAACTTGGAGACGCTAACGTAGGTTTCTCGGAGAATCTCCGCCCAGAGAACCCTATCGTTGATGCGGTCGAGGAGGTCCAGATATAGCTGTTGGAAATTTGGTTGCAATTTTGCACGCTCTTCCACTAGGTAAGAAGCAAACCATTGGTGATGCTGGTCACGAAGAACATCAGTGAGATCCCGCAGCTTTTCCTCTATGTTCTGCTCTGACACATTGTTCAGGACAAACAAAATCTTGTCTTGGATGTCCTCGTCAGGATTCTGATAGACGTCGGGTCGCAGAGGCGCGTCAACGTGAACAGAAACAAACTTGCGCCCGGGTCCTTCCGTACCTGCCGCCTCGTCGATGTTTCCATTGGCCAATGACGAGGCGGATACATTGTCTAGACGCGCGGGTTCAGAATCTCTCACTTGGTTTCCTTGCTCCTGCAACACTTCTTCGGCCTTCTGGAAGATTGGCGTGCCCTGCAGGCTCGGGATCTGAAGCAAGAGATGGCAAAAGCCGGCCCATTCGGACAGCCGGCCGATCAATTGCTCAATAGCTTCAACGCCGAACTTGTACATCGGATCGTGTACCTCATGTTCTCGGACAGCCTCAAGAATCATACCAAGGCCTACCTTCAGCGTAATACCATCAACAAGACGGAAATTGATGATACCACCAAACATGACGGCGGTCTTGGTTAAGGCCTCCAATGGGTATTCGTGGTAGCAATGATACTCATCAATAAGTCCATGAACCATACACGCAAATAGGTCTTGTTCACCAGGTTCGCGCGAGGACTTGTACCGTCTCATCAACTCAAGAATCTCTCTCAACGACAACTCTTCATGGTACATCTTGCCGAAAAGTTCTTGCATTTGCTTGTCAACGGCCTCAGGTAGAGAATTTCCACCTTCGCCATTTGCATCGATAATATCATCGTACCCTTCCCCATAGTTGATCAGTCGGGGGTAGGTCTGGATGCAAATTCGTTGCACGGGAGTAAGATTTTCGCGGTCTCCGACGTATTCTTCAAGGACTGATAATAAAGTATATACCGTCTTCACTGATAAACTGACCATCTGAGGAACGGATTGCTCCTTTCTCTGGACGTGCAGTTCGTCTTCAGCCTTGATTCTCAAGAATTTTGACAGCAGACTACCCATGTCCATAGGTCCCTTCTGCGCAGCATTACGAACCCATTGCTCCAGATCAAATGGCCCCTTGCGGTGAGCATAGCAAGCGAGATCCATGGCAAGGCCGTTGGTGTATCTCAGGAGATAATCCAGCCAGTTGTATTCAGCTGCATGCTCATAAATGGTGGCGGTAGATGTTGGGTCTTGAGTGAATGTAGTAAAGAGTTGCTCCGATACCCATTGCTTATCTTGATGCCACGCCCCATGAAGAGCGAGCTGATACCCCTCCTCTTGTTTTGAGATGAAAACAATCAGCGTTCGCAGAACAAAGCTTTGCTGAACGCTTGTCCAAGGCTGGGGAAGGGCCAGTGCCGAGCATAGGAAAACTGGCAAGTCATACTGCACGACCGCCTTGATGAGCAATTGGCTTTCAGCAGCAGCCCATGAGGCCTGTGAAAACAGCGCCAGGTCAAAGATGGCCCTCATTGCATCAAGAGACCGCAGAGGTGATTTTGCCGCCCGTTCCCCTTGCAGGCGAACGAGCTCCGGGCCGTCTGCGAAGAAGTCATGGGGGAAAGTGGCTCGAAGGCTAGGGATCTGCGATACATCCGTTCGTGAGACGATGAGAGCTGTGAGGAACGACAGCTGCGTGTCTCGATGTTCCCAATCACCACCCCACAGCTTCTGGATATCCAATGTAGAATCATCGGATGCAGCTGTCAAAATGACCGAGTAAAGCCTGGCGAACTGTCGAGCATCCAGCCTCAGGCCTTCACGATCAAAGTTCCTGAATATGAGGGGCCAGCTGATTTGCTTTTCGCCATAATGCGCCTTCACAGCAGCAAGGAATGTCTCCAGAGAGAACTCCTTCCAATACTGAGAGAGAACAAGGAAGAGAAGAGCACTGGCAATATGTTCCTCATTCCAGCATTCGGAGCCAGCCAAGCTAATCACCTCGCTCACCGCGTCGGGGTTGGAGGTTGCCTTCGGTCCTTTCGCATGAAGTTGGCGTACTAACGTATAACGTGGGTTGGTGAAATTGAACATTTGCAACGCGGACGCGACCTCGAAAGGCACATCGAGGTTCAGTTTTTGATATCGCAAGTTGGCTGCATACACAAGTTTTGCCTTCACATCATCGGTGAAATTGCGCGGGGGGTATAGGATGAAGCGCTCGATCGTCATGCCGATAAAGGAGTCCTTGTATTCCTTCGTAATATCTGACGGCGACGCAAGGCTTTGCAGGAAGGGGATGGCATTGTTCGAAAGGATGGCATCGGCTAGAGATTTGGCAACAGTCAGCTCCCAGATGGTCTTCGCATGTAATATATCATCAGACACATACCCTTGGCACGCAGGTCCGACTTGTTCGCTGTCTTGAAGGCAAGAGCAAGAGACACCTTCACCACGGAGTCAAGCTTGAAGTGGTCCAGGAAGGTGGATAGGTCGAAGTCGCGGAAGATGTCGCCCTCCGATGCATCAACCGTCTCTGCAATTTTATAGGCCTGTTCTTTATCTTGCGATACTTTCTGCATCTCCTGAACGAGAAGTGGGTAGTTCCCTGCATTTTCCACCGACTTATTCACGCCTGGGAATATCTGCGGGGCATTGCCTGTGAGAAGGCGCCGGAAGTACTTGGAGAAAACCTCCATGCCGTTGGACTCGACGAGCTACCGAGCGGTTAGTTGGGCAATGGGAGCGATACGAGGAAGCATCCAGGGACTTACTTTATGAATCTGAGCAGCTTTTGTCTCCCACTTCTCTCGACCTTCTTTCTCTGTGATAGAATCCAGAAGAAGGAAAACCTGGGCGATCGATATCTTCGTCAACGACGACTGGCTTGCGTGAGCCGCTGCTCCTGAAGCAGCCGAGCCCGGTTTGTCAGAGAAGCCCGTGGGTGAATTCACGGTTGTTCCCGATAACAACGGAGAGAAGGTGGCGCCTCTGGAAGATCCCGTCCCACCTCCGCCTCCCCCGGAGCCTCCTCCACCCGTGACAGAACCCGCTGCGGAAGCCAGATGTGACCCTGAAGATGGGGTGTGCGCTCGGAATTTAGGAGAAGAGAGTGATTGTCCGGGTTGCTGATGTTGTTGCGATCCAGATTGTAGGGAGGTGAAAGGCGACGGTGTGGAGGCAGGCGAGGGAACGTTGCGGCCGACTTGATGGCCTCGTGCGGAACTCAACACGGCAGAGAAGGAGGAAGTGAGAGGAGACGAGGTCGAACCACCTGGACCAGGACTACTAGACTGGGGTGGCCCGCGGGAAGAGGCAGATGATATCGATGTCGATGCGAGGTTGTTGGTCGCAAGCGGAGTCAGTCCCCGGCGAACGTTGGACTGGGACGCGGATGAACCCCAAGCAGATTGCTGTGACCTTCCCGGCCTGGTCGAAGAAGAGGACTTATCGGTGCCAGAAGCAATCGACGATTGGGAGGAAGGGGGAGGGGGAGGGAAGGTCATCTAGGAGACGCGATCATTTGATCTGAGGACGACCGACAGATTTTTTTGAATTTGGTGGGAACAGTTTGAAAAATATATAGTTTAGATTTAATTGTGATTGTGCAGGGGATGGTCGATGCAAAGATGGGGAAGTCTTGCCTTGGCAGCGAAACGAGGAAGGGGAGTGAAGATGGATGTTGCTTCGTGGCACAGGATGGAAGTTCCGATGGGAAGTGAGTGACGGGCAGAGAAGGCGAGGTTGAGTGGACGGGCAGGTGGAGAGGGGTGCCTGAGGTCACCCACACTAAGCTCAGCTCGGTAGGCAGCCCAGGGCATTGACATTCGACCACCCTCCGTTGCCAGTGGGGGATGGGGGTGGGAAAGGTCAGAGGGAGTGAAATCGGACTTGACCGGCTCTGTCGAATTGTCTACAATACGGGTCTCACATTTCACCGGCATTATCTGCCACTCGCAAAGGCATTGGCGAGTCTATGGGGTACTGCTCGAGTCGACGGCACGTGATAAGAGCCGCCGGATGGACTCTGCTTATGCAATGACTGAGTCAGCCGCTCTGGGCTTCAACCCTACAGAGAGACCAGGCAGCATCCGGCAGTGCTGGGCATCGTTCCATGGCAGGTGCGACGGGCGCTCGTCATGTCTTGTCCTTCGGGTGATAAAAAATATTGGGCATTATTTAGCTTTTTCTCGAACATTACCGGGTGGTCAACTCAGAATCTACGGATGGAGTGCCTAGGCATAGATGTTATATGTTTCAAGTATTGTAGGTAGTTTTCGTGGTAGAAAAGCTATATCCTGCTGTACCGATTGGATAAATCAGGTCTCAGGCGGTCACGATCATGATCAGGGTCTGCATTACATGTGGTTTGGCTCGAGTTATGCAGGTCGGTGAAAAGACACGAGCTGAAGCTGGGCGTTGTCGTGGACCGGCGTGACTTGCCCCGTGATGTAGACCCCGGTTGCCCCGAGAAACGTGGAGCCGTAAACATCAACCTTCATTCCTTCCAGACCCAAGGATAGATATGCTCAACTCCACCAAGTCCAGCTCGACTGTGCTGTTCTGCCCAATCTTTCCGCAATTTGCGGTTTTCTTTTCAATATCCCGGGGATATTTTGGGCATCGGGTTCTGCCTACGTTACGTTGAAATAGCCTTGCTTTTTGAGCCTCGATTCTGCTTTCTTTTCCTTATCTCCTACTGCTCGCTTCTTGGATTTTTCTTTTCAACTGCTCCTTCTTCGCGGTGATCAAACGAGCAAAGGCTGGCCGAGGCTCGACCAACATTGACACAATATAATCTACCCACATGCCGGGAACAGTTGCGGATGGGCCAACCGTGGCCATGTCCTGTATGACCTCTTCCCACTGTGTTCAGAAATGCAAACATTGCTAACCAGCTGTAACTCGACTAGTTGCCAATAACTTCTGGGGAAAGGATGATGCCGGTGTTGGGCCTATGCTAGATCGGATGCATGGTTCTAAAGTCTCCTGCGACGAGTTAAAAACATTCTACAACAGTGCGTTCACTTCGTTCATAACCCACCCCCCCCCCCCCCCCCTGCGAAAACGACACTCCTCTAACTGGATGGACAGTTCGGGCTGCTATCGAAGAAGAATATGCACGAAAGCTTCTGGCGCTTTGTCGCAAATCGCTTGGATCTTGTGAAACCGGCTCGCTCCGTTCATCCTTTGACGTGATGCGCGGCGAAACGGAAGCCATTGCGAAGTCCCACGCCGCTATCGCCGTCCAGATGAAGCGAGAGCTGGAAGAGCCTTTGATAGCCTTCGCCGGTGGATCGAAAGAGAGGAGGAAAATCATCCAGACAGGAATTGAACGGTTGCTGAAAACCAAGATTAACCAGACTCAATCAGTAAATAAGGTAAGTTGGTTAGAATTGGTGCCCCATGAGAGGGAACATAGACTAACTGCCCCATAGACCCGAGATCGCTATGAGCAGGATTGCCTAAGAATCAAAGGGTACCTTGCACAAGGACACATGGTAATGGGACAAGAAGAGCGCAAGAACAAAGCAAAACTCGAGAAAACACAGATACAGCTTGCTTCTAGTAGCAGCGAGTACGAAACCGCCATCAAGATTCTCGAAGAGACTACCGGGCGTTGGAACAAGGAGTGGAAGTCTGCCTGTGATGTAAGCTTCACCAGACACACGCAACAACCCTAGGCAGTAAAACTGACTCGTCGCCAGAAATTCCAAGATCTCGAGGAGGAAAGACTTGACTTTACGAAGAGCAGCCTGTGGACATATGCAAACATTGCGTCCACAGTCTGCGTTAGCGACGATGCTGTGAGTTAAGAGACTTCTCTGTCATCTAATCTGCGGGAAATCGTGCTAACCCTTTCCTAGTCCTGCGAGAAGGTGCGCCTTTCGTTGGAAAATTGCGAGGTCGAAAAAGACATTGTCCATTTCATCAAAGAGAAGGGAACAGGCCAGGATATCCCGGACCCTCCACGTTTTATTAACTTCTGCCGCGGAGATATCAATGACTCAAGCTCGGAAGTGTCCGAAGAAGATGGATATTCTGTGGCCCAGTTCCAACGCACCATCAATCCGGCGTTCCGCAGTTCCTCGCCCCAGCCGTCGACTTACGAATCTCATCACGACCCACAGTCCGATCTCGCTGCTAAGATGGGCCACAATGAGCCACCGACTCCCTCTAGCAGAGAGACTACCGTCACTCCACAGAGACCAATGCAGCCACCACAAATGCAGCCACCACCAACGCAGCAGCCGCCCCCATTGGATCTTCGTCGGGGTGGCCACCCTCCTCCCAACTATGACCCGAACCAGCACGGTGAGATCGGAAAAGTGCCTCATAATGCTTATCCGACAGATGGTATGACGATGTTTTGCAGAACCGGCCCCCCTTCAGAACGTAGTTCAGGAACGAACAGTGGTTACCGCCCCTCGAGCCGCGATTCCCAAAGTGAGGTTTCGAACCCAACGTCGATGTCCAGTCAAGAGCCGCCAAGTGCCAGACAGTCCCCAACCAAGCCTATTAATGGCGTGGCCCTTCCGGGTATCAGCAACGAGAAGCAAGTTCAGAAGAAGAGAAGTGCATTCTTCAGCAACAGTCCGTTCCGCCGCAAGAGCCGTCACGATAAAGATCGGAACTCTGGTTCAGCACAGCCGCCTTCACGCGGTGGTACATGGGATTCGAAGCCGTCGAGTCCGGTGAAGGCTCCGCAGCCGCAACCGCAGCCACAACCGCAGCCAGCGCAACCGATCATCGTGCCTGACAACGTCCGGTCATCTGGAAGTGAGGAGCCAGTGGACCCTAGGGCTAACTTCCAACTGAATGTTGGGAACAATGTATTCGATGTGGAGTCCCCGGACAGGAGCAGGTCCAAGAAGGCATCACAGACCGCCTCTAAGGGCACGGAAGACGAACTGGATCCCATTGCGCGCGCTCTAGCAGACCTCAAGACAACCGGAAAGCCTGCGAGCACTCGCGTGTCCGCTGATAGATATCATGGAATTGCCACACCGGTGCCTTCCGCGCCTGCGGCCAACTATACTAGTGCCTCCGTGGCCACGCCACCCCCGGCGTATAATGATCCCACGGTGAAACGTCTTGATGCCCCACAGCCAGCTTTCACTTCGGCACAAATGCAAAAGACAACAAAAAGATACACTGGACAGGCCCAGGGCATGCTTCGCGGATCTGGCAACAATGCCGGCTCCTCGAATCCCCCAAGCAGACAGTCTCAAGAGGCTCCACGTGCAAGATCACCGGCACCTAGACGAAGCGCCAGCCCTCAGCCGAGCCCTCGTGTTGACACGCGCATGAGCCAGTACAGCAGAGGCGCAAGCCCAGCACCCAGCTCGCGCTCGCACCAGTCGAGTATGAAGAACCGCTATAGCCAGTCGCCTACGGTCTCAACACCGCCTCAACGCCCTGCCGATACGACTTACTCCCCACATGAGTACAGCAAGCCAATTTCACGAGCCGCATCCCCCCAGCCCCAGTTCAGGCAGCAAGCTCGGCCATCCAGTGCTGGTGGAATGGAGCTGCAGTTGTCAGGAAGCCCCGTTGACATGTACGGCGGCGGCCACGATGGATACGCTTCCCCCCGGCGGGAACCCAGCAGACCGATGTCCTATTATGGCGATGGGGGAAGCCAAAGGAGTCGGTCCCGGAGCAGAGCTATGGCTGTCGCCGATCCTGGAAGACAGTTCAGTCGTGACGGTCGTCCGATCTTGCATTTCGGTAAGCCCACACCATTTACTATACCCACTTATTGGAACAATTCCAACCTAACAGATTGCACCCTGCAGCTCGAGCCATGTACAGTTATACCGCCGCGATCCCGGAAGAATTGGGTTTCACCAAAGGTGACGTCCTGTCAGTCATCCGACTTCAAGATGATGGCTGGTGGGAAGCTGAAATCACCACCAGCCGCAGCCGCCCTGGCTTGGTGCCTAGCAACTATCTGCAAATCATTTAAATTATACCCCTTTATCATCTCATGAACAGCCCATAATCAGAAGAGATTCTGCGCTAATTTACGTTGTTCATGATGTAGATACCATTTATGTTCATGCTCTTGGAATTTATGTCTCGCGTGTTTCCCATATCATTCATTCCCTGTCTATTGCCCAACCCAAGTGTTTTATGAAACGAGGCTATCCCTGCCCATGTTCTTTCCTTATGCCTTATGAGCCAAGTTTTGTCCATGCTGTCGTTTCCCACGCCTTATTTGGTTGTGTAATTTCCCCTTCCACGTTTGTCCAGTTAATACTCTCCTTTACGCTGCCTCCGAGGTTGTTGATCTTCCCTGAATTATGACCCCTGGCTGAACTCTGAACCCGAAGTAATATGTTGCCATTTGGTTTCTACACTAGTCTGTCCTTTGTGATTATTCCGATTAATACCAGATTGTTTTGAGCGTTGCCATTGCGCACGGAAACACTGTAGTCATACTTGTAGCAAGGCCCGTTTCGTTCGCATAGATCGAGAGCAAGTAGCATGTCATATTCCCTGGCAGATGACAATCCATCATGACCAGTACCGTATGTCTTTACGCATAGATATTGCCGCTCATAATGATATGACCCAAGTAAGCCGTTCCTACTCCTAAAGCAAGTAAGCAAGTACAGATCGAAAAGGAGATAAATCAGGTAAACAAGAAAGCAGTTCCATCTATCAACCAGCATCGAACTCCCTTTACTAAGCCGCTCAACCCACCAATTTCAACATTTTCACCCCCAAATGAAACCCAATCAACTCAACCTTCTATCACACTCAATGAACCACTCAACCAGTTAAACAATCTGTCAATCCGCCCTCTCACACCCCTCCACCATACACTTAAACCCCACAGGGGATCGGAGTTCCTTGACCTTTGCAAAGATACAGTACGGCTGGCTGCAGGCCTGGAACCCCGTTTTGGCAATAGCGATCTCGATATCCGTGATGGAGAGTATGACGGTCTGCCGCTGCTGCGCTACCTCCAGGCTTTGCTGCTGGGTTGTTGCGGTGTCTCGGTGACTGATGGGTTCAGGCAGCGGTAGGGCGAGACGAGCGAGACGGCAGGATAAGAGGACGTGGTCGTTTTTGTGGCCGCAGGTGTTAAGGACGCGTTGGACCTGGCACATCTCTCTTGCTCTTTCGAGGGGTAGTGGTGATAGTGGTTCTTGTGGGTAAGGTATGGTTTAGGTCTTAGGCTGGGGGCGGTTGGTCGAGGGTAGTGTGGTGTGTGGGGGGAGGCTTTGGGGATATATCGAGTATATTAGGCTAGGAAGAAGGAAAGAAGAGGTTTATTGATGCGTTGGTGTTGGTAAAAGAGGATATGCAGGCCATGAAGAAAGCTCGGTGCTGGGCTAGATGAGGAAGTAATAACCATCGGCGAGAGAAATGACGAACGGGGAGGAAGTGAATCAGTTTAGAGTCGTAGCCTAGATTATGAACGGAAGAGTGAATGGACGGCGATGCGATTTCTCGGCAAGTGTGAAACGAGCTTGGTGCAATCAGTGCAGGTGTGACGGGTCTTGAAATTAGTACAGAGTTCAGTAGTTGTAGAATACACTATGCATATATATACATCAATCAGATTGCTAGATCGCAGACGAAGCAGAGTAGGATCGAAACAAAAATTGCTAAGATACAGCAAACAATAGCAACGAAAAGACGAATTGAAAGCCCGGATTGGCCCAGGGACAACAATGATGGGTATGCGTTGATAGATATGAATTCGCACAAATAAGCTCTTCAAACTTGCCACTTTGTGAATATCTCTCCGCCTAGTCAAGGCTTGCTTTATTAGGCAAAATAAAAGGAAGGTAAACCAGACCTAAGTCAACATAGGAAATGCGCCGAAGATGCACGGAGAGCGAGAAGGAAATTATTCGTCGTCCACAAAGGAATTGGCCAGCCGTCCAAAGATGGGAACCTCGTAATGATCGAGCGTGTCCACTGCGTCTTGATTAGATCTTCTTGCGGAACAGCTCTTCTGGAAACCAGACTTACCATCGCGGTAGGCACGCATGCTAAGAAAGCCAATGAGAGCCAAGTCGCAGATAAGCAACGTCCATGATAGGAAGCTCGACCAGGAGAATATTAAATGAATGATCTGGAGTGCGGGTGCAATGAGTAAGATAGCTGTTCTGAGGGCCTCGTGAAGTTGCGATGCGACTTACAAACATAACTGTGAAGAGCATACTCGATTGCCATGCATGGAAGCTACAGGAAGTCAATATACACCGTATATGAAAAATCTCATTGGCACAATCGCTGCCCGACGCAGATCTACCTACCGTACGTAATCACTCTTGTGCTCTACCAGGAGAAGAAAGACGCCCCCGGCCGGAGGAAGAAGCAGATATGCCAGCATAGCTTCGAAATCCATGCGCATGGGAAGACTGGTCTCGAAGGCACCAATATTCCAGCGCCCCCCTTCCACATCTGGCCCAAAATCTGTGTTTCCATGCCCGCTGGTTGCGATAGGACCTCCGCCTGCGAAATGGGTGGGAGAGGGCAGTCCGTTTGGCGAGAAACCGGGGATTGGGGGCGAGCCGCGCGGGGATCCGACATTGGGCGATTTGGGGCGATGGGGATCGGGCGAGAAGGCTCGCTCGACCTCTGGCGATTCGTCCTGGTACGGCGCAAAATTCATGATTTGTCGGACGGTCAGAGGGAGGGAGAAGGTAAAGGGACGCGGATGTTGCTTGCATTTGCTTATCGGCCCGCAGCCACTTATCGCGCCATGGCGGTGACGCCTTAGCGCCTGAGGCAGAACCCCCCTTTGGAGTATCGTGTTTACTCTATGTTCTTTTCCGGCGTGTTTGGAACAAACTCTACGACCATTGAAGCTTCACTTCGCTCTCGGTATCTAATAGGGTATCATAATTTGCATTCAGGTTCGTTTCATAAATGAGATCGTACTGTACAGGCCAGAATGGCGGTCTGACGTGTCTTAGAGCTATCTAGGCTCGACCGCGACCGCGCGCCACTCCCGGTCCTCTGGCAATCCCACTGACTGGCCGCCGCGTAGAGGTCATGCTGGATCCCTTCGCAGCGGATGACGTAGTCCTCGACACATTACTGGAGCTGGTGCCAGAGTAGGAAACGCTAGGTGTTCTCCCCAAGCCGCCTGTCCGTACCCTTCCCCGAGTTGTTCCCCGCGTCCCTCTAGTGGTCGTCGACTGCGCTCTTTTCCTTTCCTCCTCTGCCCGACGGGTAGCGGCCTCTCGCTGCTGTTGCAGTTCCCGTTCGCGTCGCTCGGCTGCTTGCTGTCGGAGAGTTTCCTCATTTTCCATGTCGGCGACATCCTGGACAGCGCCTTGCCAGTTCGGGTTGAGGATCAAACGCTGGTTGTGCTCGGTTTGCGCTAGGATGCGAGTCCAGGTGTTCAGTAGGGTAGATGCAGAGTCAACGGTACGAGAAACAGTCTGATTGCATGCATTCGTTAGCGCCACCATCCCCGTAGCCAAAAGAAGATAAGAAAAGAAAAAAGAATCAAGAAGGGGAGGGGGAAAAACAAGATTGACGTACATCCATATTTCCCTTGGCACGATCAAGGCTGCCAAGCAAGCCCTCAATCACTTGGTTGATGTTTCGGACACTTTGTAGCTCATTTCGCAATGCAGCCTCCCGTGCCTCTTCCCGGCCAAAAAGTGTCTCTCCATCGTGAGAGGATCGGGGCGGGGGAGTAGTGCTGGTTTCGTTCGCAGGTTTCGAGAAGATCTCCCGGCGCGTGCGTTGGGACGGCGAATTCCAGAGGTCGTCAGACTCGTTGTCGGAGAGCTGAAGGCTGTCCATTTCTTCTGGCGTGCTGCGAAACGCCATGTTGACACTGGTTAGTCGAGGGGGGTAGATGGTTGGAAATGGGTCGGTCTTCTCCTCTCGGGCACGAAAGCGAGACAGAGAGAGACGAGGACTCCGAGAGTGGTTTGTCCGACACCTCGTCACATGATGGATGCCATGATGAGTAATACTAACTAACTAACTAGTTAGTTACCTATTTCACTAGTTAGTTAGTTACACCGTAACTAGTTAACTAACATTAAAAAGGTTCATCGAATTTCTTGGCTCTTACAAATGACGATGATTGGGACCTAGGGCAATTATCTATTCCTCCCAATCACAAGCATGGCCAATCGCCTCGCCATCTCACGCATCCCAGTGCACCGCCGGATCTCGGTGTCGGCAGAATGAGGATGATACTCGGATGGAAGACTTTCCATGCCAACATAGTCGGTCATGTAAAAGTAAACACCGGCTTCTTTCACAAAGCGTACGCAACCTAGTACAACCGCAAATACGCGGCAGGGTTCAAGGACCGCGCTCCTGACCCCCGCGATGGAGTCCAATGGATCCTTCGGAAAGACACGGTGCCGGGCGGGGGATCCGTCGAGGGTTGCGGAGAAGGTGTGGAGGGCGCCGTCGTTCTTGCTGGTCGAGAGCGTGGTGGTAGGCAGGGCGGATGGCCGGCCAGGCGTGGGATTCCGGGATGGAGAATGCCAGGTTCAGTGTTTTTGGAGCTGGCAGGTGGGAAAGCAGCGCCGCAGTGAAAAGACGTGCGGTGCTTTCGAGCAGCGCTGGCTTGGCGGTGCTGCTCAGGTGGCTGAGAAAGGGCGAATGGACAAGGTACTGCAGGTCGGACTCGGCTCCCTCGGGGGCATTGGTGACGATGAGAAGATCGGCTTGACGAGCAATGTCGAAGGTGGGATCAAGAGACACTCCCCCTACAGCCCCGAGTTCGTCCTCTAACTGTTGGCGGATATCGTCCTCAGACGCTGGATTTGAGGGGGCAGGGGGTACTCATTCGTCCTCGTCCATCGCATAGCGAGGTTGGTCTATACCTCCAGAAGCTTCTAAGAAAATATCAAGCATTACTTTCTGGCCCACATCGATCTGATGTTTCAGACGCTTGATTGACATGTCGAAAGCTTCTGGATACAATTCGTCCTCCTTCTCATGTTTCCGAGTGCTGGGGAAGAAGCGGTTGAAAAGTATGAAGTCGGGCCCTTCCCAGATGGCTGGGATCGGGCTCCCAGTCGGGCGCGACGTATTGCTCGAGGACCACCGGATGACCCTGGTGGTCGGCGTAGTGGCGTATCTGCTGCCAGCAGGACTCGTTTTCAGAATTTTCAGACATGGCGACCGTGTCTTGTAGGATGGTTGGAACAACGTGAGACGAATAATAATCAACTATAGTAGCGGGCGGACTCCTGATCCAGTTAGGATCTACACACATACATCTACGGTGTACTCGTATAACGTTGAAAAGCCAGAAAACTTGATGAGGGCACACCCAACTATCTCTCCATCTCCGGCGCAAATTCTTTCATATGGAATATGTGATTTCCTATCACAGCCCCTTCCACATCCACAGTGAGCTTCAAGGTGTACGGATCTGGACCCAGGGCTGTGCGAACGACAGCTGGTATGTTATTCTGCCCGGGAGGTATGTCTGCTGAGGAGACTCTAAAGACGTCGGCGATGTGAACGTCTGCTGCGGTCAGTAAACAACGACAGCGCACGACCCACGAAAGGCAGATCTGCTCACTAGGGTCATCAATGTATTCCGGGCCGGTCGGCAAGTCGCAGGTGTAGATGGCCACTGATTTGGTCAGTGTAGAGACGGTATGAGGTATCTCAATCTCTGTCTCGTGGTAGAAATCTGGTTCATATAGGCCGTGCTGTGGAGCCACCGTCTTAGTTCAGTATGGCACCCTTAATAACAAAGAATTCAGACCTACCTTCCTTACGACCTACTCTACGGGGTCCATGTTGTTGGGGGTGGTGGCTTCACCAAGAGGCCTTCTTCTAAAGCCGTAGAAACTGGGGCTTCTTTGCAATTCGGGACCTTGTTCCAACCCATAATGAACAAGTCCGCGCGCCACAGCCAACTCACTAAAGTGACGATGAAGTACCCGTTTGTCATATGTAGGCCGATGTGGATTGGAGTAGATCTTACGGATCCGATGGCGTGACAAACTCTAGCTTGGTCATATTGAAGGAGTCCGACAGCATCTGCTGGACATAAGGGGATGAGCTGAGCCCCCCTATAAGGACGATTTTCTGAACTTCCGTCAGTTGAGACATTTTGCTGGGTAGTATCACGAGTACCATACATTCGCGTAAAGATAATGCTGATTCGTGATTTCCTTTAGCTGGTGTCCAATCAGATCGATTATCTTATGGACAACGGTTGAAAGAGATCACGGATGGTGTTGGGTGGAAGAATGGCATCATCAGTAATTCTTTCGAGTAAACCCTTGATGTGAGTCTCAAGCTCCTCAACTACCTGGCTCGTGGTGGTTCCGTCAAATTTGGTCTTCACGTCTTCAAAAATCTCCATAAGCTCACTTCTTTGTCCTTTGAACGAGGAGGGCAATGACTCCCGATCACCACCAATGGCTTCTGATAACATCGAGTAGAATTTCTTATCAATTTCTGTTCCGCCACATTCATAGCCTAGAAAATCATGGTCAATACTCACTGTCTCTAACCAATTCCGGACAAGAGAATGGGATGACCAACCTCTTAGGTCGCTAATGCTACGGATATTGAAGGGATCTATGCTGGCGACGAAATAACTAGTAAAGCCCTAGAACGTGATAGTCAGGCTTCTTCCCGTTGACAAGAAACAATCAAATAGAAAAAGAAACAGTCCCTACCACTGTTCCCCCGCCCAGATCACATATCAGCACTATATCCTTATCCTAGTATGATAAACCGGAATATGCTGTTAAAGGGTCGACTTACCTTGAAGTGAGGCCTATGCTCCTTGAACACAACTTTAGCCGCTGCGCTGGGTTCTGGGACTGTGAATACTTTATCACAAATCCGCTTTCCAAACCCGGCTCTCTTGAGGACACGATCTTTGAATAAATCCCTATCGTCTTCGGACCACATTACGGGGCAGCCAAAATAGAAATTTATTCTTATTTTGTTCAAGGTAATATCCACCTTACTACGCAAATGGTTCATGACGTGCTTGTGGAGCAGCTTCAGAAGTTGCCTCACAACAACCTCTGCGTTCTTGGCCTCAGGAAGGTGAAATATCTCATCGGTCGAGCCAGCCCGCTTTATATCATTCAATTCACGGTTCCCAGGGTCTGGATAAAGCAGGAGTTTTGTCCATGAGGAATCCAGCTGGTATGGCTCTACTTCATACCCCCATTTTGGATCTTTGAAGCCCTGTTGAGGATTATCCTCAGGATACGCGATGCGAGATGGTGTTTTGTTGGAGGATCGGTTTGGTGAGAATTTTGAAATAACATGAACGGTTGTCTCGGTTGAATAAGCCCAGGCAACACATGCCAAAAATCTGCTTAGTACAACTGAGATAATGGAGAAAAATATGAAGGTAAGAATGTACTTGTGATTGTGGTGCCGTAATCCACGCCCACAATGATATCGTAGATAGGCTGGTAGTCCATAATGTTCTCTGTGAAAAAGAATGACGGTGTAAGAGGTTTCCTTGAATCTGAAAACTTTTCTATGACTTACAATCTCCCTTCTTCATTTTGGAAAAATTCCCGGCTATATGAATGTGAATGCCTTCGTCCTTGCCCCTTTTGGGCCTCAATCCTTATAGGCCATAATGCATGTATCAGAAGGACTTCTCATCCTACAGCAAACACGGACTCTGAGAAACGAGGGTCCAGTATCTGCAGCTTTCCTTTCGCGCTTTAAAATTTTTTTCTTTTTTCTCTCTTTTCTCTTTTCTCTTTTTTCTCTTTTCCCTTTTCTCTTTTCTTTCCCTTCTCCCCCCTTCATTACCTGCAACCCCCACATAGGTGTTTGTTGAGCAAGTCCTAAGTCACCAAGAGAACGGGGAGGAAGATACGAACGAGACCATTCATCAGCAGGAGATGAAGGTTAGCGTGCTGATTTGTCTACAGCTACAAAGACGGTGAGGAAAAGAAATGCTGGTTTCCGTAAGAAGGAGGGGGGGAGGAGGGGAGGCTTGGTGTAACCGGACAAAGAAACCAACCCAGTGGAGGGTATACCTAGTAGGATGTTCACACAGTGGTGAGTCATATCAGCAGGTACTTTTGCCACCTTTGTCTCAAACCATTATTTTCTGACTCCTGACTATTTCCATTTTCTCTGCATTTCCACCATTTCCACTTTCTCACTAAATTTCCCCCGAAAAACCTTGCTCTCGATTGCCTGCACAAAATGGGAAACACCAAACGCAAGCAGCCCGCAAAGCAAAAAAAAAAAAGCAAGCAGGCAGCCCGCAGAGGAAACAACCACCAGGGTATGAAACCAATCCAGAAAGAAAAGTATCCTAACGGCAGCCTCATGATACAAGCGCTGAAGAATTTTTCCATTAGCAAACCCGCTCGAAACGGAAAGTCTGTGTTCAAGAGGAACCCTCTGGGCCGGAGAAGTCTCCTCGACTAGAGAATAACGAAGATGAGCTCACGGCCCAAGAAAAAACAAACTCAGAAAAGGTCCCTAGTATTTCTGAGCCAAAAGCAAATCCTACACCAGATCCGACGGAAGAAAACACCAATTTTGATGGAGAAGGATTGTCCATGGAAGAGCAACTTTACCAGAGACACATGAGATCATATCTTGAAGGCGACATCTTAGGCTGGACCCGAGGGGTGCCCGGTAGTTGGCCCAAGATTTTCTTCAGCCTGCACTGCTCTACGTCAGGATTTTCACGTTCATTTGGAATAAAAATGGAGGATTTCAACAAACTGTCTTAGAAGGACAGACAAGAGATTCTCGAAAGCGTAAAGGGGTAAGTCATTCAAGGAGACGCGGAGGAGATAGCCGCGCAGTTTTCAGGCACCAAGCATCATGTCTTCTCCCATTGCTTGCTGTCTGCGTTTCTCTCAGACTATATACTTCAAACATTTTGGGGGGACAATGCTCCGTTCTGGTGGTTGGAGTCTGACTCGCGGGCCAAAGGTACAGAGAGTGTGCCAACTGCATTTGGAGGACAGCTCAACAGCCTGTACAGGGAGTTCAGCAGAGGTATTTACTCTTTTTCCTACCACTCATGCGTCTGGGTGGGTAGCTAAACCGCATCGTGTAGCTCACTGGCATCTTGCTTATGCTTGGGCAATGATGACCACCCGCCTATCTACCATCACCAATAACATACAAGGCAATGACCATGCCTTTGGAGAGTCTATGAAGGAGCATCGACGGTCTCTTATTCGATCCACCATTCTTCCTGAGCTCCTGTCCAAGAAGACTGTGCAGCTCTTGTTGAAAAACGCCAAGGCCCCTGAAGTTTCGGAAACGCTGCAGAAAGAGCTTGAAAGGCAGGCAGAGAATGCAGTTCTGATGTATTCCTATCCTTTTAGTGTCAGATTCGAAGGAATTGGGCATATGCCATCCGAGTATGTCGATCTCCCTGAGAGCGTGCGGACCGAGTACAAGCATTACTTCAAGGGAAGCGATGACTCGCCATTGCACGGGAAGAAAGTACTGGGAATCAAGCAGCCCGCTATTTATCGACAAGGGGTGCTCGGCTATCCGAACAATGAGGTGCTCATTTCACCAGGACGGATCATTATCGATTGGAATTACCGGGATGGTCGTCATTTAGGACAGTAGGAGGGCCTACAGCAGCTTTTGTCCGGGGATGCTTTGGGAGTGTTGGAAGGGGAAGGAAGGGGAAGGGAGGGAGATTGGCTGGTGTGATTTACATTGTTTATTTGTCGTTACTCTTGAGTCTTGACGTACTATGCTTCTGTTGTGGAACCTGGAGACTAGATTTCTTAGGGCACCGTAAGGCACGAGGCGGGGCTGGGGATGTGGCTTATGTAACAAATGCCGTGGCTGGTCCAACGACAACAACGTCCAGCAAACCGTTCCCGCTATCCCATCCCCCTGCGCAGCCGCCCTTCCTTTCTCTTTCTCAACTTCCCCAATCTCCTTGTTTTTTACTTCACCTCACTGACTATTTGTGCTCTGTGTGATTTCTCCTCCGCCTTAGTAAAAGCGTCTTCATTTCTCCCTTCGTTGGCGCTCTTCTGCCCCTACGACGAACAGACACCATCAACAGGCGTCATGGCGACAACGCCGCCCCCTTCAACATTGCGAATGCCTCCTACACCCCGACATGGGGCCGGTTATGATCAGGACGAACCATACTCTACACGGCACTCAGCCAGACTGGCTAGTCAACGAGCCTCAAGAGAGACCCGCTCCACGCCGCCGCCTCCCAGCTTTCGATCATCGCACGCCTACTCGAGACCAAGAAAGACCAGGGAACAAAATGATGACCTTGACGCATTGTCTCCGCCACGATCCATTTCCGGCTCTCCCCGGAAGTTGAAGTCGGACCGAGTCGCTGATTTCACCACGGCGCATTCACAGCGCGAAGTCTCCGAACTGGACAAATCGGATCCTTTCAATACCTCCGAGTCGTCTTCCACCAACAATCATCGTCAGTCATCTCGAGCGATTGTGACAGAAGGGATGTTACCCACTCCCGCCAAAACGCCTCGGAAAAAAGCCGTCGGTGACGCTGGTTCGATTGCACGAACCCTTTTCCCTCAACACCCCCCGCCGAGTTCTACGCGTGGCAGGAAAGGCAAGAAACATACCGGATTTTCGCTAGACAGCTTCAATGAAGACAATGCCCAAAACGGTTCCCAGATTCAAATATACACCGACTCTCGTGACCGCATACCGGAACTAGATGCAAGCGAGGAGAATCCATTCAACAATAAGCCCGCCAAAAGTGATCCTCATACGCGAACCTCAAGGCGTCTGGAAGGTCGCATGGAGCGCGATAAAGATGTTAACGAATCTGTGAAACGACGCGATGGCATGGTCTACGTCTTGTGAGTTTCTCGTCACTTCCCATCTCTCTACCTCTCTCTTCCCTGTCAACCAAAGCTAATAGTGGTCACAGCCGCGGCAAAAAAATGTTTCGAAAATTCAATGATACACTCGATAGTGATGGAGAAGACGATGATACCGATGATGATCTGGGTCTACTTTCAGCTCGCCCCGATCTCATCGACCCGTCTTCTTCCCCTCGCGTTCGGCCTCTGACTCGCTCCTCCATCAAACCTCGTGTGCTATTCCCCAGTGCGAATGACCGCGCCCCTCGAGAAGAGCCCGCCGAAGACCCGGATGAAGAAGAAGTAGCCACCGATATTGAGGACCAGGCGTTTGCCTCTGAAGTAGCAGATGACCTGGACAACGACGACGTGGAAATGAATCAGCGACCGACCACCCCGGATATGAATCCCGCTTCGCAACCCACCTCGCCTGGCGTTGGGACGATTCGTTCACTGCGTTCTCGATCCAAGCGAGATGATCTCGAGCAAAGCCAGACGCCTGCAATTCCCGAGGCCAAGAAAAAGCGAGCTAGCCCATTTGATGGTTGGTTGCGCAAAAAGCAAACTCCTGCCGGTGCCGCGGTCAAACCCAAAAAGCGAGATGCAGAAGCTGCAAACAGCCCTGGTGGCCCAGCTACCAAAAGGACAAGGGGCAACAGAACCACTGTCTCATAATGAATCTGACGTGGTATTTCTACAGCTATATGCTGCAACGGGTCATGAAGCAAGCTTGTGGTTTTCTTTGGCGGTGTCAATACGCGGCGTCCTGCATCCTGGAATATTTCTCATTTTTCTCATTCTGTTCATTTTCAATTTTCTCTTTGGTTTATTTTTGCTTCTCTTTCCACTATTCTGGAAAGCCAACGCTATCGGTATTCGGTCTTAATTCGTCCGGGCGCTTGATATGAACTATCTTTTCCATCCTTCTTCTGCTCATCAGGAGAAAACAGAAGATCGGCTTCTCTAAAGGAACCTTGGAAAAACGAGCCGCCCGGATAGCATACATAATCGAGGAAGCATTACCAGTGCTACTCGCTCAACTAAACAAAACTTCAATCGGATATATGGCAAAGGCGATGGCGATGGGTATTGGTCGAGGGATGGGCTTTCAATTGGGTTTATTCTATTCCCTGAGTTTGGCTGGCACAGCAATGACCGGGTGGCAATGGCAAGGTCGGAGTTTTTCTGTCTCTTTCGTTTTTTTTATCTCTTTTCTTCGGCGCGATTTGTTGCTGAGGCGTTCCTTTCCTGGAACCATCGGGCCTTCTTCCTATCTTATCTGTTTCCTTCGGTCGAATTGGTTCAGTTCCCCTTTAGTTTTTAGCTTAGCTTAGTTTAAGTAAGTCTAGATATCCAACTCCAAATGAAATCGAGATCTTAATAATTATCTCTTTGGTGCCTGTTAATTTGCTGGTCTTTTGGTATTCCGGCCTTATCTTGTCTTGTTTGTGGTGGTATATCAGTGATAGAGATTGAAATATATAAAGGTCTCCGGCTCTGTCCATAAACTAATTCGTTAGGTTCCCTTCCATTGCCCGTTTCGCTGGTCGCTTTTTACTCTACCAGTTCGCCACGGAGCCCATGTCCATATCTTCTCTCTTTTTCTAGGTCTTGAAGGTTATACTTTAGCTATGCCGACGGGTGATAAAACAATGGAATTACCGGAAAGAGACAATCAAAAACAGAAGAATTATACTCCATAGTCCGGCTAGAAGTAAATACATCTTATGCATACACGCAAAAGGAGAGCTCTCTCCCACCCTCTCGCCTTTTCGTTAAAGGAAGAGGAACAAAACAAAACAGATTAAAAGACGCCATAAGCTCCATAAGATATAATCAATAATACATATAATGAATCACAATAAAGTCCACCAAATTCAGGGGTAAAGGGAAAGGAATGGAACTTCAATAGGGAAATAGTGAGTGTGAGTGTCGGCCGTGCACGAGAAAAAGGTATTTCGTAACAACATAATGGTGGGTTGTCTCTATTTTAAGACGTTCCTTTCTGTCTTGGTTTGTCCAAAAGGTGAAATCACCAGCTCTTTTTTGCTTCTTTGTTTTTCTTTAAATCGTGACCATGCTACATTTCATTTCCAATGCGTATTAAACGAAATCGCAACACCAGCTGGGAAGGAGTGGTGGAGGGGAGGAAGATAAAGGAGAGGGAATGATTGGATTATGACAGAAGGAAAGAGTTTTTTCGAAGATGCAATTGTGGTAGCATGTCAACCTCACTGCCACATTTCTCTAGATAATCTCTAGCTCGTCATCGTCATCGTCGTCATAAGTACGTTGGGCTACGGCTTCGGACTGGCCTCCTAGGCTGTCTCTGCCAGCTTCTTTGATGCCCTTGGCCGTTATAAACCGAGTCTTTTTCACGCCGCTGCCATGCGGTCGATCGCCATCGTGGGTGCGTTTCAACGGTGTCAGTTTCACATTGTCCGCTCTGCGCATCCCCATCAGGCCGAGGTTGTAGGCTTGTTGACTACCGGTCGACTTAGCCTTGTCCTGTGAGGATTTTTCTGGCTGCTGCGATGGATTGTTTTCCGCGTTGCGGACACGCATGTATTCAGATCCTATTCCGGGGCCACGAGAAGTGGAAAGCTTCTTCGTAATTTCTCGTTCTCGTTTCTGTTCCACAAGGCGTTTGCGGAATCTCTCTTCTTTGCTCTCCGCGCCACGGCCCATCATGCCCGCGGCTAAGAAAGGGTCATCATAGTCAGCATCGATCAGGCTAGCCGCAGATTGCCCTGGATGTCTATGGGCAAAGGCATGGCTATTCTCGTTTCTCAATTTGGGTGCCGGTGCAACGTAGTATGTTGACTGAGTTTGGAAGTCATATTGGGCGCCATTGGGTTTCAGTCCATTCCTGTTGCCAGCACCTGCACCCGATCCTCCTCGTTTTCCTCCACCCCAGAAACCAGTCCGCGTGCCCGAGCTCCCCCCGGGGCCGAACATGCCGGTTCCACCATTGACACCCATGCGTTGGGACTGCGTGCGGCGTACCTGAAGATCAACGTGAAAGTCGCAGAACTCGGTTTTTCGGCCGTCTACCCACGAATGACAGGTCTTGCCGTCCTTCCTGACAGCCTTACAGAACCCGATGTCCTGCGCATAGCCTACCTCTAATACTGTGTCATCGGAAGATGAAAGCGCGAGGCTGAACTTGTTTGTGTCAAGTTTGTTTCGAGGGGGTGGCATGATAGTAGGGTTCAGAATGGCCACAACGATGCCCTCTGAGAGTCTGTAATAACGCGGAAACGCAGTGTCGAAAAGGAAAAGATCGATGCTCCATTTAAGGTCGGTCAGTGTGATGACCATGTAGCGCTGTGAGTTATTCAGTCCGTCATCGAAGGGATCGGCCTCTTTCGCAGAGACGTTTTTCGACTCTTTCTTTTCTTTGGGGTCTGATTTGGAAGCCACAATGCCAAATACAACGAAGTCACCGTCGACATTGTCTGGTAACTCGAACGCAGGGCCTTTCACCATCCGAAGAAGGTCTGGGATTTGCAGAACCTTCTTGTCGGAGAGGGTTCGAGACAGGAATGAATGAGGTAAAATGCGGTTAGAAAGATGTAGGGAAGAGAATGCTTCGAATTTCGACGCATCGGGCGCCTTCTCCAGCGAGTCTTTCTCGTTCCCATGCTCAAAGGAGGTAGCCTGTGATGAGCCATCTGGTAGCGCAAAGGCGCCTGATTCGGAATTGTGGTTACGCCTGTGGAATTGAGTCCTTGATACCGTGGAATCGGCGCCTCCACCGATTTTATGTGCACTGGGCGCAGTGAGGCTTCTTTTCAGGGCTGGCGGTTTGCGCTCGTGGTATGACCGTAGAACATCCTCACGGCTAAAGCTTTCAGCATGTCGGTTTCTCGCTGGCGACCGGAGAGGAGATTTTGCTCTGGCCTCGGCAGCGGCTGCCTTAAATCCTTCTACCTCCGTCTTGTCGAATTGAAATGCCGTGCTGCGGTTGATTTGCAGCCTTTCGGCCCGTTCCTTCCGCAGTTTATCAGCCGACCTGCTTTCAGCCATACGTTCGCTGAAGCTCTTGGGTCTGTTTCCGTCTGCGCCGGGAAACGATTGTGTCTGGGATACGGGACCATCTCGACTGCCTAGCCGGCTCGTCGGCCGGCTCGTGGTCTTCGATGGGGGAGGTCGCTTGAGAGACACGTCGCCGCCCTTCCGACCTTTATCAATTCCGAGAATAACTCGCCGGGGGGACACAGGATCAGCCGCAGGAGCTAGTCGTCTTGTTGGGGAAAGCGGGACCTGAACCTCATCGGGTGGGAATCTCGTGTTCTGGCTCTTTGAGTCCAAGTCGTGGGTCCGTGATGAGAAACTCGAGGCCGGTCGGGGAAAAGGCTCGTCATCCTCGTGGGAATCTAGTCCCGGCGCAGAAGACTTTCCGCGGCTCTTTTGAAGTTGCTTCAGCTTTAATCGCGCTTGGATGGCCGCTAATTTTAATTGTAAAGTCTCCTCGTCTTCATCTTCGTCAAGGTCTTCTACTCCATCCTCCAGGAGGCGGTCTGTCTTGCTTCGGAGGTTTGGCGTGGTGTTTGAATGTTTCAACGGCGACCCGAAGGCTTCCCCGCGGCGTTGCATGTCCTGAAACTTCCTGCGACCGCTCGGGGAGCTGAGAAGAGCCTCCCGAGGGGATTTGGGCGGCCACGAGGTCTCGACCACTGCGACGCGATGAGATTGGGGTCAGTCAACGGTCGGAGCCAAGGAGATCGGGGGTGTCCGTACTCACTGCTGACCATCGCTCGTCGGTTGTGTTAATGCCAATGCCGCTTTTATCTTAGCTTAGTTTCGACTCGGGTCGGAGTGTTATACAGGGCGGGCCATGATCGCAGGGATGCGGGGAAGGGGGATTCAATAAGCGACAAGGCGACTGTTGTTATGGAGGTCCTTGAGGATTGGATGATGGGCGGATTCTCGGCGCTCTTCAGGCAAGGGCGACAAGTTCTCCCTGATTGGCTGCGGGGAAGCGCGTGTCGCGTGGGGCGGAACGCGTCAAGTGCGCCTGTCTCCTTCTCTTCCTTCCCCCATCCACATCGTGTGTCTATCCCATCGACCCTCAATTGACCATGCGCACTCGTTCGACAGCCCCCGCAGACCAGACTGCCCCCGAATCGGCTCCAGAACAACTTCACCCTCCGCCCCCGACAGCCGAGCGGCCCAGCAAGACCTTTATCCTCCCTTCAGCAGCCACCGACAATGCGCGGCTCCTCCGACTTCCTAACCCGAGAACAGGTGAATTGACCCGGTACTTCTTCTGCCCGAAACTCGGGATCCACGAATTCACGGCCGTCGCCGCCCCCTCACACGTCCCGCGCAGTATCCTATTCTCCCATAACCCCGAGAACTCAACAACACCCAGCGACAAAGGTCATGTCGCGCCCACAAAGGGGAGCATCTCGAAGGCGGCGCAGTTGCTCGTCGTCACCCCGATCGACGCAATGTTCTTCATGATACCCATTCTATCGTCTTCTTCCAAGGGTCTCTTCCAACCCCTGGATGACATCCTCGACTCGCAGGACGAGCTCCCCGGGCACATGCGCCATGTGCTCTTCGACGAAACATTCGAGCCGACGCTACAGGCGCGTACGGAAGCTGTTTGCGATTCCGTGGAAGCGGGCGATCAGAAGATGTTCCGGTTCAATGAGAAGAAGCTTCTCGGAGAATTGATCGCCAAGGCCGAGCGCATGGTCGCGCAAGGTCTGCCGAAGAGTCTGGAGGAGCGGTTCGTTCGTCAGGCACTAGCGACTCCGCTGATGGCCGTGAAGCGCGAGAATACGGTGGCCAAGGAAGCCCCGTCGGAGAACAAGGAAAACGAGGCAGGGGACGACGAATCCGAACAACAAAAGGAGACCCCGTCGAAGAGCAACTCAAACTCGAATTCGAATGCGGTCTCGGATGAATCGACCCCCGTGACGGAGTCGCCGCCTGACGAGCCGACGATACCGGAAGATGTAAATCATCTCCTGCGGATATCCACGGCGCTGGCTTTCATGAAAGAATCCTACCTTTCTCCTACCCTGTGCGCCAAGATCGACGAGCTGCTCGCTAGCTCAAACACCCCGATTGATTTCAAGCCCTTGACCGACCACCTGAAGCATATTGCCGATCTTCGCGCCGAGGCATTAGCGTCCCGATCTCTGGGTGACTTCAGCCGCAAACGCACCGCCGAGGACGATGATGCTGCCGAAATACGCGCAGAAAAGAAACGCCGTATGGAAGAAGAGGAGAAGAAGAAGAAGGCGGGAGAATCTCGGGGAGTTAAGGACCTCAAGAAGGTCAATACTACCGGGATGAAGAAGATGAGCGACTTTTTCACTAAGGCCGCTGCCAAAAAGAAGTCTTAGCAGCGGTCATATTGTGCGATGAAAGTGTCAAGATCAACATCAAGTGGCAGACGAGCACTGCTGCTCGATTGAGACGGTATTTAATGAGGCGTTGGGCACCCGCTCGGTACGGCTATGATAATAGATCTTGTCTATACTCGGAGATGCTTACACGCAGGCCATCTCTGGCCAGGACCGTAAGTCAGGGATTGAATGGTCGCCTCCTCGCCAAGCCTTGCTACAATAGTAGTTCGGCCGATCTAAAGACGTCTTGGAGGAAAGGCGTCATAGATACGAGACTCCACACGGCCATCATCTACAAGTGGAGTCTGTTTATATACTGCGTTTAATACTGTTTGATAGAAGCGGTATGAATCAGGTTGGGCTATGAATATCTCTCGTGGACGCTCAACCAAAGGCTGGATTCCAAATCAATTTGGAGCCTATTCAAACTAATGCAAATGTTCATTGTGGTATCTTTTCCCTTTTATTTTCCTTTGTTATGTTTTGCGTTTAGATCTTGACCTGATCAATGGCTGTCCCCGTCACCCTGTCAAAACGGTTAGCACATGGCGGGAGGTAGAGATTGGGAAAGAGAGTCGGTCTATCGTAGCACGTACATGAAGGATCCGTTCGAAGGCTTGCTGATAACCATGGCCTGGGCCAATTTCTCCTCGCTAATGTCGGGGAACTGCTTGAGGTAGTACTCCTCCTTCAGGGCCTTGGTTACCGCCTCAACCTTGGATTGCGGCAGCATGTGGACGGTGCAGCCACCCCACCCCGCACCGGTCAGACGGCTGCCCCAGGTGCCAGCGCGACGAGCAATGGCACAGATGTCATCCACCGCCGGAGCGCTGCACTCGTAGGTTGTGCGGCAGGAATCCTGGGATTCGTTCAGCAGCTGACCGAGATACTGGATGCGTCTGTCGTCGAGAGTCGACGCCTTGGCGAGGCAGGCCTTGAAGTCAAGCACGCGACGGGCCTCGGTGAAGCAGTGCAGAGCGCGCTGGCGCAGGAGGAACCGATCGGCCTGCACGGGGAACGAGGAGAGATACTTGGCTTCGACCTCGGGCACGGTGGTGCCGAGTAGTTTGGCAATCTCCTCGCGAGTGTATCCTTGCTCCTGAGAAAGCAGCTCCATGGTGGTCTGGATGACGGAGTCGATCTGGTACTCGAGGGGATCGCCCAGACGGCCCTCTTTGCGCATGAACTCCTCGTGGAAGTTTCGCAGGCTGTATCCGAGCGAGCTGCTGTCCTTGGGCAGAGTCAGGCCGTGCTGGGCGGCCAGAACCACGGCGGCCAGGGTGCACTCGGCCACACGCAAGTTGTAGTGACGAGGGGCCGTCTCGGCCTTGTTGGAGGTAACAAAGCTCTGGGCCATGAGGAAGGTAATCTCCTCCGCGGCCTTAGGAATAGGGACGTGCTGCACAGAGAAGTTCGGGAAGAACTGAGTGTACAGCAGGTATCCGCGACGGGAGAAGATGGAGGCAGCTTGGTCCATGCTATTTAAGATTAGGGAAGGAAACAAAAGGATCTCGGTGTGAAAAAGCACTGTTCGGCTTACCCTCCAGAGTAGACACCCACCGCACGCTCCGAGACCACAGCCAAGTCCAACAAATCTTGCTTGGAGACGTTGTGGTTGTTTGCCTTCATGACTGCCAGGGCACTCGCGCAGACGAAGGCCGCGCTGCTGGAGATACCGCCACCGGGAGGCACGTTTCCATCCACCAGAACCTCCACGCTAGCGGGAACGAATGTGCCATCCTGCTTCTTGTTGCGCAGGAATTTCAGCGCTCCCAATAGGCCCGCCTTGAAGTAGTTAACCCATTCGTGTTTCTTGGGATCGATTTCAATATCCGTGTCGCGGGGCACGGTGAATTCGCGCGAGGGAAATTTCTCCGGGTTTACGTTGGCAATCTTCACGGTGGGCTCCGAGGTCGAGGAGACGGCCTTGACAGCCATGATGACGTCGACGCTCACGGCGGTGGGAAGGACATCGTAGAGGTTGTAGTCGATGTGCTCTCCGATGATGTTGACGCGACCCGGGCTCCGGGCGACAAACTCAGGTCGGTGACCGTATGATTTGGCAAACTGGGAAACCAGTCCTTCGAAACGAGTCTGATGCTCCGGGGCCACCGAGGTGGCGGAGGCGTCGTCCGTTGCGTAGACCTCAGCGATGGATTCCGTCTGGGGAACGAGTTCTTGCGGGGTGGCCATGGTGGGGTCAGAAGTATGATAGAAAAACAAAAGTAAATAGCAAATGGATGATGCAGCGAAGGGGAAAAGGGAAGAGCAGGGTATCAGGAAATGAAGAAAGAAGAAGCGCGAAAACAAATCCAGAGAGAGAGAAAAGCGAGGGAAAAGAAAAGCGAGGCAGGGCAGGGTCTTACGACGTTCCTGGGAGCCCCGCAATCTGGGAAAATGAAAGCAAGACGGAAGTGGGGGAAGAGGAAAAGTGCCTGAGGCCTGAGTGGTCGGACTGGCCTGGAGTGACCCCACGATTTCGCCTTCTCGGTTGAGTCGGTTCGCTACGGCTTTTCCCCATCGCCCGTGTACGCCTCGTGTGCTCGGCATCGTCGCTCTTTTCTTCCTACATGATCCCGATCTCTCGGCATTGGGGTTAATTGGTTGCGGTGCCTGCAGTCTGCACCCTTGTCTGCGTCTGCCATTGCGACGGAGACTGTCGACCGACTCGACCCTGACTGACTGGCGGATTGAAATCCATGGAAACAATTAGGCCGAAATCCCGAATGGTCCTTGGAAATTAACCGAAGCCAAACCGTGCAAATTCAATCCCTTAATATCACATAATTAGTTCTCACCGGTGGACTCCATCGTCCGGTTCCTCGGTGGATTTCAATTCCTCTCCGTCAGTGTAGATTGGGGAACAATACACCCAATCATCAATAATATTAATTCCGCCCACCCCCATGATTGACTAGGATTCCGGTCGACGTAACTAGCGGAAATTAGTCTGGTCGTGGCTGAAGCCAAGATCAAGTTTTCAAAAGCACGATCGCAAAAAGCCAAGGCAGGCTTGAAGCTTCCACGTTGTACTGTACTGTACATATATAAACCGGTGTCTGCAAAAGCTTATTACAGCGATTCTCCTGGCTCGCCACAATATGAGGCCAAAAACGATCATTCTTCCGAAGAGGCAGATGATTTTTTTTTGTGTTGTTCTTTCGGTCTAATCCTTCATTCTTCGTGCTCAAGTAAAGAGTGTTGGTCAGGTACAGAATTATCCTGTACAGACGGTCGGCATGCCGCAAACAGCGGCCCCAAAGATACTAAGCAAGGCAGCTTAGGTATTCGATGTATTCAGAACCCTATGGATGGAGCTTTTGCGTATCAGGGTGTGTTGCAGAAACCAATGTCGGCGATCAGACCGAGTGAGAGGAATGGCATTGCTCCTTCATGACGCGGTTCAAGTATCAATCCTCGGAGGATACTTTTGATCACCTGGATACTCTGGAGGAATAATGGGTTCAACTTGTTTGTTTTCAGTGAGAGTGCATCCCCCGATGATCCTCACGAAGTACCCCTACCCGGCGATGCTTAGGGCTCCGGAATCGGGGGGTCGCAAATCACTCTGCATAATGCAGAAAGCGGAGATGACATGACATGACATGACCCCCTCGCGATTGCCCTTTGAGTAAGCCAGCATAAATAATGTGCACAGACTCCGGGTCCTGAGATCTCAGTCGTGGAGATGGTCGAGCAAGAGCTGTATCGTGGACCGAGGGTGGTTCGGCGTGCAGGAGACACACACCTGGAGCCCTCCTGGGCTAGATCAGCTGATCTGGCCGCGTACGGTCGCCGATGATCGGAGGCGCTGAGGGTCCCGGACCAATCAAACCCCCGAGATTATTCGACCCCGGTGGTGCTAGACCAAGCGCGGTTAGGCCGACCAGGTGCTCTCCAGAAGTTTGAGTCTTTTCTCGTCCGGCCTTAAGGCACCTCTTACTCACACTAGATCCGTCGACTCTTCTTCCCCTTGCCAATCCTCTACCTCTACAGTCTGCTCCTTTCCTGGCCTGGCAGTCATCCGCCGTAAAGATGATGATGCCTTTAAGACCATCGAAAAGCGCCATGCGCGCTCTGCACTCGCAGAGATGTTTTGCCTCCGCCAGAAGACCATTCACGGCCATCTCGCCCCACCGCTTTTCTGCTCAGAAGCGAGTCCAAAGCACCGCTGCTGCTCCCGCCAGGTGAGTCAACTGCCTGGGAACAGATCCCAATGTCGATTGGTATCACTTTGGCTAACTTGGCTCTGTCGTTCAGCGAGGCTCGACCCGTTCCTAGTCCTGCCTTCAACCAGGAACCCCAACGCAATGGAGTGTCGCCGCTACAAAATCGACAGGTCCCCGAGTTGGACGACTCGTATGTTGACCCTGTGCAATCTACATTCGGAAAAAAGAAAAAGAATAAACTTGATTAACCTGAGTGGGCGGACAGGTTCGTCGGACTGAGTGGTGGAGAAATCTTCCACGAAATGATGCTCAGACTGGGTGTCAAGCACGTCTGTGAGTCATCCTTCCATCTCTTTTTTTTTTTTTTCTTGTTTCTGCTATTTAGTCCGCTGTTGGATGGTTTACTGGGTGTTGTCATACTAATAATTCACCTAGTCGGTTACCCTGGAGGCGCTATCCTCCCTGTCTTCGATGCCATTTACAACTCCAAACATTTCGACTTTATTCTCCCCCGACATGAACAGGGTGCCGGACACATGGCGGAAGGTTACGCCCGCGCTTCAGGCCTTCCCGGTGTTGTTCTCGTTACTTCCGGCCCTGGTGCCACCAACGTTATCACCCCCATGCAGGATGCCCTGTCCGACGGCACCCCGATGGTTGTCTTCTGCGGTCAGGTGCCCACCAGCCTGATTGGCACCGATTCATTCCAAGAGGCCGACGTCATTGGCATTTCCCGTGCTTGCACGAAATGGAACGTCATGGCCAAGTCCGTTGCTGAACTTCCTCGCCGTATCCAGGAGGCGTTCGAGATCGCCACCAGCGGCCGTCCCGGTCCCGTCTTGGTCGACCTTCCCAAGGATATCACCGCTGGTATCCTTCGCAAGCCCATTCCCATGAGCAGCACCATTCCTTCCTTGCCCAGCGCCGCAACTATGGCGGCCCGCGAAGTCAGCATGAAGCAGCTTGAAAGCACCATCGGTCGCGTTGCGCGTCTCGTCAACGTTGCCAAGAAACCCGTCCTGTACGTCGGTGCGGGTCTCCTCGCCCGCCCGGACGGCCCTCAGATCCTGAAGGAACTGTCCGACAAGGCCTGCATTCCCGTGACGACTACTTTGCAGGGTCTCGGAGGCTTCGACGAGCTTGACCCCAAGGCTTTGCACATGCTGGGAATGCACGGATCTGCCTACGCCAACATGGCCATGCAGGAGGCTGATCTTATCATCGCCATTGGCGCACGTTTCGATGATCGTGTGACCGGTAACATTTCCAAGTTTGCCCCCCAGGCCAAGCTTGCTGCGACCGAGAACCGTGGCGGTATCGTTCACTTCGAAATTATGCCGAAGAACATCAACAAGGTTGTCGAGGCCAACGAGGCCGTCGAGGGCGACTGCGCCGAGAACATCCGTCACCTCCTTCCCCACCTCAAGTCGGTGTCTGAGCGCCCGGAATGGTTTGCTCAGATCAATGACTGGAAGGCCCGATTCCCCTTCTCTCTGTACGAGAGGCAGGCCGAGAAGGGCCCCATCAAGCCCCAGGCTTTGATCGAGAAACTCAGCGACCTGACTGCTCATATGAAGGACCGCACCGTGATCACTACTGGTGTTGGTCAACATCAAATGTGGGCTGCCCAACACTTCCGCTGGCGCCACCCCCGTACCATGATCACCTCCGGTGGTCTGGGTACCATGGGTTACGGTCTTCCCGCCGCCATTGGCGCCAAGGTTGCTCGCCCTGATGCTCTTGTCATTGACATTGACGGCGACGCTTCGTTCAACATGACCCTGACCGAGCTGTCCACCGCTGCCCAGTTCAACATCGGCATCAAGGTCCTCTTGTTGAACAACGAGGAGCAGGGTATGGTCACTCAATGGCAGAACCTGTTTTACGAGGATCGTTACTCGCACACCCACCAGAAGAACCCCGACTTCGTTCCCCTTGCCGAGTCCATGGGCGTTGCCGCCCAGCGGTGCAGCAACCCCGCGGAGATGGAGGAGAAGCTGAAGTGGCTGATCGAGAGCGATGGCCCCGCCCTGCTTGAGGTTTTCACCGACCGCAAGGTGCCCGTGCTTCCCATGGTTCCTGCCGGAAGTGCCCTGCACGAGTTCCTCGTGTACGACGAAGGTATGTCGCCCTGATTATTTCTTTTTATGGGTTTTCCCGGATAAATGCTGACATGGTGGTTTCTCTTACAGCCAAGGAGCAAGAAAGGAAGGCTCTGATGAAGAAGCGCAACGTGAAATTTTAAAGCAACCGCTTCGACGACAAAGTTCTATGCCGATGATTTGTAGTTTTTAAAAGTGCCTCTTTGGTCATTCTCCTGTTGATATCCACGGCGTTTCTGGCAGGTTCTGAAAACGCTGCGTCACCACGTTGGACCGCCTTGCTCGGCGCGAGGACTCGGCCCGATATGATGCAGGGCATTTGAAGCAGCGTTTCCCGTTAGTGTGATTGCCAACTATCTATTCAGTAGGTCTTGCTGGGTCCGGGTTTTAGTGTGAAGACTTCCATTGTTTTTCTGTTGCCTTTTCTCTCTCTTTTCTCTTGTTTTAATATGCATATCAATCATTTCACTTTCCTGGGAGCAATCGGTCGAGAAACACTGATTGTTGATTCGGACAACCATGGGAAAGGACGTGGGAAAGGAAAAGAGCAAGGCAAGGAAGAGCAGACAGCCGAACTCCAGCCGACGTGTTCTGCCTGTCCTCGAGATCTTCTTTTCTGTATATAATCTATGAATTTGTTTCTAGTACATCGGAACATCGGGTTGGTAATAGGATATCAATTGTTCATATATCCCGGCTTTCTGGCCGTTGTCCACCGAATCCATGCATCGTGCATACCGCAGCCATCATGACAGACGAGTCATTTGCCCCGCGGTGTCGATCGTAATCCTCCGGCCATCATCCGTACCTAGTACCTACGATGTACACCGTAGTTAGCAAGAACTCGGCATGAATCCTTTTCGTCGCTCAGCCCTAAGCCGGCTGAGTCAGCGACCCTCTCCGGCTCCGCGGCCCCGCCGCCCCACGTGACCGACCAGTGAGCGGTAACGGCGGATTTTCGCCTCCAAAAGAAGGCACCCGAGGCAGCACTACGACTGGTAGCTTCCCTTTAGCGGTGCTGGGGGTCTATCGTCCGTTTCCTCACGCCTGCCCGCTTCTCTCTCCCTCCCTCTCCCTCCCTCTCCCTCTCATGACCTTCAATCACCTCGACCGTTCCTTCGTCCTCTCAATGATGTTACCTTCTGTCCTCTGCCATTAGAACAGTCGGCTCTTGCTTTTTCATCGTCCTGATCGCTTTCTACATCATCTAATAACCATGACGTCTCTCCCGAGTTATTCGGCCACTTCAGGTCGAACGCGGTCATCCGATAGCCCTATATCCACCTCCCGGGACGACGAGCTCTCGAGATCGGATACGAATAGCCCTTCGTCGACCGAATCCACCGGCGACACCGGGACCGTCTTCCTCAATCAGCCCGAGGAGGGCAGGTCTACCAGCGAGCCCCCGATCTCAACCCTGAGCGCTGTTGACTCATCCAATGATGAACCTCGAAAATGCTGGATCTGTTATACCGACGAGACGGAGGACTCGCTATTAAATACCGAATGGCGCTCGCCGTGCCCCTGTGCCTTGACGGCCCACGAAGCTTGTCTTCTGGACTGGCTCGCCGACCTAGAAAACCCCCGATCCCGCAAACGCAACGGCCGCAACACCAAGATGGTGTGCCCCCAGTGCAAATCCGAAATCGTGGTCTCGCGCCCGCGCAGTTATATTGTGGACATTGTCCGGTTGTTTGAGCGGTTCGCCGGCCGGCTGGTTCTACCCGGTATGGTTTTCACACTGGCGGGGACAGTCTGGGCGGGATGCTGCGCGCACGGTGTATATTCCATGTATTTTGTTTTCGGGACCGAGGAGGCGCGGCAGATCCTAGAAGAGTCCGCAGATGCCTCGTGGAATTCGGGCCTCAATTTGGGACTACCGCTCATCCCGTTGGTATTGATATTCTCGCGAACACGTTACGCCGAGGGCTTACTCCCTGCCATTCCCGTCCTATTTTTCGCAACGCACAACCCCGGTCACGAGCCCGAGCTCGACTTTTGGCCCCCTAGCCCAGCCATGACCTTTGCGGCCCTTCCTTATATCAAGAGCTTCTACAGCGCAATCTACGAGCGATTCTTCGGCAAGTTGGAAAGAAAATGGATTGTGGAAGTGCAACCACGTCAGTCCGATGTCAACGAGTTTGACGACAATGCGCCGCCCGAAGCACAGGAGCCGGCAGACCCGGTAAGAAACGATAACGGTCGGGTATTGATGGAAATTGATTTTGAGCTGCAGGTTGGAATGGGAGATGACGATGGCGAGGGGATTCAGGGTGACTTTGGCTTCCAGGCCGGAGGGGATCAAGAGGCGCACGGAGGACCGCCAGGAGAGGAGCAAGGCGCGGGTGCAATGGGGGGAAATGGACAGGCCTTGGGCCTGGGTCGGCGCGACGATCTCATAAACGAGACCAGCAACCTCGCCGACATCGTCCTCGGAGCGCTTGCATTCCCCGCCATATCTGCCTCCGTCGGAGGACTTTTGAAATACGTCCTGCCGAAGACTTGGACGACAGCGCCTTCGACTCTTGAGCGTGGTCGACCGGGCCTGCTACAGAGCCGATGGGGCCGCAGCGTGATTGGCGGCTGCGTTTTTGTACTCCTGAAAGATGCATTGGTTCTCTACTGTCGATGGAAATTGGCCCAGACCCATCGACGACGAAAGGTCCTTAATTACGACCGGGCCAAGAAGCAAGTGGCTCGGCAACGATCAACCTCTTGAGCCTGGTGGGTTCCGCTTCTCTTTTACGACTTGACCTAACTATGACGATGCATCGCCACGGCGTTTCTTTCTGGAGTTTGGGACATGGGATGTTTGTGTACTTTCTGTTTCTACTCTTCGTCTTTCTCTTTTGCCCACCTCGTGTTATTTTTATTTCTAACTGTCCAAAGTGCCGCGGATAGGGCAATGAATCTGAATCCAGCGAATTCTATTGTAACGTGCTGAATCGCATTTTGATTTGCCAATATTAATTGTTGAGTCGTAGGATTGGATCTCAGCAGGCCAATGGGCCTTTCTTGAATGACCGACCAGCCACAGGATCTCCCAGGAACCGGGAAAGCGTGTGGCGTAGCCCCACCGAGGCTATATCGACGGTCTTTATAAGTATCGTTCTATACAGATGTTCTCATTCTCAGGGCGCATTGCTTCTGACCTATGCTTGGATCAGAATCCAGACATTGGTTTCCAAAATATGCACCATGGCGACAGCAGGAATAACAGCCACCGAATTTCGTAAACATGCTGAATTCTTCATACTCAAACCCTGTCAGCTTTATGCCCACCGCCCATGGCGATTGTGGACCATTTGAACGCGACCGAGGAAGCGAGGGGTCCTAAAGGGCGGTCACGGCGAAAATTCTGGTATTTTTGATTTGGAGTTGTGTCGATCTTGGAGTGGCAGCTTTGCGTCATTACAAACTCTCTCCTCCGACATTCTACAAACACCCCATCACCACTACTACCGCAACTTACACTCAACCAACCAAGCTAGCAGCCATCAAAATGACATTTGAACCTTCAAAAGACATCCCCGCCCTCACTAATAAAGTCATCGTCGTGACCGGCGGCAGCGAGGGCCTCGGCAAACAGACCATCCAACAGCTAGCCCAACATTCACCTGCAAGAATCTACCTCGCCGCACGCAACCCGACAAAAGCCGAGTCGGCCCTGCAAGAGATACAATCTAACGCAGGGCCCGATTGTGCCCCGATCTCCCTCCTCACGTTGGACCTCGCCTCGCTGGATTCCGTCAAAACCGCCGCGGCGGAGGTGCACGCACGAGAAACCAGACTCGACATCCTGATCACGAACGCCGGCGTCATGGGCGCCAAGGGCGTCACGCAAGATGGATACGAGATGCAATTCGGGGTCAACCACGTCGGCCACGCACTGCTCATCCGGCTACTCCAGCCGCTGCTCCAGAAAACCGCGGCGCGCGAGGACGTCGCACCCGGCGAAACACGCTGCGTGGTGCTGGCCTCCGAGGCAGAGAAGTTCGCTCCCCAGACAGACCCCTATCCGTTCGAGAAGCTGCGCGGTCCTTGCGACGACCTCTCGGCCTTCACGCGCTACGGCATCAGCAAACTGGCGAACCTGCACTACGCGGCGCAGCTGGCTCACCACTATCCCGAGGCCGAGACGGGCGTGCGCTTCGTCTCAGTGCACCCGGGCGCCGTCACTACGAACCTAGGGGATCTGATGCGCGGGTGGCCGCGCACCGAGAAGATCATGCGCAAGGTGGTCGCCCTGGTAATTGGTATGGTGCGTGTCGAGCAGGGCGCCTGGGGCCAGCTCTGGGCGGCAACCTGGCCGGTTGGAAAGCAGACGGAGCAGCTCGGGGAGCCTAAGGAGGGAACATTCTACTGGCCCGTGGGGGTGGAGGGCAAAGGCAGCAAATTGGCGTATGACGAGGCAAAGGCGACGGAGCTGTGGGAGTGGACGGAGAAGGAGCTGGAGACGCATCTTTCGTGAGGTAATATGACTTGTCTCTTGAATGTAATCTACAAATTCTTTCAATGTACCTGAACGATCGGAATCCCTACACCCATCCTTATAGTTCCCGTTTGATGGTAGACAGACCATCTCCACGCTCATTGGCCCAACTAGCGCGCGGCAGCCACCCACCTAAATAGGCACCTTACATAATCGCAACTTCAGCGTCTCCGAAAAGAACGAAAGACGGAATTCCGAGCAAGCAAGCAATCAACCACCCCCAAAACCACCGCTACAACACACGCCATGCGTTCCCTCTCGCCAGTCCTCGCCTCCCTGGCGAATGTTTTCCGCATCCCTATCTCCCAGACCCCGTCGCGTCCCGCCATCGGTCGAATCTGCAATGACGCTCTCGTCAACAAACCCGTTACGTCGGCCGTGCAGGGCATGGCCGCCCGGTCATTCTCGACGACGAATGCCATGCAGAAGCGCGCCAAGGGGGGATCAGGAGCTGATAAGCGAGTTAGTATGTATACCTTATGTTCTGTCTGTGGTTGTGGAAGTCAATTGACTATCTACACTACCTACACCTTTTCCTCTTGACCCAATCCGATCCAATCCAATCAAACCACCCTCTCACCCAATCCCCTCTCCAACTCAAACCCCAACACTAACAAAACAAAATCACAGCCCTAATCCGCTACTTCCTCTGGCACCCGCTCACGCCCCGACCCCTCCGCTTCTCCCGAACCCGATACCTACGCCACTGGACGATCCACCGCGCCTGGCAACTCTTCCAGGGCCAGCAGCGCCGCGCACACCAGCTGGAGCTGCAGCGCCAGTACCAGGCAATGGGGGCCGCGTGCGAGGAGCTCCGCACAGGCGCCGGCGACGGCGGCCGTCTCTTCCGGAAGAGCATGATCAAGACGGCCGTCTTTCGGGATATGTTCCCCATCGAGTATGGGCGGTTGCAGACGGAGGCGCCTAGTAAGGAGGGCTGGAATCATGAGTGGAAGAGGGTTGAGAGGAGGTAGAAGATCTTCTTTCGTGACCGGTTGGGGGTTGGTTTTGGTGGATTGGGGGGTATAAGGACATAAAGCTGTTTATTTAACTTGGTTGGGATGTGGAAGGATGGGGTTGTGCAACTATTTTACCTACTTACCTACTTCCTACTTACCTAGATAGGATTTTGCTTGTTTAGATATGTTGTATGTATGTACTGTACAGTATTGAGGTTTGTTGTGTTTCTGTTTATTGGGTCTAGATTGCTTTCCATGATAGATGCTGAGCTTAAGTGTAATTCAGTTGAAACTTTCAAGCTTACTGGCTTAAACATAGACAGTGTACAAATCGGCAGTACAGATATGCAGTATACAGATAGGTAGAGATAGCAGTATAGGCAATATATTGTAATATCAACTCGCAAACAAAATAACATAGATCAGTCGCTAGACAGAGCAGATAGGGAATGAGCTAGAAACATGGCAGAGATCAAGTGGTATAGAAAAGGAGAGACGGGATTCGTAAAGGAAGGCGAAAACGAATAAAAACCACTCGCTCCAAAGCACAAAGTACAAAGCATAAGCACAAGCATAAGCACAAGCACAAGCACAAGCACAAAAAATAGATAACCCATACCAAAGGAGAGGACTTGCAGAGAGCGGCAGAGGGGGGGGGGGAGGGAGAGAGTAAAGTAATAATGCAACGGGCTTGCAAGTGAATCAGTCCCATGTCGACCAACAAACATATTGGAGTTTTTTGAGGGGTGTTTTTTTCTTTTCACACGGGACCACACCCCAAAGCCAGAATGAGAGAGACAAAGAATAAACGTAATTTCGATCGAAGATCCACCCAAACGCCGGTAATGCAAAAGAATATACTGGTTTCAACTTGTCGACGAACCTCAACTTGCATATTCGCCTTCACCTATTCACCGCACCGATTTTTTGGTAGATCCAATTTAACAGACTCGCAGGACAAACGTTGATCGCGAGCACATATGGAAGGGCCGAGCACGATTCCGTCGTCGGTGCGTAGTTCGACTCGATAATGCGTGTCCCCGTTATAGCACAATACAACAGGAGCTCTTCCGCTTGTCGAAGGTGAGAAGCGCCGCGCGAGTGGCCGCTTCGAACACGTCGTCGACGCCCTCACCTGTCAAGGACGAACACTCGAGGTATTTCCGGGCGCCGATCTGGGTGGCGGTCTCGCTTCCTTCCTTGGGCGTGACGAACCGTAGCGATTTCTTTCGCATCTCCTCCACCGCCATCGTGTCTTCGCGGAGATCTTTCTTCAGCCCGACCATGATGATGGGCACGCCGGGGCATCGTTCGTTGGCTTCTTCGATCCACTGAGAAAACAACCGGTTAACCTTCCTCTTTTCTTTTTCTTTTTCTTTTCCGTATCTCCTGAATGACGAACCTTGTGCTTCACGTTCTCCAACGAATCGGGCGTATCCACGGCAAATCCAATCAGGAGCACATGTGCCTTGGAATAGGCCAGCGGACGTAATCGCTCGTAGTCTTCTTGACCCGCGGTATCCCACAACGCCAATTGCACCGACCGGCCATCGACTCGGCAATCCGTCACGTAGTTCTCGAACACCGTCGGCACCTAGATTCCAAAGACGACCAAGTCAGACGATCTGTTCGGGGTTCGCGGAAGGATGGAAGGGTAGATAGGAGGAAAAGCAATAGGGCACGCACGTAATGCTATCGAGAGAATCAATCATTAGCCGACACTGCCTTTTCGGATTCTAGCAACGTCCTGGAACAGAACAGGCAGACTTACTGTTGGGAAATACCCCAGGGTGAAGACACTCAACAAACTAGTCTTTCCGCAGGCACCGTCCCCAATGATTACCAGCTTTCTACATTACACCTAAGGATCAGTACGGCGACACAAGAAGACAAAGACGTTTTATCCAGGGCTGTTTCCTCCCATGAACCAACCAGACTTCACGACAGGGGGGAATGGATGGAGGGGGAGTGGAAAAGAAAAATCGAATGACAGGTGCACGTCAAACGGTCGGGCTTACTTCCCCCGGCTAGGCATCACGGGCACAACACGTACCTTCGCATCACATTGTCATCCTGTTGTTGCTGTTGCTGTTGCTGCTGCTGTTGTTGTTGAGCCATTTTTAAAGGACCAGGAAGTGGGGGTGAAGACCACTAGTTAAAAGGAACAATAATAGTAACAAAAAGGAGGGAATAAGAAAAATAAAATATAATATAATAAAGTAAATCCTTGGAGCGATCTAGGAGGGAGATACCACGGACGGAAAAGGAATGCGACCCAGGTATGGATGGCGAGCGAACGCTGGTCGGAGAGATCGGGGGCAGTGAAATTAGGCGCCAGGCAAGGCCTAGTTCAGGTCGAAAACGGGGGGAATGGCCTCGAGGAGCGACAGACGGAGACAAGGGGAAGCCAGTAATGGGCGATGCGTGTCCCCTCCCCCTAACAGCTGGACGACGAGAGGAACAAGGGCCGACCTTTTTTTTTTTCTGGGGGGTGGAAATCATCCAACGAACTCGTGATTCTGGGAAGGCGGTCGACTTGAGGCTGAGGCTTAACTGGGATCGACCAGTATCGTTGTTAGTGTGTTGGTAACTTGGTAGGTAGTTAACTCAGTGTTAACTGTTAACAACTAGGGTCACTAGGTAACGTGAGACAGTCGCAAACTAGTAACCACGAACAATCACTACTATGAAGGTCGAGTGGCGGGTGGTGGCTTAGACGGGCAGAATAATAGTAGTCCCTGTTCTATAAAGTATAAGTCAACCGACTTCTGGGGGAGGCAAATGGAAAAATAATGATAATAATAAACGCGAGGGATAATCCCACCAATAAATAAGAAACTGTAGGCTATGCTCGCAGCAACACGGGTGGGAAAATCAGAAAGGAAGATTCCAGAGCGCCCCCGAGAGAGAAGTTGAGACTTGAGACCCCAAATAATAAATGGGGATCCCTCTTTCTAATCAAAACGAAGGACGGGATCGACCGGTAGATGGCACAGCTGAAGAGAAGCACAAGCACATCCACTCGTTACTAAGGTTAGAGAGATGTCTCAGCCGTTTTCCACTAGGCGGTTATGATTCCTGACTAGTTGCTGTTATTATTACTTAAGTGGAGTTGCGAGGTGCGACAGGAGGGGGAGAAAAGACGAGAGCCAAGCGCAGAGAATAATCGGACATCCAGCATCCCTCTCGTCATCATCATGGGGATATTAATAGCACCTACGGGAGAGAGTCTTGAGACGTGAGTTATTGACAACCACTGCGACCCTTTTGCCCCGGAAAGACCGACTTGCCGATGGGGAAACGGAGTCAACGTCCATTGTAGGCTCCACCAGAACCGTCCAGAGGGGATGATCCCCGGGGTCAGTACAGTACACTCCGTAGTAGTAGTAGTCCTGATGGGCTGATAGCCTCATTCTTAAGTCGCAACGTCCATGTGCGGATACCTCGTGGGAAGTCTTGAGGAGGGAAGGGAGTTCTAGATTCCAGACTAGACTCTACTCTAGACTCTAGACTTTAGACTCTAGACTTACTCTTGCGCTGTACTCTGTAAGGCATCCCGGACGGACTGATAATCCCGATTCCGTCCGCCGTAACACCCGGATGACATAACCAGGCATCAACGGGACATTCATCAGGCTGTCAGGCTGTCAGACATAAAGGCATTAAGGCATTAAGGCACCCAGCCCCAGGCAGCCATCTCGCTTGCGGCGGCTAATCCCATTGCGGCCGGCGGCACGGCAACCATCCAGAGCCCAACGCCCGGCGTCAAGATCTATCATCTCCAGCCCTTCCACCAGTCCCCCCCCCAGCTGGATGCGCCAACTCTTCAGACCGTCGCTTTCTGCTTCGCCTTGTCCTCCTCGACACCCTCCCTGCGTTTCCTGGCCAATTTGGCCCGGTCGCCCTTGACGCCTGGACCTCCTCGTCGTGCGGCCCCGGGTCCTTTCCACCCCTCTCCGCCCTCATTCCCTATTTGTCGCCTAGGATCTGACTACCTTTGTTTGACCTTGGCCCTCCTCTTCTCCTCTCTCCACCCTGCCACTCGCGGGGTCCACGGAGCTTAGAAGCCTTTCCCTCCCCTTCAACCTCTTCCCCCAATCCGACTGGCTACGGCTAATTCTCTTTATTCCGAGCTTCGCTGGTAAGCTATACTTTTTTTTTCTCTCCTTCCCTCCTGCTCTTCCCTCTACCCTGGCTTTGGTATAACGCCGCTCGCCTCGGCGCTTCGCTCTCTGACTTAGCATGGTGGTCAGCCTTCGGAATTCCTAGGAGATCTGCGATCCTCGATCTCTCCCTCCCTTCGAACCCGTCATACGACCCCTCCATGCCATCTTCTCGGACGTCCGGTTCGAACCCTAGTCTCTCCACCATGTCCGCCCATGTGTCGGCGGCTTCCACCCGCCCCGCCAACGGCGAACCCTTCTCGAAGACCGAACACACGTCGCCAGACCCCCAACCGACCACCGTGAACCGCAAAAAGCAGAAACGCCGGCAAAAGCAAGCTGCCCGCATGGCCGCGGAACGTCAGTTCGAGAATGGCCATGTCCACCACCCGGACGCCGCAGAAGAAAACAGTCCGAGCCCCGTCGGTCCCGAAAGCCACCCGTCTGACGACCACGACTTCGACGAATCTGTCGACGGCGATGTCTACTACGACGAAGAACCCCGGGTACTCGGCGCGCATCCTGCCATGTCCGCCCCGTCGACCATGAATGCGCGCGACGACCACTCGAAAGTTTCCGGTCGAAAGTCGAAGAAGAAGAAGGGCAAGAAAGGTCGCAGCGGCTCCCAAACGCTCGGAGACGAAAGTTCGACTCCCTTGTCTACCCCTTCGGTCTCGATGTCGCACCCTCTCGTCCCCCCTCTCCCGCCGCATTTCGGTGCCCGCACGATCCTGAAGTCGACAAAAGATCGCAGTATTTGGAACACGTCGACCCAGGAGGAGCGCGAAAATATCAAGGCCTTTTGGCTCGAGCTGGGCGAGGAGGAGCGACGACAACTCGTCAAGGTAGAGAAGGACGCGGTCCTGAAGAAGATGAAGGAACAGCAAAAGCATTCGTGCAGTTGTACAGTCTGCGGGAGGAAGCGAACCGCTATCGAAGAGGAGCTCGAAGTGCTTTACGACGCTTATTACGAAGAGCTTGAACAGTACGCAAATAACAACCAAGGCTCCTTTGAAAAGGGCCCGCCCATCATGCCGCCTCCCCGCCTATACCATCCACCCCTACGTTCTCCCGGCCAACACACGCGGACGCAAGGCCAATTTCATCCCTCACGAGGTAGAATCCACGAGTTGCCCGAGGACGACGAAGATCTGGAGGAGGACTACGATGAAGATGACGACGAGGATGACGAGCCCTACAGCGATGAAGAATATGAAGACGACGACACGCGTGCCGCTCGCGCTGATTTCTTCGCCTTTGGGAATAGTTTAACTGTTAAAGGTAAGGGCAACACCCCGGATCCCGAAAAAACTTTCTACCCCTCTATTATCTCTTGAAACTCGGGCTGATTTTATTCCCCCTCCGTTCTGTTCTCGCTCCTTCCAGATGGTATTCTTACAGTTGCAGACGATCTTCTCAAAAATGATGGGAAACATTTCATCGACATGATGGAACAACTGGCCGAACGCAGAATGCAGCGTGAGGAGGATACCCAATTCGGAATCACCGCTGCTCACCAGTCCCTTCATGCCGGTCATAATCATGGTCCATACGATGAGGAGGATTACGATGAGGAAGAGGAGGATGAATATGACAGCCAAGAGGATGAAGAATACGAGGAGGATGAAATGGTCAGTAGCGAATCGCTACTTCTTTGCTCTCAATCTTATGGTGCGGTGCATACTAACTGATTCTATTTCCAGGATGCTATGACCGAGGAGCAACGAATGGAGGAAGGCCGACGAATGTTCCAGATATTTGCCGCCCGGATGTTTGAACAACGCGTCTTAACAGCTTACCGAGAAAAGGTCGCCGAGCAACGCCAGAAAAAGCTGATCGAAGAGCTCCTGGAGGAAGAATCCCGGACCGAGCAGCGGAATGCCAAGAAGGCTCGCGAAGCTCAGAAGCGCAAAGACAAGAAGAAGCTTCAGAAGCAGGCGAAGGAAGAAGAGAAAGCACGCCGAGAGGCCGAGAAGGCAGCCGAGGAAGCGGCGCTTAAAGCCGAGCAAGCGAAGAAGCTAGAGGAACAGAAGAGGAAACGAGAGGAGCAGCGGAAGAAGCGCGAAGCTGAGCGCAAGGCTCAGGAAGAAGAGAAGGCTCGTCGAGAAGCTGATAAGCAGCGAAGGCTGCGTGAAGAGCGCGAGCGACAAGCGGAGCTAGAGCGCAAACATCGTGAGCAGAAAGAGCAGGAAAAGCGACGGCGGGAGGATGCGCGACGAAGAGAACGGGAGCAGGAAGACCGGGATTCGATGGATAACAAAGCTCGGGAAGAACGAGAGCGCAAGGCACGCGATGGGCAGACACGCAGGCATCGGGATAGCACAGGGAAAGTCGAGTACGACCCCTCCGACCTCGAGAAGCGGGATGCTTTCGGCAGCCGAGCGTCGCAGCCAGAGCCGATGCCGATCTCAACTAGCCTGCAGCAGCATGTCCAAGGATCTTCTAGGCACCTACAGTCACCACACCTAGCAGGTGCAACGCCTATTGTCCCGAAGGCTCCGACGCCTGCCCGGGCCCGCCAGCCGTCTCAACAGGGCTCGCACACCTCGTCCCCACGGTCCCAGGCGGCCAGCGCAGAACCTTCGCAGACCTCCATCTCTCCTCGATCCATGGGCCCGTCCCAGTCGTCGGGAGCCTCGAGTGTGACCTCGAAACAGAGCCAAGGATATCCCATGTTGCATCATCCTCAACCGTCTACTCCCCTTTCTCCCCTCGGTGCGATGGGCAGATCTCATCCACCTGGGTTTCCGAGTCCTAACGGCCTGCCCTCAAATCCCCCGGGGTTAGCTGGAATGGTTCCTCGACCGCCGCCGATGGGTCATGAACTACCCACGTATCCGCCGCATACTGGCCCTCTCATGAGTCAACTGCGAGGGTTCCCTGCACCGAACGGGATCCCTATGCCTCCCGGTATTAATGGCACCCGTCAAATGCCACCTGGACGTGGTTACCCACTTGACCCTGGACACGGTCTTCCATTCCATGCCCCAGCACCGCTCTCAAGCGCGTTCTCTGCGCAACAGAGCGGACTCTCCCAGGGTCATTCCCGACAGCCTTCCAACTCGTTCGAGCGATCTCCTCTTGACACACACGCCCAACCATTCCCCATTTCTCGTCCTAGTCCGATTAAGCGTCCATCCAGTACCCAGCAGGATCAGCAGGCCGATGTCAACCGCACTACACAGCGCGACATGGACAATCTAAGTGCTCGGTTTGGAAGCAGTGCTCTTCTTGATGACAGTGACGCTCCCTTTTCTTCGACCCTTTCCCAATCGCTTCCTGACGCCACCGTTCCAGGCTCTTTACCGGGTCCGACTCGAGCCAGTTTTGCGGCACCCTCGTTGTTCCCAGACCCTCTCGGAGGTAAGCATTCATTAGCCAATATACCAGCCAAACACCTTGGCTAGTTATCAAGCCCAGTGTACTAATGTTTGTCCCGATAGCATCAAAACACTCTAGTTTCTCCATGAATACTGGAGTAGGAAGCAACCCGTGGGGTGGACACATGGGATTTGGGGCCTCCGCTTTCCCCGGAACTCCAACCTGGGGAACTGCACATGGTCAGTATACCGTGCGATTTGTATCTGTGTTGCTTTACTGATAATCATGACTAGGGAGTGGTTGGTCCAACAACGCATTCGGGTCCGGTGGTCACCATCGTGCGCACACATCTCGACCAGTTGCCATTCGGTTGCTGGTGATTGAAGCGTGGAAGCAACTGAACACCCTAAGCCCTTCCAAGGGAGCCAGCGGTCATCATGATGCCAAGAGGTTGCTCCGCCAAATTGATCAACTGCGGCCCTCCAACGAGCCTTCCATCTCGCTCAAGGAAATGCTCGACATCTGCGACACGGAAGGCAACTCGCAGAACGGGGGCGGTTCATTCTCCATCAAGAGCGACTCAATGGGCGAGTTCGTCAAGTTCGAGCCCGATACTAACAGCGCTGCCTCAGGTCACAGAGGCAGCATTGTTCCTGGTGAAATCGGAAGTCCGATTCCGAGTAGCAGCATACCAGCGTTTGGCGGGATTGGTACTACACCATCGGTGCTTCGGCAGTATTCATCTCCACCAACGGGATTCTAAGGTGTTTGGCTTCTTTTCTTTTCTTTACGGCATTCTCTCTGTGGAAATGGGGGAGTCTTTTATGCACACTTTCCGTTTCTTTCTTCTTTTCGTTACCCTGGCTTTATGTCCGTGTTTTTTTCTTGGTCGTGCAGTGTCTTTTTTGGGATGATTAATTTCTCGAAATGCTTCTTTTGTCCAAGCGTCATGTCATGAGTGTCTTTTTCTGTTTATCTTCTCTTCATGCTCTCTCGCCATCATGTCTCTCCCACGCTTCCTCTTCTTTCTGCCTTCCTGGTCTCTTTGTCCATCTTGTTCAACTCCGGTCCCGCGTTCATAAACCGGACCTTCCTTCCCCCTTTGTCATGTCTTGTACGTCCCCCATTTTTAACCATGTAGCGATTCCCTCGAGGCACGAATCTCCGGTCTCCGCATTAAGAACCAATTGCATGATCCGATTGGGGCCTTTCATTCACCAGTCAATGATTGATGCTAGGCTGTGGTCTTCTTTCACACACTCTCTCCTTCCTTCTTATGTTCGCTTTCTTTGCTTTATGTCGTAGAGGTTTGGGATTTGGGGTGAATCATAGTAGTGTGGTGTGTGGTGTGTAGAAGCGTAGTGTAGTTAGCGTAAGATGTATAGCTACTTGGAAGAGAAGAGTTGTCTTGTTTGGTTAGTCTGATCGATAAGGTTTTTTTTTTTTTTTTTTTTTTTTTTTTTTTTTTTTCTATACTCCGTACTCCGTACATATACACATATTTAGAGTTTTCCTATTATATATTTCCATCAATGATAGGACTCCATCTTTTTGGGTATGGTCACGACAGTCCTGTGATCTGGGACCATCAACATTCTATATATAGCCTACAAAGAACCTAGAATCTACTGAAATCTACCAACAACCTAGGCATCAAAAAGACAAGAAATTCTATTATGACAAGATCAAAGAAGGAAAGAAAGAATAGAATGGGTATGATGATAAGTTGACAGACAAGAGCAGCAGCAGCAGCATCGATAACAGCACAAAGATGATGATATACCTATGTATGTGATCACATAGGCACAGGTAGAAGAAGAAAAGAAGAATCAAAGAAGGGAATCAATAATCAAAGCAATTCAAATCAAATCAATCTTACAGCTCGGAATTCAAGGACTAGAATTAAAAGGGGAACAGGGAGAGGATGAACGCGATTGAGGTGGACAACAGATCGGATAAGCTCAGACAGCGAAGGATACAAAGGTGAAAAAGAGAAAGGAAAAAAAAAAAAAAGATAGGTAAAATAAATCAATCGATAAATACACTCATCATCTCGTACAAATCATACCTGTGGCTCACTGTCTAGGGTCTGTGACGATGCCTTCGTAGTCCCTTGATCGAATGTACTCTAGTGTACGCTCGAAATGGCGCTTCGGGCCTTCCAGGTTCGGGTTGGGCTCGTCCTGGTTGGTCTGCAGGTTGGAGTGGATGAGCTCGATAAGGCCATTGAGGTATTTAGTCGTGACGGTTTCGTTCTGCTGGTCGAAGTAGTAGACATAGCGGTTGAGGATCTCAACGAAGAGTTCAACGGAGACAGCGGTATCCATGCAAGCGTCGGCAACACGAAGAGCCCGCTGGAGACATTCGAGAACGCGCTTTCCGTCGCGGTAGAGCTAAAAAGTTTCGGTTAGAGACGAGATCATCTGCGAGATAATTATAGAAATGGTTACGAACGTTCTTGGCGTCTTCCTCTCCTCTTTGCGGGTTCTCGACAACCCACCAGAGGTGACTAGCGAGATACACTGCACGACACTGATCGGGCTTCTTGAGCAGCTTGCTGCCGTGCAGCGCCGCCTTGGTGATGAGCGTGTCGTAGTTCTCTTTGGAGAATCCTCGGGAACCGTGAAGAGCTCCCGCAATAATGCAGACAGCCTGGAACTGGGCCCGCGAATCACTGATAGAGTCTTCATAGATAGTGAAGGCCTGCGCGAAGAACTCGTAACTAAATTCTTCAAATCCAGTCTGGTCGGCGACCTCGCCGCACATGACAAATAGCCGCAGAGACAAATCGGCGCATCCCGGGTTTACTCGCTGGTACAGGTTGTTGACGCATTGATGCATGAATCGGTACAAGGCTGACGACTGCGACTGCCAGTTGTCATCTAAATGCTCACGGGTTTTGAGCTTGCGCGCCAAACGTATCGAGGCGCTGATGAGCGCCGGCGTTGTGTATCGAATCCGTTCGTTGCCGTCTGCATAGGCCTTGCGAGTTGATTGCAGGAGCTGGAATCATGAGTTAGCTAGCGGAAACCACGCATGTCGGAGCCGCCATTACCTTGAGCTGAACATCGTTTTCTGGTGCCTGAATCAGATGAACCAATCGTGCGAGCCAGCCTTGCTCTTCGATGGTCTCGTCCGTCTCGCCCCGGCGTTGTGATTGTACTCCTGGGTATCCCATGGACTGCTGCGTGCCCTCTTTGATCAGAACCCGGAGAACCTGGAGAACACGGTCAAGGTTGTCCGTGGTAGCGATGAGCGTGCGGTTCTTGAGAAGGCTGCGGGCGATTTCACCAGCAACGGAGCGACGGGTAGGATACGATTGCGCGGTCAAAAGTGGAAGGTAGTTAGGTAGGGCCAACGCCGTAAAGATGGAAAAGTAGGAGCGAAGAGGGGCAACCAAGAGGTGCAGGAGGTTCTGTTGCGTCGGAGCGGAGTGCAGATCAGCATGATCCGTGTACTCGGCAGTGGATTTGGTGGCAAAGTCAAGGACCTGATCCACGTATTCGAGTTTGTCGGGGTATGTGTTCAGCGCCAGATTGACCAGGGAGACGAGCAGGGCCATCGTGTCTTGGATGGGAAGCCCGCGAGACTTGATCAGATTGACCACCTGCTCGTAGAAGATGGCATAGAGCCTGACATTGGCAGGAACGCCAGGTTTTTCGTTGCCGTCGCCGTTGGCGTTTTTCTCGGTGTTCTCCTCCTCTGGGGCAGCCGGAGGCTTCTCTTCCGTTTCCTTCGACTCTTGCTCCACGCCGTTCTCCTGAACGGGGGTGGTCTCCGTATTCTCCGCAGGCGCCTGTTTCTTGGTCTCTTCGGCAATCTTGACATTCTCGAGGAGATTTGTCACCGCTTCCTCCTCAGTCTGCTGCCTTGTTTCTGGGTCGGTCAACAAATCGGTCTCGCGCGCCGCATACGCCGACAGCCGGTCCATCAGGCCGATGACGATCTTCTTCAGGTCCACGTGCGGATTGAGTCGGGCGATCGCGGAGAGCAAGAGGTCAAGTGTATGGAGATGGAATTCGTCGGGGAAGACTTTGGTAATCACTGCGAGATCCCGTTAGCTCCCAAGCTATCATCCGCAAGCCTATCACCGTCTTTCCTACCTTCAAGCAAATACTCCTGCGCCAGGACATCCCGGCATTGAACGACCTGTTCCAGCAGCGCCTGCAGGATTCCCGATTTGTAACCTTCCAAGTCCACCAATTGACTGAGGCGAACAACATTACTACCGACCAGCAGCTCCAGCTCCCGGCGCTCCTGCATCCTCTTCTCCCGCTCCCGGGACGGGCCCTGATGTTGCAGTCGCACCCACAGCTTATTCATCTCGACAAAGTTGGTCAACACGAAGTTAATCGAGTCCTGCATGTTGCCTTCGGGACCGTCGCCCGACCCCGTGGGTAGGTAATCCCTCGCCTGGCCGGACAGGTAGTATCGTAGGAACAGGCCGCGGATGGGGTGCTGCACGCCTCGGCTCATTTCCATCATATCTTTCATGATCTCCTTAACGGGGGCGTCTTCCACCGACATGTACACGGTCCCCACAGTGATCATGAGGTACAATCTCGGGATGATGTTGCCGGCATACTGGACCAATTCGTACAGATCGGCCAGGTGGTTCACGGGATGGTTCTCTTTCAGGTAAACGGAGAGGTGTCGCAGGGCGTCGAACACGGCCATGTACAGTTCATAATATTGTTTCGGACCTAGGCTGGGCGTTCGTAGTTCGGACACGAAAGTCGATCTGGAACCCAATTGGGGAAACCGGGACTCGTCAGCTCTGCCATTCTACGGCTGCCTTGGGGAGGGTCAGTGTGGAGGGGAGGGAAGGCTTTCAGCTCACCCGCATTTCAGCGCATCCATTAATTTCCCCGGCGTCTCTAGGCATTTTCGCATCATCTGCGACTGCTGTCGGACCACTCCCAATGCCTCCTCGAGGAGGCGGCTTTGGTCCTCGGGAGCCGTCACGGGGGAGGCCATGGTGGTTTATGGGGATGGAGGGGAGGCGGTAAACAGCTGGTCGCAATGGAGTATGAGGTGGGTGATCAAGGACGGGAGAGGCGGTCGGAGGGAAGGTATGGAGTCAGGGGTAATTGAGATAGCTCCCAGTCCATAGACGGGAAAAGTAGTAGATCGAACAACGGGAAATGCAAGTGTAGAGGAAGAGAAGGAAGAGGAGGAGGGAAGTTGATGATGGAAGGTGAATCCATCAACCGGGCACGTGGATTATGTAACCTCCCCGTCGTACTCGTACTGTCACCGTATTATGGGTAATTTGCAGTTCTTTTTCATGCAGTCTAGATAACGGCCAATCTATCGAGTATACATCATGATCAAACACCATCGCAACCCCGCTGAAGCAAAGACAAAAACGCCGAATGCAGGTCCATGAGCACATCGCATCATTACAGCCAGAACCCAGGAAATATAAAATGTAAAAAAAGAAAATAAAAATCCCGAAAATAAAAAGGAAAGGCATCCATCTATCCATCATAGAGTGTGGTCATTCACATCGCAAACCGTTGCTCATAAGACAATAAATCCGAAAAGAAGAGAGTGAAAAGGAAAGAAGAAAAGAGACTACCCGTCGCTTTTTCGTTTCTTTTCTTTTTAGAGACCGTCAAATTGCGTCATTTAGACAACGGTGCTGTTGGATCGGCCAACAAGCGTGGTGGCATTCAGGGCACCACGGCTGAACAGACCGGCACCACCAGTGACGTTGGCACTGCGAGCATGCAGACTGGACTCGGTGTCGTTGCCACGGGAGAAGAGAGATCGAGTCTCAAGTCCGGTGCCATTGCTGCGAGCGTGCAGCTTGGGAAGAGTGGAGTTTTCGCTCCGAGCATAGAGATCCCGGGTCAGAGTGTTGTTGCTACGAGCGTGCAGCTCGGGGAGGGTGGTGTTTTCGCTCCGGGCGTGGAGATCACGGGTCAAGGTGCTGTTGCTGCGAGCGTGCAACTCAGAAGTAGTAGTCGTGTTTTCACCGCGGGCGTGGAGGCTTCTAGTCAGGGTGCTGTTGCTGCGAGCGTGCAATTCGGGAAGAGTAGTGTTTTCGCTCCGGGCATGGAGGTCCCGGGTCAAGGTGCTGTTGCTTCGAGCGTGCAACTCGGAAGAGACAGTAGAGTTCTCACCGCGGGCGTGGAGATCCCGGGTCACGGTGCTGTTGGCCACGGCGGACCGTCTGAAGTTGCGAGCGGCTCTCTCGGTCTGGTTGAAGCCCCGAGCAGCGATCTGGGAGTCCTCGCCGGACTCAGATTCGGGGTCTTCGGTCGGCACGGAAGGGATGGACCAGCCAGGGGGCACAAGGTGGCCGGACGCAGAGGGAGATGCAGACGCAGCCGGAGTGGACGAGGGCGTTTGGGTCACGGTGAGAGTCACCGGAGGTTGAGGGGGGTTGTTGGCGACGGTGATGGTTTCGACCGTGGGAGTTTGGCTGCTGGTGGTTTCATCGCCGACGTTAACGACGCTGTAGGGCTGCTCGTCTCTGCGCGCCAGAGTGTCGTTGGAGCGGGCATGGAATAGAGGCACGGCGTGAGCGCCGATGGAGGAGAGAAGTAGGAGAAGAGTGGTGGTATGCATCTTGTTTGACGAAGCAAGAAGAGGGAGATAGAGACAAATAATTTTGATGGAGGTAAAAAAAAAAAAAAAAAAAAAGGACTCTAAGGTTTTTGAGTGTGAAATCAACTAATATAACAAATGCTAAGGGAAGCACAGTGTACTAAATAATGATAGATGGAGTAGAGACAAGCTCAGGCGATGGAATGCTATAGATCGAGAGAATTGAAAAGAGGACGAGGGGACCTTAATTTATGATCAGCCACTAAAGGCGACGGCTCAATGCTGGACCAATGTAGAAATGCCAAAAGCAAAGACAGGGAAAGAAAAAAAAATATGATCGATAAATGCCATCATCGGACGGCACAACAGACCCATATCACGGCGAAAAGTGCAGGCTGGTGCATTGCATGGCAGCGCATCGCCAATGGGTCTGGGCCGGCAGCCGTCAAAGGAGGCTGGGAGAGTCGATCAGCACCCACATGGGATTGACTGCCAGCCACGTTCATTCCGAATTTTTGCCCACACGGTGAGGGAAAACACACCGAACGGCAGAAAGAAGGTTCAGAAATAGATGAACATCCACGCAATCCCCTTTGCCTATCATCGGGGCATTGGGTAGGCTGTGTGATCCAGCCAGGCAGACGTTGAAAGATGCTTCGTTTGTAGGGCACGCAGACCCTGTGACTGCCAAGAATTCCGTGGCTGGGGGGGATCGAGGGCCCACTCACTGTGGCGTCTTAACGGTCGCCTCGATATTTTTGGACTGCGTGGGTTGTGCTGTGACTCTGAGTCGAGGACTGGTAAGCTGTGCTACTTGCTGTCAGCAACGCAAGGGATAAAGAACTCCACTGCGTGCGTGTGGTGGTGGTACAGTACATGTGGTACGTGTGGTGTCGACGTCAACCTCCATTGTATATCTCCGAATCTCTTCCTTCGACGGCCGAGTATGAGCGGCTTGGTGAATGCCCATGATTTCATAGCTTTTTTTCTTTTTTTGAAAATATAAATGCTGCGGCCGACCACATGTGTGACCCGAATGTTTAGCCATGCGTTGATATTGCATGAACAGGTAGACATTACGTTGCCCGTTGACCGAGATACATACTTCGCCCGATTCTACCTTCAGCTTCCTCCATGATGAAGACATCAGGTTCATCGTCAAAGTCGCCCCGTCGAAAATCTTAACAACACTTCTCAGATGACCCAAAATCGCAGATTTGACTTGACAGGTGACGAGTCCCCGTCCAAACTAGGAGGGCTCTCTGCATGTAACCCGCTCGATCTCTCTTTCGCAGCCGGAGATATCTTTTGCCTTTACGAAACTTTTACTCCATATTCTGTGATTGCGCTATCAGGACACCGAATATGTTCCTTGACCGCTCTTATCGCACCGCGATTTCTGGGTCGCTATTTTTAGGAGCATCCGACTATTGAGCTTCCCACAGCGGCGATTCCCGCCCCGTCTAGATCTATAGACTTGGCAATGCGAGATATCGGCTATCGAAGCAGATGATATCAAACCGACCATCCGCAGTTAATCGGCTGCCAAATACCATGCGCGATCGCATGAAATTATCGAACCTACGCAGGACCCCGGACAGAGGTATACGTAACGGCTTGAGCGGTCATGGAACGGAACCAAGTGCCACTCTCCAGAGAAAGATGACGAATCCACAAATTGGTCATAGCAAAGGCAGATCGTCCAAAGTGAATTACATAGCTAAGTCTTCGATCCGAATCAGACCGCAACCGACGGCGGCAGTGGCCCATCCCGCACACGCCTGGTTGGGGTTCCACGAAATCGACGTAACGTGCGTTTCTTCGTCGTAGAGCGTAATGATCATGGTTCCGTCCATCATCTTACGATCCCCAGACATGTTGCGCAGCAAGCTGGCGGATTCGGCGAGGAATCCGTCGAAGAAGCGACTGGTTCCGGGACTGTCGGCCTCGGTGCCTCGCACCCATTCGTGCGTGAACCAGGTCTGTTGCAATTGTTTCTCCTTGGGATGTAAAACTCGCTTCAAAGGGTTGGTCGCAACCACGGAACCGCCAGCACTCCCGTAGAGGGTGCTTGGATGCCAGGAGCTGCAGGGTGCCAGGGCAGTAATGGTGCTTTGAAGCCTGGCTATGGCGCTTGTGGTGAAGAAGCGACGCACCGCCAATAGCCGGGCAAAATCGTTTTCATCGCCGGAGACGAATGCCTGCAGCATGGGCGAGTATGATAGGTGGGCCGATCCGACTCTCATGCGGTTTGTTTCAACCATGTTCTTGTTATGGTCGATGAGCGACCATAGACGCGTCTCACCGTCCATGGACGTAGTAGCTAGTAAGTGGGGGTTTGTTGGGTAGCTCGATGCTATCGTGAGAATATAGGTCGAATGAATTGGTTGGTAGAAGAAAGGAAGGGGGTTTGGGGGTGCTTGAGATGCTTGAATAGGCGCTATACTCCAGGCAGCCACGAAGCCATTGGCACAGCCAACGGCGATGTCGCTGGGTGAGAGCCATGTTAAAGCGGTGCCCACAGTCGAAGGAGCCTTGGCTTCGAATACGGGGGATTGCACCTTGACTAAATCGCATGTCAGTAAGAGCTCAAATCGGCCATTTTCAAAATCAAATCCAGGGAGACCCACGGAATTCCGTCTTAGTTGGATTCCGACTCAATTTGACGTCAATAACTCGAAGGTACCCGTCTCCCCATATACCCGCCAAAAGTCCGACGTTCCTCAAGTCATCTTCCTCGTCTTCATCCCGTGGGTCTCGAGCCATGGGGCACCAGGCCATCCTTTTCAGATCCCCCCAATCGGTACATAGGGCTAGCCGTAATCTTGGCTTAAATGTCATATCTAATGTTTTTGTGAAGCTCTCCTCTTTCGCAGCCTTGAACATCCAAAGCTGCAAAGCACACGGATAGGGAGGCGAGGGGGTGAATGCAGGCGCACTGGATTTCGACGGATCGCCATACGCTTTCTTTTGTTCCTCTCGGATTGGAGCAGCCACGGTCAGATACTGCGTCAGGCCCGGCTGGTTGGGCGCCCAAGCCATGTTCTTAATCCTCTGTCCCAGATTGATAATCCAGCCCTGTCTTTTCTTTTTCTTGGGACGCGCGGAACTTTTGCCCTCATCCCACGCATCCCCAAAGTTGAGCGATTCGTGTTGTGCCAACTGAAACCGACTCTGATCACCATCGACAGGTCCAATGAGAATCGTGTGGTCCTGCTCCTTTGGAAGAGGCATATAAACTCCCCGCGCCTCGTCCTCGGAGGTCTTCGCAATGCGCTGTCGCTTTCTAAACCTCTCCCCGATATCATCGGCATAATACCAGTCCCAGCCCCGAGTTCTCTCCCTCTTCATATCCTCCGGCTCAGCCCCAAAGGTCAGTCCATACTTGTACCCGGACGCTTTCTGAGCGCGATTCAAAGAGGAGCGAGTGGGAACGGTCGAGTCCGCGCCCCCAGACCACTGGTCTCGCGCATGCACGACATTTAAGAGATCCCTCTCGTCCGTGCCGTACGTCACTCGAAGATGCTCCACTTTACCCACGTGCTCGGAAGGATTCCAGACTCCCCGCGAATGCGTCTCTCCTGGAGCGGGCATCGCGGGACCCCGATTCCGCTGTTTGGGGCGGGTTGGCTGAGCCGCAAGGGGTTTCTTCTGGTTCTTTTTGCCAGGACCAGCACGGGCGTCTTCGCCGTCAATCGACATGGCATCTCCATCGGAGCCGCTGGCATCATCCTCGTCATCTTCTTCGTCTGGAATCATCTCCTCATCGTCGTCGTCCTCATTTTCATCTGAGTTCTCTTCCCGGCCATTGCCGTCATCTTTGAACTCTTCATCAGACGACGAATCTTGCGGCGGTGAGGTGGCTACGCGCTTGCCCTTGACTCGAGAGGGGTTGGCGTCTTCTGCGTTGGACTCGTCACTGACCCCGGCGATCTCGAAGGGATCATTAGTGTATTTGGTCCGGGGGCCTGATTGGCGATTTGACCTCCGTGTGCGAGGCATCGCATGGGATGAATCCAACGGGAGTTTTCCCAGACGTCAAGGTGGTTTGACCAGAGTCCAATCAGCAGGATGACATAAAAACAAGGTGCAATTAAGCTCGCGGAGAGAGGGATAATTCCGAGGAGACAACCGTGGAAGCCGAAGAAGTTGGAGAGGATTTGCACTGGACGCTTCCCGCCGGTCTTGGCATCGCTCTGTCCGGACACGCGCTAGTCCCCATTCGGACGGTTCCTGGTCGGAGGAGGTTGGCCTGAAAAGTTGGCCTGAATTTATTTACTTCGAGAAGAGACTTGGACGGTGTCTCTTCGGCCCCTGCAAGACGAAGTTCTGCCACAATCTCCGCACGGATTGGACTGGACAACAACAATCACGAAGGATTGGAGGGCCTCGCATGTACTTGCAGAACCCCACTTTCTGCGGTGGATCGCGGTTATCAGCCCGACAGCCAGCGTCATCGCTCGCCATTCTGTCAACAATCACTCTCCTCTGAACCATCTTTCAATCGCCTTCAAACAACTTAAACATATTCCCATCTCCACCAGTAAACATGGCTACTCCATCATACCCTGGGGTCCTACACCAATATGTATGATTCCTTCCCCTCCTCACCCAATAGTAACCTCGATGTAATCCAACTGACCAGAACCGTCAGACCCCCCGTCTCGTAGCCTTTGAATACATCTCCCCCAACCAAACCACCCCCAAACCCAACAGTCTGCTCTTCGTCGGCGGCCTAACCGACGGCCTCGGCACCGTCCCCTACGTGGCCGAGATCGCCAAAGCCCTCGAGCCCACCGACTGGTCGCTCTTCTCGCTCGTGCTCTCCTCGTCCTACCTCGGCTGGGGCATCGGCAGTCTCGACCAAGACGTCGAGGAGATCGCACAGTGCGTGGAGTTTGTGCGCGCCCACAAAGCCCGCACCACCACGGGATCCGCATCGACCCCAAAGGTCGTGGTCATGGGCCACTCCACCGGCAGCCAGGACGTGCTGCACTACCTGTACTCGGCCAACCCGCTGCCGCAGCGTTCCCCGGACCAAGAAGTCGGTCTGGACCTGAAGCATCTGTCGCGGCCGCCGCTGGACGGGGCGATCATGCAGGCGCCCATGTCGGACCGCGAGGCGGTGCAGCACATTGGACAGACGAGCGAGGAGCCGAACGAGTTCCGCGGCGCCTACGACCAGCTGGTGAACTTTGCGCGGCTGCAGCAGCCCACGGAGATCTTGCCGTTGCATTTGACCGGCAAGGTGGGTTTCCCCGGGGACACGCCGATAAATGCGCGCCGGTTCCTGAGCCTGACGAGCCCCGATAGTCCGGCGGATCCGGCGCTGGATGATCTGTTCAGCTCGGATCTGACGGATCAGCGCCTCGCGGAGACGTTTGGTGTGGTGCGGGAGAGGGGTCTGCTGGGGGCGAAGCTGATGGCGTTGTATTCGGGGAGTGATGAGTATGCGGCGCCGTGGGTGGATAAGGAGGCGTTGATGAAGCGGTGGGAGAAGGCGACGAATGCCGGAGGGGTGGATAAGTGGGATGAGAATAGTGCTGTGGTGAAGGGCGCCAGTCATAATGTCAAGGCCGACGGACAGGCGGAGTTGGTTGAGCGGGTTCTTCGCTACTTGGGCACGATCTAATTGCCCCCTGTTGTTCTGTCGATGGGAGTTTACATAGACTGAGGAATGCACGCATCATGAATCCAAACCTAGCTTTAATATACAAGAACATATGGGCAGGAATATCAGAACCCATATCAAAACAATCATCCAGCGACAATTCGACGATCCAACAGGCATCCCCGATCTCTCTGATGGGAGGGGAACGATCAACGCGTTTCAAATAAATCGTCGAGAACACAGAAAGAAAAAGAAAACGGAGGGTATAGTATTAGAAAGACCACCGACCATCCCTCCCCCCATCATCAACAGAACCTCCTCCCAGTATCTCAAACCTTCAGCCACAAAGTCAACACACCCTTCAGGTACTCCACAATCTCACTCCCGCCCAGCTTACTCTCCCCATACAACCGATCCACAAACGTAATCGGACACTCCGCGACCTTGAACCCCATCGCCTTCGCGCGCACCATCATCTCCATCTGGAAACTATACCCCTTGCTCTGAGTACTCGAGATAACCTTCTCGAGCACACTCTTCTTATACAGCCGGAAACTGCCCGTCAGGTCACTGACGCCCGGCATCAGCATAACGTCGGCGATCAGGTTCGCCGTGCGCGACGTGAACTTGCGGAAGAGGTCCCAGCCGTAGACTCCGCCCTTAACGTCGCCGCGGCTGGCGTAGCGGGTGCCCGTGACGATATCGGCGTCGGTCTCCTTCTGGATGGCGATCATCGTCGGGATGAACTTCGGGTGGTGGCTGAAGTCCGCGTCCATGATGATCACGTAGTTGCCCGTCGCGTACTGCAGGCCGTGCACGTACGCCGTTCCCAGTCCTAGCTTGCCTTCCCGGGGCTTCAGGTTCACGTGTTCCGGGCCCCAGAGCTTCTGGAGTTGTTTGGCGACTTCGAGCGTGCCGTCGGGGGATCCGTCGTCGACGATCACGACTTCCCAGTCGAGGTTGCTGTTGTTACCGATGAAGAGGTTAGTAAAGGGGGAAATAGGGGATACGAAAGAGCGCATGAATTGATACGGAGTGGATGGAAAGGAGGATTTACTTCTCACGGAATGTCTTCTCGATCAACCAGCAGATAATAGGGAGGTTCTTCCGCTCGTTGTAGGTCGGCAGGATGACCGAGTACTTGTTCTTGACGGGACCCATGTTGATCGCCTGGAGAGAACACAATCAGGATCGGAGAAAGATAATGCGAATGAGAAACCAAAGACAATGGTGTCGACAAGGGTCGAAGTCGAGGGGATTGGAAAGTCGGGACGATGCTGGGCTGGGCGGTCGGGAGAGGAACGTGGCCAGACTTAGCGCCAGGTACCGTTCATGTATTCGTTACTTCCATCCAGTACGGAGATTTGAGTGGGCCGCAAAGTATCCGGTACTTTGCCTTTCGATGTTGAGACTTCTCAGTCTATTGGCTTATTCATAGCCCCTAACTTACTGACTGACTAACTAACTAATTGTCATAACTAGCAAATACTATATTCTTAGGCCCTTCCAATTAGCCAAATTCAGATATATAGACTAACCAAGATGTCGCAGAAATACACATCCATCCGAGTATACTCATGGACCAGTTCATCCAGAAGCACAACAGAGACAAACTACTCCATGATGAAGAACTGACTCTTTCCAAACATCATGGCTAAACATAAGCTAGATGATGCGTATAGAAACGATTTTGACAGCAAGAGAGTGAGGTAAGATTGATAAAACAGCGTCGATGGGAATCAGCTCAGGTATTGTGGACCTTGATTCCTCTAGTTAACACTTTACAGTATGTTTACTACGATTGCTCTTAGCCTGTCAAGAGAGGAGATATTATTATCGAGCTAACGCAGAAGCTCCAGCCATATACATATACACATAACAATCTAACCATCCATCTATCCACCTTGTTCATCAATATACAAGGACGGAACCATGCACAGCATCCTCCCACTCCCCAACCAACACGCCCTAGATCTCACATAGGGAAAAACCCAGCGTAATAATCCCTCTTCCCGATCTCAACGCCCTCCTTCCTCAAAATACCAAACGCCGTCGTCACATGGAAATAAAGATTCGGCAAGATGACCGTATGCGCCCACGTCGCGCCGGTCATTGGCACCTCCATTCCAGGAGCCAGAGTGGTCGGCTTCTCGCTATCGCCCTCCTCATTCACGCGGTCCTTGTCCGCTTCGCTGAGGGATTTCAGCACCGTATTGATGCGCTCAAAGGACTCCGAGAAGCTGTCAGGGCTGCCAGAGAACGTGGTTGCGTCGCGGCCGGTGAGGCGCGCGACGAGGTTCTCGGTCCATTGCGTTACGATGCGCACCTGATCGGTGAGGGGGTACATGGTTTCGTGGAGACGGGAGTTGTGAAGGAGGGTGGTTGTCTCGGTGGGACGTTGTTGCGAGGCGACAGTCAAGATGTGGGAGAGGGTTTTGAGGATGGAGATGGCGACGGGGATGGTGCCGTCGTAGAAGGTGTGGGGGGCCATGGTTTTGGTTTGCTTGCTCGATTCTCTTTGGGTATTGTTTACAGGTTTATATACTTTCTTCTGTGTACACTGCGGAACATTGCGGAGTCAGTCTGGTGAGTTGGAGATCCACGTGATACGGGCTGGGATGGGGGCCAATCCTCTATTTTGAGTCACTTTTGTGGCTGTGGAGCTTATTTTCGAGACATGAACATCGTGTTAACATGGTCGACATGTACAGCTATGGCTGACTATCCTATTGATTCTTCTGGCGATTCAGCAACCATCGACATCTTGATATTGGGAAATAGTGTAGAAGCGGCAAGACTCCGAGCCTATGGTAGATTAAAATGTTAATAGCCACAAATTTCAAAGTTTGTACAGATATTAGACGAAAAAATATCAAATTAGACCCTCAAACAAGCGCGCCGCTAAAGCCACGAACGCCACAGAGATGTAAAGAAGAGAGCGCCAGCCATCCCTTCGATCTACCCTCTTAGAACCCCTTCCGATACTCGCCTTCGTCGGCAATCTGATTGTATGCTCGATCATGCCGCTGCGACATCTCCTTATTATGCTGTTTCACATCCTGGGGCACATCATCCCGAAGATTGCCTTTGGAGTCAATGTTAGGGGACTGTTGGCCGTCTGTGATCGTCGGATGGGCCTTATTGCTCGGCATGGTGTTGATAGCACCCTCACTGGTTTTCGAGGAATGGGATTCGGACTTATTACCAGACGAAGACGGTGCGTCCTTGCTGACGTTGGGTGGGGTTGGTCCTATTTGCCATCTATTAGCATGCTAGTTGCTATGCTAGGGGCAGGAATCGTATCAGACGACTCTACCACGCTACCACGCTACCACGCTGTATACTCACCTGGGTGTTCGATATCTCGTGTAGGGCTGTTACGATGGCTTTTTGGGTGCTCCGCATTATTGTGTTCTCCTTCGCCCCCGTAGGAGCTCTGTGCATATTTTCGCCGCGAGAACGGGACGATGCTCTGCAACGGAGAGCCGAGGCCCATTGAAGGGCGGGCCACGTGTGGGGGAATCTTGCTGCGAATGATGGAGCTCATTTTGTTTGATCAAGGGAGAGGTGGAATCCGGTGATGTAGTTGAGTATTCTAGAGTGCATTTTGCTTCCAATTCCGTTCATGTATTTCCTTTTTAACCGTCGCAGTCGGGGGCGACTGAGTGCTGAAAACATCCAATGACGTCGCCGCTGTGTAATGCTCTCCATGATGTCTCGTTGATCAACGACCAACACCGGGCATTCCCCACGACGAGTTCCCGGGTGCCAAGACGCAGAGGCGAGGGAAATGGACTGAGAAACCCCAAAGTATTACATTTCGACTAACTGGGCCACGCCGTGATGGCAAATCTCATACACCGTAGTATCAAAAATGAAGAACCTTTGACCAAATAATGTGACGGCCAAACACCCAGATATTGTTATAAATCCCTAAAATAATGACCAAAAAAGATAGAACGGAAAGGGGGATTGAAAAAGAATAATGGAAAAAGATCAAACAGAGACCGGTGGCCCAAGATGTATGGTGGGCCTTGTGCACCATATCCGCCCGTAACGCCAATAAACTGCTAGCACACAGAACAAAACAATGCAAGACAAGATACTGGAGACAATAGTCCAAAAGCCCAAATCGGCTTGAATCACAAAAAGAAAAGATAAAAGCTCGCAAATATATAGGATGCATGTCATGACCAGCAGATAATAAATAACCCAGGAGCCCAACAACCCATCACACCTAAGAGCCCAAGTAGATCACACAAGAGAAGGATCATCGTTCGTATGCACATTAAGGACCATGGAAAATATAGTGTCCACCACTTCGGTAACGCCAACGCCTTGACCGCAAGGGAATAATTGGAATACAAAAGTGTAAATCGTCCCTTGCAGTTTCCTCTATCAGTTTGATTTCACTTTTTGGTGATGGTGCCAAGCACTAGTCAGTCAAGGAGACACAGTAGCAAACGCTAGCATACTGCGCCTTGGCCGTGTAGGTTTGGGTACTGCCAACACCTTTCATTGTCGTCGTTGGGGTCGGTTCCATCTCCTTAATCTGGATCGTCGCGGGTGATACGGTTTGAATTGAGCCGTTATCCATCACTTGCATTTGTTGGCAATAGGGTGCCTGCGCCTCGGGATAATCTCGCTTCTCCTCCATCTTGATACGGCGGGGATAATCAGGCGTCGATGTGCTTTTCGAGGTTTGCGATGGCTCGGCCTCCAAAAGGGTCGCGCCCGAACTGTCCCGAGACTCCTTCGTGGTTTCGTTGGCGTACAAGAAAAATTCCATCACCGTGCTATTCCACCAGCAGAACCACGGCTTGTCCCCAGACTGAGCTGCCTTTTTGCGATAATAAGAGGTGGCGAGCACTTCATCCTCAGGGACCGACCGTTTTGAGGCGGCATTGGATGGGAATGAATCCTGCGGAACAATCACAAGCTTGTCGAAGAGGGAAAAGAAAGTCCACGCTGGACCCAGGCTGAGATCGCTAGAGTCCATCATTAGACTCAGGGACTGTGTAGGACTAGCGAAATATGGTGCCTGGGCACCATAAGTAAAAGACGAGGTGAAATGCTCATGTTTAAACGAAACATTAGGCTGGGACTGAGTCCCCGAAATCGAAATGGGAACGTTTCCTGACGTCATACAGCTCCAGGAGCGAGTGTAGTCCGAATCGGAGATGCAGAATTTCGACTGATTCTTCGCGTACGCGGGGATCATGAAATTACCCGTGGGAAGCGTCATCAGGTTGGACGGAATTGTCGAGATGGGCGTCGCGTCCATTCGGGGGGTGGCTGTTGTGGTGACAATCTGCGGGCCATGGCCCTTCTCCTTCTCCTCGCTTGCCGCTTTTTTGGCTCCCAAAACTCCACCAATAACTCCACCAATACAGCCTCCCACAAGCATGACCACACCGACTAGAACCAAGGTCCAGACTGGCAGCCCACAGCAGGCTTTCTTCTTGCCCTTCGTCTTTAACTTCTCTTCGAATGCCATGATCCCGGTCGCCGGGGGTTCCTCCGGTGGCTCGGGATGCTGGACGGGAAGTGGCGAGGCCTGACCTCCGCCGACCACTCCCGCGGCAGCAACTTCGACAACGGGGATAGCTGCCGGTTCATTCCGGGGAGGTTCAGGCGGAGGGGCCGTCGGAGCATCGGCGACCGGCTGAGGCGGCTGGTCTTCGACCTTCGGAACGGCATTTTCAGGGTATCGTGAATAGGGTGGGAGTTGTTCAGTGTGGCCATCAGGTCCGATCAAATCCCCCACATCATCATCGGCACGATTAGGCGGTCGCTGGTAGGCTTGGGGGTGCCCGGGAAAGCCAAGAGGGATCACTGGAGCATCGATCCCCTCTTCCGGTACAACGTTCTGTGGGTACATGGCGTAGGGATGCTGAGGGGCATTCGTGTCTCCCAACGGTCGGTCCATCGGTCGTACGGTCGAGGTGGTGGTTACACTAGGGGAGCGGCTGACACCGACCTGCGGATACATTGCATAAGGATGGCTGGGTCCGGTAGCGCCCGTGTAAGGGCTGAGGGCCCGAGGGGGCATGGAGAACCGCGATGACGTGCTCTGGCTGCGCTGCGTGATTGAAGGAGCAGTATTTGTGGATGCTACCGAGTTCCGGTTGAGGTCCATTCCCTTCTGGGGAAGACTCGATCGGTGTTGGTCATCGAAAGAGAGGCGAGCTTCATCACCGAAAGGATTCTCCGTCGTCTCCGGCTCATTGGGGACCGTAGCGTACGGTTTCTGCTGGGGTACCGACGACCGAAGAGTATTGGAAGAGGCGATGGACGAAATAGAGGGACTTCGAGGAGTGAGAGTCGATTGTTCCGAATCTATCGGTTCCAGCGAGTATTCATCGGAAAAGACATTGGGGTTGTTGGAGGAGCGACCGGACGTCGAACGGCGATGCATTGATTCGGTTTCGGGGTTAGGAGTACAGTTTTGAGATGGCGACTGTGAGGATTGGGAGAGGGAGCGAGAATGATCGGATGAGAAACGCCCAGGCATGGCGTTGCACAGCCCTGGCGGGCTACCTGTTTTGATCGATCAATCCGTCAAAAGGGAGCGGATCAGTCACCTGAGTCGACTGAGATCGAGAGGGACGGAAGGGGACGTTGAAAGAGGGGAAGCGGTGAAAAGAAAGGGGCGAATAAGAGGAGGCGATGGCGACGAGGCACGACTTGACCGGATAGGATGGTGATTGAGGAGGGTAAATCAGATTTAGATGAAAAAAGAATGGATCGAGTGTAGAGGAGGGGAGATGAAGAGAGATGTGGAGGTGGAGGAAGAACGAAGCGAAGGATTCTGGAAGGGGGAGAAGAGGGAAGAGGAAGAGAGGAAGAGAGGAAGGGAGAGAGCGAGAAAGAGGGAAGAGAAGGGTCAAGAGTGGGCGGCCTGGGAGCCTGAAGGGGGCCCGAGAAAGGACTAGCGGCCCTCGGGACTAATTGGGATTTTTGGGGCGTCGGTCGGAAGTGGAGGAGTTCCCTAGACTGATGATGACAGTCTCAGTCCCCTCCGTATAATGACTTGGATTGCATTATATTATGTCCATTATAATGGAAGACTTCCAGTGGGAATTCTTTCTAGAGCATGAGAGGCCAATCGAGATTGACATCGCCGACTATTTTTGTCCGACCCTCTTCACGCTCTCCTCCATCGATTGTTCTATTCCTGAACATCATCAGATCGCCCGCAGGCAGAGCTTCGCCACTATGGACTCCTCTCCCTAAATCCTAATCCTGTTACTCTTCCTCCCCCAATCATATTAATAGTAAATGCTAAATTAATTCAGACTAATTAATCCTCTTTCTCAGTTGCTCCTCTCCTGAATCCTGACTGTCCCTGTCTCGACATGGTGACGAAAGTACGACGGTCGCTCCCTCGCTTGATCGATTGAAACACATCTGATGCCGGGCTATCCTCGGTCATGATCCAAGATGGACTGGGCTAAATTCCACGCGAACTCAGTCTGGGCTGAAACACGAAATGGTCACCACCTATCATCGCTGGGGAACGGAGGAGACTCGGAAATGCCCCCGTTGTTGGACGGCCGGTTAATCCGTACCACTCTTGGCAAGAATCAATTAATTCGATTGGCGACGGATGAGGTCAATCCAAGGATCCCTACCTTCTTTTCAAAATTCATCCAAAGTACACCGGTAAACACTAAACTCAACATTATTACTGCCCACACGGACTTCTTCCACCCCGACGAGAGTGACTGCGGAGGCCACCCGACAGAAAAGAATGAAAGGAAGAAAAAAAAAAAAAAAAAAGGTAAAGGCAACTAATACCGACTAACGGCTCCTAATTACCGTTCGTCTAGCACTAAAAGAAGGGATTTGTTCACGGCGGATTCGTCTGGTGGAGCCCTACAGTGCCTGGACTGAGAAAACTCTATCTGCCCGAATCCGGAAATCTTGATGTGTTCGAGGATCAGCGCCGCTATGAAGTCAAAGAAATTACGTAGGTCCGGAATGTGACGAGAAACCCTGCCAGCGTAATTTCATATCGGTACCTTGGTTGAATTTGTGAACTGTTTTTCCTGTTGCCATGAAGCGGGAATCAGTCGGCCTGCGCGTATGAATGAGTGCTTGGACTGTTCGCTGGTGTTGCGCAGATAATAGAATTGAGAAATATCTCCCCGGCAATAATGCAGAGGATAATTGGATCAATCATTCGGTACCGAAGGCGGAACCTGCCCGGTTCCTTGGACTGATCGACGCCGTTCTCACTGTTCTAGACAATGAGAATTGCTGCTTAATGGTTGATGTAGCCAGGAACTCTCCCAATGGGGATGGGCGCATTGAGGCCCACCGCTGATTTGACTATGCTTGGTTATCCGTTGTTGCGATATCCCTCTTACGAAGTAACCACCGTCGATGCAATTCCTGCAATCGTGCAGCCAAACTATAGATGGCCCAGACTCTGAACGTGCATTGGTTCAGGGAATAGTTTGATGGTATTCACTAAACTTGGTTCTTTTCAATCGGACTTGATAATACCCTGGCAATCAGATCATGGAACGTTATCTCTACTCCGTACAAGCCGTCATCCACCGCAACACCGTTGGGCCAAACTTGTCATTTCTTCAGCCTTAGGTTACGACTACGAAGTCCATCGACCCACATAGATGCTCTTTCTGAGCCATCAATTGATTTAAGCGCCCTGGATTGTTGGAAGAGAGCCGACGAGCCCTAATGTCATCAACTTTAGCCTGAAGTCAAACCAATAGGGTATCTCTGGGGAGCCTGATCAGATCCTTATAGAGATGTCGGCTGTATAGGGTAGTTTGGTTGCGAACGCAGCAAAACCGCTCAAGCGGACAGTTATGGTGGCCTTCTCAGAGCTAGGATATCCGACAACTTCACCAATCCCTTCTCTCCCCAACCCTCGACTCCACCTTGAACTGAAGGTCTGACGTGTAAATACCAAGCCCAGGCTCGCCGATCTAGTTCGTCCTTGTCGAGGAAAGGCACCCAGGACCGACAGACCATGTCAATGCTGCGTAAAAGATGCCCCAGACATACCTCTTTTTCTCTCTCTACCTCAGAAACGCTTTTCTGCTTGGACTTGCCCGTCGGTTCGCTATCCTGACTGCGTGGTTTGGTGAATGATCGGTATAAATAAGAACGGGCAGAATTAGGTGTGAAGATAGAAAGAGTGCTATTAGTTTTGGAGGGCCTCTTCAATGTATTTTCGTGTACACGCAGGGCTTCAAGGTCGATACCCCATAACGGTGGCGTAGCTTCTGACTCATCGGATACGGTTTGCCCGAAGACTTCGTCTGGATTGCCTGGCAACGTTGAATCTTTGCTTGAGCAGTCTTCTCCTGTAGGCTGGCCTTCTCTGGGGTTGTAGTCCCATCTTTTCAGAACCTTGATTTCTCTCCCCAGTACTTTGATCACCGGTTGCCCTTCCCCCCACCTTTCTTGCTCGGCCGAACCTCCATCTGCAATACCTATGCTGGCGGCTTTCGAGCGACTATTTGCACTGACCACCGCCTGGGCTAGGCTAAGCCTGCTAGAAACTGGCTGCTCGGGCATCGTATGTCTCAAGATACTAACAGCAAAGGCAAGTACCAGAGGAGCCCTGTTGGTAAGTATGACAACGTTTGACAGCTCATCCTCGGCTGCCGACGAGACCGGAAGGGACAGCAGGCGCTCCGTTTCAAATGGAACGGCTCCTTCTGTTTTAATTGGACCTTTGGTCTTCTTCTGGGGTGATGGTGCGCCCTCTGTTGGAGGTGCCCGCTTTTTGGATACCCGCTTTGCGGCATTGAACACCTGCTTTGCCAGCTTGTCGTCCTTGAATGTGTCTTGGAGTGTCTTAAGTTCTGTCTTGGAGATTTGCTCGGCGCTACATTTGGACTAATTAGTACTATGTTTCGGGCGGGCTTTGACAGCCTATATCAGTCCATAGTCATACGATGTGAGGCCTGACTTCTGTAGCTCCATGACTTTGCTCATAGCAGTTGCCAGTGGGACTTTGGCATCCTGGGATAGGAAGCGTAGTAAACTTTGCACCTGAGTTGTCGCCATAGCTGAAGGATTGTTCTGATCAATGTTAACATCAAAGTAAAAATGATGAGCGTGATTAATCTGTGCTGATGGATGGTGTAGAAAGATAGCTGTTCCCAGTAGCTTGAGAGAGGAGTAGATGATGGGGCCTGCAGCCGCGTTGCCTGAGGCACCGGGTATCTCCGCCTCCGCCTTGATGGCCTCCAACGCCCGGCCGCAATAATGTCAACCTTCGTTTCCGCCCTCCCAACCTGTTGTCCGCGAACTGAGATTTCCCCCTCTTCAGAGCACCGCTGCTTTGCGGCCCCGTTACCATGTCGGACGATCCGAAAGCCAAGGGGTTTCCTGACGTGTCCGCGAAACTCTCCGCCCTCCCTAAAAAATCGCTATTCGAACGCCAGAAAGCCGAAGCCGAAGCCAAGCGTGCCCGCGAACGAGCTGAAACCGCTGCAGTCTACGAAGACTTCGTCAAGTCGTTTGATGATGACACCCCCGCGCACGACCGACCGCCCGCCGACGGACGATTGAATCGGCTTGGGAATAGAGGTGCTGGATTCGCAGGAGGCCCGGCAAAGCGACACTTCGTCAACTCGGGTCCGCGCATGAGCGGCCCTGGAACGTTGGGACCGGCGCCGCCATCGCTATCGCGGAAACGTAACCACGAAGGATTCCAGCCACTGAATCGCAATCGAGACTCTACACAGGGTGTACTGGGATTCGATAATACGGTCTCCTCGTCGACCGCGTCGGCTTTTCGCACGTCGGACGACGAATATGAGGGCACTGGCGATACGAAGGATGCTGAGCGAGCTGCGGCGAAGCCTACGTTATACCTCGCATCATTGCCTCCCGGAACCTCTCCATCTGTGATCAAGTCGCTCATACCGTCCGTCTTGGGCGTTGATAACGTGAAGATCCTCCGGCCTCCCGGCCAGCCCTCCGACCGCAAATCCGTGGCTGCCATTGTGACCCTTGCAAATGAAACCGCCGCCTCGGATATAGACACCAGCGTGAGCGCGCTGCAGAACAAATATCTCGGCTGGGGTTACTATCTCTCAATCTCAAGGCACCTTTCCTCTGCTGCCATCGGCTCGACGTTACCCGTCAATGTCGGCCTATCGTCCACGGCTTCTCTCCCGTTTGGTGCAAAGTCGATCGCGCCAGAATTTGGGGGACGATTGAATCGAGCTCCGCCTCCCGGACATCGGGGAGGGTTTGCCCCTCCAGCCTCATATATGCCTACGCAAGGGAGAAGCGGAGCCCCCCAGGTCGAAGTGAAAGCGCCGTCTGATCTAAAACAACTCCGGCTGATTCATAAGACGTTGGAAAATCTTTTGGATTATGGCCCTGAATTCGAGGCTCTTCTCATGACGAGACCAGACGTTCAAAAGGACATTAGGTGGGCCTGGCTTTGGGATGCCAGGAGTGCTGGTGGTGTCTACTACCGGTGGAAGCTATGGGAGATACTTACCAACGGGCGTAATAAAGGAACTCAACGAGGCAGGCCTCAGAGTTCGTCATTAATATTTGAGGGTAACGCGAGTTGGGTGCCTCCGGCAACACACCTCAAATTTGAACATGTCACGCGTATTGAGGATTTCGTCGCCGACGAGGACTACGACTCGTCGGAGAATGAGATGTCAGATGTGGAAGATGACAAACGACCACCGGCGGACGGATTGGGCGCAAGCAACGAGGGACTTGGTTACATGAACCCTCTTCAGAAGGCTAAACTAGCCCACCTTCTAGCACGACTTCCCACGACTCATGCCAAGCTACGAAAAGGTGACGTTGCGCGGGTGACGGCTTTTGCCATCGAGCATGCGGGAGCGGGTGCTGACGAAGTGGTGGAGATGATTGTTTCGAATATCATCAACCCCTTCGCTTACAGCGGAGCAAACCCCGATCGCGAAGAAGAGAAGCGCCTTGCCCGGGGAGAAGAATCTACAGAGGATACCCGTCCAGTCGATGAAATCCGTGCGTCCTCCAAGGGAGCATTGGATACGTCTCCCGCCAAACTTGTTGGTCTTTTCCTTATTTCCGACATTCTCTCATCGTCTGCCACCAGCGGCGTGCGGCATGCATGGCGGTATCGGCAGCTTTTTGAATCGTCATTGAAGGCGCATGAAGTCTTCGAACATCTTGGACGACTAGAGAAGGAACTCAATTGGGGTCGATTGAGAGCAGAAAAATGGAAACGGAGTGTAGGCTCCCTGCTAAATCTCTGGGAGGGCTGGTGTGTCTTCCCGCAGTCGAGCCAGGAACGATTTGCTCAGGTCTTTGACAAACCGCCACTTACGGAAGAGGAGCTCCGGGAGGAACAAGAGAAGGCCGAGGCCGAACGGGCTGCCGGGGCATTCTCGAAGAGCAAGAACCGGTGGAAGACCGTGGACGAGGACTCTACAGCGGACCGATTTGATCCCTCTCGACCGTCTGATGCCGATCGAAACCGGACAGCGGTCAATCCTCGCGATGCTCCCGTAGCCATGGACATTGAGTCAATGAGTGATATCGACGGGGAGCCGATGGAGGACAGTGACTTGGAAGAAGAGGACGATGAGCATATGGAAGAAGATGAACCTACGACAGAAGGAGGCGATGCAACCAAGCAACCGCCCGAGAAACAGGCGGAGCCACCAGCTCAAGCAGAGTCGCAACCTCCCGTTCGCAAGCCGCGGCCCAAAGCCGAAGACATGTTCGCTGACTCTGACTCGGAGTGAAAAATATGCATCGATATGAATGACCATTGGCCTGTGTATATCAATGACACGATAGTTTTGATTAAGGAAGTGTGGGATGTAGCCACTCGTCGACAGTAGTCACTAGTAAGTCGGAAGACTACTCCGTAGAAGTGGAGGATCCGGCAAGGATTGATGCCTTGCAGACCAGGCAGATTCAGGCCCAACCACGACCGGGCGCGGCAGCCCCACAATGTAAGTAATTTATCTTCTTCGCATGTTGATATCAACTCCTTCCTTTGCGTCTCCTCCCCGCTTCCCGTTCATCTCTCTCTACATCTTTCTTACTCCCACGCTTTCGTGACTCCCTTATTCCGTCAAAATGGCCGGTAAGTAGTCTTTGCGCCTCCATTCTCTGCCTTTCTCCCGCGTCCCTCCCGCTTCTCCCTTTTCCTTGCCCCTCATCCGGGGGTTTCAGCCCCTCCAGCATCAACGAAACGCGGCGCACCAGCCGAAATGCCGACGAGATTCCTTGGGAAAAGAAGAGAAAGCTAACATTGTATCTCTACAGACTTCACCACTATCGCTCGTAAGTCATCCTTAGCACCTCCTTGGTCTTCCGCATCCCATCGAAATCACTATGCGATCGGATCGGATCGCAACTATGATTCCTCATAGCCGGGCGAATACCAAGCATTCTTCATCAACTACGAACCCACCGACGAATTATCAAATAATATGATCCTAACGCATTCGCCTCTGTTACAGAGCAGTTCGTGCAGTTCTACTACCAGACGTTCGACTCGGACCGCCAGACCCTCGCCGGCCTCTACGTATGATTCATCCAGTCCCGCCTCATCAATCAATACAACCTAGACAGTTACTGACCAACGTGTTTTGGATTTCAATAGCGCGACCAGTCTATGCTCACATTCGAGACCTCCTCCACTCAGGGTGTCGCCAACATTCTTGAGAAGTTGACTGTTAGTGCCCCTCGGTCTCCGCGATGAATGAGTGTCCACCTGTCCGACAGGATGAGGCGGATATTACGCGAGGATATGATTCAATGCTGACGCGCATATCTCTTTCCTTGACAGTCTCTTCCCTTCCAGAAGGTCCAGCACCAGATCGCCACCTTCGACGCTCAGCCTTCGAACGAGCAGGGCGGCATCCTGGTCATGGTTACCGGTGCTCTCTTGGTATGTTCTCTCCGCCCTTTCTTTTCGCATCTTCCTTGAATATACTGCATCTTGGTTTATTGTCTTTTCTTCATGCGCAATCACAGAACACCACAGCTAATTGTACACCCTTCAATTGTATAGGTCGACGAGGAGCAGAAGCCCATGAACTACTCCCAGACGTTCCAGCTCCTCCCCGACGGCCAGGGCAGCTACTTTGTCCTGAACGACGTCTTCCGTCTCGTCTACTCCGCGTAAACATCGAGAACCAAAGAAGTTTAAGGGGACAGGATGAGCGCATAGATTGGATTGGGCTCTGAGAGTTGTTACCAGAGTGGTAAACCCAACCATGGTGGTTTACTAGGTGGGATAAGACGGAGAGCGTGTCCATGTCATTATTAAAGATATGTCATGTCCGATGCCAGTTAGACCTTTTAACAAACATAATGAGAACCAAGGGGTCGTGGTATTTTGGTTGTTTTTTCTACCTTCTTGCTCCCGTTTGTGAGTTGGGATTTATGTAATCGGTCGGATTCTTTGCTACACCCAGAGGGGAGTCAACCAGCTCTATTTATACTACAGCCTGTTTTCCGTCGACAGATAAGTGGGCTGTACCAGCAGCATCCTAGGATACATAGACCATCCAATCCATATCAGATCCTTAACCAAAACACCAGAGAATACTTTTTACCCTCAAGATGCGCACATATCGCCGATGTCTGATAACACAAATTATAGAAGAAGAAAAAAGGGACGGTAAGAAAAGAGAAGGGGAAACTCCACGCGCCCTACAAGCGAACAGATCGTCCAGACGACAGACAGACAACAAAACACGACACACTATCGCATACGCCACACGACCGTAATATATAAACTCTACTGCAGGAGCGGGGTCTGCTCCGACGGATCCTGCGACTCCTCTCCGATCGAGCCCTCATTCTCCGCGTCTTTATCGTGCTCGTGCGGATGACCCCGGTCGGGTCCTAGATACTCGAAGAAGACACCCAGAGCCAAGAGCGTGCCTTGCAGACAGGCCGTGACGACCAGCACGCCCCAGGTGCTCCAGCCCTTCAGACCGTAGCGAGCAGCAAGACTACCCGCCCAAACGAGGCTCCCGGGCGTCTGGATGCACATCATAGGGATGCTGAGACTGCCGACGCAGCGCAGTTTCAGGGTGGTGTAGATCTGTGGGAAGTATTGCACGGAGGAAAGGATGGCGGCTAGGATGCCGCAGAAGTTGGACCAGTCTTGGAGCGAGGAGGGTCTTTTGACGCCGATAACAACGGTGACGATCAGCACGGCGATGGCGTGGACGATGCAGATGGCGCTGACGACTAGGGCGGTTCGGTAGGAGGGGCTGTCTTTAGCTTCGGAGGAACTGGTGCGGGGGAAGTAGGCGACGAAGAGGGAGAGTCTAAAATCGTGAAAATAGCCATATCAGTTTCAGGTCCACTGCTAGGGGCGGGGGAGGAGTAAGGTCGAACGTACATGGTAAAGAAGCAGAAACATTGCGTTGCGATCTGCAGTACACCAAGAAGTCCTGCAAAGCAAGCAAATCCGCTTATACTGCTACAGCAGGAGGCATCTTGTAAGCTCTTGTGTTGGGACAAGACGTTGGCCAACGAGGATGAGCTGGAGGTGGTTCCTAGCAGGACGAAGTACGGGGAGATGCCGTAGGAGGTTTTGAGAGAGATGATGCGGTAGTGTTGGGGGAGATAGGAGAGGAGAATCCCCAGCACGATCAGTCTGCTTCACGTTTAGCACGGGATGTGATTTTAATAAGGAGCTAGCCAGCGAGCCGGCAAGGAGGCGCTCCGTACAGCGATAGGATGAAGTTCTTATACTCAGGAGACTCCAAGTCCTTGCATTGAGGATTCCCTGAATCCATTATAGGGGGTGCTGTCAGGAGACAATTCGGTCACGACGGTAGTTCGAAGAAGCGATTCTATCGATGAAAGGGTGATAGTCGGGATGCAGATGAGGGATGGCGAGTTCCTCGGACAAGACGACCAGTTAAGGTGCTTTGTACCGCACGTGTTTGGGACAAATCAGGGAGGAGGTGACTTGTCCGACTGACAAGCCCAAGCAGGCCCCTCTAGTGAATCCGGGGGAGAACAACAAAACAAGGGGAGCCAGCTCGGACCCGATCGAACTACCTACTTAGGCCTCGATAGCGAGAGAGAATATCCGCAAGGAACAGAGCGTCCAAAACAACTACAGAGTACAGACGACTGAGTACGGTGTACTTGAGTTGGAGAACCTGAGGTCTCCGCATTTCCCAATGGGGCAGACACTGCACTAGTCCCGAAGCGGCTAGCGGCCACCGGCTTATCAGGATCGCCCGGTTCCCCTTCTTTTTGGCACTTCGACGCTCTCTTCTGGGTCCTGCTTCTTCGTGTCTGGAACGCTGTCCGCCCGGCTGCAGACAATCCACGCAGCTGCCAAGCCAGATTTGGCTCGTGTTCTGGGAAATGATGACATGGAAACGCGTGGTGGAGGACTGACCGAATGGCATCCATTCCAACCAAGGTCCGTCCAATTGATGACGCCAGTGACCGTTGTTCGCGATGCCACAACACCCCAGAACTACGTCACTCGGCGATCATTTCTGGCCGGTACTGGACCCTTTCCGGCTGCGAATCCTGGAATAATAAATATCGAGCCACCCTCTGCTGGAAACGTCGTTGTTCACCTTATTTCGACTGTTAATGAATTCCATTACATATATGTAAGTTGAAAAGAGCTCGAGTTAGCTAGCTATCTTTCCCTTGGCGCATCCTGTGGTGGAGCTATACTATCTACGACCGAGCACCATTGACACGAGTCTCTCAGTTTCATTTGAAGACACAACCTACCTTGTCAGAATTTTAGTCGCAAATAACAGTCGGGATGAAATTTCACTTGGCCACCTGTCTGGTCTTTGCCCTAACATCCTTCGAGGCTGTTGGGGCTTCCAGTTGGTTTAGCAAAGCCGGTACGTTTTGAGTCTTGTGTATTTGGATAGATACACGAAATGCTTACCGCCCAAACTGTAGCATACAACAAATGGCACGAAACCGAACTGGAGAGATGGCTCGCCGATCATGGTAGGCCTTGCCCAACGTACTGCCAATGACAGCGCTAATCAATTGGCTTCCAAGACATTCCCTATCCGTCTCCTGCCGACCGCAGGGACCTCGAATCTTTGGTCAAGACCAACTGGGAAACCAAGGTGCAGAAACCTCTTGGACATGTGGTCGATGAGACTTCCGATCAGTGGCACAACACCAAAGAGTGGATTTTCGATACGTTAGTACATCCACGATCCTATCTGGCGGTTGTATGGCGCTAACCTTCAAAACAGCTGGTCGGACTCTCAAATCAAGGCTTTCCTTGACCGACATGGCATTCCTTGCCCCCAGCCCCGCCAGCGCGATGTCCTCCTACAGACTGCTCGTGAGAACTACGAGACCGTTGCGAACAAACTTGGCGAGGCGGCCCATTACCCAGGCAATTGGCTGTATGAACATTGGACTCAATCTGATCTCAAAGAATGGCTTGACGAGCGCGGCTGGCCGGTGCCCCAGCCCAGCACCCGTGATAAGCTTGTCGCATCGGTCCGTCGCAATTCTAGACTTGCCAGCTTGCGTGCACGCAGCATTGCTGCCTCTGCTGCCGCCTCCGCCGAAGCAGCCCAAGCTACATTGAGTGAAGCTTTGTTCCAAGCCTGGTCTGACTCCGAGTTGAAGAAATTCCTCGATGAGCACGACGTCAAGGTACCCCAAGGCTCCCGACGCAATGAACTCATTGCTCTTGCCAGAAAGCATCGCGCCCTGCTTGTCAGCCAGGCATCTGCCGCTTCTGCCTCCGTTTCTTCGTCGGCTTCGGATCTCTACGGAGCCGCAACCACCAAGGCCGGCAATGAATATGCTAAAGCAACTGACGATGCCGATCTCAAGAAGCAGGAGGCATTCGATACTGCAGTAGAGACGTGGTCCGACTCGCGTCTGAAGGGCTTCTTGGATGCTCGGGGTATTCCTGTACCCCAAAGCAACAAGCGGGACGAACTACTTGCGAAGGTCAGACTACACAAGCACAAGGCTGCTACCGGTTACAATGCCTGGACGTTTGACACCTGGACTACCGAGAATCTGAAGTAAGACCAATTTGAACGATCACATGAACCTTTACTAACAGAACTCAGGAAATATCTGTCTTCATTGAATGACAAGGCGGCTCAACGTGCGGACATCACTCGTGATGAACTAGTGAAGCACGCCCAGGACACATATGCCAAAGCCTCAAAGTCTGGAGGCGCGAACTTCGCATCTGCCACGTCCTACATGGCGCAGGCCACCGATTCTGCCAAGGACTCCTCTTTCGACACCTGGACTCAATCGGACCTGAAGGCCTATCTTGACTCGTACGGCATTCCCGTCTACCAGGGCTCCAACATCAATGAGTTGCGTGCTGCGGCCCGTCGTCACGCGCAGTACTTCAAGTACGGAACCTCCACCCCTCAGGGCACCATCTACGCCAAGCTGCAGGATGCCACCAACTGGGTTCTGGACCAGATCAAGATTGGTGCATCCAGCGGCCGGGCTCAGGGCCAGGAGGCCGCAGAGAAGGCCAAGGACAAGCTATCCGAAGCCACCGAGGAAGTTAAGTCCGAGCGGTCCGAGCTTTAAAGCGCTCAGTACCCGCTCAGTACCCGCTCGATACCTCTATCTCTTAGTGAAGTTTGACAGGTATGATTTATCATGACTCTTACGATTCGATAATTGCGATTGCTTTATTGTGAATTGTTTTGAGGCGGCGTAATATTGTGTTTGGATGGATTCAAATCGATACAAAAGCATCATAATCTGATGACTGACTACTCTTTTCTCGTTAATTTTGTATAATTAATATCAACGCAATTTTCATTTCATTTCGTTGTGTAACAGTAGCATTCTCAATATGAAATCTTCACAACCGGATGTCCATGACTAGGCAGCCCGAAAATAGACTTTAATATTGACATACAATTGCCGAGATTATCACCAAACATCGCTTTTAAAAAAACCATAATGCATCACCGCAGGTGCAGGTTCATTCAACATCCATTCTCACAGTCTGTGGTTTAATCTCCAACAACCAAAATCCAACCGCCAGTGACGCACACAATCATCCAATGTATCCAGCGCGTGGTATCCTAGACAAGCATTCATGGGAGCGGAACTCACGACTTCGGGGCTTCAGCATCTCCCTCCGCAACCAACTTACCCACCACCAGATACTTCTCAAGGAATCGCTCCTCCCAGGACTGCAGGTTTTCCAGCTGTTCGGCGTCCAGATCCTTCAGGTCGTCCAGGGGACCATTCAGATCCTTCGTGAGCATCTCCTCGTCAAAGCTCTGGTGAGCCAGGCCTCGGGATGCGTCGCGGCCGGCGAAATTCTCATACGGTCCGCCCTATAATCAACCACCCGGATGGGCCATCGTTAGCTTGTTTTTCTTTCTTTTGTTTTTCTGTCCGATTGGGATGGAATGGGGTAGAGAGTGAGTAGTGAGGGGGAAGAGGTTGGGCTGAGGTCTATTCATTCTTGGCTACGCAAGGGTCGAGTGAGGCACTGGCTAGACCAGACAAGCCTGGCCCAGCCCAACCTTGTCTGCTGGGTGCTGGGTGCTGACTGGGGACTTACCGGGCCGTAGAAGTTCCTGCCGGGGGTCACGTCGAATACACGGCCGCGAACAGCCAGATAAACAGGTTGATCATCGACGCCATTGAACGGGAGGAGGGTGGTTGGGGTAAAGGTGCGGAAGACGACGGGAGGGGGGCCCTTGGGCAAGGAGACGGGGCTCTTAGGACGGAGCTGCATATAGACGAGGACAATGAAGAGGGACAGCAAGATCAGGTTGATGGGGGTGGCGATTGTCATCCTGTGGTTTGGGGAGTGGCTGTCAGTTTCTGGGAGAGGGGGGAGCTGAGGCTAGCTCGCTGGGTAGGATAGAGATACTGACACCTCGGCGGGCGGAGCGGCTTCGGCGGCGGTTCCTGGATGAATATTAGAGGTTGGATGAGGTGAGAGAGATGGCTGGAGAAGAAGGAGGACTGACCTGGGGAGCTCATGGTGAGGGTTTATCGCGAGAGAAGAGAAGGTTGGGGGATTGAATAATGGCATAAACCGCAACGGCGATGACGACGGAAGTTGATAATCAGAAATGACAGCCAGGTGATAAGGTACGGAGTACAGTATTATTACCGCACGTGCCACGGGGTATCATTCCCAACGAGTGCCTGACCGGTCAGGCATCCAGGCGGCAGGCTTTTCCATTTTGATTTGTTTGTTTTCTTTGCCTAAGATATTTTTAGAGTCACTGCAGACACCGTTGAGGTACTAGTCGACCACTTCGCAAATCAATTCGAGTCTAGTCCGGACTATCCCGATGGATCTGATTTGAATAACATGTCACTAGTTTCGGGGGAGGGCCAAAGTTAGCTTGAAACAGGGTCCTTCATCTTAAATTATTATTGCTAGCAATGGTCGAGTAACCGTCGAACCGAGCAGGAGAACATGTGCTAGTCTTTACTTTTAGTTCCCCCGAGTCCCGGCGAGAGAGCTTGATGTCCAACTGACACTCCTTATATTAATTTCTAATTCCTGCGAAAAGAGGGGCCCGCGGTGGGTTGGCGCATTGGCACGTTCCCTGCCTGTCCTTTCTCGCGCTGCTTCTTCTCTCGCCTTCTCTCTCTCTTCCCGGTTTTCTTTCCCTCGCCCTCTTGACCGTCTTCGCGTTCTTTGTTTCTGTCCTTCACTCTTTGGCTTCCCTTCTTCACATTCTTTCCCGTCAGCCAGCCCGAAGAAACATTCTTTGTCGGTCCTCCCCGACCAATTGATTCTCGCTGGTGAATGACGTGCAGGCATGTCAACGGTCTTTCTATGTGGATCATCCGTACATCTCTAATCTTGATTCATCCATTCCCTCAATAATTCCCCTTTTTAATCTACCCCTCCATCATTTGCCTTTCTTTTTTACCTTTTTCCTTTTCCCTTTAACTCTTTCAGGACGATCCCAACCAGGTGTGTTTGTCGATTATCGCCCCGTCTCCTTTCTAGCCGACCCATGGAATCCACCCTGCTCACTACTATTGTTCGTCCAGTCTCAAAGGAGCGCCTGATCAAGGACTCGCCGTAGATTCAAGATGTGGGGGAAAATGTCTTTCCACCGGTCTAAGAAACCCGTGATTGGGAAACCTACGCTGGTCAATAAAACCTTGAACGATGATGTCTATCAGTCAATGTCCTCCCTGTCTGCGATACCGGGCGCCGACAGATACTATTCATCCAAAACCCTCCCCGCCGTACCACCGTATGTGCTCGCAATCAAGAATGGCATGAGGAATGCTCCCTAACCTTTTACAGCAAAACTGCGGGCTCGTCCTTCCCTTCGCGCCGGCCAGACCCTGGCCATCGAGTCGCATCTTCCGTGTATTCGCGCGACACCCTCGTGGATCCCGTGCGGCAGCGTTCCATCAGTTTGACGCAGCATCCGCCGCAGCAAGACGTCCCGTTCAGCGAGAGTCAATATAGTCTGCCCTTGACCATCAGTCCGACCAGTCCGATCATCTCGCCTCCTGACACGCCGACCTCGACCACTCCGGGTCCCCGCAGTCGCAGCAGCTCCCAGGTTTCACCCATCGACGAAGAACCCAAGCAGGGGTCTGCTGGCGGTGGGCCCATGGATTACAAGTTCAGCAGCCATCTGCCGGTGCTGAGCAAACGAGGAGGGTCGTCGCATACTGAAAATTCTCAGCTACCGCCAGGTTCCCGAAGCTCGTCGACGTCCAATGCCACTCGATGGGATAGCTTCGCCGGGGAGCCGACAGTGAGCGACTTCGGTAGAGCCGGGCAGGTGGCGCCGGGTGGTGTTTCTTTCCAAACACACATCTCCGCCAATCCCCAGCCGTCCGGATCTCCATCCCCGAGCCTCTTCGGCAAGGGCAAGGAACAGCTTCTGCCGAAAAAAGTCCGTGGTCGACTTTCAAAAGGGGAGAACACGCTACCGCCCGCTCTGCGTGAACCTTGGAAAGGCCCTAGTGGACGATCACCGATAGTCGCGCCCATTCAGGAACAGCCGCGAGCCCGGTCGTCCTCCCGCGTGCGCATCTCGCCAAGCAACGATCGCTTGAGAGAGGATGCAAAACCATCGCTCGATTATTCTTCGTACGGAATTGTTCCTTCGGTCGTGACGACAATCACGGGAGGTGAGACGACAGATAAGCGCGCGCCCAGTACGAGTGCCAGCGCCCATAGTTCTCGAACACGGGTGCCTAGCAGCCGAGAGAACCTTGTTTACTCCAGCGCCTCCAGCCATGCTCCGCCACGTGTGGATCTTCCAGCGTCCGATCTTAGTGCCTCACTGGCCGAGCTGACACTCGTCACCGATGACGACACACTTCAGCCTAGCAGCCGTTTCAGCGTGACTACTTATGAGCCCACCGAAGCATCCAGTACGACAACCAGTCGCCGCACCAGCGTTGATACAGCGTCGCAGTCTACAGAAAACTTCTCTTCGATCATGTCCCGCAAACGACCGGTTCCCAGCGCGATGGCCCCCTCCAAGAAACCATCCCGCAAACCCACCCCGTCGCAGGCTTCCAACGAAGACGCAGTGTCCATCGCACCCACCGAGCTCTCGCCAGAAGAACAGGCCCAGAGTCGCATCGATTCCCTTGAAGCTAGAAAGGATAGTCTTGCCCGGCGCCGAATCAATATCAACACGATGATCCACGAACTGACCCAGGTCATTCAACCAAGTTCCATCGCATACGACATGGCTGCCAGAGAAGAAGTCAAGAAAACCGTTTCCAGTCTGAACAACGAACTGGCTGAGATCCAACGGGAAGAGCACGAGCTCGGCCTTAAACTCTACAGGGCCTGGAAGAAACGAGATGAACGAAACAACTATGGCGGTGGCAGTGGGCTGTGGGTTAAGCGAATAACCAGTTAAAAAGAAGGTCGAACCACATTGCATTCATTTGATTTACAGCATGTTTATCTCCTCAGCGCTTTTGGCGTCACTTTCTGTCGTTTCTTTCCCTGACTTAATCGTTTCTGTGTTATTTCTTGTCGCCGTGCTGGTGCCACCTCCCTCTCCCTTCGAATTTCCTTTTGTGCCGGATCTTTATTGGCCGGACCATCTCATTTCTTTCAACGTTGCGTATACCCTCATTCAGGATTTTGATAGGTTTGCATATGCTTCTCATTTGTCCTGGCGGCATCGAGTTCCTTGTTTATTTGGCAGCATTCAGACGGCGTTTGACAATCTCTTTCTTGCTTGTTTGGAGACTCATGTTTGTGGAACGGATGCTGATACTTGGGCCCCTCATTGTTTATCGTAACGGGGAACGACTTCATCTGCATATTAGGACATGTAATAGTAGTTTGCTACATGGTTTAGGGGCAAATTTTTGCGTTGTAAGATATAACTCGAGGATAAGACGAAAATAACAATCATCAAATGCTTAGAATATAAAATCTCCCATTATTGTGATATCTTTGTGTTGTTCGTCGCTCACGTTATGTCATAGGAAGGTAATAAAAAAAAAGAAGAGAGAAAGAAGGTCATCGCATTGAATCTCCACGCTGGTTTATTTCTTTCCCGACTTCTTGATACCCTGCGAACCGGTGTTCAGGGGACCCTTCTTGCCCTGGGTCTTGTCGAGAAGATCCTTCTTGGCCTTGGCCTCTAATGGTGCGCAAGAATGGTTAACATCCGTGCAAGAAGCCTGGATTTCAAAAAAGAAAATAGAAACTCAAGCTCCACATACCAGCACGCTGCTTCTCCTTGTACGCAAGATCTTCGTCGTCAAGATCCTTGGAGGCCTTCTTGGCGGACTTCAAAGGCTTAACCTTGCCACCTGAAAAAAGAGGGGTAATAGAATCAGTATGTGTTGATGTATGAGAGGGTGAAACGGTTCTCACCTTCTCTGCTAGCGCCACCCATTGTGTCGGTATGAGAGGGATATGGTAGATTGTAGGGAGAGAAGAGAGTGAGAGAAGAACCTTCGTTCAGGAGGCGGAGGAAGACGGCAGTGAAGATCGATCAACCCAAGGGGAAAAAGAAAAGAAGACGAGGGCAAAAAAAAAAAAAAAAAAAGGACCAATTCCCAAACAGGCTTATCAGCTGCGGGGTGACACTAGCGCCCAATGGGGTTAGGCGTGAAATCTCCTCCCAGACACGGGACTTCGCAGGTTGACGTTGAACTTCCAGTCGCTCATCACCGCCGTGCCATCGCCATCGCCATCTCTATCTATCTCGTCTCGTCTCACTTTCTCCACTTATTGTTTCATCGCGATTATCTGTTCTCTCTTTCGCTTCGATTGGTCTTCAGCTCCAACAGGCATCTTTCCCTTTCTGCCGTGCAAAGAAACCACTCTATGTTCGGTTGAAGGCGCTCGGTCAAATAATTGGCAAGGGCTGTGGCATATCTCGCCGGTTGGACTTTCTAATACACTTCCCCTAATTGATTTGGTCATCGGAAGCTCTTTCGCTAACGGTCCATTCTCTGTCTTCTGTCTAAAGCTACTCCCAAAAGGCCCAATTGTATACCTCCCAGTCGGCTTCCTTTTTGGTTTGAGTGCAGAAGAAATTAAAACTCAATCATGGCAACACGCAGGTCGAGGTCTCCGTCGACCCCTTCTGAGGGTGAGATCATCGAATCAGGTTCAGAGACGAAGGCAACTACGTCGCAACTTCCTCTTAATGGCACCAGCGTTGACCGTCCCACCAGAGCTAGTACATCGTCGGCGCCCAGACCTTCCTCGCCATCCGTGAGCAGCAGATCGCCTCGCCGCCGGAGATCCAGAACGAGGTCGCGCTCCCGATCTCGCTCTCCCTACCGCGAGTACAGAGGAAACAAGCGTCGCCGCAATGATGATGACTATGACGATCGGCGGTTTCGCCCCGACTCCTCGCGCCGCCCCGCGTATCGATCCGATGACAGATATCATGATCGAGGCCAATCGCACCGGCGTCCGAGATCCTACTACGACTACGACCGCGAGGACGATTACGTGACGGGCCTCCGGTACAATGATGACTATGACCGACGTCGCGAGAAGCGCCCCCGCAGCCGTTCCCCCTATCGCGAAATTCGGAAACCCAAGCAATACTCGGGTGACGAGTGGAAGTCCCAGGGAGCGGAGAGTGTTGCCTCTCGGGATAACAGGGGAAAGTCATTTACTGAACAGTTGAAACCATATGCTGAAACTCGAAAGGATCAGGTCCAGCCGCCTTCTTCCCTCGCCGCTCGTGTTGAAGATGGGTATGTTCCTCCTCGCCGTCCATTGCGCCGGCTCAATCAACTGATTCGCTTTGCTCGCAGTGCAAATGGAACCGTGCATGAGAAGGATGATTCACAACCCGCAGAACCCGCGGAACCTGTAGAAGAGGTGGACGAGGCGGCCCAAATAGAAGCTCGCCGTAAACGACGTGAAGCTATCAGGGCTAAATATAGAGGACAGGCGACTCCTTTACGTCTACAGGCACTTCATATCGACAGCGATAGGGAATCGTCCGCGCCGACCCCGAGCGCTGATCAAACTACCCCCAACACAGCTGTATCAGGTTAGTGTGACCCTATTGAAAGCGTCGTCAGTAGCATGCTAACATATCTCCCAATCCAGAAACGCAAAGCCCCGCCGCCCTCACGCCCAACGAAAGCGCCGGAGAGTTCCCCGATTTCAAGGTCGGTACCGACGCCGACTTGGCTAATACCGGAGCCCCTATAGATGGCGCCGAGCCCGATGAGCCCTCTGCCGCAGACTACGATCCCACATTTGACATGAAAGCTGAAAGGCAAAAACACACAAGCGAAGATGTTTCCGCGACCACTTACGACGAGACGCAGACCACCAAGCAGGATCTCTTACTTCCGGACGCGGCTCCGATCGAGCCAGCGCAACCCAAGGCCAAGGATCCCTACGATATGTTCGCAGAAGACGACGGCGACGACATGTTTGCGGAAGATACACATGAAACGACACAACCCACGCATGCCTCGGCTACGTCCGCCGTCCCTCAGGCGCAGGAGCTAGACATCAGCATGATGGACAATTGGGATGACCCCGAGGGGTATTATAACGTGCGACTTGGTGAGCTGATCGACAGCCGATACCACGTCCTGCAGAATCTCGGGAAAGGAATGTTCTCCTCGGTCGTGCGCGCAACGGACAAGGAGACCGGTCAACTGGTTGCGGTCAAGATCATTCGTCAAAACGACACCATGCGGAAAGCGGGCCTGAAGGAAATCGACATCTTGGAACAGCTTCACGAGGCGGACCCGGAGGACAAGAAACATGTCATCAAGTACGTGCGGCAGTTCGACCACAAGGGCCACTTGTGCATGGTCTTCGAGAACCTGAGCATGAACCTGCGTGAAGTATTAAAGAAATTCGGACGAGACGTCGGGCTGAACCTGCGAGCGATTCGGGCATACGCGCAGCAGATCTTCATGGGGCTCAGCCTCCTCCGCAAGTGCAATATCCTCCATGCGGATCTGAAACCCGACAACCTGCTGGTCAACGAGCAGCGCAACATCCTCAAGGTCTGCGATCTGGGGTCTGCCTCGCCCGCGACCGACAACGAGATCACCCCCTACCTGGTCAGTCGGTTCTACCGGGCGCCTGAAATCATCCTGGGAATCCCCTACGATCACGCCATCGACGTGTGGTCCATTGGCTGCACCTTGTTCGAACTCTACACGGGGAAGATCCTGTTCACGGGACGGAACAACAATCAAATGCTGCGGTCCATTATGGAATGCCGTGGCAAATACCCACCTAAACTGCTGCGTAGGGGATCACTGGCCCATATGTATTTCGATGACATGCTCAATTTCCACAGCACGGAAGAGGACAAGATCACGGGGCGACTGACCACGCGAATTCTCGACTTCAAGAAACCCACGCGCGACCTGAAAACGAGGCTCCTGGGCAAAGGCACCCGAGGGATGACAGACAGCGAGGCGAAAGAACTGACGCTGTTTGTGGATCTCTTGGATCGATGTCTAAGTCTGAATCCGGAGAAGCGATGCACGCCAGCGGAGGCGTTGAAGCATCCGTTCATTGCGCGGCCCAAGACCTAAAGTGGAGCGAGTGAGCTTTCCTCCTCCCCGGGAGAAGGGGGCAAAACTCAATGAATTTCATTATCTATATAATTATTATGTCATAGTATAACGAGCAACTTCAGGGAAACTGCTGGAACGGATTCATCTTGTGTTCACCGTCCTCAAAAATGAGGTCTGACTCTTCTTCCATTTGCCCCGTCAGACCATATGAGCTCAAGGGCGCGCGATTAGGCTTCCTTGCCACCGATCTGACGGGCGATCACGTAGTCTAGTACGTATGTGTAGCACATCACTAAGGCAACAAGGATGACATCCCAGGGATGGTGGATCAGAATCCGTCCGCAGACAGCTTAGACAATGAAAGGACTGACTCGGGCAACCAGGGCAAAGGGCGACCGAAAACGGAGGCGGCGTGGGGTGGCGAACAAAGAAAGGGAAAGAAGATCGAACCTTCCAGCTTTGCTTTGTAGTGGTGACATTGAATATTCTCTCTCGGTTTAAGGTACACTACTCTAGCAGGTAGCGTCAGTCAATGATCGACCGGATAGATGGACGGATTCCCTTTGAATTCCTTATTCCTTCTTTCCGGAAAGATACATACGGAGTAGTAACTAGGTTCCAATAGCGCTGCCTGTGTTCTACGGTTCTATCTGATATTTTTTTTTTCTTTTTCATTCGATTCGACGATCAAAGGGATGAGAAAGCTAAGGTGGATGATCTATGATCTGTACGGTGTAGTTGGGAGTCTTTAATCCATGGGTCCTCTCCTTTTCCTCCCCGGTCGGTTGCGTCATCGTCATTGTCTGAATGTCTGAACCCGAACCCGAGCCAGAGAGCCTGACTGAGCTAGGGCCAGAGCTAGAGCTAGGTAGGGAGTTGTTATGTACATAACATAATCAATATCAAAATCAATAAATGCATATCCATACTCTGTAGAATAAGTTTCAATCATTCAATCATTCAATGGGGGGATCCAGGATTCATGTTACACGTCTATTGATGGAATGGGATCCTTCTCCCCCCCTTTTGCCTCTTTATTCTTCCGGGAGCGGAAGATGGTACCAGATTCGGGGACCTGAACAAAGACCGAACGAAGTTTACACCGTATGGCGTGAGAAAAAAGGAAGGGGAGGGGAAGGAGAGGGGACCAGCAGAATGAAGTCATTCTGAGGTTGACGATGGATACTTCATACATATGATATGAGATGGGATGAAATCAGGTCAAGGGGAACTGACAGACTGTGTACAGTACCTTTGTGTGCATACATGCCTACTATGACATGAACACACTGTGTGCATATGTACATCAGCGTACATCTATTGTAGTACTGTGTACTCTGTACTCCGTAGTGAGTCTAAAGAGAACTACACCGTCCACTCGATAATCCGTAGTGAGAAGGTGATCGTTATACTACGAAGAGCGTGGGTTCTAAGTTTAACGACGACTGTCCATTAGCATTAAGATATATACCCCGTGGTTAGTCTGATAATAATGCAAACTAATGAAAGATCACTTGACCAGCGATGATCTAATAGACTTCGACCTCGTCCCAATCAGGCGGCGAGGCTACCACACCCCGACTCCCCACCGTTGCCCGAGCCTTCAGACTTCAGATCCAACCCGAAAGTGGATTCGAACACGGGAAAGCCTTGCCTCGCCTGGTCCATGCAACGTGGCAGCTCTGCCCGGACTGGTCGCAGTGCAGCCAATCCCTGGCCGCCGTGGCTTGTCATCCGACCGTTCTCGAAGCAGCCCGGTTTGCCTCACTTTGCCGTCTGCATTTGTACGTAGTGTGTACAGAGTAGGGCTAAGTATATTATTATCATCACTCGTTAGTTCCTCCCTACTCAGGATACTGTATGTCAAATTGTCAATATTGCATGTCCACGCTACACATCCCTCCCGGCACGAAATGCTCCGACCGTGAGATGGCCGTCCGTCGTGGATTGAATCAGCTTTCCCCTTCCCTCTGGCTCTCTACCAGGACGGTCCTCCAAGCGGGACATCCGGTAACTATAAGGCCTCCTGCCTTACCCGGTGAACACTCGAATCTTCCGTCGAGCCAATGAGCCCGGAGTGATTCGTGGGATGCGCCGGAAAGAAGTCCTGCTCGATAGACTTTCTGGGTAAGGTCTATCTGGACCCGGTCGGGGGATGGGGGATCTGGAGGTGCCGCGTTGAAACTTGAAACTCTGGCAGATGTGGAGAGCAGGAGTCCCTTCTAGACCGAGACATTCCTCCTCCGTGAGCCTTGTCTGGTCTCAGACTCTCAGTCTGGGTCTCTGAGACTCTGACAGTCTCTCGCCTCGACTGTTAAGTCTAAGTCTAACCTTCATTCTCAGTCTTGTTTTTCTGTTGCCGTTTCCGGACGGTTCTGGTCTGGATTCTTTTGCTTCGACGCGAAGTAAAAATAAGATAAACCCTCCACGCTGGTCTGGTCGTAGTTAAACGCACCGCATGGCAACCTACACCGTAAACAAACACCAAAGTCAAGGACCCAGATGGTAACACCTCTGGTGGTGGAGCACGTGAAGTCCTCCAGTCAGTATGGTGTACGGAGTAGTCAGGGCAGTGAGCTGGCATCCTAGCCCGGTACAACAAACTACCGACTACAGAAGTTTGTCTGATGGACAGATTTCCTCCGGGGTCTGTACTGTGTACTGGCTACCTAGTCCGGTACCACTTGCATCTTGTTCTCTCTTCTGGCTAAAGATGAGGTGGACGGGCCAGGTTGCACTGGGAAGATGCCAAACCGACTAGACAGGATGATTGATGATGATCAGCGATTGATTGTCCGATCAAAAAGGAGTCAGAGAGGGCCGGAGAAAGTGGGTCACTATCGATCCAGCCTCATTTCCCGTCAAAAAAAAAAAAAGTCGAAATTCTCCTAGACCAACGGAGCAAGGAGGCTGGAAGGTTGACCAGACCGGGATCAGGCTTGTTCAATCAACGCTGAACCGCCCAATCCGAGGCCGTCTAGGCGGATTTATCTTCCATGGACCTCGTCGCAGTGAGCCAATGACATAAGGGGGCAACCATGATGCAGTGTGAGTGGGGCTGGTTCTGCCCTCCTGGCCAGTCAATTCCTTTGCCCGCCCATCTGCACCCGACCGACCTGTCACACAGACTCCCACACCGCCTCCCTGCTCGCGCCCTCCCCCTTCCCCACTCGGAGTGAACAGGCAACGAACGGCAATGAACGGCACCGACGTAAAGAGTTGTCGCCATCTCCAGGCAGCAAATCATGCGCGGATGGGGGGTTTGTCGGTGCGCACCACTTCGCTTTGCCTTCTTTGCCCGTCGGCATCATCCCTCCTCCACCAGGCTAAACTCTTTATTATTATCATCCAATTTGATCCCAACTCCTACTTCCTCCTATTGACGATGGATAAACTCGGAGGTTTACTGCCACTGACCGTTGCCCATTCATCATGGGATCGATCCATAGGGTTGACAGTCGCCAGGAATGGGGCCAGAGTCGATCAATGAAAGGAAAAAGAAAGTTCGAGTCCTAGACCTCCCTCTCATTCCTATTATTTCCATCGCCTCCGGTACAACCACGGCGGCCAGTGCCGTTGCCATCTGGTCATTGCTCTGCGTTAGTCATCGTGGTCTCCCTTGTGACCGTCATCACTGCGTTTGTTGTTTTCTTTTTTTGTCCTTCCTTTTTTCTTTTCTTTTTTTTATTATCATCTCCCGTAGAGTTCTCTCCACGCACCCGTGCCCAGTTGACTCATCCGGGTGCAAGAGGCGGTTTGCCCGTTGCTCCATCGGTACCAGACTTTCCACCCTCGCCAGTTCCCTGACTGACGGACCTCAGTCTCTCTGAGATTTGTTGAGAGTGAGACTGGAGACTGAGAGGGTCCCGACCTGGTCGGTGGAGTTGGTCAGTTCCCCTCTTTTCCTATTTGTAGCTGGGCCCTAAACCAGTCTAAGCATCATACATCTTTAGTCCGGTGGGGTCGCCCCTCCTGCCGTCTCCACCTGCCTTCCAATCAGATTCCCGGGGGACGGCGGTGCATGCTTAACATGTAACGGGGGGGTGGGCAAGTTACATGGGTTTGAGCCTTTGAGGGGGAAGAGTCTGAGAGAGCAGGAAGCGCCTGCGACAGGATGATTGCGACTTTTTCTTTTTCGGGATTCCTGATGTCTGAAATCTGATTCGAATGGATTCGCTGATGACCCTCTTCTGAGGTAATTCCCTTGGCCCTTTAGTCGGTTTCTGTCTAGACTAAATCACGAAAGGCGAGGGTTGGCCACCACCAAATCTTCTGACCACGAGTGGTTTAGACTGCCCCCGGGACTATTCTTCTTAGTGAGTAGCAGTGGCTATTATTATTATTAAATCATTTATTTTTATTTCCCTTCTGCTTTTTTTTTTTTTTGGTTTTTGGGGGGGAGGGAAATTAGTTCTGGTCCCCCTTTGCCATCCCATCCCATCCTCTCCCTGATCCGTCTATCTTCGCCATCTGGTGAACCTACTTATTATTCCCTTCCCATAATATCCTCTCGCTCTTCTCTCCTCTCCTCCTTCCCTTCTCCTAGTTCGTTCGTGCTCGTGTTCTTTTTTTCTTTCTATTATTTCCTTATTGATTTCCTTGCCATCCATCACATTCGATCTTCCTGTTTTTTACTGGTGTTTTATTTTCCCTCCTATTTTAATTTCCTTCCTTTTCCCTTTTCGATCTATTTACTATTTCTTCTTCTGTTGTTATAGTTCGTTTTCTTTTTGGGACTTCTGGACATATATCATTTTACACCTCCCGCTTCCCCCCCCCAATAATACTCTGGATATTTCCTCCCCCCTCTGCCCCCATTTCTGTCCGATCGATCTATCCGCTTTGGACACATCTCTACACATATCTGCATAACAACCGACATACAAAAAGGATCTCCCATCTCCACCGACAAACTTGCAACCCATCCCGACCGGTCGGATTTTAACCTCCTTGGATTCCCGATTGTGGTGTCCTTGTTGCTTGTTGCTCGCCTGTCTGTGCAACCGTCTGAATCATCATCGCCAACGAACTTGGACCAGTCCTGAGGATTTGATTACTTGATTTCTGTCCGCTCACAACAACTCCATTCCTTCAATGGCTCCTTGACTTCCAGGCGACTACTTCTCTCCTTTGGTGCTATATATGACCGCCTGCTGGTTAATTTGGATGACTTGACCCTCCTATTGATTCCATCCCGGATTTGGACCCTATTATTTTTACTCCCAGGAATTCTTCCAGAGGTCCCTCGATCTCTAATCGACCACCTGTCCCGGCGTGGACGTTCCCTCTGGATTACCTTGTGTCTTTGAACATCAGTTCCATCTTATCCTCCCTAGAAAGAAAGGGAATAAGATCTAAGAAAAAAAAAAAAAAAAACCAAAACAAACCATCCCTTGAGTTTTACCACCGCTTCTACATCTCATCATGCTTCCTCCCTCTCCCCCGGTAGGCATATATCCTCATATGCTACCGACTCCTCCCCCTTCTCCCCCTATCGCCCGCTGTTATGCCCCGGAAGACCGTTTGGGATTGCTCCTGGCCAACCGGCTGGAGTTGACTAGTGTCTTGGGAGTCGGCGCCTATGGCGTCGTCTACACGGCCGTCGACATTCATACCAATGTCCTGTATGCTGTCAAGGCCCTCAACAAGACCGGACTGGACCACCGACAGCTCAAGTACCAGCAACGGGAGATCAAATTGCATCACTTGGCCAGCCAACACCCCAACGTGGTTTCCCTAGTCCGCATCATGGATTCCCTCGACTGCACCTACGTGGTCATTGAGTTTTGTCCCGAGGGTGATCTGTTCTCCAGCATCACCGAGAAGGGCAACTTCATCGGCAACGACCCCTTGGTCAAGCGCGTATTTCTCCAAATCCTGGATGCCGTCCACTTCTGTCATTCCGTCGGAATCTATCACCGGGACCTCAAGCCGGAGAACATCTTGGTAACGGACCAGGGATTGACGGTCAAACTTGCTGACTTTGGCCTTGCTACTGCGGACCCTTTTACCTCGGATTTTGGCTGCGGATCTACGTTCTACATGTCACCAGGTATGCTCCCTATCTTCTCTTGTACACTTTTTTTTTTTTTGAGTCCGATCATGCTAATCCTCGGACCTCTTCAAAGAATGTCAACAACCAAATCCACGACCCATGTCCTGGTACGAAAGCGCACCCAACGACGTCTGGAGTCTGGGTGTTATCCTCGTCAACCTCATGTGCGGTCGTAACCCCTGGAAGCGTGCCTCCATCGAGGACTCCACCTTCCGGGCTTATCTCAAGGATCCCATGTTCCTCAAGTCCATTCTTCCCCTGTCCGATGAGATGATCTGTATACTGAGCCGCATCTTCGAATGCGACCCTAGGAAGAGGATCACCATTCCCGAGCTTCGCAACTTGATCTTGGACTGCCCTCAGTTCACGATGAACCCCGTGACCCCGTGGACCTCCGTCGACGGATCTCTTCCGGGAGACTACGTGAACCACGCTCAGGTCCCGGAACAAGTCCCGGTGAATGTCTACAACACTTCTTCCTCTTCCTCGTCAGCTTCCTCGTCGCACTACTCGGATTCGCTGGAATCCGCCGTCTCGGATGCTTCTTCGTTCACCGAAGGGTACACGGACTTGGACAGCGTGTCGTCGATGTCTTCGGTTGGACTGGATCCCGAGGTTGACTGCAAAGATGATTTCCCGCAGGCGGACTCCGTCGCATGCAGTGACCTTTCTGAGCCTCTCGTCGTGCCATCCTTCACCATTCCCATCCCCGTGTGTTAAGAGGCTGGAAAGCCTCCGCACCCTGAACATTCAAAAGCAAAAAGAAACAAAAAACACACATCCCCTTTTATACATACCCCAACACATTTAACGCAGGTTTACGACTACACGCCATTGATTTCAATTTGTCCCTCGGATCCCTTTGGATCCTCTCGGGATATTTTCGATTCTTTCTGGACTCCACCTTGCATTTCCCGAAGCGACTGTATTATTTCCACAGAGCGAAACGCCTTGGAGACCGGGTTACCTTCTGCACATACGTCTAATTTCTTTTTTTTTATTGTCTGGACCGTTTTTTTTCCGGATTCGAGGATAATTCCCCTCGCCTTTTTCGATGGATGGATTGCCCTTCTTGGACTTGGTTTCTTTGTTTATATCTCTTATACCTCTTTGCCAGCCAGTGTGCTGCCAACAGAAACCGTGGAATATGTTTTAGTATCTAATATGTTACCATTGGGCGGAATTCTGTGGGATTTCTTTTATTACGGATTACGGATATCTCTGTTGCGATTTTCTTGATGAAATGGGTGATTTGATTTTGCAGGGTGTTTACTGGCGTCGGATTGAAGGGATTGAAAGAAGAAAAGAAATACCCCCAAGAAAGCATTGTTTATTTGATTTGATTTGATTTCCTGCATGGAGTTGTTGGCATGGACATTCGTTCTGATATCACGCCTTACACCGAGGTGTTTTTTCATTTTTGTTCTTCCTATACCTGATTCTTTTTCTTTTCGTCTTTTTACTTCCTATTCTTATTATCTTTGATCATTTCTCTTCTCTCTTCTCATCTTTCTATAATTTGTTGATAAGATACGTGACGCCGGAGTTATTTTTTTTTTACATGCTCCTTGTCAGAAGTTCTGGACACTGTACGTTTCAGTTCAGCTCCATCGTCCAATTTTTCGGCCCGGAGAAGGAATCGTCACTCTGTCTTGGGGTCTGGTCCATTCAGGAAACGTTGCAAGACTTGCAGGGAAACCGCACAAAATCTAAAACACGAACAAAAGCTAACCGCCTCATGATTTGTGATTTGTGATACGATGATATAAATAGAGATGTGACGATTGTCCAAACTGCCACGGAAACCGTGCGAGTATCAGGTAAACAGGGCGGCGGTTAGCTGCGACCGTTGGTGTTTGACATAGCTTACTTTTGGCCTTTTTTTGGCCTCCTTGCTGTCTACCTACGTCTAGACTGCTGTCCCGTTGACAGGGCGCTTAGTCGCATGCATGAGGACAGGAGAGGACTTGAACAGGGAAACTGTTCGGTTCGGTTTGATTCTATAAATGGAACAGACCATTGATATTGATTCATATCAATTCCATTCAATCTTAGACCTACTTGATTGCTCTCTCTCTCTCTCTTGCTGTCTCACTTACTGCTGTCTGCTTCACAACTAACCCCACAGCCCAGCCCAGCCCAGTCCATACAGAACAGAACACAACACCAATGTACAAAAGTCCAAGAAATACAGCTATAACAAAAAAAGCCAAACTAAGTATTCCTCCCCCCCGTCACCCGAATCGTCTCCCCCGTAACATACGCAAATAACGGACTCGCCACCGCCAACACCGACCTCGCCGCCTCAGCAGGACTACCAGGTCTCCCCAGCGGAATATCCGGATACTGCGGTGCTTTTGCTGCTGCTGCTGCCGCCTGACCCTTCCGACTCTCGAGCTGCTTGCCCGGAATCCCCAGTGCCACCTTCGTGCCGTCCGGCGTGGTGATGAACGCCCCGTCTTCCTTTGCGGCGGTTAGTCGCGTCGTGATGTGGCCGAAGGCAATGGTGTTGGCGCGGACGCCGAATGCCGGACCCCATTCTTTTGTGATCGTTTTGGTGAGGCCCACGAGGCCGGCTTTGGCGAGGGCGTAGTTTGCTTGGCCTCTGTATATCATGGGGTCGAGTTAGTATGGTGGAGTGTAGGATGGTAAGGATGTAGTGTAGGAAGTATATCACATAGAATGAATAGGATGATTATCCATATCCATATCGTATCCATAGACATAGACAGAGAAGTTGATATCCATCTCGTAAAACAACAGAGTAGGTAGGGTAGGGCAGGGAAAAAGAAAAAGGAAGAACATACGCATTCCCATGCAACCCACTCGTACTACTAATATTGATAATGCAGCGCGGCTCCCCATCCTTCACGCGGAAGTACTTCGCCGCGGCCCGCACCAGCTTAAACGGCGCCGTGTTGTGAATCGCAAGCATCGTGTCCCATTGCTTATCGGTGATCTATCCCCAGATATTCTGTTAGTTGATTCATCTCTAACCACGTATGTATACGTGTGTATACACACACACACAACTAGCCCCAACCCAGAAAGCAAAGAAAGGAAAGGAATGTAGAAAGGGAAATAAATACCTTATGAATCACCCCATCCCACGTAAACCCCGCATTATTCACAATAACATGGATCTTCCCACCCCCGAACTCCGCGGCCTTCTGGACCAGCGTCTCAATGTAGCTGTCGTCTAGGATATCACCAACAACGGCGAGCGCGCGGTCCGCGCCAGCAGAGTTGATGGCGGTGGCGGTTTGGGTTGCTTTTTCTGTTCTAGTTCTTAGCATCTCTTTCTCTCTCTCTCTCTCTCTCTCTCTCTATGGTAGGGAGAGTAAGGGAAGGAAGAGGGGACATACCCTGATCCACATCAGCAATAATCACCTTGGCGCCTTCGTTCGCGAACAATGTCGCCGTCTCAGCGCCAATGCCTTGTCCGCCGCCGGTGATGATGGCCACTTGGTTGGCGAGGAGGCCCCGGGGGTAGGTGAGGTGGGAGGTGAGTTGGGAGAGACGGGATGTCATTTTCCTTTCTTATTTTGACTTACAAGTTTAGCTGATGGGTAGGTTTGTGATTGATGGTCTGGTCTGTTTTTTACGGGGTTGCGTTTTCTGTATGGAAGGGGTTGAGGTTGAGGTTGAGAAGGGGATGGTTATAATGTCTATGTCTACAGTATAAGGAAGTGAGGAAGTGAGGAGGGGGCGGAATTGCCGAGGCCCGGGAAGCTGGACCGAGAAACGACGGGACCCGCTTTGTTTAGCTTCAACCGTACTCCGAAGTATCATCTGGTACTTGAATGAATAAACAAAAGAAAGTAAATTAAAGAGAAAATGATATATACGTTAAGTGAAGTACGTTAAGTAAATAAGTAAGTTAATGGCAATGACAACGGCAAATACATGGTATCATTCCCTGCAAAAAAGCCTCCACTGTCGTCTCATACCCCCGGATGATCTGCTGCAGCCAGCTATCTTCCAATCCCTCGCTGTTCCCGGACATGCTCATTTCAATGACCTCCTTGAGCAGACGCAGCACCTCCTGCGTCTGTTGCAGTCGCCCGTGCAGCAGGAATCGTCGCACGCGACGTGTCTCTTCAACCCCTAGCTCGTACTCGCCGTACCCGACGGGGAGAGGGCCCGTCACGGGCACCGTGCCCAGTGGTGGTGGCGGTGGTGGTGGGAGTCGGTCGACGCCGCCGGTCGTGAAATCATAGGATATCCAGTAGTCGAAGAGCTGCAGGGTGTAGTCCAGCGCGGACACCGACAGAAGCAGGCTGGTGTTGTCCTTGTGGCAGCTGGTGCACTGGAGGAACTCGCGGCACACCGCCAGTGCTGCCTGGATGGCTTGCAGGCTCTGGTCGAAGCGCAATTGCAGCGGATCGGCGACCATGTGCCGGAGACGGTTCGTGTGGAACCCAAGAGCCTCGCCGCATTCGCACGTCGGCTGGAAGGCGCTGGGGATGTGCACGGCGAGGGGGAAGCTCGTGAGGCCCTTGGTGATGAATTCCTTTTGTAGGAACGTCGGCGACATAGACGCATGCGCGGCGATGGGGTCGCTGCCCGACGGCGGCAGGGAATCGCCATACGATGACGCATACTCCATGTTGGCGGACTCGTTGAATGGCAGACATGAGTGCAGGGTGGTGTGCGCATCCTGGCTCCTAGGACTCTCTGATAGACTCTCGCGGCTTTCTGGTTCCCACGTCTATGGTTACAGTAATGTTAGGTTATTGGGGGTTAACTGTAGAAGGCGCGCAAAGAGCAGAGGGGGTAGTAGCACCTACCTTGTGGTCCATACTTCGGTCCATTCCATACCCCCCATACCGCTGCTCAATCACCTGGAGTCCCTTGTCTGTCGGTCCGCTATCAGGTCCCCGTAATACGGCCTTGCCCTCGGGGAGCTGGCCCAGTTTCCTCAATGTAGCCCGGTTCTTACTGCCTTTCGGCTTGCCCGACCGATTGGCAACTCGATATCGACACGACAGTCCGTGGCGGAGGCACCGGATACACGTGTCCTTCGCTCCCAAGTTACATTTCACCTTGGATTGTCGGCAGTTTTCGCACGCGGCTCGCAGCTTGGGTGTGTCTCCTGTACTGCTCGGATTCTGATCGGTGTCGGAAAGCATCGCGTTGGAAGACAGCGTGGTTTTATTGCGGAGAGGAGAGCGGAAGGATGGTGAGAGGGAAAGAGAGGGAGATGGGAAGAGAGGAAGAGAGGGAAGGAGTCAGAAAAGGTACGGGGCTAGACTAGATCAAGGGTCTGTAGATGGTCTTGCGGTCAAAAAGAACCTTTCCTGCCCTGTAGAGTCGGTTCTCTCCCAAAACTAGGCGGCATGTACTTCGGTCCGGAAACGATATAATCACAATCAGAAAAATTGATAGCAACGATCGGCGCTAACATTGATGTCCCAAACCTAAGACTCTATATAACCTCCTATTCCCTCGCGGCGGCCTCATAATGCAACGCGAGCATAAACACGATTCGTATCTGGATTTGTGAATTGACGGGAACCGCATATGAAGTCAGCCGTTGTGAAACCCGACAAAATTTCATCTGATCCACCACGCATGGAGACGCCAGCAATCGTGGCCAGTAACCCTGCCTGCAGCTCCTCACAGGCAAGTCCAACTGACCCCCGAATCTTACTTGTCCAAAAAGGCAAATGCCAAATTGCTTGGCCCTTTGGCCCAAATGACCCCTGATAGGAGACAATAAGCGGGAGCCACTTTGCTGGTAATTTCCTCCACGGGGGAGGAGCCTGGGAGAATAAGCTTAGGTGCAACCATCACGACCTGGGCACTCGAGCAAATTGCATCAATCAACTTGCAAAATTCCAGAGTCGCCAATGCTGTCTGACGTAGCATCCAATGGCGAGAACCATTTAATTTTTTTTCTCCCAAGCGGCATGCAGGCCAGCACACCATGTGAGCTGTAACCGGTGCAAGAATGAATCTCTATTCGTCCTGATGAAGATCCCAATCGAGCGGTGAAGACTTTATCCTTTGGAGAAACCCTGCTCATGCTTCCAGAACCGAAAGCTGGTGGGCGTGTCTGGGTTTAATTTCCTTTCCTTTCTTTTTTTTTTTCTCTTCGAGTCACGCTTCCTTCCTCAAATAGAAATCTCGGCAATCGGAATCTCTCGAATACCTTGCTTTGCTCATCTCCCGATTTCTGACTTTCATCCCTTGCACGCATATCGTGATGTCAGCAACAGGAAGGGGAAAAGAAAGGGCGGACAGAAGGAAACCACAGAGTAAAAAAAAAAGCTGATCTCGTATCGTTGGGGGTCCGTCAGCATACCATCGCGCGAAGATTCTCATCTCACGAAGAAAAAACAAAAACCAGTTTTGCGCGACGGTTTGTTGACTGTCACAATGTAGCTCTCACCAAGCAACCACCCCCCTAATCGTACACCGCCCGTGTGATCTGGAGAGCCTTTCTTTCCCCCCTAATCCCGCTCGCCCCCCCCCCTCTGATTCGAACGAACCAGACCGTCGAGGTTCAAAGGAGACAACTGTCAGCCAACCCACTGTGTCTGTAATCAAACGCCCTCAACAGCCCGGTCAGGTGAGCCGCGGCGGCACATACCACCAACACATGAAAGATCTGATGTGAGCTGCCCCAAATGTCGAAGGTGCCGGGTCGCAACCGCTCTGGCACTCGAGCCGCATATATCCCAGCTCCTAGGACGTATAGAAAACCCTGGAGAAGGAGCCATCCTAGGCCAATCTGGTGCATCATTTGGTCCAGTCCATATAATTGTAACCCGTGGATCACGGGGAACACCGCTGACAGGCCCATACCGACAAACATGGCCGCGCGGAAAGGCCGCCACCGAGGAGTCCGGAACCAAGGAAGAATGGAAACAATGGCGCAGCCAAGACCCAGGGTGCAGATCATCGTCCAATACACCCGTTGCAAATCCGGCGCGCAGTAGAACCCAAAGTACACGCTAGGAACGAAGCTGCCCACGATCAGGCCTACGATCCCGACATAGTCGAAGGCATTGCCCACGCGGGCCACCAACGGTGAATGATTCGAAATGGTATGGTACGTTGCGGACATCCCCAAGCAGAACGCCGCTCCGGCAAAAAAGCATCCCAATGCCACGAGGTCCGCACGGGTCGCGGTTTCATACCGCGGCGCTAAAATGCGATGCAACCAGACGGCGGCCGGGACCGCCAACAGCGAGGGTAACAGGTGCGAGTAGATGTTCACCGTCTCATTGTGCAGATAGGCCAACGACTGCAGGGAGAGCAAGAATGAGAACGAGGCGGGCCGATATCCGGTATGGATGTGCTGGTTATCCTTCTGCCAATAAGGCAGATCGTCCCAGTGAAGAAGCTTTTTGATGACCTGAGGGGGCTTGCTCCCTAGGATAGTAGTAGGAGCTGCATCGTCCGCCGCTGGCTGGCTGACCGGATGACTCTCTGTGGGGCGACGCTGGCGAGTCGGCATATTGACCACCTGCAGTAGGGTACTTCTGAATTGACTGCTGCAGGAAAAGGGTAGGAAGGGAATTGGGAAAAGAGACGGTAGTATTTGTATGTAACTAGTACAGAAGTACTAGGCAGTAGTAGGGAGGTACCGGAAGCGCTGGCAAGTGGACCGAAGAGAGATAGATCGAACACTTGCGCAGGGTATCGGCAAAGGCAATAAAAATAACTCTCAGCGAGCAGTAGGGACCGAGGAGCGACTGCAGGAGAGAAAAATGACAGAGCAAAGCAGCCTCGGCCTCACCGGGAGGTTGATGGTGAAGTTGTTGAGGATCAACAGAGGAACTTCCTGTTGGGCCGGACAAACAGTGCAAACCCGTCGGGGAACCTCCCCTCTTTCTTCTCTCTCTCTCTCTTTCTTCTCTTTCCTTCCCTTCCTACACTCTCCCATTCCCACATGCAAAGAAACAATCGGACAAAGAATTGAACCATGACAGCTCGCCCCCAACACGCCAAATGGCCCGGTAGCCGCCTGAAACCCGTGCCCGTGTCGGACTCGCTGGAGTCGGTGGGGTTTGTGTCTAAAGGGGATCGCAAGTATGTCCGCTGTCCCCCGCGTGGCATGGATCCAGTCTCCACGATCCCCGCCTGACCACGTTGCCAGATTGCTAGATCACAAGGCCCAGAAGGATTACTATGCTAGGATTGTAGAACGGTATATGGCGTTCTGTGCTCGCCATGCTAAAGATCTGGATGCCGCATGGGCATCGCTTCCTACCAATGCGTCGGGTGACGCGACTAAGAATCCCCCGGCTTCTCTTGCGCCGTCCAGCTCCAAATCCTCCGGTCCTTCCCCGGCCTCGGAGTTGTCCACGCTGCTTCTCTCGCTTCGCAAGCTCCGAGAGGCCGTTCTGGCCACGGCATCCTCGGTCCCCGTGCCTTTCTCCCAACAGGTCCACACCTTCTCCATCAAACTGTCGATCCGAGCCAAGCATCCGCCCTCGTATTTCCCTTCCCTTCGCTACCTGCTGGATCATCTTCATTCCCCGTCGCATCCTCTACCCGAGTCCGAGTTGAAGGATCTCAATTCATATCTGATCCTGGACTTGGCTTGTCGGCAGGATGACCTGGTGGCTGCTTTCGAACAGCGCGCCCGAGCTCGTAGTCAATATGATTTTCAATCGCAAACCGTGGACCGCGTTCTAAGTGCCTTGGCCCATGATAATTGGGTGGTGTTCTGGCAGGTTCGGCAGGAAGTGGATTCCTCAATGCGAGCGGTGCTGGACTGGGCGGAGAACCGGATGAGGAGACACGCACTAAAAGCGGTGGGCCGGGCGTACCTCAGTGTGAGCGCGCAGTGGATCACCGAGGGCTGCACCGGAGATCCCAGCTGGACCTGGGAGAAGCTGGCAGAGACAGAGAAACTGGGGTGGCAGAAAGAAGGCGACAAAATTATCATTAGAAAGCCCAAACAGAAAACCGAAAAGAACCTGGTGCCAATCAAAGAGAATGCATCATAACGGGTCATGCGGAGCACGTTTATTCTTGCCCTTCTATTATTGATATATACCATACCATAGGCTGAGACTATGCGGCCGACAAACTTGCATAGACTTCATTGAGTTATCATCCTTCCGAGTTGGCTCACAACTTGAAATCCACATTCGGGCGATCCAAATTGATGTCACCAGTAACCGGTTGTTGAGCGACGGTGTCTACAAGCGTGGTCTTCAACTTATCAGCCTTGTCAGAACAAAGCTCGTAGACAGTCGACAAGTTGAACACCAAACTAGAGAAAGATTGATTCGTTTGAACCAAGGATTCTAAAACTTCCCGAGCCTGTGGCGAGTTAGCAATATCATCGCAGACGCCAAGATTATAGGATGAAAAACCTCATTCAATCTTCCGGTATACAGAAGACAGACTGCCATATTTTGCGAGATCATCGCCTCGTCGGGCCTTTTGGTCCCATTATCCAGAAGCGCTTTCCACTCAGATACCGCGTCGCCGTATCGTCCCTCAGCCATACTAAGAAGGGGTGTTAAGATGGCTCCCGTGTCGTCCGATTCTTGAGCAAGCTTCTGTGCGGCATCGAGATCGCCGATCAGAAGGAAAAGAAGCGCCTTTCTCAATTTGTAGAGTTCGCTTTCCGTCGGGGACGTTCGCAAGCTGTGCAACGATCTTCTGGCCGCGTTGAAATCTCCCATCTCGATCAGGGCATTCACGTTCCTGATGCCTAGATCCGACAACCTCTCCCTCCAGATTTGTCGTTCTTCTGGGGATATGTCCTGTCGCATGATTTCCCTCCGAGCTTCCAGGCCAATCTCGAAGAGTCCGCCGATGCCTCTGCGTGGGTCGCCAAAGCCGATACTTTGAAGTCGGACAGCCAGTACTCGTAGGGGCCATGGTACGATATGACGGGGATATGTCGGATGCTTCTGATCCGGCTCCGACGTCTCGGGCTGTGGGTCTGTGTAGTAGAATGTCGAGCTCAAATCCTCGAGAGCTTTGGATTCCTGCGCGGCAATGACAGGATTACCCGACAGCTCTAGGCACGCTAGGCGCGTGTAGAAAAGCGAAAATATGAGCTTGATGTTGGTAGCAGGGACTGAAGAGGAAGTCAAAATGGTTCCACTGAGGTAGGCTGCCAGCAGAAAATGACCCTCTGCTAGCAATTTCTCCAGCGTGCCGAGGGTTTGGGTCAAGGACTCATCCGACGCGGGCGCAACAAACTCCGCGCGCAATGCAGGCGGGATGTCGACCTGCGACAGGGAGTGATAGACATCATAGCGTAGAAGGTACGACAGATCCTTCACCGAGTCCGGGGGCAATTCATCTGGAACTAGCGGATCCAGGGCATTGAACGATTCCCCGGAGTAGTGGTCACCATGGTCGGTCATGCTTGGCTTCTGCGGCATGCCCGGGAGACTTAAGGGGCTTCGTTTTGTTAGCCTGATGCTTCCAGGCGCGAGTTGATGATGCACCGCTTACTCGTCCGGACCATCCAGAGGTCCTCTGGTGGAACTACGAGGTCGAGAAGCTGGAAGCGATCAGCCAAGACGTGAGGTGAATTGTGCCGATAGACTTACACCTTGAGATATTGCGGCTGTGGCTGTGAGTGTGGCCGGGACTGGGGGTTGTGGATTCCATGGTGGGATACAATGGAGGGGGAGATGGAGATGGATTAAGTAGTAGGGTAGTAGTAGTGTTAGAACTCCGGCAGACGGAGTACCTAGTACCTGAGCTCTGAGGCAACGCGGGTGCCTGGGGGATTCTGCCCGGGCGGTCAGGGGATCTGCCAGATCAGGCAAGCTGGCCCATTCGTGGCAACTGTCAATCTCTCTTTATATCCACTACTACTCACTACTACTTCCAACCCTATCCAGATCGCCCCAACGTCCTTCCTCCCTAGCCTAGCCTGCCACGATCGACTACCCTTGACTTTCAATAATACCTAAATCGCTTTCACTATCCGCCCGTCACCATGACTTTGGCTGAGGAATTCCGCTCGCGAAACTTCAGTATGATTTTCCCGTGTTTATCCTTTGTTTGTCGAGCCAAATGCAAGGGAAGCTGACCCCTACCTATCTAGGCATCTACGGACAATGGTTTGTGACCTACCTCCACCTCGCTCCCTTCCCTACCCCGTCATTTCTTTTCGATATTGCGCTTCTTTCGAACCGACCGTGAAGAAAATAAATGGCTGCCTGCGCCTCTCTGGCGGGTTGGCTTGGCGCCGTTTGGATCGACATGACCGGGTGGATTGGGGAACTACAACTGCGCATCGCGCCGGACGGAACGTTCAGGACCGGCTGTTATACTTCACTCAGGGTGTCATCTTTTGCGACTATGTCGGGCTGACTGGCTTTGCTTAGGACCGGAGTGGTGTGCATCGTGCTGTGCTTCGCTCTCGGAATCGCCAACATCTTCTCCTTCAATGCCGGACGCATCGTTTTTAGTATCATCTGCCTGTTCGTGCCCCGGAATATAGACTCGCATCCGATCGTTGGGGATACTGACCGCGCGTAGGGTGTCCGCCTTTATTATCATCTTCATCGAAGTGCCCTTCTTGCTACGAATCTGCCCTACCTCGGAAAAGTTCGACAACTTCATTCGTCGGTTTACCACCAATTGGATGCGCGCTGCGATGTATGCGATCATGAGTACGGTCCAGTGGCTCAGTCTTCTAACCGGCGCGTCGAGCTTGATCGCGGCGGCCGTGTTCCTCATCATTGCGGCTCTCTTCTACGCGCTGGCCGGCCTGAAGAGCCAGGAGTTCGTGGGCAGCAAGACATTGGGTGGCCAAGGTCTTGCGCAAATGATTGTTTAGGGCTATATGAAATCGAGAAGCGAGAGATTTATCCCCAACGCATATCTATCAGTCGGACCATCTTGCGGTTCCGCGCTAATAACCAGTCAAGCGAACGCTTGTTTGGCGCTGATCGAAGCATTTGAGGGATCTCCGAAAGAACCGAGAAGAAAGAAAAAAAAAAATTAAGGAAAATAGGTTTTTGAGTTGAGGGCGCTATGATTATGACCAATTGAAACTGATTCCGCTGCTATTGATGCTGCCGAAAGGCATTTTGTACTTCTATGCGTGCTAGGCGGAGGAAGGAACCTTGAGCAGAGAGTCGGACTTGGGTGTGAGCATGCAATGGTTTGTCTTTTGTTTTTGTTCTGTCTCGTGCGTGTCTTCTTTCTCCCCCTTGGCATGCTCTTTTTTCTGTTATGCACTAGATTTCTATGCTCTTATTTATCACTGTTATAGCCCTATCTGGCGAAATACCCTTAGCATCCTGGTGATGATGAATGAAGCCTATTATGGTATCAAAGATCATTGCGACTGTAGGACTCGTCCATGAAGGTTGTAGGACTTCTTCTGCCGAGTGTACTGCACTATCTATACGAAGTCCAACGCCCTCTAATGGTGCTTTCTTCCTGTATACCCGCAGATCCGCTGCAGCTTGTACTCCCAGGCCCGGATTCCGCCACGGAAGCTTTTGAAAACGGAATAAATATTTCAGCCCTAAGAGCCCTGAGCATATGTAGCTTTCCCCCCACATTTAATTTAAGGCTCGCCCAGATTGCATTCTTGACCGTGACACTAACACCCTAGGAAGACTGGAAACTGATCTCTTCGAGCTGGAAGAGGTGGGCTTTGGCATCGACAAGCCATACAGCAGTGTTGGTAGCTATTTGAATCTTTTAAATGGAGAGGACTTGGAATATGGGATTATTATAGCTTATAAAGAAGTGGTGAAAGACATTGGAGGTGCGACATGCATAGAATGATCGGAACCTGGGTTGTCATGAAATGGCGAGTTCAATGAACAGGATTATCAACGAATGAAAGCTATAAACTTTCAAAATTAGGCCATGTTGCCTCCCTTAGCTTGTAGGACCTTGTTCTTCCTTCTCATACTTGGTTATCTCCGAGGGCCTAGCCTAACAAACTAGCGTTAGCGTCTGATCCCTCCACACAAGGCCCATCATTTGGCCCCCCGAATTCCCCGAGAAGAGCGAGTATAGCTTATTAGTTATCACCGAGTCTCGGACGTGCTATATTTCTTGTTGGCAGTACAATTCAGGAAATCTCGTCCGAATATGTATGAAAATGAGCGAAGCTACGCAGCCACAACTCATGATTGTATACTATAAGCGTGGTTCTTGCTAGTGAATTACTATCTCCGACTCTTCATTTGCCTCCATCCTTCGGTATATTCATAGTAACTCCATTTCCCGATCGGGCTTGTATCTATGGTATTCTGAAGACGATTCTCCAGGCACGTCGTGCTGATATATTCCCCATTTAGATGTACATATATAAGAGGACCCTCAGTCCCTCAACAGTCGACATAATGAAGCAGACAAGCAGCTCTACACTACAGCACCATCTACAGTATCAATCATTCCCACGATGAAATTCCTTCTTGGGATCCAGCTATGGCTGGGAACGCTCGCATCCTGTGCAATGAGTGCACGACAAGTCCGACATGACAGCACATTCCAACCGCATTACGTCTTGCGAGTCAGCGAGAAAGAAGTGTCAATTGCGTGCCGAAGCAGATTGATTGCGCTCGTCAATGGTTCGTCAAATATATACACCCTTTTTCTATGTCGCTGGGCAGGTCACTGAGTTGATCGATCTCTGTCATTCCAGGCACGACTCCAGGCCCGAGCATCCACTTGCGCGAGAACCAGACTTCTTGGGTCCGAGTTTATAATGATTTCACCTCGGAGAACTTAACTATTGTATGCATGACTCTCTAGATGAAATAGTATTGTGTTGACAAGGAGACGATACAAAGCACTGGCATGGCTTAAGTCAATCCGTGGCACCCTACAGTGATGGAACCCCCCAGGCCAGTCAATGGCCGATTAAGGTGCATTCTTCCCTTGGTCTTCATATTCTTGTGCTATCGCTCTAATTACTGACTTGAACATCCACAGGCTCAACATTACTTTGACTACGAACTGCATCCGGAAGTCGGCGAAGCAGGAACTTACTTCTACCACTCGCACGTTGACTTCCAAGCTGTCTCCGTGACCGGTGCGTTGATCGTCGAGGAACAGACTGGGACTCCTCCATATCAATATGATGACGAGAGAACCATCTTCTTCACCGAGCTGTTCAACTACACCGACAAGATGGTCGTTCAAGGCATAACCGCCCCGTTGGCGAACTTTTCCTGGTAACTTGACAGTTCCCCGTACCCCCTTTCCCTCACCCGTTCCCATCAAGGGTATATACATACGTGCCAGCGCCAATAAAATGAATGCTAACCCTCGCAGGCCCGGCGAAGCAGCCTCCATCCTCGTCAACGGACAAAACTACCCGGCTCTCCTCGCCAACGAAACCCTAACATCGCAACCCTGGTCCAAACCGAACCCGTCCATTTCACGGCCCTGCGGACCAGCAATCATCACCGTCCAGCCAGACCAGACGTACCGCGTGCGCACCATCGGCGGCGTAGCCCTAAGCCCACTCGTCTTCGGCATCGAGGAGCACGACAATCTAACTATCATCGCAGCAGACAGCCACTACACGGAGCCAGCGTCGACGAACATGATTCAGATCGGCTCGGGGCAACGATACGATTTCCTCCTGCGCACTAAGACCACAGATGAATTGCGTAGAGCCGGAAGATCGCAGTTCTGGATCCAATTCGAGACGCGATATCGTCAGCAAGCGAATACGTTTTATGCTTTGCTTGTTTATGAAGATCCTGGAAATCAATCTACTAACTATGCCAATAATCATACGGTCCCAAGCCACCCACCGACACAGAAACCCGTGGTCTTGCCCACCCAAACACAATCCTGGATGGAATATACCCTACAGCCTCTAACAGACAACAACTTCCCTCCAGCGGAGCAAGTAACCCGACAGATCGTCCTCCGGTCTGCACAGGTTGTCTCCCCCAGTGGATCTACCTGGACCGTCAACAACCACATCTGGACCGAATCCAACCGACACGAGAAGACCACCAACACAAGCTCCAACTCCAGTCAAGCATCAATCTCTCACCCAGACACACCCTACCTAGTACAAATCTACCAAGACAGCGAACACGCAATCCCGAATTACCACAACGCAGTCCAAAATCACTCAGGCTGGGACCCAGAACTAAACATCTACCCAGCACGAGTCGGCGAGATCGTGGATATAATCTTGATCAACGAGCCGAATGGCCGACAGGGCGGGTTCGATACGCATCCGTGGCACATCCACGGCGATCATGTCTATGATCTAGGCAGTGGACGGGGGGATTATAATGCGACGGAGAACGAACGCAGACTGAAGGGTTATCGGCCGGTGTTGAGGGACACGACGTTTTTGTTTCGGGATAATACTACGGGTGAGGATGTTGGGATGGGGGATGCGTATACGAGTCAGGGATGGAGGGCGTGGCGGCTGAGAGTGCAGAATGCAGGGTACGTATCTCTATCTATCTATCCTACGCGCTTGCGGTGTCCTCGGTGCAGAGAGGAACATTGCTGACGGGTTGAGATCAGGGTGTGGATGGTGCATTGTCATACTTTGCAGCACATGGTGGATGGCATGCAAACTGTTTGGATGATGGGAAATGCGTCAGAAATCACTCGTGGAGTGCCGCCGGATCTGGTCTCGGGGTTTCTCACTTATGGAGGAGACGCCTATGGAAATTCCTCTTATGAACCGCTCGTCACTCATTACTTTGACTAGATTGGATCCATTCTGCATTATGGCTTTTAGACTTGACCTTTGAATAGATATAGATATCATATACCTTGAAAATACTATTTCCCAGAAAGACCTGAAGAGATTGTCCCTTCATCTGAATCTGCAGCATGCAGATAAGATGCAAAAAACTCATACGCTCTAGCAATGCTCCGGTCCCAGCCTCCAGATCGACCCGCGTTGGTATCAAAGAGATGCATCGCATCCTCCAACAAGGCAAGATCACATGGAATGCCGTGTTTTTGCAACATACTCAGCATCTTCAATGCCTGTTGCCAAGGGACCAGCTCGTCTTTCTTCCCGTGCAACATGTAAGTAGAAGAGCGATACATGTTGTCTGCTGCACATGCGTATGGGCTGTATTGACGAACACGGTCTAGCGGGGGATCCTGCTGAGAGAGAATTGATTTCATTTGGCTCGGAGGCACAGCGTTTGGTGGGGGCAGTCCGTTCGCCAGAACCTGTAGTGACTGTCCCTGTTGGACCATGTGCGCAAAAATCCGTGACCGTCTGTCAGTGGACGCCATCCGTGCCTGGACGCCCTCTGCTTGATTGGGGTCAAACCCGGTGACCTGGCACCTGTCAATGGATTGCTCGGTTAGCCAAGAAGGATGGATGTTTAAACTCACGGGCTCGTTCTCTAGGCCCTCAAGAATTAAACTGTCAACGCCGTCTATTTGTAGTCGGGATTGAGAATCTTGAGGCGTCTTCCAAACTAATACGAGGCTTAGCATTCATAATTCAAGTTGTAGTAAACAAATTGTTAGACTTACATTCGTCCTCATAGTCCGTCGGACAATAGAACGTGGTGATCGCCTCCGGTGGCCGCGTCTCTGGGCAGCAGTCGGCAGCTTGCCCAAGTATTAGCGCCAATGTGCCCCCAGAATACCAACCGATTACGCCTACACGATCTCCATTCAAAGTGATGCCTTAGTGCTTCAGTCGAAGCTGTGGTAGCCAGTTTCTGGCCCATTTCAGAGCATCGCGTACATCGCACAGTGGACCGTCGATGATATTCACCTCGGGGCATAATCTGTAATCAATACTCACGGGGATAATGTCATGGCCAAGAAGACGGTGGACTTGATCCATCCGACTGTGCTTTCTGGATAGCATCACATGTCCGCCACCATGAATGAGAAGAGCTATTCTCCATTAGCATTCACTTATAGATTAGTTGAATGGATGAAGTGTACTTAGCCTACCGATTGGATACTTGTATTCTGGGCCTCTTTGACCTTCGGAAGGATAGTGAATATCAGCATAGAGATGAGGCTTGCCGGTCTTGAAAACGACCGTCTCGTAATCAATCTCTCGTGCCCTTGGATGACTCTTGACAGAGTCAAATTTGGAAGTGAACCCGCAAATCAACCCGACAGTCTGAGATTGTAAACTTGGACCATTGATCGTTAGTACTTGCTCGAAGCCTGCGGACAGCATGCTCTTCTCCCATAATGCATATGATGCCAAAGGATGGCTTCTGCCGTCTTCGAATAGCCACCAGCCCTGCAACAGCCCAAAGACCAGGTCTAGCCAGAACAGACGTTTCGTGATTTCAATCAGACAGATCAAACCATTGTGTCGAAGCATCTGGTGTGCGTGTCTGAGCGAAGCCACCAGATTGCGCGTTCCATGAATGCAGTTGGTAGACAAGACTATATCAAAACGGCTGACAAATTCGGCTGCTGGCTCTTGCTCGATATCCAAAACTAAAAACTCCATAGAGCCCGCATGTGCGGCATACTTTCGTCGGGCCACCATCACAAAGGAGCTTGAGATGTCCGTGAAATGATATTTGAAGGGGATTCCTCGATGAACGAGCATCTCAAGTGGTAGTCCCGCCCGTGCCAGCGTCTAGCTCGAGGATTTGAACTGGACCGGCTCTCTGACGATTGATAGCTAGCTGTTCCAGGAATTCGCACAGCACGAGGTTCATTGTACGAAACATCGGAGCCCTGGAATAGAAGTCACTCAACAGTCGACGGTTCATGGGGATCCCAAATATTTGTTTCAAGAGATCAATGGTCCCCGATAGAAATCCGGCCAATTCAGGACCAGTGATGCGAAGGAGATCATGTTCTAGGCAGTGTTGATGACACTTTTGTGTTATTTCGTCACGGAGGAAGGATGATGACCGCGTACTGATGACTTTATCAGACCGTATGTAACCCCCCTCTCCAGTATAATCTATGACACCTTCATGCCGCAGGATCTCATGCAGGGTAGGTTTTAACTTGAAATGTTGCGGAGCCACATCATTTAGAGGAATGATACAGCCTGTTTGAATTGTTCTTAAATCGCAACCGAGACGAGCAAACGCATCCATCACATAGGAAAGAACCAACTGGCGCTGCGCTGGGTAGACTCTTTGCCAGAAATGCAGCCATGAGGTCTGCGCCGCAAGCTCTGGGAAACGCTTTTGTATTTCCACGAAAACAGCTTGCGGCGAAACGCTTATATCTTCGCTTGGTACTGATGGTTTGTCCTCGGGCACAGATGACCCTGGTGAGTTTTCTAGATGATTGGCATTTTTGGAGGTACCAGACGAAAGGATTGTGTATAGCTCAGTGAAAGTAGTTTCGGGTCTGATCTAGACTTCTACCAGGCAGCCAAACTCCGTCTCAATGTCTCCGATGAGCTCCTGGGAGAGGAGCGAGTCAATCCCCAGGTCGCCAAGGCTGGACAAAGAGTCAATGGGGCTCAATAAGGCCTAAATGAGCTTCGATAAGTCCCTGCAAACGGGAAGTCACCGGCGAATGTTCTCTCGAGTGCGATTTCTGGGGTGGGCTAGTATCCGATGTAAACTGTCTGTTAATCATGTTCAACAGATTGCCAACTGTAGTGCCACTGCCCTGCGTAATCGTAAGATCAACATCAATTCTCTCTTTGATCACATATTGGATCTCGCTCATAGCCAAGGAGTCGATGCCTAGACTTTCAAGAGAGATTGAGGCCGATAGCCCTTCCGTCGGAATGTTGGTGAACCCACGAAGAATGTCACGTAGGGCCGTCAATGTAATATTTTCTTCTTTATGAACGTGCCCATTTATAGAATCTTTCGCAGACTCATTCATGGAATCGTAGCCCGGATCAGACTCTGTGCTATTTCCATTCCATGACTCCTGGGAAGGGATGTTTGGGATAGTGTCATGAGTAGATGTAGCGATATTCGGCAAACTATCCACTGCCGAAGCGTACGAAAATCCGACTCCGTGGATCAATAATGCCAGACGTCCAGTATCTGCTGCGAAAGCCATTATATCATATTCCACGAACGTGTCACCTTCGTCGACCACCATAGCGACCACATGCCATCCAGCAGAAAATGACTCCCATGAGAATTGCTGACTAGGTTGAATGCATTTGATCCTAGTACAGAGAAACATTCCAGCTGCGCTAGTGCGAGGCACGAACAAATTAACGTGTGCGGACGCAACCTGCAGAACTCCCTCGATTGACACCGGGGGAATGATATTCATGTTCGAGAATTGCTGCCAGTCCTGCGGCAATTTTATATAGGCTCTTGCATAGTTTGGGCCCGATTGGAAGCTGCTGATGACACGATATACCTTGCCGTAGTTGACTATTCGCCTCAGCAACTGGTAAATCACATCTCCGTCGATACTATAGTTCCTGGCGTAATGTTTTCCCTGTTGTTCAATTGCATCCCAGGTCGAATCCAGTGTGATCAGATCCCATGCTCGCTGCAGATATATCATCGGGTCATCTTCACCGTCGGGGAAACGGATGTGCCCTGTCGCGTTACGTATATGAGGGCCGTGTCGACTTTGGCCGTGACCGTTATCATCGTCGAACTGAAAACTAAACCTCCAAACTTTTTTCGTTGACGATGTCGCCTGCAGGACCAAGTTGAGCATATTGCCTTCCGATCGTCCAATATGGTTTGATATAACGAGATTCTGGACAACCCCAAATGAGTTTCGAAGCCGTGTTTCTGTTGGTCTGAGTTGCCTGGTCGCACGAATAACAATCTCAGCATACAGAGAAGCTGGACAGAGACCGGTTCCGCCGGGTGCATGCTGGCCAATAAGCAACAGCCACTCTGGAGATTGAAAGTTGATCGCAAACGTTGCGGAACCTTCGACCGTTTCATCTGTGCTCGTCATTTGAACCAGTTCGGCGCCAGTGGAATTTGTTTCCTCATTGGCAAGGTGAAGCTCGGATGGTATAGTCTTCGAGCCCTTCCATTCCAACCAATGTCGATGTTTCATGAATGAATAGGGTGGCGGGTTGATGCGCGTGTAGTTCCCCAATTGTGCACCGTGAAACTGCCAGAATTGAACATTTTGGCCACCACTCCAAAGCTGTCTAGTCACATCAGACATAGATCTGGCTGACTGAGATGGTTTTAATTGAACCGCGAGGAAGTTGTTGCCAGCGCGCATCTCTGGTGACATCGCAGCAAAAGCCATATTTGTGATTGAGGACCCTGATCCTGCTTCTAGCCAAGTACAGGCACCGAGCTCATTTACCACTCTCTGCACTGCCGCTTCAAAGTGCACAGGGCCACGGGTGTGGTCGCAAATTAATTCAGGGGTAGGAACTTCCCAACTTTTCGAGAATGAGCATGTCTCCACTGGAATCCCGGGCTGCGAGAAGGTGAGTTTGGATGAGAGTTGCATAAGGTCTTGAAGTATTGGGTCCGTTAAACTGCTGTGGAATCCATGCGTGACATTGAGATGCTTGTGTTTGATCTGTTTCATTTTCAGGACTTCTACCGCTGTCTCAATTGCCTTCTCTGTTCCAGCCAGCACGTAGCTAGTCGCCCCGTTATAACAGGCGACTTCAAGATCATTATGACTGCCAGCCTGGCGGCATTGCTCGAGTACGTCTTGGACTTGGGTGTAGGGTGCTTTTACTGCCAACATGACCCCCTTTTCGGACGACCATTTGTTTTCGATTAAGCGTGCCCGACCAAGGACGAGCTTGATACCCTCAGCCAAGGATACTGCGCCAGATGCACATAGAGCAATGAGTTGTCCAATCGAGTGACCAAGCATTCTAGCAATTGAGAGTCCAGTATCAATCCACGTTCTGGCACATGAGTATTGAATCGCAAATGTCCTTGTGTGCAAAGTGGTAATGCTGTGACATTCATCGCCTTCAAATAAGCCAGGAAAGAGACTCATCGCTCCCATGCTTGTTAGAGTCTCGTCACATTCATTAAGGTGACGACGAAAAGCCACGCATGTCTCATAGATATGTCGGTCAATATAGATATCGGTATCCGTTTGGCCTGAAAACAGGAGAATGACTGGCTGCGGCTGTTTGGGACCTAGCGCATCATGGTCTTCAAGCGCATAAACAGTCTGAACATTGTTTGCTAGTTCAGACGCTGTTGTTGCCGTTGTGGACCATCGATAGCGCAAAGATAGATTTGCCTTACGCGACAGGTTGAATGCGATATCCCGTAGCTTGGTGTTCTTTGTGCTGTTTGAAACCCATTCGAGGATTGCTCTGCAATTATGGTGTAGACTCTGCAGGCTGTGCGCACATATACATATCGGATAGGAAGAGTCTGAGGCTTCCCCAGTTTGTTGTTTTTGTTCCGTGATATGCCGCGGTGACTCCTTCACAATCAGCGCCGTGATATTTCCCGAGGCGCCAAAATTATTCAAGCAGGCGACCATGGGCGATGCCTTCCAAGGTTGAGTGTCACGGGGTATCACAATATTTCCCGGGGACTGCTCAATATCCGGACGCAGTTTCTCCAATCTGCCCTGCAGTGGAATTTTCCCGTTCTGCATCATAAGTATTATCATTATTAGTCCTACCACCCCAGAGGCTCCTTCGGTGTGTCCAATGTTTGCCTTAACAGAGGAAACAAAGAGGGGACCATCGCGGTCAGTCTCGCCGAATGCCGCCTTGATTCCATGATACTCCTGTCCATCCCCGGCGCGGGTACCAGAAGCATGAGCCGCAATGTAGCTGATGTCTTCTGGTTGCATTCGTGCTGAGGCTAGAACCTGTTTATATAACGATTGCTGAGCCAAGGGGTCCAGGGCGGTTATTGGGAAGCTGTTACTATTTTGTCTCACAGCCGAAGAGCAAATGACCCCCAAAATTGGATCGCCTTCCTGGTATGCTACACTCAGTCGCTTGAGAAAAACAACAGCAACGCCTTCTCCCCTTGAATATCCATTGGCGCCAGCATCAAACGGACGCGGTGTCCCATCTGGGCTGAGGAACGAAGCCCCTGCAAGGTTCTGATAGAAATAGGGGCTTGTCATGACGGAAACACCACCGGCGATTGCAGCCGTGCAGTTCCCGAGCAGGATATCCTTGCATGCAGCGTCGATCGCGACGGTGGAAGAGGAGCAAGCAGTGTCGAATGTTATGGACGGCCCTGTCCAACCAAAGAAATGGCTAACTCTGCCGGTCTGGAATGACCTGAGACAGCCAAGCGCTGTAAACGCACCCGCGGGATGGCTGGCGAGGTTGTCAATGTAATCGTTAGAGAATCCTCCAATGTAGCATCCGATGTTGCTATCGCGTTCTCGGCCCGGTCTGAAATAGTCCGCCCCTTCCAATGCATGGTAGGTGACCTCGAGAAGGAGACGTTGCTGCGGATCCATGGCAGCAGCCTCACGGCTAGATTTGCCAAAGAATTGGTGGTCAAAGACATCAACTTCGTCGAGGAAGTTGCCGCGCATGGATGCCATCCCATGACTTCGCCAATGGCTCTGAAGCGGAATGCGAGTTTGTGGGACTTCTGAAGCCATGCATTTACCATTTCGAAGCAGATCCCAGAATTCATCCGGACTCTGAGCACCGGGTACTTTGCAGCTCATTCCAACTACCGCAATAGCATTTCCCGGATACTCAGCCAGGCTCGAATCTGACTTCATGTTGTGCATCCCCGGAATTTCTCCCAGGCTGTTCGTAGTCGTGACGCCGTGCAAATATCAATGGATTTTGGGGTTTCAATGCCTGTTGTAGCGGTCCTCCGACAGAGGAAGAGGCAATGTTTGTCCAATGGATCGACTGTTGAGTCGGTAGCTCTAATACGGTCAAATCATAATAGATTATCTCTTTAGAGTCTTTATAGATTTAGATGAATCCCGTGTATCAGTACCTGATATCATCGCCAACCTAATCCCGACAGCCATGGTCACTTACCTCGGTCTTTTCATCATCAAACTATCCGTTGATACCGATGACAAAACGAAGGTCGAGTTGTCGGTGCATGATGTCGGTCTTCAGGCTGGTACGGCGCCTGATAGCTGAACAAACCGAAGCTGCCGGGCATTACTGAGGCTCAACATTCGAATCCCAACAGTGCAGCCATTAGCAGAGACAAGTCGGTTCTGTCCCAGTTTTACCGGGAAAATACAGGAGAGTGGCACATATACCAGATGGGAACCTGTTTTGAGCGGCAAGGGATCCAGGGGAAAAAAAAAGGTAACGAACCAAGTAGGAAGTCACCAGGGGTGTTTGACTGGCGTGGAGAGGGGAATAATCTGGTATCGGACAACTACATTAAATTGAAATAGACGAATATGGAGGGAAAGCATAATGAACAAAATTGTTTGCATTCGTGCATGCATGCGTGAAAAAAAGGAAGGGAGAGAAAGAAAGAAAAGGAAATGAGGAAACATAAAAAGAACATTGGTAGCAACGACCCACGAGGGACTCGAACCCTCAACCTTTGCCTAACGCTCCAACCTTTGGGGGGAAAGATAGGAGAGCAATGCTCTACCATTGAGCCAGCAGGCCGCACATATATGATTCTGAGACATATTTAACATTATATTTTCCAGCTTCCTTTCCAGCGAAATTCTCGCCGGTTACCTACATGAACAAAAGCTGCACTGTCGAGGCCGATTGTTTCTGAGTTAATGCCCCCTCTTCCCTTCGTTATCTGGCTGCCTAGGGTCTCGTTCCCATCCGTTACTAGTTCATACGGAGCCTTGGACAGAAGGATGACAATGACAAGGGCTCCTTTCGACAGCGTTCGATGCTACGTCATTTCCCCTCATCGATGGGGCTTTATGTCGTCAACCCCGCGCTTTGTACCCTTTCATGTTCACAAAAGAAAGGTTACTCAGATTCCGTAATACGGGACAAGAACGCGATTAGTGATCTCGACAGCGCAGTCATTGTTGGCAATGCAAGTAGATGGAACGTGAACAAGGGAATGATCAGGCGGGACATGAAGCTGTACCCAAAAAGATCATCTCGATGGGAGCTGCCTATCAGTGGGAGGCATCCTTGTCGGCGCGCTGATAACGACAAGACATTAAGGCTCTGATCCCGTGGAAATTGCATCGATCGGCCTGGCCTGGACGCAAGACAACTCCACCTCCCCCTGCTGGTTCGGGCAGACGACATAAGTGCCATTGGCGGGGTTCTAATTGGCCATGCAACTATCCAGGCCCGGATTGAAGGCTCTAGCAATTCCTTCCCTCTCGTCCTGGCCGCCCTCATCATGACATACTTACAGTCAGCGGAAAACCTAAAGGCAAGGGAGGCTTTCTGCAAGTGTCTGAATGGGTTTGACTACAGGGAGATCTAATTGATCATGAGGGTGTCGATGCAACTGTGAGACAGACAGCACACAACCACGTTGAAAGCGCGCCGAGGCCGTGGTTGTATAGAATGTACTCGACGTAGATAACTCTATAAGAAAGGGGAAAAGAAAAAGAAGACCAGAGAGCAGCAGGATACTTATGTCAGAAAGCAGACTGAAATTTAGGGCCAGGCGTCTTATGGAGAAACTCGAAAGTCGGGTATCAGATTCGTGGCGTCGTGGCTAATGGACCATGGTCAAGTCATGCTGGGCCTGGTAGGATTCGTGTTCATCTTCTTGTTTCAGGGAGGTACGAGCTGTACCTTGGACATCCAGGCAAGACATGTGGGTGATCATCTGTCGCCGGGACGAACGGGGGAGGGAATTAATCCTCCCCTATTGATAAGGCCAGCCAAGTGGATCGCCCACTCGTCTTGCGCCATTATTGTTTCCTCAATATTGTAACTACGCCGTAGGGGAGTGTGTATGGTGTACACAAGGTTGAACAGGGTAACTGCATACCAATGAAAAAATCCCTCAAGCAACAAGAGAGGGCACAATAGAGGGGGGGAGAAAAGAAAAAAGATAGTTGTAGTAGCTGAACATGCATACTTCTTAGATATTAATATTGTCAGCTGATATTCTCGTAGATTGGCAGGTGGCAGTTGATGAAGTGCCTTCTTTCTCAGGTGTGGACAGGCAACCAGGCCAAAAATACAGTGATACCAAAACGCCCCGAGCTAAGCCAGTCTGGGCCACCCGCAAAGTCAGTAATTGCAACGGCCGAAGTCTCGTTAGTTCACAGCGTCACCGGTTTCCACGGCGGAAGTGCGACCGAAGACGTCACGCGGACGGGGCCGTGGGCCGTGGCAGGAAGAAAGCGGTTAGATTGGTATCTTACGGCCACTTGACGGGTGAAAGCCTCTAGTCATACATCATTGCTGCTGCTGCTGCTTCTCTTTCTTCCCTTCCCCCCTCTCCATATATCCTTGCGATCTCGCTCGTCCTCCCTAATTATCTCGTTTGTTTTTCCTTACCTACCTTCCTCATCGGAAGATCTCTCGCTGGTTGATCCAATTGCTTTTCTCTTGCTCCCCCTTAATTTTATTCAACCACCCGGCGAACAGTCCTCGCATCTATCTGGACTCTACTGTACTCGATTCTCACTGCCACCGTCTCAGCTGGCTGATCCTTGTATTACTACCTACTCTGGTAAGTCCCTCCCCTAATCCCGGGCGATTTATCCCAGATCATCAATCTTCCCAACCCTACAAGCATGATATCGGCCTGCTGGGGAGCAATGCGAAACAGCTGTCTTCAAGAGCTTGAGGCGGTGAAAGTCAAGAGTGTAATCGGCTTCAGATGCAGCACCCTAGCCTATCTTATCTATGCGACCGCTTTTCAGCGTTTTGCTTGCATTGTCCCCTTGTTCTAGCGGAATTCCTCATCTCCCTGACCAAGGAAGTGGGCGTCCGGCGGACAGCTATTCTCGTTCCTTGTTCCCTGTCAATTGGGTCTTGAAGCTTGCTTCCAGCACAGAGCTGCCACGTACACACACATCTATCTATGCCTTGCAGGATTAAGCTGTTGTGTCATTCATTGATTTTGGCCTTTCTCCGAGCCTAGTCAGACTAACTCATCTCTTCTGAAGTGTCATTAATTTGTCTAGTCTTGTACTGCATATTTCCCCCTATTCGCCATGGCCACGCAAACAGGCCCCGTCGTTCCTCCTCGGCCGTCAAGGTCGCCTCATCAGCAGGGCCTTGCGCCCAATTCGGCGGAGATACCCAAAATCCCGCCTCGCCCCACTCGTCGTTTCGAGCGCTCGATTTCTCCTCTGCGTGATAGCTACGCCCCGTCGCCATTGAACGAACCGCCCAACGGCGCAAGTCTGAGCCGCACGGTTTCCAACGACCTGCCCCAACGCCCCCCGAGTGTAACGATACCTTCCCTTGGCGAAGAGGGCATCGAGTATGAAGACTTGGATGTCAGTAGTGCCTCGGAAGGCCACCATGCAACCCCCGCGGAGACTCGCAACGTGGGCAGCGATCTCAAGCTGCATGCGCCAAGGCCGTCGCTGCCGAATGCCAGCGCCAAGGCCAAGGTGCAGGCCGTGACACGCACGGATTCGCGCCAGGCTGCCGCGGCGGGTATTGGTGGGAGGGTTGCTTCTCCCATTCCCGATGAGCAGCAGGACCGCTCTGCGCGCTCGCTGCACTCCCGGACCGGCTCGCGAGCCGAATCCTCGACGGCGTCCGCCGAGCGTCGGCAGTCTTTCAACCCCGATGAGCATGGAATTCCGGAGATCGGACAGCGGGTCCCGATGTATCGCGACGCCGGTGATGTTCAGGCGCCTTCTCCGAGTCCTTATCAAACCGAGTTTGCTGGTTCAGGCCCGGGTCGCGCTCACAACCGAACCCGCAGTGGCCGCGAAGCCTCTCTCCCACCCGGTAGCTACGGCCTCCACGGACACGGGGTGCAGTCCAACGACAAATTCAAGAAAGCTTGGTACGAGAAGCACCCTGAAGAGTACGTCAAGGAGGAACACGGTCAATACGGGCCCGGAGTGGGGACTCCCCGGCCCGATTGGGCTTTGAGCAGCGATGATTTGAACAAGATTGTTCGTGGCTCCGCGGTGACTGGCTCAGGACTTGGTAGGTTTTATTCATGGCGGACAGTAGGCCTTGAGCTAATTTCGACGTCCAGGTACTTCTCCTGCCGTGACCGGAACCCCGGAAGAAGAGGTTGGATACATCGCCAGCGATCAGTACACCAACCACTTCTCGCCTCCTCCGCCAGAGTCCCGTCGTGACTCGCGCCCTGCTGTCGACTCCCCTCTACGCACGGAAACCACGTCCGCCCTAGAATCCGAAGCTCAGCAAGAGGCTTCTCACCAATCGGAGAAGCCCGGCGTCATTCACGTCGATGAACCATACCACCATCTGCACCACCCGGATGGATTTGCCCAGACTCCAGAGCCGGAGACTCTGACCCGTGGGGCTGGGGAAGACGGACCAGAAGACGAAGAACCCATTCTGGCTGCTGATGAGGTGCGCCCGGAATCCGCCTTCCAGCACGCTGCAGTGTCGCCTACCTTCGGGCGAAGGGAAAGCTTCGATCATGAGGGTAGAAGTCGTACCCCGAGCGCAGCCCATAGTCGCTCCAATAGCAGATCTACAAGTCTCCATGGCATGCCAACCCTTGCCAGGTTTAATTCACGCGACGAGCGGGAAGATGTCCACACGCCGCTCGAGGACGTCGAGGAATACGAGCCTTTGTTCCCCGAGGATGAAAAAAAGGAGCACAACGTCCTCCCGCCCGCCGAGCGCTTTAAAAAGCGGCCCGACATGTCACAACATCGGTTTCCTAGTCAGGATATCTGGGAGGATTCTCCTAACAGCTTGCAGCTTCATGCCACAGTCTCCACGCCAGACATTCCCAAACAGGATGTCTTCGAGACTCCGGAGCAAGAGTCATTCCGCAGAAGCCAGACGAGCCATCTTGATCCGCATAAAGTTGCTTCGCACATTTTAGATTCCGAGGACCAAGGGGAGAAGCCCGCCACCCGACCGGATGTTTCAAAGCAGCGATTCCCGAGTCGCGATATCTGGGAAGATGCGCCCGAGAGCCACAAGCTCGTCACCACAATAGAACCATCAGAAGAAGAGGCGAAGGGTCCGGAGGTGAAAAGCCCCGAAGTCCCGGCAAAACCTGCCATTCCGTCCCGACCTGCAAGACGTCCGCAACAGGCTCCTTCAGTGGACGCGTCCACGAAACCAGGCGCCTCACCGACCGAGAAGCGACAGCCGCCCCAAATCCCCGACCGTCCCAAGCCCCAGGTCCCGAACCGACCGGCCAAACCTGCTTTCCGTGGCGGCAATGATCTGGAAGCTAAAGACCCAGCGGCCAAGCCCAAACCTGCAGTGCCAGCCCGGCCTGGCGGTGGTAAAATCGCAGCTTTGAAAGCAGGGTTCTTAACCGACCTCAACTCCCGCCTCCAGCTTGGCCCGCAAGGGCCGAAGCCCCAGGAAAAGGAAGAGACACCTGCTGAGAAGGTCCCGCTGAGCGATGCTCGCAAAGGACGAGCTCGGGGGCCGGCACGCAGAAAGCCTGTAGTCGAGAAGCCTACCCCCAAGCTGCCGACAATTCCCGAGGTCAAGATTACCACGACTTGGAATGTCTGGCAAATGAGCGAAGGCGGCAGCCTGACTGTGGGCGATGAGGAGAAGACTGAACCTCGCGCTGTGACGCCGCCTGATACCTCCCTCTCGGATAATGCCACAATGGCGCCCCCGCTGGCCAAGAATCTGGCGGGCGAGTCGGCGGATCCTCCGCTCTCGCCGATCAAACAGGAGAATCAGGAAACCCCCGTCTCTCCGGACGTCACGACCAACGCCGAGCCTCAGCCACCTGTCGCCGACACGGCGCCATCACCACCAACCGAACCCGTCACGGTACCTTCTTTTAACGAACCTGTGACCAAACCGGAGGAGGCGGCCGCCGCAGACGCCTCTCCCAAAGCTGAGATTGAGGCCTCCGACCCCAATCACCTGTCTCCTACCTCTTCTCCTGAAGAGCAATTAGACGCCGCTGCTGAACAGCTAGCTGCCTCTGCCGACGGAAAGAGACTCTCGGACGGTGGATCTTAAAACCAGAGAAGCTTCCTCTTTTCTCGCCTGCGTGTATTTTTGTACCTGCTTGCCATGTTCCTTTCGTTTCTTTTTGATCCTCCTGTCTGTGCCAGAGTTTCTTCCCTGTCCGATCCATCGTAACAATAATGCACCCAAACAGTACATTGATTCTTTCACTTTCCGTGGAGCTGTTCAGCCATAGAACTATCCCAAAAGTATTTACTACTGATTGGCCTTTAAAACAAGGAAACCTCGCCCCATTCATTCAAGCATGTCTGTTTGATCTGGTCTCAATTGGCCTTGTTTGACCAGTATCCCACTAACTACTACCTAAGCCCCTAGCTTAGCTTAGCATAACTAACTTCATTTGGTCGATCTGTTCTGTTCTGCCCTGTTTTGTTTTGTGATCTGCTGGATGGACGGACCCCTTGTCTATTTATTACTTTATACATATACATTCATTCCTTTGGCATGAAACAAACACCACACACTGACTAGGCTGTTTGCCTTTATACTTATCCCAGCTAGCTGGTTAGGTTAGATTAGGTTACATCACTAGTAGGATTAGGATCTTAATTTGCATCAGTTTCTCATTTTAGACGTAGAGAGATGAAAGTACTAGACTGGATTGAGCAACTAACTTAACTAGCTGGTAACTAGTGGATTCAAACGCAGGCAAGGAAAAGAAACCAAGCAAGCAAGCAATCTTGGAATTCAATGAGCCCGAAACAAAAAAAAAAAAGAAAAAAAAAGAAAAAAAAAGAAAAGAAAAAAAAAGAAAAGAAAGTACGTGTATATGAATAGATTCGGTTCAGACTGGTTTAAAGGAGAGAAGACACCGTGATTGGTTTCAGCACACTTTGAATAGGGAACTTCATAGTTTTTTTTGGGTTTTCTTGTTTTTGTTTGTTTTTTCTCCGTCTTTTTAGCCATTTTTTTGTCTTGGTTTTCAATGATTGGGTATCATGAGCTTCTTAAAAGGAAACAAGAAAATATAAAGGTCTAAAAAACTCGTCAAGAAAGGAAAGAACGCAATGCAATTTTTCAACATGGCAAAGAAGAAAAGGAAAGAAAGAAAATAGCAATGATAAGAAAAGCAATCTTGCAATGATTTAGACAAAGCATCGACAACTGAATGGGATGCAAAGAGAGCAAAGATTGTAGAAAGAGAAAACCATATTATACTAGGATATTTTAACTGGCGGGCAGATTCTTCAGATCGCCCTTTCCGTTTTTGATCCAGTCGGGATCAATCAAACGCTCGCGTTCGGCGTAAAGTTGTTTATAGGCCCCGCGAATAGTTCCGTCGCTGACATGGGCCACTCCAGCGATCTCCTTGGCAGACCTTCCCTCACCCATCAAGTGGGCAGCCATGTAAATACAGGCGGCGACGATCGACAAGGGAGAACGGCCGGCCAGGTCTCCCATCGTCGTGACCCGATCAGACAAGGAGGACGAAGTACTGACAACGGGGTACGGCAGACCCAGGAGATTGCAGAATCGGTTACACAAGTCGCTGGGCTTGGTGGACGTAGTCGCGGTATAAGTGTCGTTGGGGTCAGGAACGCCTCCATTCGACACAACGGTGTTGTGTCTCTCCACATTTTGAGCCGTGAAGAACTTTTCTAATGCCTTGTAGATTCTTCCAATCTCCTTCCTCGAGACCTTCGTGACGGCAAAGATTTCCGTAAAAGTACGCGGGACCTTACATTGACGACAGGCGATAAAGATGCAGCCTGCGATGATCACATCCTGAGACTTGCCTTTGAAGGCCTTCGCATCATCGACGATCTTAAATAGATACTTGGCGGTGTCGGCCACGTTCTTCTGGATGCTGAACCCATCACATAGGGCACCGATCTCCTTGTAAGCGGCGAGGAGCGACTTGTTGGCCTTTTCGCTCGATTGCTTGTTCTGGGCACGGTACAGATCTCGGACACGGCCGGAGCCTCCGCTGGCAATTTGGGTTTCCAGTTGATCCCCATTCAGCAAAGGATTCGAAGCGTCTCCGACACGAGACGGGTCGTCGTTATTCTGATCATCATTGGAGAAAGTTCGCCATTCGGAGTGCATGTCAATCTCTCGATCGGCAAGCACTAGCCCACAAGAGGCGCACACGGTTTCATGGGATCCCGGGAAATCCAAATTAGGAGGCACTTCCTTGCATTCCGGGCAGATGACATGGGCCGAAAGGTTTTTCTTCCACTGGTTGGGATCTTGTTTAGCTGCAGCAGGCGTGACGGCAACCATTTTGTTCGACTGTTTCAAGGAACCGGTGCCTTTTTTATTGCGCTTGGCGATACTCCCTGCGATGAAAGGAAGTTTATGTCTGCGAGCACAAAAACGAAGGAAGAACGGCGAATACAGATTGCTGGTTATAGTTCACCAACAGGACTCGGAGGTGGAGATTGCTCTCGGCAGCGACAGAAAGGAGATGGCAACAGCAGCGTAATTCGCTCAGGCTCGTCACGTCTCTGTGTCACTTGTTTTCATAGCCATGTTAGCCTGAACGTACCCAAGCGAAACGAAGAAATGTCCATGCTTAAGAGATTTGGAGTATCTCGGTAGAACAGGTTCTGACGGTGGATCATGGTTGGCAGGCCAACCATTTGCCATCAACATCTCTTCTACATCTCACGGGGGGGACAGACAGGAGTTGATGGCAAAGTTGGTGAGATTCAGCTTTTTACCTTTTAGGGGGGCGGATGATGTATCGGACTTGGTTTGGGCTGCGAACAGTCCTCCGAGAGAAGGGAGCTTTTAAGTGAAGGCGGCTGGAAAGGCAGCCAGAAAATTCCTGATTCCCACTTCACTTTAACTTCCGGTTATCTCTTTGCAGCCACGCTTGTCCGACCGCGATGAACCAGTCAAGGTCTCCGTGAGTGGCAAGTGATCACGGAAATGGGGTCGTTCGAATCTGACAGAAAGGGCGCTGCAGCTGAGGTCGGTCTAGTCGAGTCGATTTGAGTCGAGTCGAGCCGGAGAGAGCCGACAGAGCAACGTCAAGATGTTCAGGTTCAGGACAAGAGGGCCGTGTCGAGCGACAGAGGACAGACAGACGGTCGAGATGGGGAGGAGGGGGAAACAAAGACGAGGCAGAAGGGACAAAGACGGGAAAGGGAAAGGATCGGGAGCCGCACCCCGCTGAGTCAGCCGCCAAGCCGACGACACCCGAACAAACGTCGAACGTCGAACCTCGTTGCTGCCGTCCTTCGCAGATTCCCTCTACCAAGTTCCCCTCCCTCCCTCCCCGTATTCACCACCTCCTCCCCCGTCGCGATGATGTCTCAGTCTCTCAGAGCGTCGGTAAGTTCTTCTCTCCCGCCTCTCTCGATGACCCTCCGCCCGTGCTGACTCTACCGTAGCGCTCGCTCTTCTCCCGCGTTGCTCGCCAGCAGGTTTCTTCTGCCTCTCGCCGCACCTTCCTGACCTCCGCCGTCCGTCAGGGTATGTGATCCCTCTTTTTTTCTTTGCCTCAGAGAAAAGCACCTTCTACTGTCGCTGTTCAACTACTGTGCGGTCTTCTTCCCTTGCCAGTACTCTGACACTCTCTCCAGCCGACCCCGTTCAGGAGCTGTACCTCCGCGAGCTCCGCGCCTACAAGCCTACCCCCGTCAAGCCCGGTGACGCCGAGGCTCACGTCCAGAAGTTCTCCGTCCCTGCCGCCCCCCAGTCCCCCGAGGAGGCCAACCTCGCCAATGAGCTGAAGTCCTACGAGAGCCAGGAGGTTGAGGTTGAGGGCCAGGCTGCCGCCGGCGAGGCCGCCCCCGCCCAGGAGAGCTGGTTCGAGGAGGAGCCCGAGGAGGAGGCTCGTGCCCACTAGGTTTATTCTTTCGGTCCTACTGGCAAGGTCTGGGGAAAACACCTCGGGACTTTATAGGATAATGGAAATGAGACCGGACGACGTCTCCCATCGGCCTTAAAGAAAAGTCCCGAAGGAACTTTGTAAATTAAACCTACTTTGGAGGATATGAACTTTTCTTTTTTTTCCCATACATCAATGGTTGTGTTTATTCCAGTTCACTGTAGAGCGTAACCGGCGGACACAAGGATTGGCGTGGCGGGAGAGCGGGATTGATATATCCGACTCGACTCGACCCGGTCGGATCAGCGGTGCCAAGTTTTCTACTCCCTTCCACCATGTCATGACAATCACCAGGACGAAAGGAAAAAGCAAACAACAGATGGAGGAGAAAAACGCCGACGGGCAGAACTGAAAGTTTGAAAGAAAAGTGCAGCCGTCCATGATGACATCGCCGTGCGACTCGAGAGAATTCCAGGGCCATTTTTAGCCCTCGCACATGGCGGGATTCCCAACCCTTCGAGACATGCTGGATCCCCCGGCCTTCGACGTTGACGGTCGTGTTTATGTTTACGTTTAAGCCTCTTCCCTGGGCTAGTCTCATTTTGTTTTCCCAGCTGAACTAAAGATGATATCCTTCTGCGTCCCCGGGGTGGAAATATGACAGCTCCATCACCATCTCCAGACCGCCATCCTCGGTCTTTTAGTTGGCTTTTCTTTGCACCTTTTTAAACTTTCGCCTCTATTTTGTTGAGCGCCCCAGAGGTACGGAGCACTGAACTGTCGGAAACGATCTTGGAAATTCGGTATTCTATTATTCTATCGAGAGGTGATCGATTGCGCCCCGGACTGACTCGGTCGAGCCGAGGGAGGGGCCTGAGATCCTAAGCACTAACGCAGCTCATTGTTTACGCCGTCAGAGTGGAATGCGGCGGTTGTTTCCCGGCGTACGAAGGATGCACAAGAAGTATGCGATTATTCGATTGTACGACATTCCAGGGAGTCGGACTCGCGGGATTTGCCACTGGCGACCCGGACCGTCGACAGAATTCCACATGTTCCTGTCTCCGGCGGGTTGGAGGGAATAGATCGAGACAGCTAAGCTCGACAGGTTGATTGATGACGGGCCTCCGTGGTGAGTAACGAGCGAGCTCGCCGAGTTGGGTACATGCACGCCATTTGCAGGATGACGGGTCAGAACTCAGGTGGAGATGCATGAGACGATCGACTGATAGTCTGTCTGTCTGTTTCTGGCTGGCTGACTCACTCTCAGGGCAAGACTACTCCGACGAAGGATTGGCATGCACGAGAGATGATGAAAGAAGAGAGAGGAATTTAACAAGTAGTAGAAGACGAGCCTCTGCGTATCCATGGATGAACGGGATGGCCTCGTATAGAGTTCATTACGACGAGTCCCTCGCAATAGTCCGAGTTTCCTGGCGAGTTCATGGCCGGTTTCCTTGCATTTTCCTGCGGTAGATCCGAGCCAAGCGAGAGGAATTAAAAATCAAAAATGGAATAAAAATTAATAACAATAATAGTCGATTTGATTCCGGTCGAGGGCGTACGATGGTGCTGGCTGCACGTATGATGAATCCATGCATGGCGAACGACGATGGAGACCGAGGAGAAGGAATTGCGACGATGATGACGATAATGACCTATTCCTGATGAATTGTATTAGAATAACTACTTCTCCTACCGGATAGGAAATATATTATCCTATACTCCCAGGTGTAGGTGTATACACCCTGGACTATACCTACACCATACACTAAACCCGGATACCAAACCGTACCGTAATTATTCGCTCCTCCGTTTTTCTCCCTTTTCCTTTTCCTTTTCCTTTCTTCTTCTTCTTCTCTTCTTCTTCCTCCTCTCCTCCTCTCTGTCTTCCTTTCTTCCTGTCAATCTTCCTTCTCCCTTGTTCCCAATTAATTCTCCCGGCCTCTCCTTCCTAACCTTCTCCCCCCTTCCCAGCCCTCTCGTTACCTCGGAATTTCCACCCTCCGTCGATCAAACATACGCCTTCCTTTCATTCGCTCCGGCGTTGGGCTAACGATCATCCCTCGTCTGGGGTATATCTTAAAGGGTCCCGACTAAGATCGCATCTATTATTGGGTTGTTAGCTTCAGCTCCTCTGTTAGCCAGCATTGACGTGGTCGCTCGCCATTCCTCCACCCCCCTTATAGATAACTTCTCTACCCACGCTTCCCCCACCCCCCGGTCCTACGGATTCCTTTTCCTTCGCTCCTCTGTCGACCTCTCGCGCTCTCCCACCCCTCACCACCGACTCTCGCTCATGGTTTAACTCTTGCTCTATATCGTCTTACATGGAGGAGCTGGTCTCTTCAACGCCCATTTCACCTACCATCCACTCCCGGCTGGGGGAGATGTTCATCTATTTAGGGCGCCCCCTTCTCGTGGATCTATAGTCCCGCATTGCCCGACTTTCGACCATGTCGTCGATCTACCCCGAGGCCGTGAACAACCAAGATGAGCAAGCCTTTCTATCCCGTGCCGCCAGCTACAACCATCTTCCTGACCTCGCCGCCGCCGAATCCTGCCCTCCCAGTCTGCGAAGGACCTTCTCCGACCTGACATATCCAAACCATTCCGATTCGCCATCCAAGGAAGATGTGGCCGCCGGGAAGGATATCTTGCGACGGACCTCCCTTCGTTCCAAGGAGAAAACCACCATTGCGGTCTCCCGGTTTACGGTTTCGAGCGAGGATTTGACCAATACGGTGGAAGGGGAAACCCTGGTTCCTCCCGCCGACAACTCGGAAACTCCTTCCCCAGAAACGCAAACCGAACCGGTGGTGGAGGCCCAGACAGCTGAGACGCGGCCTTCAGAGGCCCAGGCCTCGGAAACGCCAGCACCTCCGGAACCCATCACACGCCCCTCCAAGGCGCGCTCAATGTCGGGCAGACTCGTCAGCTTAGCCCGGAAACCTTGGACATCAAGCAGCGCACCGCATCGTTCGCCCGCGCCGTCCGCGAGAAGTGCTCGAGTACGGGCCTTGCGCACCGACGAGCCCTCGCCACCGAGCTCGCAATCCCCATCTCCAAAGAACAGCATTCAACTTGATTCCGCTCCGGCACCCGATCCCCCCATCCCCTCTCGCAAGCGGACTATTCTGAACAAACGCCCTCGGCGTCCAACGGTAGCCGTCGTGACGCAGAGTCGGGCAGACAGCCCCGGTACCCCTGGCAGTCCGTCGCCTCATCCGCTCTCGACAAAGACCTCGCTGGAGCGACTCACCGCTTCTTTCAATGTGTCCACCCCGGTGCTTCCCCCGATGCCCAAGTTGCCGCCCTCTGCCGCCAACGCTCACGGCCCCGTTGATGTCCCGCGGAAGAAGGACGAGCTCTGGGCTGTCTTCCGTGGCCTCGAGGCGGATTTTCAAAAGTAAGTACCGCGGGCCGGACGAAGCACGCCTAGTCGCTAATCGATGCAGGTTTCAAGCAAAGTCCAGCGCGTTGAAAGCCAATGTCATTCGCTCATCACTCCTTCCGTTTCTTAATCGTAATCATTCAAACCCTTCCTATAAATCTCTACGCCCCGAAGATCTAGACCGCCGAGTCAACATACTCAACAAATGGTGGACCGGGTTACTAGAGATGCTTAATGGCAAACACAACCAATCCATATCAGGCACGGATAGGCCGGTCTATCTCGAGGCTGTTGTTGGGATTATGACCCGACCGGAATGGAGGATCCCGTTTCCTGTGCCCCCGTCCGGTGGAAGGTCGCCTAAACCTTTGGAACACGCCTCGACTTCTATATCGGAGAGCTCAGAAGGCTCGTCGGGCTCCGATTTCCTCGTCGAATCAATCCACCATAACATCCGGAACATCTTCACGCAAAACCTGCTGTCTCAGATGTCGTTCGTGGTGGAGCGGATGTCCATGAGACACGCCCCCGCCAGCCTGGTGGCATTCTGCGGGAAAGCCTGCGCTTATGCCTTCTTTTTCTGCCCGGGTGTTGCAGATATCCTTGTGCGATTATGGAATACACCGCCCAGCGTGTTTAGGCGAATTTTTTCCCAGTCAAATATCGATCGAAGCAGCGGCACGCGCGCCTTCACCCAGGACCTGGCATTGAATTTCCCCGTGGCTCTGCGATCGCTAGCTTTCCACGCACATACTCCCTTGGTCCGATACCTCCGACAAAAGCCTGACGTTCCTCTGAGCACGGCGCAGCTCCCGTGGCAGAGCCCATGGGTCTCGCGGTGGTGCGGCCGTGACTCCGATCTCTTCTTCGTTTTTGTCAAGTACATACACATTCTGTATGCCGATGCCCTGCCTTGCGAGATTGAGAAAGGGCAGCGGCTTCTAGCGCCAGGTCTGCTTCCGGTTCATTCCCAGCTTCTCGTCGTTCTCGAGGACACTCTATACAAACAGTCCATCCCGCAAGCGCCGGAAAATACGCACACTGCCGCTGCCATTACATTCGATGACTTTATCGAAGGCGCCGATGCAGCCGTCTCGGCTCTTCCCCTGGGAACTGCTAACAGTCATCGCTCAATGGCCGAGAACCGATTGATTATTCTCCTTCGAGACTTTCTCTCCGAGTCTTCTGTCGAGCCGAAACGAGCCCGGCTATTATACGCTGAATCATTCTCCACAATCATGAAAACAGCGGCTCAGATGACGTCGCTTTTTGACCACAACGCATGCTTCTTACTGTGCGATTTCGTGGAAGAATTTGTTCCTATCATGACTCGTTACTCGCGCACATCGGACGAACCCGAGATTTTTGACTGGAAATTCTGGCAGCAAGTTTGCAAGCAGATGATTCAAAGCCACAATTCCCTGACTGAAGTACGGGTATTCTCGTTTCTCTTCGCCATCTGGGGTCCGTGGACTGCTTCCGAGGAGCGCAAGGAAGATCTCTGCCTCGGGTTCCTCTTGCATGAACCCTTGTTCTTTCACTATTTCAATCACTGGAGCCCTATGGTTCGTGCCTATTTTCATCGCCTGGTGTGTTGGAGGCTGGGAAGATTTAATGGCGATCCAACTCCTCTCGACTCGTAAGTATACACCTGCTTATTGACGAACAACCGCTGATCAAACCAGGAGAATTTATGAGACACTATCGAGTCGACTGCATCGGATTTGGCGGTACTTTCTTGCGTTCCAAACTCGAGCTGAAGAAACCGCCTCCGCGCTGCTGTCTTCCGCCCCCTGTACGCCGGCACCAGGACGCAGGATCATCATCATTCGATGTGATAACCCTCTATCCCCGGCAAATCTATTCGTATCTTTTGATCGTGTTGTACCCTCTATTCCATCCGAGCAAACCACCTCTACCAGCAACACCTCTTCACAGCCCGCCGATCCCATTCCAGCCCCTGAGATGCCTCCGCCCCCCAAAAAGCGATGGAATCTTCTGAAAGCCATGTTTGGCGGGTCATCGAGCGCCAAATCCAGCGGAGATAGCTCGCCTACGAGCAGCTCCGACGAGTCCGACACCAGTGGATCGGACACCATGGTGGCAGCCGATAAGTGCCTGGATGGTCACTGGCGCCCTCAGAATCACTCTGGGGAGCTCGCTCGGCCCAAAACCGCCCACCAGCCGTATTCCTTTAAATTTTCTCTGGAATGGATGGACCGGCCCCAATGGCCCGGTCGGAACAAGCGCCTGTACACTCCCTGCATCCCAGTTGCAGCTCAATTGCACCTACAACTTCGGAGCTCAGTAGCCAAATCCGACGGCTCCGAATCAACGTCCGATTCTGCATCCGCCAGACAAATCGAGGATGAGAGGAAGAATGACTCGGCTGTGGACGACACGGCTATGACTGGATCTGACACAGCTTCGGCTTCTGAAAAAGCAACCAGCGAGCCAGACCTTACGCTTGCGTTAAAGGACAGTCTCGTGGCAAGTAAGTACGCAGGCCGTGCTCTTGCTGAATGGGCGCAGATTGTGTCCGAATGCGATAGCTTCTTCTCTCGGAGGCGTGACGAAGGTGTTCCTTGCGATCGGATGGTCGAAACCCCAACGCTGGGCGTTGAGAGTTTCAGGAAATGAGTCGCAGTCGACAGTCACTTTGAGCGTGCATGTGCTGCTTAATCACACACCCTTTGTCCTTTCCCGGAGATTCGACAACAATTCTCGATTTTGCTTAGACTACATAGACCGTTTGTTTCTATTAGGCACGGGGACTACCATGGCGTTGATTGTCTTACCTTTCTCTATCTGCTCCCATTTTCCCTTCCTTTTTAAATCCTCTTATCTCGTTGGTCTTTTCACACATAATTCGGGACCGGGGAAGGCGTTCTCTTTTTCACTTTTTTCATCTTTGCCTTTTCTATTCCTCAATCATTCTCCGAAAGGACAAAGGGGTAATTGCATTGCTCAAAGGTCTTTTTTTTTTTTTTCTCCTCGACCTCCCTCAACTGGTCCTTGTTTTTTCATTTCTTTATCTGGAGCTCTTTACTATTACCAGCCAGGCATTGTATATATAACTCATTGGCGTCTGATACATTTAGCGGCGCACGGACAAGGGTCCTTTACTTCTGTTTTTTATTTTCTTTTCATCAATTGATCTCTTCATATCTAGGTGTTTCCGAGGCTGTTTCTCTATGTCTGTAATTCTAATGTTTTTTATTTGTGTGGTTGGTTGGGTGAACTCGAATGAGTTCCTACTACTTACTAGTCAAGTCATTTTTACTACTAAGAACTGTAGAACGGACATTCTACCCATAAAACTATACCAACGAAGAATCTGGTGTGCGTCTATTTCTTTCTCACCGGCTAGTTCTAGACTATAGCAGTCTAGTTTAAGTACACAGCAATTTCTAATGGTTCGATCTAATCGATCTAGACAAAAGGAAGATTAAAAGATCAGGCGAGGTTTGATCAGTAGAATTTAGCGGAGCATGTAGTTGCTCGTGCTGTGTGCATTCCCTTGCATTCAATTCTCTCTTCCTTAAAGATCAGGGTCAATACATCAGAAAGTTAAAAGAAACCGACGGACGGAATCAGCATTACGAAGACAAAGATAGAGAAAAAGACGAGAGAACATCGACGCCAACATCAACATCAATATCAACCAAGAAGGATAGATCCGGGCTAGAAGAAAAAACATAATTGATGACCAAAAACACCCGTTGTTGAAGAGATAGAACGATAGATGGACAATTAAATAGATCGATAGATGCATAGACAGATGGATATAGCACACGAAGGGAGATAGAGGGAGTTGAAAATGTATCAAAATCGAACGCGTCCCTCCCCTTTTCTGACAAGGCAGACAGACACAAACGAAATGGGATCACCGCTGTGGAACATTGACACGAATAAAAGAAACAGAAGATAAGGTGTTTCAAACACATTGACTTGAAATATGTCAATACAGGCGTGGCATAGAGTCTAAGAACGGCAGAGTGGTCTAAGATACTTTTTGGGGACAGGTGTTGTGAAATCAGGGTGCCTTTGTGCGGGGAAAGGGTGAAGGTTTTAAGCCATTAAGAAAGAACAAGTTGGTATGTCCAATGGGAAGAGTATATCAGAGAAAATGAAAAGGCCATCAAGGTCAGTTATGGAAGAGTTGATCGCTGGCGCTATGCAGGATGCCCGCGACTCGGTCCACCCATTCCTGGGTTTGGGTCCAGTTGCCTGAATCAATGCTGTCCCGAATAGCTGGGAAGAAGGTCGGATCATAGCCAGACCACAACTGGGGACCGAATATAACATGCTTGAATTGTGTGCGATTGGGTACCTGGAACGCAAATTCGTTAGCCTGGAACAGCCTTGTTCTCTAGTCCAAAAATCACTTACTCCGCCATCCTCTCGATCGTCCAAAAGATGGGTTTCAAAAGCAGCCATCCGAGCATTATAAGACATCCGTTGAATAGCCATCACGTTGTTTTCAAAGCCTCCGGATCCCCAGACTGCGTCGTGCCACACCTGAGCCCACTTTTGGAACTTAGCAGCGTCGCCCTGGAATTTCGCGGCGGCGTTATACAGAGCCTCAAAGGTGACGGAGACATCCCGACCAGCCTTATCTTTGTGGGCGATTGGAACCTTCTTGGACTTGGCGTAATTCTCCAGATCGGTAACATAGACGGCGATGCGCTCTGCGTAAATCTCCAAATCGAAGGGCAAGATCGGGCTGTCCGCAAATTGGAGGAGCAGCAAACCCCAGAACTGGCCCAAGCTCTTATGGTAACGGAATCCTGGGTCTCCGAACTTCGTCATCCAGTCCCAGTTCTCGTAACAACTATGATAAGGGAATGGTTGGCCGGTGAATCCGAAATCCACACTGGACGTTCCAGCTATGTCTTGGAAAGCGACATAGTCACTGCCAGACCCCAGAGGAGCCAACTGTTTCTGCTTCTTCTCCCAGATGTCTTTCAGCGTCTCGTTGGTGACCGGATCCGAGATGCGGCCCAGGATCTGCATGACGACACGCTCGAAGACCGGACATCCTGCTGCCTCGAAGTCCTGGCCTCCGACACCGACATCAACGTTAATGTAGGCATATGCATTATCGCGCAAGGTCTCCAGTTCCTTCTCGACGTGCTCCGTGGAGCCGATGATGTTGTACTCCTCTGCATCCCAGCTGACAAACTCGATGGTACGTAACGGGCGCCACCCCAGTTCAAGTAGCTCGCCAAACACCCGAACAAGCTCGAGGAAGACGGCAGTACCGCTTCCTGGATCGGCGCTGCCGAGACACCATGAATCCCGATGGTTGCCGACGATAATTTTCTTTTCCGGTTGTTCAAGGCCAACAATTCTTCCAAACACATTATAAATGGGCTGCCGTTCTACCTCGTCCTGGAGATTCACGAGATTGACGGTCGGTGAGTCCTCGTTTCCGGTCCACCATTGATCGATCTTCGGCACACCACCAACCCACTTCCTAGGAACCTTGGAGCCATGGCCTTTGAGAGCTTGTAAGAGTTTCTGGGCATCGCGCCAGGCCAACGGCAAGCTTGGGATACCCGTTAACCCCTGGCTTTCCTCCGGTTTAAGTCTCTTGCTCTCGTCTGGCGTGGATGCAAACCCTGGAGACAAGACGTCTCCGACAACCCATGACATCAAACTTACACCGCCTCTTTGTACGCCGTCTGCTGGCATATATCGCCCCTTTGGAAAGGGTTCCCCGCGCACAAAGCCGTCCTCCGACGGATCAGAGTAGATGATGCAGCCGACAGCACCTGCTAGTTCGGCGGCTTTAACTTTCAGGGCCCGATCAGTTTCAGACCCGTAATATCGAACCAATGCTATAGAGCCGTTCACAGAGACCCCCTGGTCTGCCAGGTATTGAAAGTCGTCTTTGGAACCGTAGTTCGCATACACAAGCGGTCCCGTAACATTCCCCGATTTCGAGTGACCGTGGAAGACCGGTGTTCGCTGATTGTCGTCTTTGATGTCTTCCTCGAGCTTCGCTTCCCAGGCCAGGTCTGGGGGGTCGACAATAGCCACCCTCCTTCCATCGGAGGTGGGATAGTTGAGGTATACCTGGAACTCCTCCATTTCGATCTCATCCAGTCCGGCGTTCCGGAATTCTTGTTCGATCCATTCCGCCAACACGTAGCTTCCTTCGGTGCCAGCCATGTGAGGAAACTGTGTGACCCTTCTCAGATTCTCTGCGATGTTCGTTTCGTTGATGTGGCCCTGGACAAAATTCTCCACGGATGCTGCACTGTAGGACTGTCCCATAATGAATCGGGTGTTCATATTGAAGATATCCGAAACAAAGAACACATAAACGACGGTAACCACTAGTAGCAGGCCGAACACACGCAGCATGATCATGCACCCGTGGTTTTGCATTGTTGAGCGAGCGGTGTCGAGGTTGACGGTGAAACGGAAGCTTGGAAGGTATCGACGCAGCGGGAGGTGTATCGAGGATAGGGTGCGAGTCAGACTGTTGAAGCGTTTGGAAACTTGAGCGCGCAATCTCGAATGCCGGCTTGGCCGTTGATTCGGGTCCTCCACGTCCATCTGAGCGAGTTCCCGCTGCAGGTCCTCGAGGGAGCCTCTTTCCGACCCCGGGGCCGACGATTCGAGGTCGTCGACGCTATTCCGAGCGGACTCGACGGTGGGAGGATGGTAGCCATGAAATCGGGATCGGTGTCCCTCGTGTGTCGTATTAGCGTCGGCATCATGGAGTAAGCCCTGTCTTTCGGCATGGCTGCTGGGTTCGTCGGGATCATGTTCGGATCGCGACGAGCTCGGGCGAGAGGCAGTAGCCTCATCGTAGGTGGGGATAGGGAGTGCTTCGTATTGGATTTTATCGTCGTTGCCCATGGTGGCAGGTACGGGGCTCCGGGGAGCCGTGCGAGTTGGACACAGTCACAGATACCGGACTAAGCGGGATCATGGTCTGGAAAGGAAAGGAGTGACAGTCGCAGACATGCTCCCCGATTGGAGGGAAGATCCAAACGGCCGAAAGGGGCAGCGAAAAAGAAGGGAAGTTTAAGGGGGGGAGGTTAGGTGGAAGGCGAGAGGGGGGCCGAAGAAGGCGAATTCCGGGCAAAAAGGAGTGAGGTTATCGAAGCGTCGCAGGCGGCGCTGCTTTTCCCCAGACCGTCACGGAACAGGCGTGGCGCAGGCCAGACAAGAGAAGTGACCCACGCTCGGCACTCTGATAGTAAGGAATAGTAAGCAGGCAGAAGGGTTTTGGTGCGCCCACAGGCTGCCAGGCACTCTCATCCCCGTAGAGATGCAGGTCCGACTCTCCCATCATGATGGAGATGAGAAGCAACAATGAAGGATGGAATTGCACTGACAGGATGGAACAAAGATAAGGAAGCTCAACGATTGTTTGGAGGGGGAGGAAAGAGAAAAGGAAAAGGAAAAGGCGAGACTGCAAAATTGGGAAAAGAGGGACAGACCAAAACGGTGACGGGGTACCGGTATTGATACATCTCTTACAGTTACATACCGCGGATGCCCCTGGCAGTACAGCCACAGATACTTGTTCTTCTGCCCGTACTACCCCTCATTGCAGGTACTCTTCCCTCTGTGACCATACCAAGGCTGCCGTCAGGTACTGTCATAACGTCTCATCACTAGGAACCGACGACCGTTTGATCTACAGGGCAGTCCTAATGGGCGAGGATTCAGCTGAAGAGAAGGCTAGTTCAAGCCTCCAATGCTCAGTGTGAGGTTCTCATGGCTTGTCCACGGCAAAATCCTTGCACCATACGATTTAACCAACAATGTCTGGCGAAGAACTTGAATTGACAGATATTCATCGTGCGTACTGTATATATACTCCGTAGTCCCGGGGTATATATCTATCGGCAAAGACCAGAAAGCCTAGAACTATAGAAACCCGAGGGCTCTTTTCTTTCACGGAGGACCCAACCCACTGACCACTTCCAAGACGATTTCCTTGCCGGCTAGACCGGATCAGCCGTTGAACGGTGACGACTTGTCGCATGGTCCTGGACTCCCGGTCCAGCAAGCGAGGCACACAAGATATTGCAATGGGCCGCTACCAGCCGGAGACTCAAGACCGGAAACGCAGTGGAGTCTTCTGACGATTCTACCTACTCGATTGATCCGAGTCCGCGTGTGGAATGAGCATGACGAATAGGTACCCCCCTTGGCATTCCACCTCGGGGTTGAATACCGCAAGAGGTTTTGGCAGAGATCGGTTCTTTCCGTCGGGCCATGTATGTGCATGTATTCCTAGTGTCCCACTTTCATTTTGACAACCTAGTTACTCCGTAATCACCGAATCAGTCCGTAGTCGGGGTTTCTTCGCAGGGAGTGGCATCCACAGGAATCCTTGTTCCAGACGAAGTTCTCGGCAAAACGGAGCCCGTTGGCCCTTGTTTCGCCCGTAGGGATCCACATGATAAGATTGATTAATCCTGGAATAGATTTTTATTATCGTTGGGATGGGCTGACCGGCCTGCATCGCTGTCGTGCAGAGTGGACAATATTATCTAAAAAATGACGTTGGGGGAGGGGCTCGTTGATATGAAGAAAGGAAGAGATGAAGAGATGTGAGAGTTGGGAACGAGGAACCCGACGGGAACCTGATATCGCTCCTCTTGATTATTATTTGTCTTTCAATTTTTTTTCTTTTTTCTGTTCAAGGCTATGTCAGCCTCGGCCGACAATCCAATTTAGTAGTTCGACACGAGGGGACCAGGAAGTCTACTCCGTAGTATGCTAGCATCATTTGATAGGGACGAGGATCCACGGATTCAGCAAGCTCAGGAATACGACGGCTGAAATCATTGACGCTCATATCGGCCAAATACATGATGCCGATTCTAAGGTGGCAATTTCTGATGGCCTGATAGACCGTCGATCATGCTTGCATTGAGATTTATGCAGTATGTAAGTCTGCGTACAGAGTACTGTGGTATGTATGTATGTATGTACGTATGCATGTACTCTGTCGGAATGTAGATGTGTATGGGAGTACGAGAGGTACTCCGTCCTACGCGGTCCATTTATCGTGATTGGGGGGGGGGGGGTTGACCGAGGAAGCATTCCCAACCATCTAGGTAGTCTCTCTCGTTGCTTTCACCAGCTGGTCAGGTCGAGTCCGAAGTATCGCATCTCGGAGGTTCGCGATAGGACGGGAACATTACGAGGAAGACGAGTCGCACGAAGAGTCGGTGAGGTCAGACCGGAGGAAAGCAAGCAGACGAGAAAAAGTCGAAAAGGGGCCGAAGTCAGAGACGGTCAGGGGCTTTCCAGACAACGCAACGAGCGCAGAAAATGCAAGAATTGTCTCATAGAAAGGGCTTCTAGTATGTAGAGTACCGTGTATATCCCATCCTGGAGAAGCAGTGGGGATTTTTTTAATCTGTTGATCCGCTCGGGTCACGCCTGGATCCAGTGGGCTATTCCCTGTTCGGTCACCCCGCTAACTTCTTATGGTCAAGGGTATACACCTCAGGCTGCGATAACCCCCCGCCAGCCCGGGAAGGCGCCTGAAAGTTGCCTGGATTAAAAAAAAAAAAAGGGACCCGCCTGGAAGCAAGACTAGCCGATAACGAACCAGCTTCGTTCACGTTGGCTTTGCAAGGGCAAGAATTATTATCTTATATCTACACCTCACTCGCTCTCTCTCTCCTTCCTTCTCGGTCCTTTTTTCTCTCTCTCTTCTTCTCTCTTCTCCTCCATATTTCCCTACTTGACATCCTTCCTCCCCCTCCCCCTTCGTTTATACTCCTGTCAAATCTCTCCAATTCCTCTTCTTCCTGATACCCCTCTGTGATTCTTCCGCCCCTCGATTCCTACCCATCTTCCCCCCTTATCACACCGCCATTATGTCTGCTCGTCCCCAGAACATTGGTATCAAGGCCATTGAGGTCTACTTCCCCAGTCAGGTATGCCCTTCCTGGAGTCCTCTCCATCCCTTGTTCTTCAACCTCGAGAACAATAACAAAGAAAGCAAAAGTGGGGTTCAGGGCTAACGATTGTTTGCAGTGTGTCGACCAGTCCGACCTCGAGAAATTCGATGGCGTGAGTGAGGGCAAGTACACAATTGGTCTGGGCCAGACCAAGATGAGCTTCTGTGATGACCGCGAGGGTACGTTTATTATCCACCCATCCTCTTTCCTGGACTTTGGACCATGTTTTCCCTTTCTTTCTTTTACCCCTGTACCCTCCTGGGGCTACAATGCTAACAATTTCCTTGGACAGACATCTACTCCATGGCTCTGACCACACTCTCCTCCCTCATCAGCAAGTACAACATCGACAAGAACAACGTTGGCCGTCTGGAAGTTGGTACCGAGACCCTCCTGGACAAGTCCAAGTCCGTCAAGTCCGTCCTGATGCAGCTCTTCGCCCCCGAGAACACCAACATCGAGGGTGTCGACACCGTCAACGCTTGCTACGGAGGTACCAACGCCGTCTTCAACAGCATCAACTGGGTCGAGTCCTCCGCCTGGGACGGTAGAGATGCTATCGTCGTCTGCGGTGACATTGCCCTGTACGCCAAGGGTGCCGCTCGCCCCACCGGTGGTGCTGGCTGCGTTGCCATGCTGATCGGCCCCGACGCTCCTATTGTCTTCGAACCCGGTCTCCGTGGCAGCTACATCACCCACGCCTACGACTTCTTCAAGCCTGACCTGACCAGCGAGTACCCCGTTGTTGACGGCCACTTCTCGCTCAAGTGCTACACCGAGGCCGTCGATGCCTGCTACAAGGCCTACGACGCTCGTGAGAAGACTCTGAAGGAGAAGGCCCAGAACGGCAGCAACGGCACTGCCCAGGACGACAGCAAGACCCCCTTGGACCGATTTGACTACATCCTGTACCACGCTCCCACTTGCAAGCTGGTCCAGAAGTCGTTCGGTCGTATGCTGTACAACGATTACCTCGCCAACCCCTCCCACCCCGCCTTCGCCGAGGTCGCCCCCGAGCTGCGTGACCTGACCTACGACCAGTCCGTGACCGACAAGAACGTCGAGAAGACCTTCATGGGCCTGACTAAGAAGCGCTATGCCGAGCGTGTGCGCCCCGGTTTGGACGTGGCCACCCTTTGCGGTAACATGTACACTGCTACCGTCTACGCTGGTCTGGCCAGCTTGATCTCCAACGTCAAGTTTGATCCTGCCGAGGCCAAGCGTGTTGGAATCTTCTCCTACGGCAGTGGTCTTGCCGCTTCCATGTACAGCGCCAAGATTGTCGGCGACGTGTCCTACATGGTTGAGAAGCTCGACCTCCACAACCGTCTCAACGGCCGAACTGTTCTGCCTCCTCAGGCTTACGATGATGTAAGGATCCGTTTTGCCCCTCGTAAAACCTGCCCCTTGACTAATGCACGATTAGATGTGTGTCCTCCGTGAGCATGCTCACCTGAAGAAGAACTTCAAGCCTTCTGGCAAGACGGAGACGCTGTACCCCCAGACCTACTACCTCTCCGAGGTTGATGACATGTTCCGACGCCAATACGAGGTCAAGGCCTAAGTTGTGCCTAGCACTTCATAGACCTTGTTCACTTTCTTTGCTTTCTGTTTTGAACCCGACCGGTTCTCTTCATAGACGGTTCACTAGACTTCCTCCCTCGGCACCAGGATCTTAAGATTCACGTACAGAATTTAGGTCTGGTGTGACGATGGTTTCTGTTTGTCTTTGCCTTGTCTGGGTTTTCGGGGATTGGTACCTCCTATACAGGAGCCGGGATGACGACTATGATGATGCTCTTTAGATAAGGTGGCGCTGGAAAGCTTCCGGATTCACGAGAAGATCTTTAACGCTTCTTTTTCTTTTTCACTCTATTGATATCAATATAATTAATCAAATCTATGGTTTTACTCTTACAAATATTTTGCATTTTGCCTTCTCTCGCACTTTGATGATTTACTTATCGAGTCATCGTATTAGAAAGGTACCCTGCCCTTAGTTAACTAACTAACTAGCCAGTCTATTAGCTTAGGTAAGCAACGAACCCTAGTTAAGCCCTCTTAGTTACTACTTCAACCTCAGCCTCAATCTCACCACTTCGGTGGAACCACCAGAGGGTGCAAAGATAGATCCTGCAGAAAGTCAAGACTGCTGCAGACTCAAAACAAACTATCTTCCTTTATTCAAAAATAGCAGTTTAGCAGGTCGATTTAGATCATGTTTGTCCACTCCTTACCCGCCGGCGCTCCCTATCGTGCCGTCACCCATCTTCAATCTTCCTTTTCCTCCCCGGCTTGTCCAATCCAAAAAAAGTAGTGGAGGACAATTTTTTTATTTCGGTCATGCCCGATGGTGATTTGTCCGCCGCATCGAAGCCAAGCATGCTGCAGGTTCTCAAGAAAGAGGAGCCACTCAGCGAGCCTGGCGCCTACCTGGGTCGTGCGAGCCGGCGCGTACGGTACCCAACTTCATTTGCTCCGTGCTATGGGCATCGTTCACTCAGTGGGTGTATTCTTAGGACTCGGGTATCTTGAAACTATTGTACCTACTGCTGTGGCCCTGGCGCTTGGTCAAACACGCTTTCATTGGTCTGCACCCGCGCTTTCTTCGTGCCTCTGTTGCCGTTCCTCTTCGATCTTTGGCGCCGCGAAGTGCAATCACCTTACTTTCCCCAGGGACCACATCTTGTGAAAGTATGCCAGTCATTTACTTCCCTCTTGCCGCCCATTGATACAACTCCAAGGCGTGTCGCTTATGGGTAAGGACGAGATTAAATTAGCAACATTTGACCGAGAATAGCATGAAACGCGAATGCTGCCGATTATAGATCTTATTTTAGATCACAACGAACCATTTCCTAGACGGGGAAAGCCTTTGATCTCGATTAGATCTGAAGACCTGCAGAAGATGCAAATTTAGCAACATTTTGACGCGCGACTGTAGATGAAACAGTCATGCTGGCCGTCAATGGCTCTGAGGATCGTTTGTTTCGCGCATCATCCGATATGCCGGCAGCCCATATGTCGATTCCCTCTCGATTGCGCTTCTGGACACCCCAGGAACCCGGCGGTTTGGCGTTAAGATGGAGCATAGATTGTGTTTCATGTTGTCGTCCCCTGCTCCTGTTTACCGGCTATCTCTTTTACATCGGGGTCGTGTGGCTCCAGGCTTGAAGAGCATTTAACATCCAAACATTTCCGGTCTGGATATGCAAGAATTCCTCGTGGCAATTCATACAAGCAATGAACCGCCTGTGATTCACTGTTCAAGTGCTGCGCAGTTGCCCTTTCTATTTTGAACCAATCCATTCTACTGGCAAAGACCATTCCTTTCCACATACCACTGGGAGCTGGCTCTTCCAAGAAGACATTGATCGACCTACGGCCTACTGCTTTCTCTTCTAAAGCTTTTAATATATCATCATGTCACTTCACTACTCTCACTATCGGCCAACCACTCCCCCAGGCCTGCCAATGGGGGAGTATATCCGGACCGGTGGTCACAGTCGCAATGCGTCTGACTCATCCGTGTACTCTAATGACTCGTCCCCATGGTCTGCGGTCACCTCGACCACCAGTGCGAGTGATGACTCGCCGCCCCGGCATCACCATGGACCTACTCTACTTCCAAAGATCAGATCGCAGGACGTGATAATCGAGCCGGCCCCCGTTGGTGGCCAGCAACGTCAACGTCGTGTCTTGTCAAACACCCGAAACCCACCTGGAACTCTTCCATACCCTCCCAGCCGGGCTTCGGGGCAGCGCAATGCCGGAGGATCCGCAGCTCTACTATCTCCGGTTTCACCGATGTATGCTTCCTCTCACCACGGTTCGACATTGTCATCCCCCGTCAGTATCACGCCGTCGCACAAGCGCAAAACTTCCAGCGGGCACTCTCGCTCAGGGTCTTGCTCCAGCATCGACGAGGCAACTTTGAACCGATACGGCTACCCCACCTACCGGCAGCTGCCTAGGTACTCTATACCGCAAGCCTCTCCCACAACGCCGGTGACGCCGGTTACGCCTAATATCGTTGTATACCCGCCCTACACACATTGCTCGCAAGGCACCGCGCAAGTCAGTGTTCGGACTTGTACTCAGGTGCCGCTGGTATTGCCCGGCTCTCCCTATGGCTACTCTCAAGTACCGAGTGCCCAGAGCTCGCCCGTCGGGTTTGTCCACCCCGGCGATGGACTCCACCCTCAATCCACCAATCTACTTTGCTACTTGACCGCACCAACGCAAGCTATTTGTCTAGTGCGGAATGTGAGCGTGATCCCTACCCGGGGAATGCATGACTACTTCTGGTGGGACGTCCGGAACCTGCGCAGCTGGACCTCTTTTTCGCTGCGCACCTTCAATTCTATCAATGGTCTCACCAAGCTTCTGAAAACCACCATCTCTTCGCATTTGACGCCGCCCACAGCGGTATCAAGCTCTCACCTTGCACCCGACTCCGAGGCCTCCTTGGTGAGCCTGATCAATGATCTGTATGCGCCCCGCGTGAACGCAGCTCTAGCTGTCTCCCAGGGGACCGAGCATTTGACGCTCTACCCGGCTCCGGTCCCGCGCACCACCGCCAACAAAAACTACGGGGGACCACATTTCCTGGCCAACTATGCCTCGGACAGCGAACAAACGAGCTCTGGGTTGCCCCGCGGCCGGCTCGTTGGCATCGTCAAGACCTTCGACCGTTGGAACACCGGGATGCGCAACGAAGCCCCCCATCGACGAGTTGAGTATCTCAATGGCCTGGCGCACCTTCAGCGGTGCATGCGCGAACACTCCTGTCGGTATGGCTTCATCATCACCGAGATCGAGCTTGTTTGCGTCCGAGCAGGGTGCGACGAAGGCGACGACGTACCCTACTTCGGCTTCTTGGAAGTCTCCCCTCCCATCCCCACGAAGATTGCCGCGGGACACGGTAGCAGGAGCAGAGGCTCGAGAACATCAGAACCCTACACCAGTTCCCCGACGCCGTCCAGCGACAGCTCGCTAGCCAGCCAGTCTCCGCTCCTCGACGGAACCCCGGAACCGGCTCCAAACGCCCTCGATGTACCCCTGACGGCCAACCTAGCGCTATATTTCTTGCTGATGCTATCAAAGTCGGTGCCCTTGCCGTCTCAGCCGTCGGCGCACCTCAACGTCGGCGGACCGGGGGCATTGACGCGACAGCGTATCTTACCGGAAGGAAAGGACAGTTGGATCCCACAGCCGCAAATCGGCGAGCGTCGCGATGCGAAGAGAGTGCGCGGTTGGGTATGGCCGCAGGATGCCTGGCATCGACGCGAGGGGGGAGGAGTTCCGCGTTCGCGAGCCGGGGAGCCCAAACCGAAGAAATGGCACAAATGATGTATGGAAAGGGAATCTGTTTCATCTTATGTAGTTCTGTTGATAAATTCTATTTGGGATAATAATTATAATGTTCAAAAGGTCTCTGCGAAATAGAATACCTTTCTCTACCCACAGTGGACAGCGTCCTTACCCGTTCCCGCAGCAGCGCCTATTGAGAACAAAGAACAAAGAACCCAAACAGCATAACTTGCAAGGTAGTTAATACGAATCGTCACGATTACTCTTCTATTCGATACTCCTCATCTTCCCCAAGGTCCTCGTGACGCCAATCATGCCGTGGACCGTGCATTGTTTCCCATCTCGAGCCACTCCCAAGGACCTTGGGATCCGAGTACCCTGTGAGAGAGGATCACCGAGGTAAGGTCATCAGCCACCGCGCATTCTATAAGAGATGCCATGAGTAAACGGACGCAGGGATGTGAATCGAGTCTTCATACACCTTTCTATCGTTCCTAATAATATCCTGATCAACCCGACCCTTATCGATCATAACCACAGCCTCCCACCCCGCAAAACAAGAACACTAAAAAACAATGGCGGGCCCTACAACAACCACGGCCTCATTCCCCGATCTCCTCGATGTAATCGTCGTCGGTGCCGGGCCCTGCGGCCTGGCCGTCGCAGCGCGCTTGAACGAAGAGACCCCCTCCGCCATGTTCACGGACGAAGAGCATCAACGATACCACTGGATCAACAAACACCGCGGCCGAATGGCCCTTGTGCGCTCACACCATCGGAAGATGAAGGGAGTCAAGGCCGAGAAATGGCAGGGTTTCGATTCCCGGCGCGCGAGTCAATCCCATCATCCCTCTGCCTCGTCATTATCGTCCTCGCCCCCGCCGTTGTCGTCTTCGCCGACATCGTCCGTATCTGACATCGACTTCGAAGATGAGAGTCAGCACAAGGAAGGCGCCTTGTCGATGATGGTGCTGGATAGCACGGGTGATAGATGGATGGAGAGATGGAACCGGGCGTTCAAGACCCTGGAGATCGAGCAGCTCCGGAGTCCCATGTTCTTTCATGTCGATCCGAGTGATCGGGACGGTATGTTGGCGTATGCGCAGGAGACGGGCCGGGAGAGAGATCTCTGGGAGATTTCCGGTTGCGTGGGGAAAGAGTTGAGCAAGCATAAGAAAAAAAAGAAGTTACAGACGAAGTCCCAGTGAGAGATACCCTCTTGTTCTTGATCAGCTCTTTGAGAATGCCGATGGCTAATACGGGATATGACACTGTGTAGGGTTATCGGAGAAGCGGAGATCGATGAACGAGATCGAAAAGACTACTTCTCTCCGTCAACGGGCCTCTTTTCCGATTACTGTTCTAGCATCGCATCGCGGTACGGACTCGACAATCCCGGCAGGATCTCGCAGTGCGAGGTGGAGGATCTCCAATACGACGTCCACCCGGAGTTGTCGCCATCTGACAAAATATTCACGGTGACTACGACCGACGGAACGAAGCTCTATAGTAAAGCAGTAGTACTGGCCATCGGACCCGGTCGAACGAAAATCTTTCCGTTCAAATTGACGAAAGAAGAGGAGCACGGGGCCTGCCACAGCGCGGAAATCCGGACCTTCCCCAGTCCCAACGTCAGGCAGAAGATCCAGCAACGGCAGCAGACTAACCTGGTCGTCGTGGGCGGAGGCCTTTCCTCCGCGCAGATAGTGGATATGGCCCTTCGCAAGGGGGTCAGCAAAGTGTGGTTGCTCATGCGATCAGATTTCAAAGGTGAGAAGCCAGTCATATCTGCCTCGTAGCCAGGGCATAACTGACCCGCTCTCACAGTCAAACATTTCGACATCAGCCTGTCCTGGATGGGCAAGTTCCGCAACTACGAAAAGGCCGCGTTCTGGTCGGCCGACACGGACGAGGAGCGGCTGGAGATGATCCAGGCGGCGCGCAACGGAGGCAGCATCACGCCGCGGTACACGAAGATCCTGAAGCAGCATGCAGCGCGCCACCGGGTCTACATCCATCCACGCACGGTGATCAGCGGCCGAGAGTTCTGCACCGCCTCGCAAACCTGGCGTCTCACCACCGATCCACCCATTCCGGACCTCCCTCGCATCGACTACATCTACTTCGCGACGGGCATGCGGGCGGACGTCACGGAGCTTCCGCTGCTGCAACGCATGAACCGCGAGTACCCGATCGAGAGCAAACAGGGATTCCCATGTATCACGGAGGACCTGATGTGGAAGACCGACGTTCCGCTGTTCTTGACGGGACGCCTTGCTGCGCTCCGTTTGGGACCAGGTGCCCCCAACCTGGAGGGAGCGAGGCTGGGAGCCGAGAGAATAGCATGGGGGATGGAGGAGGTGCTGGGACGGAAGGAATCCGAAGAGAACAACGAGGCCGAGCGGTCGAAGGAATGTTTCTGTGGCTTGGGGAACCGATACGCTGAGTTGGGCGAAGTGAGTTGGTAGTTGCCATGATTAGCCCTAACTTGGGAGTGAGATAGAAGTGGTTAGCTGTAGTAGCAGTACTACCTTAGGCACTCGTCAATTATTTTAATTACGGTACGTTTAATTAACGAATAATACCAGATTTATAAGTATAATCACGTGCGATACAGACCATGATAACTGCAACAGACCGTAAGTGACCATACCAGAACGATGCTGCCTAAGAGGAGAGAGTACTTCTCTTCCCTCCGCCCTCTGCTTCTTCTCTTCTCTCTCCCTCCTTCTCGTCTCTCCACTTCGCATCGTCGTTTTCTTATCTAATCCAATCTCAAGCTTGCATTAAACTTTCTAAGCCTCAAGTCATCCCCCCCACCTTAGATGCCAGTCTAAATCAGCTTGCCTGGTGGAGTGAATGTTTACCGCTGAGTACAATACATCTGTCATACCAGCCACTATGAGATAAGAATGATTAATGAGACATCAAACCGCAGTCGCAACACACGCGATCCAATCCAAAGGACCGATACCTCCATGGATATGACCTCCAAATGATTCCAGTATGATGGAATTTGCACCGCCACATTCTTCAGCCACATCGGGGAGTCCTCGTGGAGTTGCGCCACAGTCAGGGGGCAACGTCACATCGAGGGCAAGCTACTCAGCTTCAGGATGGAAAGCGAGAAAAAAAAGCATAATTCGCGGAGTCTTCCCATTGGTGCTTATGACGCAAATTAATACCTCTGATGTGCACGACACGTTCTGGACTTAATGAATGAGGCGCAGCCGACCGCCAATTCGCTTTCGCTGGAAACTTGGCGGCAAAAATCTCGACCCTGCTCCCTCTACTCCATACACCTAGGTTTGGCTTCCCTGCCAGCCAGTCAGAGAGTCTCATGCGCTATGCCATGTATGCTGATCGGCTCTCCATCGCGCGATTGGCGGCGTTGGAGCTCTCTCGCCGCCGTCGCTTCATTACCCGCCCCGGTTTCTGTATACGACCAACATCCCGTGCCTAGTCGGCGCCTAACCAATTGTTGATGCTTCCACTCAGAGCTCGAGATCAAGATGCGAGAATGAATAGCGGCGGAAGGGGGGAAGCCCCCGCTCTTTTTTTGCGGTTAAAGGAGGGTGAGAAAAAAAAAAGAGGATCTCGACCCTCACCCCCTTTTGACTTCTCGGGAGATTGTCTAAGGAGGCTGTGCAGAGGGGAAAGACGTCCCGGACATGTTACCCAGGTCTTTTGGACCACTCATGTTGGCGCTTAAGTCACTCGCCTCTCTTGTTTCGTCTCCCCCCCCTCTCACTAGAGACAATGCAGACGAGAGACCCTGCAGAGTGACTCCGACTTGCCTTTCGTGTCCATATCCTCTCACTGGTACACTTGGCAACTACCCGTTTTCGCCTGAACTGCACCGAGGAAAGGAAAGGCGCAATCGAATAAGGAACTTGGACCCGCAAATATTTATTATCCTGGTTTAAATTATATTTTGGAAATAAAACGTAAAAAGGGAGGATCAGAAATAACCTTTCGACACACTAATCTCTTATGCAAACGTTACTGGAGACTATCACATTAGGCAGTCTAGGCATTTTACACAGCCTCAAGAGAAAGCAACTAAATAAAAGAACACGCACATGCCCTTAATTTTGAGGGATTTCTGATGCATACCTCCTGTTAATGTCAAAACCATCTCGGAGTCTCTATATTTTCATCAAATCACATTGTTCGTCGGTCGCATCATGCCGACCCCAGACGATTCTCGTCAGGAAGGGTTTCTGGATCCTTTTGCAGGGATTCCTGCCACAGAGGTATGTAAACCCGTGTCAGACCTGGTCCTTGCCCTCTGGTGAGAAATGGTCCGATCTCCATGATACTCATATACCCTCCAGCAGTCTTCCTCCCCCAACCCATGGCGCACCGACATCTCCCCTATACAGCCATCGCCGTCAGCAGATATGGCTGCCACCCTAGATACTAACCGGTTAACCGTCCAACATGGTCCACCTCGCACGTCACACTCGTTAGATGGCGAGACGCTACGTTCACGGGCAGATTCAACCATCTCAAACGCTGATACCGCCGTCCGGTCAAGGGCTAACTCGGCCGCCACCACGGCCATATCCAGCAACATGACATACGACGATGTGTCGGTGGCCGACGCCCTGAATCCAGACGCCCGGAATGAGAAGGACTTTCAAGTGGAAAACAACAAATTTGCCTTCTCGCCCGGCCAGCTCAACAAGTTGCAGAACCCCAAGTCTCTCGCTGCCTTCCAGGCCCTCGGTGGTCTACGGGGTCTCGAACGCGGCCTGCGAACCGATCTCACGTCGGGTCTATCGATAGACGAGTCCCACCTGGAAGGGTCGGTCAGTTTTGACGAAGCAACATCGCTTGACAAGTCTTCTATAAAGCAGCAACCTACCCAGACTCTTCAGCCGCCAACGGCGGATGCCGAGTCTCAGTTCGTCGACCGACTGCGCGTCTTCAGTCAGAATCGGCTGCCCGCTCGAAAGTCCACCAGCTTCCTGAAACTGCTATGGATGGCCTATAATGATAAGATCATCATCTTGCTGACCATTGCCGCCATCGTCTCACTCTCGCTGGGAATCTACGAGACGACCAGCTCCGGCTCGGGCGTTGACTGGATTGAAGGTGTTGCTATCTGTGTGGCCATCTTGATCGTAACGGTTGTTACTGCCGCGAACGACTGGCAAAAGGAACGACAATTTGCCAAACTCAACAAGCGAGTGAGTATCCTATTCTGGTCTGTTTGTGTCGTCCGTGTCTAACCTGCTGTAGAACAATGACCGCGAGGTTAAGGCTGTCCGCTCCGGCAAAGTGGCCATGATCTCGATCTTTGATATCACCGTCGGAGATGTTCTTCACCTGGAGCCCGGTGACTCCATTCCTGCAGATGGACTGCTCGTCTCGGGCCACGGCGTCAAATGTGACGAGTCCTCTGCTACGGGAGAGTCAGACCAGATGAAGAAGACCGATGGCTACGAGGTCTTGCGGCAGATCAACAACGGCGCAGCCACGAAGAAGCTCGACCCTTTCATGATCTCAGGAAGCAAAGTGCTCGAAGGTGTGGGGACCTACATGGTCACCAGTGTTGGGCCCTATTCGACTTATGGACGCATTCTGCTGTCGCTGCAAGAATCCAATGATCCTACTCCGTTGCAGGTCAAGCTGGGGAGGCTTGCTAATTGGATTGGATGGTTGGGATCGAGGTGAATACATCCCAACCGACTATTATCTTTCTCTTGCTAATGATATATGCCAGTGCCGCAATCATTCTTTTCTTCGCCTTGTTGATTAGATTCCTTGTCAACCTCTCGCATGATCCCGCCAGTCCTGCCGTCAAAGGAAAGGAGTTTGTCGATATTCTGATCGTCGCTGTCACCGTGATTGTGGTTGCAATTCCTGGTACGTATATTCCGTCAAAATTCTCACAGCCAATGCTAATCGCCATCCAGAGGGCCTTCCGCTTGCGGTAACTCTCGCTCTCGCCTTTGCCACCACACGAATGGTCAAGGAAAACAACCTTGTCCGCGTGTTGCGTGCCTGCGAAACCATGGGCAACGCAACCGTGATCTGCTCGGACAAGACCGGCACTCTGACACAGAACAAGATGACCGTCGTTGCGGGAACCTTGGGACCTCGGAGCTTCAGTTCCGGCACTGAAAACTCCAGTACTGGCACGGTGGCCGAGACGCTCAAACAGTGCTCGCCTAAGGCCCGTGATCTGATTGTCAAGAGCATCGCCCTCAACTCCACCGCTTTCGAAGAGGACAAGAATGGTACCCGGGAATTCATCGGCAGCAAGACCGAGGTGGCCCTGCTGCAACTAGCCAGTGATTATCTCGGCATGGATGTCACCGCCGAGCGGGCCTCGGCGGACATCGTCCAGCTGATCCCCTTTGACTCCGCCCGCAAGTGTATGGGCGTCGTGTACCGGGAACCGACTGTGGGCTTTCGGCTTCTTGTGAAAGGAGCAGCGGAGATCATGGTCGGCGCTTGCTCCACCAAGGTGTCCGAGGTGGACGCAAAGGATGGTGTCGCTGTTGACGGGTTCACCGCTGAAGACAGCCGGAAGATGCTCGATACCATCGAGTCTTATGCCGGCCAGTCTCTGCGGACTATTGGACTTGTGTACCGGGACTTCCCAACCCTTCCTAGCTGGCCCCCTAAAGGGATCCATATGGAAGATGACCCGGACTCAGCGAAGTTCGAGGAAATCTTTCGGGATATGACTTGGCTTGGGGTGGTCGGCATCCAGGACCCCCTCCGACCCGAGGTGCCCGCGGCCATCAACAAGTGCAACTCGGCCGGTGTGCAGGTGAAAATGGTTACCGGTGACAATATGGCCACGGCCACAGCCATCGCATCGTCCTGCGGCATCAAGACCGAGGACGGCATTGCCATGGAGGGTCCCAAATTCCGACAGCTATCGGACGAGGAGATGAACGAGGTCATTCCCCGACTTCAGGTCCTCGCTCGCTCCTCGCCCGAGGACAAACGCATTCTGGTGGCGCAGCTCAAGAAACTAGGCGAAACCGTCGCGGTGACGGGTGATGGGACCAACGACGGCCCAGCGCTGCGGACGGCCGACGTGGGTTTCTCCATGGGCATTGCCGGGACGGAGGTGGCCAAGGAGGCCAGTTCCATCATCCTGCTCGACGACAACTTCAAGTCGATCGTCACGGCAATTGCCTGGGGCCGAGCTGTCAACGACGCCGTGGCCAAATTCCTCCAGTTCCAGATCACCGTCAACATCACCGCGGTGGTGCTGACCTTCGTCTCCTCCCTTTACAGCAGCGACAACCAGAGCGTTCTGAACGCGGTGCAGCTGCTGTGGGTAAACCTGATCATGGACACGTTCGCCGCGCTGGCGCTGGCCACCGATGCGCCGACCGAGAAGATCCTCAACCGCAAGCCGGTGCCCAAGAGCGCCTCGCTGTTCACCGTCATCATGTGGAAGATGATCCTAGGCCAGGCCATCTACCAGCTCGCCATCACCTTCATGCTCTACTTCGCCGGCAACCAACTCCTCGGTGCCCACCTCAGCGAGAGCAACGGCCAGACGGAGCTCAACACGATCGTGTTCAACACCTTCGTGTGGATGCAGATCTTCAACGAGTTCAACAACCGCCGACTCGACAACAACCTGAACATCTTCGAGGGCATGTTCCGCAACTACTGGTTCCTGGGCATCAACTGCATCATGATCGGCGGCCAGATAATGATCGTCTACGTCGGCGGTGCTGCCTTCGGAGTCACCCAGCTCTCCGGCATCCAATGGGCCGTGTGCATCATCTGCGCTCTCGGCTGTCTGCCCTGGGCCGTGGTGCTGCGTCTGACCCCCGACCGACCCATCGAACTCGCCCTCAACGCCATCGTCCGCGCCGGCAAGATCATCCTGCACCCGGTCGTCGTGGCCCTGCGTGGAGTGGGTTCCATGGGCAAGTCCGTCGCGCGGCCCGTGAAGCGAGTTTTCAAGAAACCGGCCCGGGATGATACCCCTGTGCCGTCGGACGAGGAAGCCGTCATCTTGACGGATATGAAACAGCGACAAGCTACCCCGGAGGCGCCGATGACGCCTGTCTCGGTGCCTCCTATTACCATTACGACTTCATAGATGATGCTATTGATTGATTGATACGGCAGGGGTGATATTCACTTCGAGAGACCTGTACATTAATTGGGAAACTTCATAACGGGACTGACTGGCGTTTATTTTGTTTTGATTGGTTTTGGAAGCATTTACGAGGGAGTTGGTTGTGATAAAGCATACACTTGGGTTGTATAGTGCATTTAGCGATTCGGGATTTTGTATTTTTTTGGACTGATTTATTGTGTATGGTTGAGAGTGGTCAAGGTACATACATATCTGCATAAAGATAGGATGCATTAAAACTGGGAAATAATTTAATTAGATTCATTGAGGTTCTCATAGTTATCAAGCCTGTTCCTGTAGAAGTGCATAGTCAGGGGTGCCTTAGGCCACACCTGCGCACCGCCTCGTCCACCGCCACCCGCGCCGTCCCCCGTCATCGTCTCCGCTGCGTCTCCCCCCGACGTTGCCCTCTGGACCGTGGACATCTCCAGGTACAGTCCCCGTCCCAATGCCTGCTACCTATCCCTTATGTCCCTCCAGTCAATCCACCAATTCACCCAACCAACAAACCAGCTAACACTCTAACCACCTACCTACTAGATACCTACCCCTCTACCTCTACCTACCTACCTACCCAGCTACCTCCCACCCTCCAACAAACAAAACCACCACACCACACCACCAAAAAGAAAAAGGAGAGACACAAACCAGCCAAAATGTCCCAAATCAACTACCGCACCATCAACGTCGACGTCCTGGACCCCGAGTCCTCGGCAAACTTCCCCATGGAGACGCTCCTCCCGCCGACCCTCCCCGCGCCCACGACATCCAGCGACGCCGCGGGAGTCGCCTCCCAGGTACGCCAGCTGCTCCGCTCCGGAGACCCCGAGGGCGCGCTGCGTCAGGTGCTCGAGACCGCGCCGCTGGGCGGCGACGACCGCGCCAAGGAGGTCCATCTTGCGGCTGTCGTGGACGTGTTGCAGGGGATTCGTCAGGGTGAGATGATGCGCGTGTTGGAGGGCGTTTGTACCGGTGAGGGAGGTGATGAGAGGGCGGATTGCTTGATGAAGTATTTGTATGTTCTTCTGGCCCCTTTCCGTTTTGACCTACTCCCTTTAGGGACTCCCGAGTGGATGGATAGATGGTTAATGCTTCATTTTCTTGGTGATAGGTACAAGGGCATGTCAGCCGGCGGACCTAGCAGCGGTGCCCAGTCGCCGCGCAAATCGGTCTCGCCGCAGAGCACGGGGTTCTCGCAGATCCAGAGCCGGAATATGGGCGAGGGCGGCGGCAGCCAGCAGATGAGCGTGTTGCTGAGTTGGCATGAGAAGTTGGTCGAGTTGACGGGGACCGGATCGATTGTGCGGGTCATGACGGATCGGAGGACGGTTTAGTTTAGGGGATGGATGTGTGTCTTTTATTTTGTCTGTGCATAGATTATTTTGTCTTCGTTTCTTTTTACTCCCGGTTTGAAAATGGGATAGTCTTTTTATCTCTTTTCAGCTGTTCTTCAAGGTCTGGTTCATTAAGTTGTACAGTGGCTATGCCTGACTATAACTGTAACTATATATATTTCTTATGTATGATGTAGAACTTTTCCGGACTCTTTTTGTCTTCAAATGATTTATGGCCTCTCGAATCCTCCTCCACCCAGCAGATCCTTCAGATTCAACTCCCCGCTCCCTCGCTCCAATGGCTTTGACTGTCCCTCGCCCTCCTTCCACCCGATCATATAGATCAGCCGGAACGTCGCGGGAATACCGCGGGCCCCTTCCTCACGATGCAACTGACGATAAATCGCCTCATTCGCCAGCATCACGTCCCGGGACAGGGGTCCCAGCTCGCGATGCAAGATAGCATTACTCTCACCCATAGACTGCAGGTCCTGCATCAAAGCAAACGTATCGGGATACTCAACGACGATATCCTCCACATCGACAGTCAGCATCTTAAACCCAGCCTTGTTCAACAAGCCGCCGACATCCCGCACATCCGCCAACGGAGAGACATGGGGACTGACACCGCCACGACGCTCCATGTCTGCGAGCTGCAGCGACGTACGCAGCTCGAACAACGTATCGCCGCCGAACATAGCCGCGATGAACGGGCAGTCCGGCTTCAGGATCGAGTTCACCTGCGCCAGCAGCGACGGGAGGTCGTTGACCCAGTGGATCGAGAGCGAGGAGAGCACGGCGTCGAAGCTGTTGGGCGCGTAGGGGAGGGTTTCGAGGTCTGGGATGACGTTACGCGTGAGCGAGAGCTCCGAGTTGAAGGGCAGGTCGGCGTCTCGGTGCAGTAGCGCCTCGGAGGTGTCGACGCAGGTCAGCTCGGAAATTTTGGTTGATAGAGGCGGCGCGCTGGGGTCGTCGGGGTCGGGGTTGGGTTCTGTGAGGGCACGCGCGATGTTGCAGCTGTTGGCGCCGAGGTCGAGCACTCGTGGGAAGTGGCGCTTGATGTCCTGGAGGGGAATTGGTCGTTAGATGGGGGACTTTTTCTTTGTGTTTGAGGTAGACATAAGAGGAGAACATACTAGTAGGCGCTCACATAGTCGCAGGGCTACCTCGTCCTTGATGTAGTCCGTTTGTCGGCTTTGCTCGACATTGCGAGCGGCGCGGTCTTTCTGTAGATGCTTCGTTTGCCGATTGAATACCTCCCAGACGGGACTGCCGGGAGCTTGACTGGCGAATGATCTCCGGAGAGGAATAGAAACGGCCCGATGTAAACGACGCATGGTGGAAAGGGAGGTTGTGGGGAGAGTGTGTGAGAAGTAGAGGAAGAGAAAGAGGAAGAAAAAGCGTAGTGACGAAAGACGGCAAAGGCGGCGTGACGTCGGAGTTTGTCGCTTTTGTTTTGTCCCGCCGTTTTCTCTCCTCTTCTCCCTCTTCCTTGTCGTCGATCCCTCTTTTTTTGCTCTCAACAATGGCGCGTCCCTTTCCTTACGCCTTCATTGCTTGTCCCTGCTCCGAATCGCCCATCCCCGACTCTCTCGACGACGACCAGACGCTGGACCCGCGATCGCCGCGCTCCAACTTCTCGCTGTATCCGCCCGAACAGCTGCTCTACTGCGAGGACTGCCACCAGATCAAGTGCCCACGATGCATCACCGAGGAGATTGTGTGCTGGTATTGTCCCAGCTGTCTGTTCGAGACCCCCAGCAGCATGGTGCGCAGTGAAGGCAACCGGTACCGATCTACTGCCCCCCCCCGAATGTCTCCTCCGTACAGCTCGCTCACCCTCTGATCTCTCTAGATGCGCCCGCAATTGCTTCAATTGTCCCGTCTGCACCGCTCCCCTGGCCGTCACGACCCTAGAGAATGCCACCGGCAGCAGCCAACAAGGCCCCTGGGTGCTGGCTTGCTCGTACTGCATGTGGACCACGCTGGACGTGGGCCTGCAGTTCGACAAGCCCACCAACCTGCGCGCTCAGTTATCCAAGATGACCGATGCGTCGCGTGGTCGCCAACCGTCCAAGACCTTCAGCGATCTCAAATCCCCGCTGGCCACCTCTGCCTCCATCGATGATCAGCTCGACAACGTCTCCTCCCCTAACCCGCCCTCCACACCGGCCCCCGAAAGCCCTCTGGCACCCGATGCCCGCTTCGCTGCCCTCAAGTCCTTCTACAAGGATCAATTGGCCGCCGTCTCCTCGTCCTCGTCCGACCCTGACCTTGGGTCCCCTGGTGCCTTGCACCGGATCATGTCGCTCTACGCCTCATCCAGCCGATTCAGTCTATACCCCGGGGCCGGCAAGAAGCCCAAATCCCGGCCGCCCGTCATGCGCGAGGCCATCTCCGCCAGCGAGGGGCTGAAGGTGCCCGCCCCAGACGCCGACGACGCCGCCATCCAGCGCTTGGTAGCGGAGGACGGGGGCTGGGACTCGGTGGCCTCGCTCGAGCAGCGACGCTTCCAGTCGCCGGACGCCCGCTTCGTCGACGATCTCCTGCCGCTGCCGGTGCTGCTCCGCACGAAACGCTCCAAACGATGCAAATCGTGCAAGCACATCCTGGTCAAACCCGAATTCAAGCCGTCATCGACGCGCTTTCGTATCCGTCTCATTGCCCTCAGCTACATCCCCTTACCGACCCTTCGACCGCTAATCCCGACCCCGGGGCTACTCCCTCCGTCTTCTCTGCCGGCCGCCGTGACCTCCTCGGTGGCACCGAACCTCGACGCTCTCCCGCCGCTCAAACCCGTGCAGCTGCTCCTCACGCTGAAAAACCACATGTTCGATCCCGTGCGCGTCACGCTGGCTACCCCCTCCGTGACCCCCGGCCGCGTCGCCTCCAAAGTCACCATCCTCTGTCCGCAATTCGACCTCGGCGCTAACAGCGACGTCTGGGATGAGGCCCTGCAGGGTGCCACCCCGGCCGGTGGTGCCGGCGGCGGTAGCGCATCAGCAACCAGCACCGTGAATGACCCTCGCTCCTCCCGATCCGGCACCCTCGGCGGCGCAGGCTCATCCGAGAAGGTCGCCGAGGCCGGCAAAGTATGGGATAAAGGTCGTAACTGGACCACCGTGGTCCTCGAAGTCGTTCCCGGTCCGTTACCAGGCGGTGGTCAGAAATCCTCCCTCATGGGAACAGGCGATGACGACACCTACGAGGAGAACAAGAACAAGAACAAGAACGCCGACAGCGACTCCAACGACGACGATGACTCCGACGATGACGACAGTCTCCCCGACATGAAGAACCTCGACTGGAGCGGCCAGAACACTGACCCGGGACAGAATTTACAACCCGACGAAGATATCCTAGAGATCCCGTTGTTTGTGCGCATGGAGTGGGACTCCGATAACCAGATCGACGAGCACGGTGGTGGCCATCAGAGCTCGGATACCGTGAAGAGGGAACTGGCGTATTGGATGGTGTTAGGGGTTGGAAGGATCTCGAAGGAGTTGACGGCTTAGTGTGGAATATGGAAATAGTAGTTGTGTGTTTTTTGTACATAAATATTATGCATACGCATCTGCGTGGATTTGTATAGATTTTCACTAATTAGTTTAGATGCTTGGATGTGTTGTTTGTTAATTAATACCCATTTTTGTTTGGATATGGATTTACTTATGACATCCTCGAAGAGTTCTACTGGGAGTTTACCTGGTAATGGGTAGACAGATCGAGGAAACCTACTGTACTAGTAAGCATAGCAGTTACTATAGCATCTACTCATCTTACCAAGGGGGAACAAACCACACGACCAAAGAAAAAAAAAAAGGACACCCCTACTCCATCGCAATACCAGCTAAAAAAGAGGGAAGGGAAGAAGAACAAGAAAAGATCATGATTGTTTGATATTATCACATCACATCAACATCAACATCAACATTCCTTTTCATTTCCAAGGGACAAGGGAACCCTCAAAACAAAAACCCCGGACCAACCAGCACAGCCATAGCGGAAGACGAGAGATGAAGAGAAGAAATAAAAAGTTGTTCAAGATTCCCTTCCCTTTTTTTTGTGAAAAGTAAAAAAAAAATTATTGAAATTTCCTCTTTTTTTTGTTTCTTCTCTCTCTGCCTCCTACCTAAGAAAAACCCTCTTTTTTTAATTCGCCCGTTTTGTTTGTCCTTTTAGATCATAATCCGCAACCATAGAATTAAAACTGAAATTGGGATTCCCCCTTTTCTTCATGTGCAACCCTTTTTTCTATTTTCCTTTGATGAGATTTCCCGCGTTGATTCCTAGATCATCGACAAATGCTGATGATTTCCATGGTCACATGAGGATGAAGTGGGAAGGGAAAAAACACAAAGAGAAGAAAAGAAAGTTCATTCGTTCAAAAGAAAAGAGAAAAAATCAGGTTTCAATTGATCTAAAAGTCAGAGGGACCGCTCTGGGGGAACTCGAAGGTAACAGCACGGCCGGTTAGACGGCGGTAGACCTCGCCGTAGGCGTCCAGGCGGTGGTCAACACCACCACGCTCCTTCTCGTCCAGGATGACCTTCAGGGTCTTGCTGCCATCCTCCTTGGTGCGGACGCGCTTGCCGACAATCTCAACGGGGTAGACCAGGTCGCCGAGGATGTTGTCGTGCACAGCAGTGAGAGTGCGGGAACGGGGACGCTTCTGCTTCTGGTTGGAGCGCGAGTTGGCGGAGCGCTTGGGGCGGGGCAAGATGCGGCGCTGAGCGACGAAGAGGACGTGGCGGTCCGAGAACTTCTTCTCGAGCTCACGGGTCAGGCTGGACGAAGGGCACACATGTCAGTTTTAGTTCGTCTAGCGGATGTCAAGTGACCATGGATTTTTTGGGGGTTGTTTTTCTTTTTTTTCGTTGGCCGATCGGTGGGAGAGAATGAGGGTATTCCATACCGCTGCTGGATCTTGTGGAAGCTCTGGAGGAGAGGGACGGGGACGAAGACGATGACAGCCTTCTTGCCGTGACCAACCTCGACCTAGAAAAGAAGATTCGTTAATGACTGATCGTGGTGTCTTCAGGCATGTTTCTCGATCCAAGCAAGTGTAGCAAGTCAAGGACACTCGGCGCGTGCAAAACAAAATTTGTGCGGAGCGGACTGAAATCCCCCTCTTGATACCATCCATTCACACAGGGTTGCCAATTGGTGCCATCGTCAATCCCCGTACAGTGCTTCTCCGTGACATGGTTCCCCAGGATCCTTCCTCGAATATCAAAAAGATAAAATTGTCCCTTTCCACACCCCACAGTCCGCACCGCACACAAATTCTCATCTTGCATCGCATTGATTCCGTTCCTCTTCCTCGTGCACACGCGGAGCAAAAGCAAAAAGCAGGCTGTGTGAAAATCTTACCTCACGGGCAGAGACGAACTGCAGGGGCCTGAGGGTAGCCTTCAGGTCCTGTGTGTTGCTCTCCAAGTCGAAGAGAGCACCGGCGATCGCGGTCTCCAGCTCGGAGGGGTTCTGCCTCGACGGCGAGTTAGGGGCGATCTTGTTGATAGCAGCCATGATTGCAGACGAGCGACGGATAGCTGGCTGTGCTGCGGGTGCTGCCTTCCTTGTCGCGGGTTGGTGGTCGTGGGAAATAAATTCGAGGGATTGAAAGAGGTCCAGCTCACACTTCGCGCTCCGGCTGTGGGATCGGGATCTCGGCGCCTCGCTTAGCGGTCGCTTGGCCCGTTGCGGTCTAGCGCCACCGTGCCTGCTTAGGGGATCGCGTATCCCGTGACCGGCCTGCCCTTTGCTGCCTGTCGGCTCAGGCATCTATCTCTCTGCGCGTCTCTCCGCCTTTTACCGTCTACAGTCTACACCGCACTCCGTCCTCCGTAGTCTGTACTTCCATACTCTGTGGAATCGTATACAATGCTATACTATGCTTCTCTCAAATGGTCCCTCCATTCCAACTGCCCCTTTATTCTTAAAGTACTATCGGGTCTCCGGCGAGATCCCATTACCGAACTAGATAATATGGCACAGAACAGAGAAAATGAACAAAAAAAGTAATAAACAAACAGACGCCGTGGATATGACAACTGCACACGCCTTTGCAGAAGAGTGAATATTGGAATTAAAACGAAAGAACGAAAGAAACGCAGACCCATTGGCCTAGACCGTTACTAGACAACCCAGCCTGGGACAATGGCGGAAATCTTGAATCCAAACACACACAACCCCGGAGGCGATATATGGCTTAACAGGCGCACCCTTCTTTGGCAGTAGCAGATGCCCGATCGCCCAGGTTCACTCTCGAGTCTTCGGCCGGTCGACCGCCGCCCAACGTAGTCTGGCCGGTCCCGGCGCCGCCACCTCGTCCGTTCTTCAAGCTGCTCTCGGGAATGGCATTGGCAATCGCCGTGAAGACGTCGACCACATTGACGCCCGTCTTCGCACTGGTTTCGAAGAACAATAGACTCTCCTCCTCTGCGTAAGCGCTAGCCTCCCGTGTCGGTACTTTCCGCGCGTCCCCGGGAGTGGCATCGGCTTCCTCGGGGTTCTCGCCGGCTGCCTCCTCGTCCTGGTCAGCCGCGGGCGACTCGCCAGCAGCCTCGTTTCCGTCATTTGTCAAGTCCAGCTTATTGCCAACAAGGGCGATGACGATACCGGGACTGGCTTGTCGCTGAAGCTCAGCTACCCAGTGCTTCGCCTTGGTGAGCGACGAGGGTTTGGTGACATCGTAAACCACCAGCGCCGCCTGGGCGTTACGGTAGTACATGGGGGCAAGCGAGGCGAAACGCTCCTGACCGGCCGTATCCCAGATTTCGAACTTGATCGTCCGGGTAGGCAACGAACATTTTTGGGTGAGGAAAGCGGCTGAACGGGAAGGTATGACATCAGCGTCGGCACAGCCATCGTGGGAGGGAGAGGCACGGGGGGACAATAGAATTTGGAAATATGACAGCCAGAATAAAATAAAAAAACACCGCAAGAGTGCTTCTATCGTCATAGCCATCGGGGAATAATTCACAGCTGGGAGTCATTGCTTACCTCCAATGGTCGGTTCCTTGTTCTCCTGGAAGTCGTTGTTCACGAATCGCAAGACGAGCGAAGACTATTTTCCAAAACAACAATTCATTCAGGGTCAGTCTTCCAGGTTACTCGTGTACAACGGAGGGGCAGGTAAAAGGAAACAGCTCGGGCCGTACCTTTCCAACGGCCGCCTCTCCCAAAAGTACAAGCTTGACGCTACTACTCGGCTTCGGAGTATTTGTGCTGGTTGACTCAGACATGACGATGAAAGCCCAACGAGGTGCCTATGGAGGTTAAGGATATGGGGTTGGCAGGCCGTGCCAGCAAGAGTGGTGATGATTATCAATCCGAAGAGGGGAAATTTCAGCTCGCGAAGGGCGGCTAAAAGTTGACCGCAACAGATAGGTCAATAATAGGATTTTATTTTCGAATAAAACCAGACAAAGGCGGGAATTAAAAAAAAAAGGCGAAAGACTCCAGGTAGCCTGGGAACGAAACGTCAGCCGGAACACGAGTTGATCGATCGGGTCAGCTTGTCGAGCAGGGGTATTTGGCTGCCTGTCACTGGAGCAATGAGGGTGAAGATGACGATGATGACGAAGGAAGGGAGCAAATGACAAAAAGGGCGAGAGTACAACGTACCAGTACCAAGAGAAATGGCGGTGGACAGGTAAGGTACAAAGCGTCGCAACGTGCTTTAAGGATAGATACCCAGCGAGGCGGAGAAGAGAGACTAAGAGACTAAGAGGACTAAAGAGAGAGACTCTTCCTGTCCACGGGAAATGGCCGTGGCGCCTAATCCAGTTAGCGCCGTTCCCCCCGGGCAGTCACGGGACGGTTCCCGCTTCCGACTCCATCGCCGCGTCAGGTAGGCAGAGTAAGGTATACTTACTCTTTCGCATCCGTCGATTTCATCGGCGTTTGAGACCCCATTCCCCCTGCCTTGGGGATTCATGGTGAAAAATGCGATACATCAATTCCTCCCGCTCTTCAGCACAGTCGCCTGATTGGCGGCATGTCCATCGAACGGGCCGTCGACGGTCGAAAAGATGTATCTCGGCCCTGGGCCTCCGGAATGACGGACGCCAACGAAGACAACAAATGCTATGACGTGCCAGTGGCCCCCTTCCCCCCCCCCCAAGGACAGCGGTTGGGAAACCCTTGCCACTGGTACCCAGTCGTGTCATACTGGCCAACGTTGCACTACATGATTTGTGTAGATCCCGTAGCTGCCCAAGTAAAGAAGCACATGCAAGATGTCCGAACACCGTGATTGTCGACTGGGGTCCACCGAGATAATGCTTGCTCAAATTAAAGCCGGCAAATCACAGCCGAGACGCCCTGTGCCCTCCCGGCATCCAACCCCAGGGACAATCATTCAACGGCGGAGACTGACCTATGGATCCGGTTGAGAACCAGACCGATCCAAGGCTTGTGCGGACTAGCGACGAAGGTTACAGAGAAGGACAAAAGAATCGCAGAAGAAAAAGCAAGGATCTACGGACGGAGTTCCCGCTAGATTTCCAATAATGCACACCTGCTTTCATTCTCAATGTGCTGTGATAAGAACAAGAAATAGTATACAGGCGCAAAAAGAAGTCTCACATGCCCAATCAACCACGAAAAGAGCCAGATCCGAAGAGACAGCAGCAAAATAATCAAGAAATGTGACCGCGAGGTCGAAGGTTCTAGTGTTGGTATCTCAACCCATTTATCCCAAACAGAAACGAAAAGAAAACAAACCCCATCCTGTCTATACCCAACGCCAAACAAAGTAGATCCCAAAGAAAAATAGAAAGCTGAAAAGGAACACAAAGAAATAACTTTTGATCAATAGGTTGGACACCTGTTCGCGGGCTCATGTCGGTAAGATTAAAATGGCGTAAGGGAAATAATTGGAAAATCGATCGAATGAAAATAGACGGCGGAGTGCTCGAGCGCTGGTGATAATCGAGATAGCCGAAGACGTATTAAAAGTTATAGATCCGAAACCAGAGGTGGCCCAACCGTAGAGCGTAGCAGGGAAAAGTAGTAATGTTACAGAAGCTATGAGTTGGATGTTAGCAACGTGAATCCGCAAGGGAGGTGAAACCGCTTGAGGGCTGGTGAACTTACAAGAAAGAAGCGCGCTTTGATCTAATATGCGTGAACTCCAAGAGGCCCCTGACTCCAGTCCAGGAAAACCACAAACAACGTTTCGCTCGAACGAACAGAAAAAAGACATCGTGTGGTTGGCGGATGCACCGAAGGATTTCATTTGGGCGGTGGTGGAGGAGCACCAGGCTTCTTGACGCCCGTAGTATCGTAGGCACCTCGTCCCATGTTGAAGGCCGATAGATCCCGAAGTATCATAGCAGATTCTGCAAAGACAGCCATTGGTTAGATGTCAAGGGTTTTTGGTTGGAAAGGAGAAGGCTAGGCAGTGGAAAGACAAGCTCGGAGATGGGTTTGGGGGAGTGGAAAGAGGAACTCACAAGAGAATTAAATATACAAGGAGTCGAGCCCTTTATTAATCAAGCAAAGGGACAGAAAAATCAACAACCGCGATTATTGTGCGGTCCGACAGAGCAAATGCAGCAGGAACTAGCGAGGTACCCAAGGTTCCAGACGAGGACAGGCGGTATTGATGCAGATGATGCAGCTGCAGTTGAGATCGGAAAGGCGATCCTTATTAAGGGTGCTCACAGCACAGACGCTGGGTAAAAAGCAGGCAGAATTATGCAATGCCGGGGTCGACAACAGTAGATCTGTAGGGTAGGAATGTGACGCTGAATAACCAAGAAGTTGGACCGTAAGAATGAGGCAGTGTGGATCTCAGGAAACAATTGATAGGTCGTTTTGGGAGACGTTTTATATTTTCTTTTTCGACGTTAGGCGCTTCGACGGTCTTTGTTCTGAATTGTCCTGGCCTTTGCGTTCTTCCAACTCGTACAGGGGCGTGCAAAGATAATATTTGAATCGAGCGCGATCTGATCAGGATCCGGCGACCGAGACACAGAGGCTAATGCAGTCGGCAAGGAGGTTTGAATCCTGGAAAGGGGAATTGCCGCGATACTCAATTTCGTTTAGTCCGGGCAAAAAAGAAAACAAGCTCGGACGGAGGGGGCAAGGGAGGATAGGAAGTCGATTTTGACAACGTCACCGCGGTACTGAAGAGCGGCAAGATGGAGGTTCGGTCAGAGAGAATGAGCTAAACAAGGACTCAAGGAAGGATGGCGAGAGAGAAGAGAGGACGGAAGGAAGAAAAGGCGGAGGGAGGAGTAGAAGGAGGAAAGGGTGTAAGGTTAATTGGTTTAAGGAATGAGTGAAATGATGAAGAATTTAGGCCAGATCTTGAAGGGGGTTCGTTGATATATGTAGTAACGTACCTACTACTATGCTGGCTTGTGTTATTTTTTTTTAACTTTTGGGTGAGATCAGCAAATGATTTTTTTATTATTATGGATCTTGATATTTTTGGGGTATTTTGGTTTTTTTTATTTATTTTTTTTTTTATCGAAGAGAGGGACTAAAAGAAAGACAGTGACAAGGACAAGGTGAAAAAAAAAAAAAAAGAGACAGAGAGAGAGAGAAACAGAGAACTGACAGAACAGAAAATGAGAGGAAAAAATATTAAACCCCCGAATGAAATAAAATAAATATTAAAAAACAGCAATAATAATTACCAGAATAATAATAATAAATCCATTTTTCGAGATAATTTTTTTTTTAAAAAAAAAATAGCAATCGAGCTCAATTTAGCATAGTGGCTCGCCCGTCCCGGGGGGAAGGTACGCGAAAGCTGTGTGGATGCGATCCATCCATCCATTTTTCCATCCCCCTTTCTTTTTCTTTTCTAGGTCGATGGGGAAGTTCCAGTTCTAACGTTTGACGGCTGCCGTACCAATTTACCTCCCCTGGGCCAGCCAGCCAACTGCGTACCGTACAATACATCGGTTACTCAAGAAGTACCACCTAAGGGAAAGGTACCTACCCAGGTAGGTATGGAACAGGTAATATTCGGCCTGTTGCCATCATTCCTCCTTTTGGCCCCCCTGTCTTCATTTCACCTCAGCTGATTTTATTCTGTATTTTGGGGCTTACACCCTACTCTATCACAAATCCCTTTCTGCCTCTGTCATATAATATCTAAGCCCGGAAATTAGCATCTTAACGTCCGGCCCGACTCTGGAGTATGGGACGCCGAGGCATCTAGTTATCATCATGTCTTACTGTGTACTGGAGGTACTTCGTAGGTCAGCAAGACAGCAGCACGCAGAATTTCCCGTCTCCGCCGAGCAATGAATAAAATGTCAATCGATGGCGTCAGAAAATTTTTCACCACCACTCAGAAATGGGAAAACAGGATGAGCTCTCTCCACAAGAGTTAGAAGCTACGAAAGAACCGACTTCTCGAACCGCGGCGACTGGCCTGTTGTAGGGTGTGGGTGGGGAATTAGCAGCCGCTCCAGAAACCGCGGATGGATCCGAACCAACACCGCTGGGGGGCTTGTTTCGATTGCTCTCGCGTGGTGTATTGATTACTAGTCCCTAGTAGGGGACCTGGATGGAAAAGACGGAGAGAGTCAGGGGCCCGGGATGGATAGCGGTCCCCAGAACAGAAGCCCTATGGTGTGCCTCCTACGCAGTAAACCCTTTCTTTGTTCTAGGTACACAGTACTGTGTCCTAAGTCCTAACCTGATGCAGCATGATCTCATCGAAATGGAAGACCCAGTCTTTTCTGGATTTTTTTTTTCTTGTCTTTCTTTCCAACGCCATAAGTACCTACGTAGTTCGTACGGTGTAGGTTGGATCCTAGAAGGACCAAAAGTACCACTTCATTGATGGACTCGTCGTTATTGCGAAAAGCCTTGCCACAACATCCGTTTATCATTGATTGATTGACTGCAGATAAAAAGGAGATTTGGTTCTGTTGTATCACCCGGGAAATCAATAGTCCTCCGAAAATAAAGAAGAGGAGAGAGGGAAGAGGGAAAAAGCAAAAGCGAGAAAATCTTGTGGCGCGATGTTTGATATGTCAGGTACCTACGACGGAAAAGATTACAGAGTGCATACTAGCGTTGAACTGGAAGCGATCCAGAAGCTTCCCGTCTGGTACCTGCGGTAGTGCGGAAGTAGCTTCGGGAGACTATCACCAAGATCACTGTTTATTGATTCGATTTTCCTCCCTAGCTAGCCAGGCTCCACCATGTCTCCTGATTGATTTATGCCACCGCCTAGATTCAGGTCGCGTTTTGTGTCTTACCCCAAATGTTGCCA